AGAATGTTTGTTCTTAACATTCAAAATGACATCGCAAAATGTCTTAAGATGTGCTACAAGGAGGAGTCTTGGCTTTGGCATCTTCGTTATGGACATCTCAACTTTGGAGGCTTGGAGCTACTCTCTAAGAAAGAAATGGTGAGAGGATTGCCCTGCATCAATCATCCAAATCAGGTGTGTGATGGGTGCCTACTTGGAAAGCAATTCAAAATGAGCTTTCCAAAGGAGTCAGAGACAAGAGCACGGAAGCCATTGGAGCTCATACATACAGATGTTTGTGGCCCAATTAAACCAAGATCACTCGGTAAGAGTAACTACTTCCTTCTCTTTATTGATGACTTTTCAAGAAAAACATGGGTTTACTTTTTGAAAGAAAAATCAGAAGTATTTGAGAACTTCAAAAAGTTTAAAGCCCATGTTGAGAAGGAAAGTGGCCTTGTGATCAAAGCTATGAGATCTGATCGAGGAGGAGAGTTCATGTCCAAAGAGTTTCTGAAGTATTGTGAAGACAATGGCATTAGGAGACAATTGACGGTGCCAAGATCCCCTCAACAGAATGGAGTAGCAGAAAGGAAGAACAGAACAATTCTTAAGATGGCGAGAAGCATGCTCAAAAGTAAGAAGCTACCAAAGGAGTTTTGGGCAGAAGCAGTTGCATGTGCGGTCTATCTGTCAAACAGATCCCCAACAAGAAGTGTTTGGGAGAAAACACCACAATAAGCTTGGAGTGGAAGAAAGCCCGGTGTTTCACATCTAAGAGTCTTTGGAAGCCTTGCCCACGCTCATGTACCTGATGAGAAACGAAGCAAGCTAGATGACAAAAGTGAGAAGTACATCTTCATTGGGTACGATGCAAACTCCAAAGGTTACAAGCTCTACAATCCTGATACAAAGAAGACAATCATCAGTCGGAATGTCATCTTTGATGAAGAAGGAGAATGGAATTGGAGATCAAATGATGAGAACTACAACTTCTTTCTACATGTTGAAGAAGATGATTTGGAGCAGCCAAGAGAGGAGCCAATTACTCCACCAACCTCACCAACACCAAGTTCTCAAGGAGATGAGAGTTCGAGTGAAAGGACTCCACGTTTTAGAAGTCTGCAAGAGCTTTACGAGGTAACCGAAAATCAAGAAAACCTTACCCTATTTTGCCTGTTTGCGGATTGTGAACCCATGAACTTCCAAGAAGCAATGGAGAAGAAGACATGGAGAAACGCAATGGATGAAGAGATCAAGTCAATACAGAAGAATGAGACATGGGAGTTAGCTTCACTTCCAAATGGGCATAAGGCGATTGGTGTAAAATGGGTGTACAAAGCGAAGAAGAACTCCAAAGGAGAAGTTGAAAGATACAAGGCAAGATTGGTGGCAAAGGGCTATAGTCAAAGAGCTGGAATCGACTATGACGAGGTATTTGCTCCAGTTGCTCGATTAGAAACAGTTAGACTAATCATTTCATTAGCAGCCCAAAAGAGGTGGAGGATAAATCAAATGGATGTCAAATCAGCATTCCTAAATGGAGATCTTGAGGAAGAAGTCTACATTGAGCAACCACAAGGCTACATAGTTAAAGGAGAAGAAGACAAAGTCTTGAGGTTAAAGAAGGCACTCTATGGATTGAAACAAGCACCAAGAGCTTGGAACACTCGTATTGCTAAGTATTTCAAGGAGAAAAGCTTCATCAAGTGTCCATATGAGCATGCACTATATATCAAAACACAGAACAATGATATATTGATTGCATGCTTATATGTAGATGACTTGATATTCACAAGCAGCAATCCAAGTATGTTCGAGGAATTCAAGAAGGAGATGACGAAGGAGTTCGAGATGACCGATATTGGATTGATGTCTTACTACCTTGGAATTGAAGTGAAACAAGAAGACAATAGAATCTTCATCTCTCAAGAAGGTTATGCTAAAGAAGTGCTGAAGAAGTTCAAGATGGATGACTCGAACCCAGTTTGTACTCCAATGGAATGTGGAGCTAAGTTATCAAAGCATGATGAAGGAGAGAGTGTGGATCCAACACTCTTTAAGAGTTTGGTTGGGAGTCTACGTTACTTAACATGCACAAGGCCTGATATCTTACATGCAGTTGGAGTTGTGAGCCGATACATGGAGCATCCAACAACCATTCACTTCAAGGCAGCTAAGAGGATCCTTCGCTATATCAAAGGTACGATCGACTTTGGCTTGTATTACTCTATTTCTGATGATTACAAGCTTGTTGGATATAGCGATAGCGACTGGGGTGGAGACGTAGATGATCGGAAAAGCACAAGTGGTTTTGTGTTTTTCATTGGAGAAACAGCTTTCATATGGATGTCGAAGAAGCAACCGATTGTCACTCTTTCCACTTGTGAAGCGGAGTATGTAGCTGCTACTTCATGTGTTTGCCATGCTATTTGGTTACGAAACTTATTAAAGGAGTTGAGTTTGCCACAAGAAGAGCCGACGAAGATCTTTGTGGACAACAAGTCAGCAATAGCTTTGGCAAAGAATCCTGTCTTCCATGATCGAAGTAAGCACATCGACACTCGCTATCATTACATTAGAGAATGTGTTACCAAGATGGATGTGCAGTTGGAGTACGTGAAGACGGACGATCAAGTAGCTGACATCTTTACCAAATCACTCAAGCGTGAAGCCTTTATCAAGATGAGAAGTTTGCTTGGAGTAGCAAAATCAAGTTTAAGAGGGGGTGTTGAAAGATAAATTTGATTTTGGATCAAGTTTAAATATTGGGTTAATGATCCAATAATAATTGGGCCAAAACCCAATTATGCTTAATCAAAGATTCTAAAGTTTTCTCTAGAAAAATCAACACTTCCACCTCCTTAAAATATTCTAGAGAGTTGTAGAGAATAAATATCTAGAGATTTCTCTAGATAATTGTTGTAAAATAATCTAGATATTAAGATAGAATTCTCTAGATTTAGGAATAAAATATTTTAGATATTTTGTACTTTGGAGGCTATAAATAGCTACCTCCTCTCTCATTTTGTAACTAACAAGCTAAAAGAAATAATAAGGGAAGTTAAGTGACGTTCCTAAGCTCTCTAAGTTCTAAAACTTTCTTCTTCTTAAATTTGTTCATTTATCTTTCAAATTCTTAAACACCTTCTCCATCACTCTTAAATCACTCTTAAAAGTTTTTTCTTTCCAACATATGAAACCACTCACTGGTTTTCAGTTGTGTTGCGACTCTGTGAGTTTCTTCATTGACCACAAGAGAAAAGTTGCGGTCGTTTTCGAAAACGACAAACATCCGCTTATATGGCCTATCTCTCGCGAGATAGCTTATGTCATGGGAGAGAATGGATACGTCGAGAAACTGGAGCTTGGCGAATCTAGAGAAGAAAATTGTTTTCCAATTGCTTGCTCTTATGTTCCAAGCTCAGTGAAAATATTTCAACCTGCACGATCAAACAAAAAAAGGTAAAGGAACCAGATTATTATAACCAGTGCAAATGTATCAACCTAATCTATGGATTTATTGTTTTTCCTTTCTTTTTTGTTTTCTTTGATCATTAATTTTGTATCTTGACCTCATTAGCCACCATCAGTTTTATCTGTTTTCTTTACTTTGTTTTCATCCTTACATTCCCAATGGATATCGTCTCAAAAACAAGAAACTTAATTTCGTACCATATACATATCTCTTACATTACTCGAGGTTGATGAGACTGATGAAGAGGCTTAATTATTACCACACCAGAACTGGTATATCCTCTCTTTCTCTCCAATTCAACATCGTATGGTCAGATGTGTTACAACCACACAAATACCAAAACCCTACAACATCAAGATTTATAATAAATAAATAAAAAGTCCTTTTTAATATCTAAACAATCCCTGTCTTTCAATTTCTTGGAGAACAATTCTTCTATAATGTTTTCCTTTTCCTGGTCTCTTGTACAAAACATCATATATTTTATCTATCTTACATAAAAAATGACAGTGTTGAAAACCATTATCGTGTAATCATACGATGTTTATCTTAGTACTAATAGATTCTTGTGTATATTTCTCCAAATATTTTTGCTGCTTAATGTGTGTTGCATTTTGCATACCATCAAGCTAAACGATTCCCGAATAGAGTCTGATTTGAAAAAAAAAAAAAGAAGTCTCTGATCCAACAACATCAATGGTTTTCACGTTTCATTTTCACTGTTGATAAGGCCCATCATTCGACTATCTTTTGGGACTAAAGATGTCTTGGTCCCACTTCAATAATTAAGCCGACTAGATTCTGAAGCCCACGATTGACCCAGTGGGCTTCTACGTCTTCAGTTGCTGTTAAATCAAGAGAGTTTTCCAAGGGATTTGGCAGAGATTCAACAACAATGGCGATGTCCGATCTTCCAAGGGATATGGCAGAGGAAGTGTTCACTAGGGTTCCGTTGAAATCTCTGAGATCAGTGAGTTTCACTTGCAAAAACTGGAACACATTTTCAAAAAATCAGAGCTTTACAAGGATGCACATCGCAAAAACAAAAGCAGCAATGAAGAAGGACGATACGTTTCTGGCGATCATGATGATGGATTTTAGGGTTTACTTAATGAGCGTCGATCTCAACAACGTTGAATCATCCATAAATCGAGAAGGTAAACTCATCACCCTAAACGACGCCAATGGAGTCGATATATCTAGAGTCTTCACTGTTGCGGTTTAGTCTTATGCATCACCAAAGACATCAACCCTAGGCTTGTGGTTTGGAACCCTTACCGTGGAGAAACAAGGTGGATACAACCTAGGTTTTGTTCTCGTTACCACATATCGGACACGTACGCTCTCGGCTACAGGAGGCGGAGCGACTCGCGTCGTAGCTATCTAATGAATGGGGAGGGGGAGTCCGCTTTGAATCATTACCTGTTCTTCGACTGTGAGAGGGGCTGATTGGGATGACCAAATAGGATCGTCCGGTTATGATTCTTCTGTCTATCAATAACAGCGTGCATTGCACGGTGGTTGGAAGAGATGATGAGAGCAGGAGTTCATTTGCTACAAAATCTTGTGGTTTGGGGATGGTTGTCACTTGAATGTACCGCACAGGATTAGTCAGTTTGAAATCTATAGGTTGAATTCTAATTCTTGGAAGGTTGTTGATGGCTCTCCCGAGTGGTATATAAAGTTTGATCAACGTAGCGTGTCTCACAAGGGGAATACATACTGGTTAGCTAAAGACAAGACTCCAATACCAGAAGGAGAAGCACGAGTAGGAGAGATCCCTGGTTTCTTGATCTGCTTTGATTTTAGGATAGAGAGGTTTGGACCGCGTCTACCTCTACATTTTCACTCTAATGAACAAGACACTGTGACTCTCTCTAGCGTAGGAGGAAAGCAGCTCGCGGTGTTGTTTCAACGCAGGGACACACTTAGGATGAAGATATGGATTACGACTAAGATTGAGCCTAACGATGTGTCGTGGAGCAGTTTGTTCTTCGCGGTCAATATGAAGCCAATCACCGGTTTTCAGTTTCAGGTTGAGGGTGGGAGTTTCGTCATTGACGGGAAGAAGAAGGTCGTGGTGGTTCTTGATAAGGATAAAGATAGAGTTAACCCCACTCGAAACATAGCTTACATCATCGGAAATAATGGATACTTCAAACAAGTGGATCTCGGAGAATCTGCGCACAGAGATTGTTGCCCGTTTGTCTGCTCTTATCTTCCAAGCTCAATACAAATCAAGCAAGCTGCATGCAACGTGGTAACTAAACCAGGTTATTAACATAAGTCTATTAACAAAGCCTAATATAATATATATCTATCGTTCTTTTTGTCATCTGGATCGTAATTCCTTGGAAGCTAGCTCTCTTTAGCATTGCTAATTAGCCGAAAAGAGAAGTATTCATACATGTGATGTAAATTGTTCTGTTGCACGTTGAGAAACAAGCAAACTTAACGTCATATAATTTACATAGTTTCTGCCAAATTATGTAAGACTCACGTATACTAACACCATTGTTACAAGGAAAAGAAGCTTTACCAGAATTGTTATGTCTCTAATTCAGCACCGCATGCTAAAATGTGACAGAACACACATAGAGGTACCAAATGGAGATGCTACATTCATGTATTGAGAATAGAAAACTATTGTTACAATGGATGAAACCACCAATTAAAGAGATTGTTGAACTGTTATTATGCAATCTTCAAAGAATTATCAATATCAAGACAACAACAACACATGATGAATAATTATTTTCATCCACAAATGGTCCGGTCCGTATATATAACCTGGCTAATACATAATTAACCGATTTTTCTTTCACAAGTTATAAAAGGAAACCAGAGAAAACGGACCGGACCATTTGTGGTAATGGCAAAACAGTAATTATAAAAGGATTCGGAACCTTGTTTGGTACTTTTGTTAATATTTCCGCCAAACCAAGGGCTGTGTATTCGCCGTCTCTCTTGTGGTTCCCCAAAACCCTAGAAGAAGTGTAAAACCCCTCTCCGTCTCTCTCTTTTCAGTTTAGCAGCAAGTTTGTCAACAATGGCTTCCAAGGCTCCGAAAGTGCAGAAGTCGACCAAGAGGAAGGATACCGAAAGCTCTGCGAATTTCGATGCTCTCAAATCGAAGAAGCCAAAGCTGGCGTCGTCTAATTCCGACAAGAAACACCATACCAAACCTAAATCTGTCGGAGACAACGGCAATGGTGTCAATCTGTCCGCGAAGGAGCGTCGTATAGAGGCTAAGGTTTTTCTTTTGTTCACTCTTAATCTAAACATTTTGATTTGGAATTAAATTTGAATTTCGTTTCGGATTCTTGATGTGTGTTTTTTTGGGCTGCAGGAGGAAGCAGAAGCCAGGAAGAAGAGGAGGAGGCCGCACTACACTCTTGAGCAAGTATGTAGCTTTTCTTGAAATTAACTGTAACATTGTATTTCTCAAGCTTATCGTAACTGGAATATAATGGTTTCATCAACATATGAATTTTCACTAGAACTAAATCACTCTACATTCATACTTGATATCAGGAGCTTGCATCTCTATGGGAGAAGATGAGGCGCCGTGACATTAGCAAAGCAGATCGATCAAAGTTAGTATCCAATAAAGAATGCATCTTATATATACTCTTTTGATTTAAAACGCTCTCTATCTTATATTTGTTTGATCATACTTGGTTATTAGGCTGTTATCGGAGGCTTTACAAAAGATGAAGGGCAAGATCCCAGAGATTGCATGTTCACCACTTTTATCCCGTGTGCTCCAGGTGTGTATCTTTAGGCTGCCCAAAATCCCTAAGAATCTTTATCTTACAAGTAGTGGCCTAAAAGTTTTCTTCTTTTTGCGTAGACTTGTGTGAAGTATTGCTCACAAGCTGAAAAGGAAGCTGTTTTCAATGAACTCCAGCCGCACTTTGTTAAGTTTGCGTTTAACAAATATGCTGTTTTCTTGTTAAAGAAGATGTTGGATGGAGGTAAGAACTGAACTTCAAGCCGAACCGTATGCATTGCTTGCTTTATACATTCAGCTAATTTTTTGAGTGATTTATTATGCAGCATCTAAGCAGCAGCGGGCAGCTTGTATATCCAGCCTCCGGGGACACGTGGCTTCTCTCCTCCGTCACATGGTCGGATCTATTGGTATGTGGGGTACTGATGTTTCGACATATCTAATTTTGGACCGCTCACTTACACAAATTAGTCCAATTTGTTCTGTGAAAATGTGGCCGAGCAACTTTTTTTTTCTTTCTTTGAAGCTCACTTTCTCTTTGTTTTTCTTACTTGTCCTCAAGTTGCGGAGCATGCATACTATATAGGAACCGCAGCACAAAAACAAGAACTCCTTGGAGAATTGTATTCTACAGAGCTTCAGTTATTCAAGGACTTGAACTCAACTAACGAAAAAAGGTAAAATTTCACTTTATCTTCTTTGTTTTACTCTAGCACACAAGTTATAGAGAAGCCAGGTTTCTCGTACAATTCGTTAGCCTTCATTGTTGTTATTTGCGATGGTGACAAACTCAGTATTACTCTTTACTGCCATGAATCTATCACATACTAAGAGTTAATCAATTGGATTCAGGGTGGTAGACATCATCGCTAAGCTAGGGCTTAAAAAAGACGCTGTCATTCGACACATGACTGCCGTTATCCAACCGATTATTGAGAAGGGAATTGTTGACCACTCTATCACACACAAATTGCTTATTGAATACCTGACGATAGCTGATAAGGTATTTTTTAAGAAAATTTATGTGAATGTTTCGGAGTATTTTGTTTTGCTTTACATCTCTCTAATATTTAGGAAATGAATTTTTTTTGTTTTTTTTGATAGACGTCTGCTGCATATATGATGCAGCACCTGACAGGCAAACTTCTTCTACGTATGGTTCACACCCGGGATGGTTCTAGGCTTGCAATGCTTCGTCTCAAACATGGAAGCGCTAAGGTACGAATTCTCTAGTTTTTGTAGATACTCTAGTTTTAAGGTTTATCCGTACCAGTTTGAATGGTTGCATCTGTAATTCTCGATATTATCGTTAATTATAAATAGATTCCATGCTTGATATCTATTTGGACATCTAGTTCAAAGAACCGGCGGTGGAGATTTCCATATACATCTTTAAATTTGGATTCCGCTCTTTCTGAATCATATTCTTTGCAGGAGAGAAAGATGATTATCAAAGCAATGAAATCGACTGACGAGATGATCAAAGAAAATAAAAGCCATGTTAAAAATATGGCTTTTGATCAGTTTGGAAGTATGGTAAGAAGACCTCTTATTTCTTTTGGAGTTTTGTTTACCACGTAGTGTGCTTCACTGTCGTTTCATATTCGTTTTTCAAATAATCCGTTGTCTACTATGTGTTCTCAGGTGCTTACATGTATATTTACTATAGTTGATGACACAAAGCTAGTGACCAAGGTAGTATCCCTCAACCAAATAAGAGATTGGTGGATTCTGTATGTGTATGTTCTGATTCTTCTGAATCTTGTTCAACCATGTGCAGATTATTGTTCGTGATCTTGAGCCCATTTTAAAGGATCTTGTTGTGGAAAAGGTTTGTGTTACTTATATATTGAGAAGCACGCCATTATAAAATTTATTATACTTTGTCTTATTTCTTCGGCCTGATGAATCTTACCTTTTTTCGGCTCTGTGATATGGTCTGGTCTTCTGCTCTTTGCTTTCTTTAGGCCTTTCTATGACTAGTACGTTGAGTTCTTCCAGTATTTATCCTCTCTTAATACTTCAAATTTTTTGTGTCTGCAGCATGGTAGGAAACCACTATTGCAGCTACTTCATCCAAATTCTTCACGTTATCTCAGTCATGATGATTTGGCCTCTTTTGATCTGTCTGTTCCATCACTGTGCGTAATGGTATGATGATATAACCCAAACTATCTGCCTAACTTAAATGCTAGGATTATTCTTTCTTGTGGAATTGGATTGGATGTGTAAAACCTATCTGTCTTTACCATTCACATTCAGGATGAGTCAGAGACATCTTCTCAAACAAAGGACTCAGATGTTAAAGAATCTGGTGAGGAGGCGGAAGATGAACAAGAAGATACGGTAACTGAACGTACAGATGTTGAAGAAAATGTCACAGTTGGGGGCAGTAAAAAGGATCCTCTTTTGAGAAGGCAGGAGTTGCTAGTCAAGAGTGGCCTTGCTGAGGTGTGTGTGATGTGGTGACTCGTATTTAAGTTTCTTGGTTGTTTTCGGATAGAATGTTGCAACTTCAGTCTTATCACCTCTCATGGAACATTCTTGATTTTGCTGGACAGAGGCTTATTGATGTGTGTGTAGAGAACGCTGAGGAATTCCTCAAGTCAAACGTTGGCAAAGAGGTCATGTATGAGGTATTGATTTTCCGTTTCTCTCATCTTTTGTTGTAGTGGTTTTAACCCTGTTATAAAAACGTCGAGAGAGAAACAAGTTCTTGTAGCAATCATATCTGGGCAAGAAACAAAATCATGTAACCATATAGAGTCAATTAGTTACCTTCACAACAGATGCTACTTTCAATCTGATAACAAATGCTAACATCCGATTGTCATGATTTTCTTGCTCTCAGCTATTCTCGTTGTTTTACTCATTTTCACGTTTATTTGGTATCAGGTTGCAAGAGGAGGCGCTGATGGCATTCTTCTGCCATCTTTGAGCGAGAAGCTGCGTGTGCTGCACGAAGCCATTGCCTCGGTAGCAGCAAAGCCGAAATCCCAAGAACCAGAGAAGAAGTCAGAGCACATCTTGGAAGACTTTCACTCAAGCCGAACAATAAGAAGGCTTGTCCTGGATTGCCCTGCTTTCGCTTCTATTCTCTTTAACAATGCATTGTCTGGAAAATGTCGGATGTGGGCTCAAGGACACTGGTTAGTCTTAATCACTCCTCTCGTTGAATCTATCTATCTACAAACCAAAGCGAGTCCTTGAAAATCTGAATCTTTGTTGAATATATCCTTACTATTGTTTTTTCTGCAGTTCAAAGATACTGTCTGCTTTCCTAGAGACCGAGGATGTTCAAGTGCGTGAGATGGCTAAGGAAGAGGTTCAAGTGTTGGTGAACGAAGGTGTTGTGAAGATCCCAGATCCCAAAAAACCCGAATGATGCAGCCACCAGCATTGCTGATTAACTTGGCGTTTTGTGTTTTCAGTATTTTCAAATAGATTACAGAGAATCTTGGTTTATGTCAAATTTTGTCCTTTCTTACCTCTATAGTTTATTTATCTTCATGCAGCTTTTAAACCGCGTTTGCGATGTACTCAAAACTCAAACCTTTAATCGCATAAGTTTTACTTGATGCCATGTTTCGTCATACTTTGGTTAGTCTCTCATTATTTAACTTAATTGTAAATCCATTTAGGGACAAATCCTAATTAGAGCCATGCGTGTGATATGATCCACTGATTTAACGTTGCGAGTCGCCTAGAAAATATTGCAGAACAATAACCATTACATGCCGAATTTACAAAAACATGATTAAAACTCTTAATCTCTCATTTCTCATCTCAGCAACTCTCTTTACAACATCTATTGTTCTATGTAGAAATATGTATATATCACATTTCTGTTGTCGTTGAAGCTCAAAATACATTGATATAAGTATATAATATTAGTAGAGTGAAATTAAGAAGGGTGAAAGAAGAGACAGAGAGCAGAGATATCATCCATGGCGATGCTTCTTCTCCTCCTACGCCAAAGTATCATCGCTCTCTCCACCAATCTCTTTGCACTCTTTCTTCTGTCTTTAACTCCTCTTACTACCTCCACTGCTTCATCGTTTGTCATCACATCCCACATCTACATATAATACATACATACATTATCTAATTGTTATATGTGTCTATGTCTTGATTTTGATCCCCAGAAATGTGAATAAATTGATATATTACCCCATCGGTGGCCAAGATGAGGAACTGGTCCTTGTCGGTTATCTTTCGGTATGTTACTTCAGGTTCAGAGACTAAACCAAAGTCTTTAAGGCAGTAATCACCAAATGCTCTTGAAACAGCTAAACCGAGTGACCCTCCATTCGGCATACCTACCCGGTACACTCCCGCTTCATCTGGTAGACAGAACAATCGTCCATCCGATTGTTTTATCCGTTCTGCTTCCTCTGTTTAACCGGACATACCAATTATTAGTTTCATGTTCTATCGATCTTTTTTCATGCTGAATAATTTAGTTTTTAACATCGAAAAGCTATACCAGGAATGCTCGGTTTAAAGTCTACTGAGAGCTGAACCGGCACTAAACCGTTACCGTCATCAGAAGTTGTTGCTATTACTGCTCGTGAGTCACCGGCATTTGCTATAACAAGATGATCACCCTTCAAAAAACCAAAATCAGCTTTCAACATTACTTACCAACTTTTTAGATAGAAATATCAAATCAAGTAATTGTATGGTTTACAAGAACGTATGTATGGTTACCTGCAAGACGGCGGTGAGAGCGGTGCAGCCGCTGCAGTAAGAATCAATGGAAGGATGGATCTTGAGATCAAGATCGATGAGGGAGAATGTTTTCAGGCAAGATTGCTTCCAGAGATCAAACGGAGAGGAACATTCCGGCGACGATGATAAGGATGCAGCAGTTTGTTGCCACTGGCAAAGCAGAGAAGATGGAAATGACTTTTTCACCCTTTTGGCTATCACATGTCCCCATGGTCCATGTCCATCGAACATCCCACAAAATGTTATGTCTTCTTGACAACCAAATCCCTATATACAGATGTGGTGTAATAGAAATCTTATAAACAAGTTTCGATATCTTAAAAATCATATATAATTCCATTTGAACATGTATTCTTTTTGCCACTAATTTATAGACATCATAACTATATAATCGGCCGGTTTCAAAGAAGGAAAATTACCTAACATATAGTAAATTTATATTAAGTGTACCTCCCAAACAATGGCACGATCTTGGTTGATTCCTTTCTCACCTCTATTAGAACAAATAGAGGTAAATCTCTTGGAAGTTTCGGAGTTAACAAAGCCTGAAGAGCCGAGCAAACTCGAGTTCTTCTTTGAATCTTTCACCATCGATTTTGCGATCTCTCTTCCTCCGTCTTCATCTTCCGATTGATGTTTGCCTTTCTTTGTCGATACGCTTCTCGCCAATCCGTCCAAAAATGCAGGCAAAAGCACCATTCTCTAATGCTCTTATGATCCTTCAACTAATATATACAATAACTTTATGTATAAGTTACAACTGCTCAGAGTAATATATAACAAGTGCTAAGATCATTTAGGTATATGTATGAACACATGATTATTGCAGCTTCTAAGATGAAAGAACAAAAGAAAACGAAATCCAACAAGAGAATGTAAAAACAGATCAAAAGAAAGAAAAAAGAGAGTGGGAGGTTTAGTTAGCAAATTACCCTTTTCTAATTCGGATGAATATTCTTCTGGATCGGAGTTTCTATGTTGAATATTTTTTCCTTTTGCTGGATTTACTACTTATAAGCTGGTGAATCGTCTCTATGACTCACCATCTTTCTCTTTCTCTTTCTCTCATTCGACTATTCTAGGCCTTTTACTTTATTCATATACATAACACACGTACAAATACATATATTCATTCTTTTTTTTTGCATGTCGATAAGGACACGTATATATGTTAAGCATAAAGTTGACGACCATTTTTTTTTTATATAGTTGAAAGGTTATAACAAATATTGGCTTTCTTTTGTTAGTTTAAACTTCAAAGAAACGCATTTGTATTTTCCATTGATAGAAGAAGATTAAATATCCTAATTACTTCGAAGGAGCTACAAATTAAGAAACTATACGTTCTAACTAATCACTTAACGCAATAACATATATATATATAAAGAAAGTAGTTTAAATATATCACCTCTACTTATATGCATGTCGATTTGCTGTATCTTAGTAAAAATGGTGTATGTATGTGATTCGTAAAACATGTATTTTTGTCTAAGGGTGTACTTTTAGACTAATACATGTACATGTGTGTGTGAGACTGTATATATATATATATGTATGTATGAATGTATCGGTAATCGGCTAATGCATTCGTTAGAAAAGTTGGCTTGTGTGTTATTGGAAGTGTTTGGCGCGAGTGAAGATGTCAATTTCAACGCAATCATCAAACGCAAGAAAATAGAAATTTACTTATTTTTGGGGTTAAACGAGTCAAATAAAACAAAAAATCGTTACAACAACCACAGTGAATAACCAATCAAAGTTTTCTTATTTCGCGATGTATATAATATAAAGTTTAAGACCGACAAATGAATAAATTATAGTTTGGTTAATACCTCATTAGGATAGAGATGTATACACATTAAAATAGTAAAATGTCTAGATTAAATGTGGATGTGGAAAAAAATGAATAAACTAATGAATGTGGTGGAAATATAGAATGATATCATGTGGGGTTTGTTAAACAATAAGCACTTGTCGTAAAAAGTTGTGGCTGTGAGAGGCTCACGAATCTAAAAGCTAATGGTAAGTGCCTTTGATCCGAAACAACTCTTATCGTTTAAATTATTATTTTATTACACCATAGTCAGATTATACATTCCTATCGTTCAAATGTAAGAACTAAGAAGAACATAAAAGAAGAAAACGACATCATTACGATATATATAATGTACATACGCAAATTAATTCTCTAAAATAAAATGCAAGATGAAAAAATGGAGACGTTGAATATATTAGCTGCGCATGGAAAAGAGAATGATTCTAAGCAACAATTTATATACTGCTTCTATGCTGAATAATTCTAAGCAACAATTTATACGATTTTTATATATATAAAAAAACAATTTATACGGGTCACATTTGGAAAGAGTATTTTTTTTTTCCCCTTACACAAATTCAGTGGATAAAATTTATTGAATATAATCATACAGTATGTACGTATATTATATGTATGCACTTAATCAGTTTTCTTTTCCTTGCAATTTATTAATCAACTTATAACAACAACAATTTATGCTTAAATATATAGATGTGGCTAGTGTGCATATGTTAGATTTTATACACATCCACTTGGCTAGATTTCTTTGGTGGTCCATAGATATCAGTGCTTACGACTTTAAATTTAGATTTAAGTTTGAATAATTATTAACTTAATTAGGTGGATGGTAATAATATTGTAGTGAAATAGTTATAATATGGAAAGAGATAATATAGACTATATTGCACTGGATGGAATATGCTAAATGCATGGTCACGATGTAGCAAACTAACAAACCAAACCTACTTCTTATTTTGGGGAATGATGAAATAAGAGAAATGTAACCATACACCATATGCATTCCATAGTTTAATTTGATTTCGTTTTTTACTCTCCATTTTACTTTCATTGATAACCGGACTAACCTTTTTTTGTTTTATTCGGTTTCATTTACTTTGAAAAAGAGTAGCATTTTAAAAGTGAACCGAAACTAAACCTTTTCATATATGATTTGTATAATTACGTGTATAGATAAACAATTGATCACCAAATCCTCCACATGGTATATATATCCTTTTCATATTTGAATTTTCTTTTTGTAAGTTGAGACGTATATAACACACCTAAATAGATACAAAGAGTCGGAACAAAATATGACACAACAATGGAGATGCAAGTGGCAAAGATGGAGTTGTTTGATTCAGAGGCAAACAAACAAAAGACACAAACACACTGTCACATGGCACCTCGTGGATCTCGACAATTATATTACTCGGCCTCTTTCGCATAATTACATAATCATATTTCGGTGAAAAGTTCATAGTTTTTAAGTATATAAGATAGTAACTATTTCACTTTTATAAAAAAGGATCTGTTTCTTCTTTCTTTACCTCGGAAGAGAGTGACCAAAAATAGCAAAATGGCTTCTCTTCTGAGTTCCCTCTTGATTCCAACATCATATTCCTATACAAACATCTTTAATTCTTTCCCATAAAACATATGAGATTGATTAAATGGTTAAAGGTATGCAATGAAGTGTTGTTCTTCGTGTAGAGCGGTCACTGAATAAATCGGCGATCGAGAAATTGAGGTATGGTCTTAGTGGAAGACTTGAGGGGAGGCGTAGTATTCACTCTCGTTGAAGACCGGTCTTAGATCTTCTTTGCACATGAAATCTAAAGGGAAAGAAACGAGATGTCCCCTTATCGACTTTAGTCTGTCCATAGGATCACTTCTCTTGATGTCTCCATTGTGGTAAGACTCGAGCTTCTCTGGTGCTATTCCCAAGTCGATCGTTGTGTGTCCCAGTTTCTCTTTCCAATACGCTATGCTTTGTCTGAACGCCATTCTGCATATATATCCGATAATTGTTATTTTCGAGCTTAAGGAACTGATAGTGTCCAACGCTGGGAAAGGAAACAGAATCGTACCTTGAATGAATGAGATCATTGGGCACACAAGAGAAGACATCCTGATATATCATTGTGTTTGTCTGCATTGAGATATATATCAAGCTCGCGGGTTATATCTGGCCAGTGAAATTACAAAAAGGTCAATATGTATCACGTTTCTAACCTTTGCGGTTGCCATCCATATCTCCTTGTACGTTGAATCAGAGACGGGATCAATGATCTGATCAATCTGAAAACATATAAACAAAGATCACATATTTGTTAAAAAAAAGTAGGGGAAGCGTTAAAACAATTTAAGGATATGATACAAACCTCTCCACTACGAAGTCCAAGGTGTTCGGACCACAGAGACAGCCTAAGGCTTGAAGAAAATCTTCCAGCTTTCCATGGCTTTCCTGCCATGCGCGAATCTACTAACTCTTTGTCTTCGATTAGTACTCCAATCTGATACAAAGCATAAAAGCATGTTATGCTTAATAATGTTCGGCATAATTACGGTTATTAAAAAAAAAGAACATGTTCAGCCCTAAGTATAAACTCTGCTACAACATGTCGATGCATAACACAAAAGATCATGTGAGGGTAAAATATAACCTCAGAATCCCTCGAGCCAAGCAAACTTCGGTCGTTGATGTTGGCAGATCCAATCAATGCTGCACGGTCATCAATTATCATGATTTTACTGTGAACATATACCTGCATGGACAGAAGGATATAGCATCCACATTTTTCAGTACTCGCTATGTTTAAACAAATGAAAAATAGGTGTCCTATATATATGGTGCTGTGATCACTAAAAAGGAAACAATGCCCAAACCTAACCCATAGATGATTGAGTTACTACCTGACTAGTGGCGACAGGTCCATCTTCAGAAAGTTTACCATACGCCCTAAGGCCGTAGAAGGAAATATAATCATGAGCCTTTGGGCCAATAGTATTGTAAAGATTATTCAATATTGAATTCTGTCCTCTGTATATGGTTCGATACTGCCAATGCATTATGGCTCTAACAGATGCTGCGCCGCTGTCGTCAATGCCTCCCTGCCAGGCACAAAAGTCAGTTAAAACAAACGTACATAAGGGGGAAGTTCTTTCGAAAACGAATAGTCTTCTAAGCGAAAACCTACCTGGAACCCCGGGAGGAGAGGTATAACGACAACAACTCTGAAACTTTTCTTCTCATTATGGGCACGCAGAATCCTCTTGTACAGCGCTTCTAAGACACGGTTCTTGATTGTGTCATCTCCAGAAAGGCCTGATATGAAAAACTGATTCTGGAGACACATTGCACAAGATGAAACAAAAGTAAGGAAAATGGAATACATGTGAACCTATGGCCACTACTCGGTTTTGAAGAACGACATTACTATCATGTGAAATAGGAAACATGACTGATTTGGAAGGTGGATTTGTGAAGGAGGAATGGAATAGAACTATTACTTCATGCTACATAAGTTTGTCTGGTCCAATAGGGGATTAATTCCTTTCACGGGACAGACTAGTCAGTTGTTCAGGTCATATAAGGTGACCAAAGAAACTGCATGATCTCCAGGAAATATCCCAGGAAAACAGGAACAAAAACGGTGCCAAATCAGACGCAGGAAGGCAATACATGTGCCTTTGTTTGATATTTCTCCCCAGTTGTTTTAATGAAACTCTATATGATCCCTAACCACTTGGTCTATCAAATTGACTAAAGTAAACGTTCTCATAGCAAATACCTCAATGTAGATAAAATGTTCAGCTTTGTCAATGAGAGAACGGTAAGCCGAATGGATACTCTCTTCAACTTGGCTTGTTCCGGCAGACCACTGGCTCACACTTCGTATAATCTGAAAATACGTCTAATCAGTGCTAAATGTTGAAGAGAAATTCTGATATTTCAAAGACTATAAGCTGAAGGCAAGAAGGAAGCAGAAGAGGATTCAACATAATAGCACCTGTTCTATTTAAACTGGGAATTCAACATATTACTAGTATCTATAAACTTCCATAACACACACCTGACAGCGGCATGAAGTTCTTGGACCGACCTGCCCAGTCTCATCTGGCGACCCAACCTGATAACCACGTTCTTGTGTTTCCCACCACTCTGAATCTATTGCATTAGAACCACGCTTTGCTACTGGAGGATCTGGCACATTACGATCATCTACAAATCCCCTCATAGGCGTGTCTCCATCAGCTGGTTCAATTTTGGATTTCCGGAAAGAGAAAGGACCATTTCTGTTGTTTATTCCATTTGATTTGTGACCCTCACTCGAACCATCCTGATCAACAGGCTCCTGAGGCAAAAGTAATGGAATGTCCTGCAAAGATGATCTAGAAGAAAATGAATCATCTCTTCTAATCCCTTTAATGCTGTCTTCGTCATTCTTGCATTCAGTGTCTGACTCCTCTTGCCTTCCCATGTAGTGGGGTATAACCATGTGATGTTGGGGCATAAGAAGCGGAATCGAATCTTCATATGGTGCTTTGTTTCTCTGAAATAACCATTGATTATTTTATGGTAAAAACAAAATATTCTCACCAAAAACATTCATGAAGAATGGATAAACCTTAGCATAGTTCCAGCGTTGAACAAAGTGTCTAGCCACGTCACGGCAAGGTGGACCCCATAAAGCACAATGCACATCATGCCAAGGCATCCGTGGATATTTTTTACGGTCTAACTCATCTTTCAGAGCGTCCTCCCAAGTGTTGGGTTCAGATTCTCTGCACAATTTTTTAAACAGAAAAATCAGAGGGTAAAATTCAGAAAGGTTGAAAAGAGTGATGGCAATCCTAGTTTGTATTGAATACCCAAAATCTGGTTGGTAAAAACCCACCAGACAGTTTATCATCAAGCATCACAGCTAAAATTACTTGCAAGTGGCACACAGTTTCATATTTTTTATAAAAATTCAACTTCGTAGAACAAAGGGATATTTTACATCACAAATTCAACTCTATATTCTCAATAATACAATCTGTTCTACTGGTCGTAAAAAGGATAGTCTTACCTGGGGTTGTAATAGTCCTTTCCAGGCCATGTCTGAGAAGGATTATCTCCTACTTTATGTTCAAACGTGTCGTACCGGCCAAAACACAAGTCCAGACCTCCAATAAAGCATACCTGATTGTCGACGATGACGAGTTTTTCATGGTGAGACCTACAAAGACATGCAGAGGTAGAATTCAATTTCCTTCCCGTTTATTTTGTGGTCAGATATGAGTTCTAGGTACAGTTCTAAACTAGAAAAAAATGATTGCGACACGTTAAGGTGATATATTAGAACCGTCCACCATAACATACCAGAGGTAGACACCACTAGAGAAGTGGTCAGGATAACGAAGTACCCTCACATTCTCATGAATGCCTAGAAGCCTGCGTTTACTATATACACTGTTGATCTTTAAAGCAAGAGCAACCTCCTTGTAGAGAAGGACGTATATCTGAAGAAAGATAGAAATAAACAAACGAAATCTTGAAAATCCATACACTGCATTGAAAACGTACACGTCGACTCTGTTATAAAAAAGAATCTAAAAATCTGATAAAAAATAGGAAATCTACGAATCCCGACTAAAAGTGAAAGATAATGTTAATTGTTGAGGGGACAGGAAAAAATTATCACATTCAAAAACTACTTATGTTTGCCAGTTTAAATTTGTCAATAAGTATAAACAAAAACTATGGCTCATTTAATAACTTAAAGATACTCTGCAAGACAAGACAATAAGTAGATTACACACTAATGACACTTCACAATAGAAAAAAAAAGAAGTAGCTATTAAGTGCATGCACATTTGTAGTATGTTGTACCTGAACTCCTTGCTTAGCTTTGTTCTCCAACAAGTTATCAAGTCTAGAAGAAGTATGGGACTCAAAAGGGCGCCTAAGATAGAGTTCTGGGCACAACCACCAGCCACAGATGAAAATCTACAAGACAAATCAGATCAGTTGAAAATATATAAAATCCAACTCATCATCCGTCTCCAAAGCCTGCAACGGAAAGTGACAGACCTCAGATTTAGCATTTTCAATGGATGCAGCAATGGCTGCGAAAGCAGCTCCACCATCTACGAACCACTGGGCCTGACTTCCATCATCAGTCAAACCCCTTGGGGGAGCAAATGAGCCAAAGCGATGAGGATGGCACCAACCCTCCGGAGGTCTAAGAGCAGCATCGTTAATAGAAACCACCCAATCTTTAACTTTTGCACTACTCTTCGCCCTTATTCTTATACTCCGGTTACCAGATGTTACCTGGGATTCTTCAAATCTTTGTTAACATATATACACCAAATAAAATTTGTGCAGCAAAAAGAGGAAAGATTTTTTTTATCAAGATTAATAGAAATGTAGGGCACGAATTGCTAACCTTGAATGCATGCCGCAAAGGATTATGATCCTTTAGTTCTACTGCTAGTGATACATCCACGCCATCATTTCCATTAGAAACTGGTAGGACATCGAAAACAATTATATCTAATAGCTTTGCATCAAATGGATCTTCCAATAAGGCGAGAAAACCTGGCTTTAGTACCCCCCACACCTGTACTGGAGAAAAAAAGAACCTTAGAGACGATATTATCATGTCACATTGATTATGAATGTCTAATCGGGAGGAAACAAAAAAAAATGAATCGTAAAAGGAGACAATATTTAATAGCACATACATCGAAGAAAATAAAGATCTTCAGAAGAGTTAGAAAACCGATTTACTTCTCCAAACTTACTCACCACCGTGATTAAGCATTAAGACAATTTAATTCTCAGCACCTCTCCAATGAAAGTAGTGAGAAATTTTTGGCATTTAAAAAAAACTACTAAAGTTGACATAGATCTTCTTCTGATATATTAGTTTTTCATGGCATAACGCGTGGAGAGCCAAACAAGAGTGGGGACGGAGACAAAGATAGCCACATAAACAAAGTTCAAGAGTCATCCATATGAAACTCCAGAGGTAACCAAATTTTCATAGCAATCTACAAACTACACGAATATGAGCAAGAAAATGACAATTTCCATACCTTTTGCCAATTATCATTGCAGCAACAGAACCAACAGCATCCACAGCATCTATTAGATTCATCACTCTTTGAAATCTTCGGTAGATGTTTTACCATAATATAGTCTTCTTTCAACTTGGGCCCGTACTCAGGTGAAAATGACAGCATCGAGACCTCCAAAAACCTGCAAACCTATATTAGGCATTTAGCATTTAACTATGCATGCATATAGCTTCAGAACTGGAACGAAGGTTAATGCGTATGGGAATAAAAGCTTAAAATGCAAGGATCTCTTCACTATTCACTTGCACTACTCAGATTTCTAGCTAAAGTAGAAAAGAAAGCCCTTGACATAACTAAGTATTGACTATGATAAAAGTAGGTGGACCACCCAGCGAAATGGATTATAAAAATGTACCTCCCGTGAATTGACAATATCAAGATTCCCTAGAAAATGGTTCAGATATTCTTGCATTGCATGCTTTCCTCGAACTGATATGGACTGCTGTCTTCCCAAAGGGCGAATGACTGGCAAAGCAGCACTTGAAGGAACATCTCTGAACAAAAGAAGCTACTTTGTCAGAAACAACAGACGCACGTCAGCAACTTTATCCAGCCAAAAAAATCATGGCAGCAAGTCTGACCTATTTTTGGCGCTCTCATCTTGATGCAATGGAACTTCATCAGCATCTTCATCTTGCACAACAGGTGGATGATCCCCTATCCCTAGATTTTGAAGCCATTCTTTAACCTTTAATATGATATTCCAAAGAAAACCACATCAAAACTCGAAGCAACATCAAGAAGGCGATAAAAAAAACGATTTAGAAACAGCCCCGAGTTCCTCAACACAAACCTGTTCCTGCTTCTCGTGAATTTCTTCAATAAAAGCACGTTTCTTCAATGCAAAATGCAAATAAAATACTTGAGATGCCTTCTTCACAAGTTGCCACTTGAACTGTTACATAAAAGTGCTAAAGTTAGGACTCAAGTATTCGAAACCGCTGAAATAAGCACCCTTGACAATTCAAAAAGTCCATGGCATAGCTTGTATGACTAGGATATGAATAAACCGAGCAAAAAACTATTATCATTAAGCAAAATGAATCGAGGAAGTGGATAGTCTTCTCCTGTAACAGTGAAATTCTAAATACCCAGTTGAAATCAGATTTCCGATCCAAGCATCGATCACTCTGACCAAAATTCTTCTACAAAAGAAAAAAAAAATTGGACTTGCCTGCTTGTATTGGCACTCAATGGTGTAAGACAAAAGTACGGGGCTGATATCGCCGGCGTCAGGGCGAGAGACGGAGACGATAGTTGCCTTGGGTAATTCTTCAAAAATACGATTAGACTCCTGCGTTGGAGCCGGCGCGAAGGAGAAGAGCGAGGAGACCATCGAAGGGAATTGCTCCGGCTGCATCTGAAAGTATCGACCTCCACCGCCACTGGCGGGAGACATCAACTGCTCAGATGCCATCCTCCGATCGAATTCGACCCCTCAATTCAAGATCTAGCAAAGCAGACAAATTCTCCAATTCTCACGTCGCGTGATCTTTTCGCCTTTCGGATGCTTATAGATATACCCCCGAGAATTCCGATTAGAAACGATCAACCTGAACACCCGATCATTCGACGATCCAGAACCAAATCGGTAACGAAAGAAGACAAATCTGAGGGAAAATTCAAAAGTCGGAGAGAGAGAGAGAGAGGGGGGGACACGGAGTTGGTTTTTAAGCTTCACAGGTACAACGAAGAAAGCAAAGTGAAGATGAACTACTTTGACCTCAAAATATCTTTCCTTATTTGCGCGGTTAGTCCCATACCGGTTCCGGTCTCTCTCTTTTTGTAAAGAATGTTTTCAGATTATCAATTTTAAAAGCTTTTTTGATTCAAAAGTTCAAGAAGAATGAATTTAATAGCCAACAAACTTACCATTTGATTCTTAAAATTAAAAATGAATAATGTTCGTAGATCATTTGATACTTTTGTTTCACTATAATATTGCTCAACTTCTTTGAATTATTCAACACAGTGAATAAATTAGTAAATCGGTGAAAAAGAGAATGTGAGAAAAAGAAAAAAAACTGATGGATTAATAAATAAAAAAGAGAAATAGTATATGTTAAAGAAAAGAATCTCCGACAAAATCATCTAAACCAAAAAAAAAAAAAGAAGAAAAGAAATCTACTAAGTAAGAGAGGCAAAACTCAAGCTTGAAGAGCAATCTCTGCAACACCTCCAGGTCCTTGAGCTAAACGTTCCTCCCTTCTGGCAAACTTTCTCTCCCGACAAGCCTTGTTCTTAGAACGCTTGGCCTCAAACTGGTCAGCGAGTGTCTTCTCTCTGGCCTTCTCAGCTTTGGACTTGTGGATGCTCTCCATAAGCACGCGTTTGTTCTTAAACACGTTTCCTTTCACTTTCATGTACATGTCGTGGTACATGTGCCTGTCGATCTTGTTCGTCTCGCGGCACTTTGTCAGGAAACGCCTCATCACCCTCATCCTCGTCATCCACAGAACCTTGGTCGGTAGCCTCGCCTCTCTTGTCCCCTTCCTCTTACCATATCCCGAGTGACGACCCTTCTTCTTGGCCTCGTTCAATCTCCTTGCACGAGCACGTGAGTGGATCTTCGAGGGCTTCCTGATTATGAAACCGTCCTTCACAAGCTTCCTAATGTTCTGCCCTGTTTACAGATAATCCACAGTTACATTTGACAAGTGTATCAACAACCCACACTATTGATCTGAATAGCTCATCATACTTTAATCAGCAATTTGACTTCATGAACTAACCAATTTCAATGAATCTCTCTCAACAACAAAGTTTATATAAAAACTCCGATATCTTAAAAATAGTCGAAGAGAGCTAAAATAAAGATCAAAAGCTCACTGGAATTGGCCAAGGCGATATCGGTGGATTCATTGGGATCAAGCCACACTTTTCCTTTCCCGCATTTCATCACGGATGAGGCGAGCCGCTTCTGGGCTTTCAGCGACACCATAGCTTCTCACCGTCTCCTTCTCTTCTTCTTCGCCTCTGTTAGGGTTTTAGGTTAGGGCAAAAAAGTTGACTTATTATAAAATCGAAGACTAACCCACCCTTTCGGGTTTTTGGGCCAGTAGACGAAAATGTACGTTTCACTTGAGTCCTGGCTAATTTGGCCCGTTCGTCTTTTAACAGGCCTATTTTCAGCCCATTATATGTTTAATTTTTGAAAAAAATGAAAAGTATAACAAGGTGATTTATAAGATATAGTTAAAGATACACAACTATATGGCTAATAGTAAGGCAAATGATTGCTTCCACAGTTTTTTAAAAGAAATAAGATAACATTGATTGGTTGGTTGCCAAAAAAAAACAAAAGAATATGGTTGTGTGTTGGATATACATTATACACTAACAAAGTAACAATATACATAAACAATCATGTATGTGGCAAATATTATATAGTAGTGGGATCTACTAGTACGCACGTACGGAATACATTATTGTTTGCAAATTGCAAGTCAAATAAATGCGAATCATATAATTAGATAACTCCAAGTGGGGACAAAAGGACAAAAGTTTAGGACTGCTTGAGTAAAGCAACCACAGAGAGATGGTCGAATTATCGACTACAATTTCTTGACTACATAACATAGCAAAAGTTTGACGAACGAGTTTTATTTTAAACATAATGCCATGTTCGAATTCCTATACAGGAGAACCTAAGTAACGTCTTTTATTGTATTTGAATAACATCTCTATGTTTACAGGTTCATTTTCTATATGTTGTTTTGGAATTTGTGAATATGATCAGATTCACGAATGTAACGAACTATATATATTTATAATTACGATACATGTTGGCTTCGGATTTTACAATATGCAAGGGGTGATTCTATAGAAATTGGCCTTCGGCATTGAACAAACAGATAATTACATTACTACAAGACTGTACATTTATGGTCACTATACTATTACAACGCGCGTGTAAACTGTAGTAAACGTTATTTAAAAATAATAGTACAAAAAACAGTTGTGACTTTTCTATGCTGGTGAAAAGTTTTCTTGCATCATTAAATTAATAATAGTACTGCTGTTTACGTTATAGGGATTAGGGAATCAAATCAAGTTATAATCAACCACAAAAGTGAGTTCTTAGTAATCAAACTCGAATAATCGAGAAGTTAGCTAGTGATAAGTTGTTTTGACAACAAAAAGAAAAGCTAGTAATAAGTTGTTAACCGCTGATATTCTTTGTAGTCCAAAGTCCAAACATTATTGGTTTTGGACCTTTTGATTATATTTAAAATAAACTGTTTCGTTGAATTGGCTTAAATTTGATGAGTACGACATGTGTGTGTGTGTGTAAACTTGTCATAATCTCGATTCGAATCGATAGATGTGATATGTAAGGGCAAAATAGATTGAACATTATTATGCTTAAGACATAGGAGTACATCATTGTATGATTTTTGGTTATTTTAATTCGGTAGTATTAAAAATACCAATGATTCTCTTATACGTCAAACAAATAGACAATCTCGCGAAACACAAATAGATTCTGTCAATCTTCGAAACATTATATGGGGACCCACTTTAAATTTTTATTAGGCCAACTAGGGCTTGGAGGTTCATGCATCTAATTCCATATAGTACTTAGTACATCATATATTCATGTATACGCAATAAACATTTCGAGAAACGATAGGAAGGATTTAGAGTATTTTTGTTTTGACGTGATAGGGTTGATTAAGAGTTTACAGTTGGAACATATCCACAAATATAAAATGCTAACATCTTAATTATTAAGTGATAGTTTAGAGGAGAAGAATCAAAATTCCAACCTTTTCGATTCTTCCTTTATATACAAATTTTACTTGTATTGTTTAGTTATAGTATTTCAGATTTTTAATTTTCAATTTTCAATGTGGTAACGTATCAGATTCAGGCCTTTGCCATTAAAGCTGCATATAAGTATTGAAGAGGAAATACTCTTAAAACATCATACTAACCTTTTTCATAGATTCACGAGAATCATACGTAAGTATAACAATCGAGTAAAAAAAGACTGCTACTTCATCTCTTCCTTATCTTACTAGTACCATTAATTACCTTTTTCTATAAAAGCATTCACTCTTTGTTTTAATAATAATAATCCGTTAAGAAATATAAACCCTAGAAATATTCCTCCTTAAAATAACGAAAGACAAAACCCAAATAACATTATATCACTGATTTCATGAATACACATTATAATTTTTATTACAAAATCATATATACATAATCTGCATGCAGTATTTCATGAAAGAAAATAAACAATAACCACAAACAGTTAATATAAAGCTCGATTTAAGTAGCAATAACGCAACATATTACATACCACACCAGACATCATCAACAGTCCCATGTAACGGCAAATCCTTAAAGGTAACGGCAGTTACATACTTTTTTATTTTGATTTTTGATTTTTTACTTATTACTTTTGTTCTGTAACTTTTGTTTTTACTCATACGCGATGACATCATCAAGCATCCACATATCCATCTCCGAGATCGACTCGTCGAGTTGAATCGGTTGCTCCGCCGTGGTACCGTCCAGCTCAAGGAAAGACTCCAAGCTCGATATCTGCTGTTTCAGATCGTAATCAAAACCGTAACTCGGGTTCTGAAACTCGTCCACATTCCCGAACCCAATACACTCGTCAGGGTAACTCGACTGAGTTAACTCGCTCTGGGAGAAAACGCAGAGCTTCTTCGCCGGAGGCTGATCGGTTGATCGCAAAGGTGATGGCAGCGTAGTAGTATAAGGAGGTGGAGGATGACGAAGTAGATCTGGGAAGTTGAGCTTCGCTTTATCGCCGCGGATCCGCTTCGCCGCAACGTCATAGGCCATGGCGGCTTCCTCCGCCGTGTTGAATGTCCCGAGCCAGACTCGGACTCCTTTTCGTGGATCTCGAATCTCCGCCGCCCATTTCCCCCACGGCCGCTTACGTATCCCTCTGTAAACGTTCTTCCTCTCCCTCCGTTTCTCCGTCGCCGGCTCCTTCTCCGACTTCTCCTCTTTCACGCTCACTTCAAAAAATTTCCCGAAGGTTTAAAATTACCGACTAATCCCCACATAAAAAAAATCCAAAATATAAAATGACATCACAAACCAATATAATGTTTTAAAAAAAAATTATCATCTTCATTGAAGTTCCAGAAATAATATATTTCCTTAATTTTTTTTAAATAAGGAAATAATACTCTATGTTCCAGATACCGATTCTTCTTAAAAAAATCGTATTTTCCCAATATTTTTTGATGAATAATCTTGAAGGAGCTGAAGAGAGAGAGAGAGAGAGAGAGCAGTACCTTGGTTGGTGGATTGAAGGTTGGAGGTGGAATCGAAACCCCAGAAGTTGTCGCCGGCGGAAGCATCGAGCTCTGACCAGAGTTCCTCCGCCGTGAGTTTACGTCCCTTGGCTTTAGTGACGATAGGAGCAAAATCGGAAATAATAGCACCGCCACACATTTTCTCTGTTGGTTTTCTTTTTCTCTCTGATGCTGGGTTTCAAGAGGGAGATACTGCGGTGGTGGTGAGACCATTTATAGCCCAAATAAATGCTTTACAGTATTAAAAATCGGAGTTATTTTATAAAATTATACTAATATACTATATCTTCCTTAATACACGACGGTTACAACCAATTTTAATCCAAATAACGACAAAATCATAAGCTTTTTTTGTTTGTTTGCTTGCGTTCTCTAAAAACAAAACGTATGACAATGTTATTAATTTACTAATCGGTAAAATGGAGTGTTGCGTCCACGAGCGCTGGTTAATTAATGCTTCCTAGTATATAACCAACGTGTATGGTTCATTATTGAATAACATGTAGAATGTGGATATTAGTCTGAGAGTTAGTTTTCGTTAAGCTACAAAGAATATATTTGATTGAAATTTATTTTTCTATCTCTGGAACTGGTTTAATTAAAAAAGCAATAAAAACGAAAATAAGTTAGATCATATGTTCGGGGATTTTTGTACCTAATATTTACAAGTAAAACCCAACAAAATAATAAGTCCAAAAGTCTAATTCGATAGTTTGTATTAGAATATTAAACTTATTTATTTGTATTAGACTTTTGGACTTATTATAGTAAGTTTAATAGTTTGTAAATTGTACCAACAAAATAATAACTTGTTTATAAACTAAGCTAATCTAATAGAGAGTTGACGAAAAAAGGGAATCTCATAGATAGGCGGAAAAAAACGAAGTACCTGCGCTCATCCTAAATGTATTACATCATTTAATAATTCGTGTACAATGCGTTAAACGTCTCATCATCACGTTCATCACGCAGCGTTTCCTAGATATGCAAGGTTCTCGTTTGCAATGCGATTTTTACGGCCACCTTTGGCATTTTTTTAATTCACGATAGTGTAACTAAAAATTAAAAAACACACTAGTTTTATAACAAATTTCGACTGTAAGAAAATAACAAGAGAAAACATATTTTTCCGTGATAAATTCAAAAATGTAGTGTATAACAGAATCCAATTGATAACAAGCAATTAACAAAATATAACGCACCATCGAAACAAAAAAAATACATTCAGAACCCTCGTACTGCATAAGCTTACCCCATTTATAGAAGATCCCACAAAAACTCAGGAAGGATACACACACACACACACGCAAGGTCCATATACGATAGACGAATGTGAACTATTGTAGAGATTTGAAGGGTCTTTTGATTCTCTTTGAGACATTTAAGGATATATATCGGTATATGAAGGATCAATCAATCAATCAACCAGCCATTTTTGTCAGGCGGTGAACGGTGCTTCTAGCGATTCGATTCCCTGGATCGATCTTCAGAACCATCCTTAGATCTTCAGCTCCGAGTTTGTATTTCTCCATGCTCTCGTATAAGAGTGCTCGTTGAACCATAATGCTCACGTTCTTCTTGTCGTGATCAAGTACCTGCAATCACATTTTGAAACAAAACACAAAAAGTACAACATTTTTCATATTTCAAATCTGATCAAGAACAAAAAATTTGTATAACTAGTTGAGTTCCCAAGTTTTACAAGAAACCATCTATAGATCATAGCAACAATCAATCAACTAGGTACAAACTCAAGATGCATAGCAACCCACAGAACTGTTCAGTAATGGTATATCTTCTACAACTTCACTCTAAAACTTCTATATTTACGTAGCAAACCTAGCTCGGATATATATCTTTAGGTTCCACAATAGCCAAAATATCGTATTGTTCAGTTTCATATACCTCAAAACTCTCGTCAGTATTGATTCCATCAAGAGTCATTAACACCCATAGCTAAAGCCAGCACATATACAACTCATAGCTACAGAGTTCGCTCATGAACCAAGACTATTTATTATGCATACAAAGCCAAATGCGTCGTCTTTCATTTATGTGCAATTATCAACACCGAGAAATCAAACCAACAAAGCACATACCTTTGTACAGTCTGCTACAGCCTTTTTATACTCTCCGACTTCTTTGTAACAAGAAGCTCTAGTCGAAAGGACCTCGGCTGATCCAGCTTGATCGCCAGCTTTCTCCATGAGAATCACAGCCCAAGAGAGCCACTTTATGGCATCAGCATACTGACCCTGTCTCTGGTTGTCAATGCCCTTGCTCTTAGCTGATGTAGCTGATACACCCGGTGGTGGTGGCGGCAACCCATCAAGCTCGGTGGTCGAACCAGCCCCACCGTCAAAGCTTTCAAAGCCCCAATCTTCAACCTGCGGCTGTGCAGCCGGTGCAGCTGTGGTACTGGAAGCAGAAAACATTCCTAATGGATCATCATCGTTTGCACTTGAGTGTTGAGGACCACTTGACTGCTCACCAAAAGCATCGAAGCTACTCGTTGAGAACGCGTTTGATTTCGCCGCGTTCTGGAAACCCGCAAAGTCGTTGTTTTGCGCGGTTGATCCCGCGGAACCGCCACCGTTCGGAGTAGATTGGAACGAACTCTGCGATTTCCCAAACGCATCGCTCTGTGTGTTGTTGTTGTTCGCCTTCCCGGTTTTGCTTCCTGATGGTTTTGACCCGAAACCGAGCAAAGAACCAAACGGATCACCGTTCGAAGGAAGACCTGATCCACTCAGGTTGCTCCCGGACATACTTTTCATTGAAGGACCTCCGAGATTTGGAGTCTTATTGCTGCTATTAGCATTAACACCGGGATTCATACCACCGGAGCTTGCGTAACCGCCTGAAAAACCACCCGGTTTACTGCCATAGCCCCAGCCACCGCCACCTGTCGTCGAATTACCCGGTTTTGGCAACGAATCGGCCAAATTCCCCATGGAATAAGAGCTCTTGTTCGAACCTGAAGCTGAAGCAGGTGGTGCTTTCTTCAACGGCACGTTTCCGCTGCTTTTTCCTATGGCTGATCCAACCAGATCTCCGAACAAGCTCGGGTCCTTGATCACGATCCCAATACCAGAACCCGATCCGGTAGATGAACCCCACGTCTTCCCGTGGATATCGCCGACCATTGAAGTCGGTCCACTTCCGATCTCGGATCGGATCGTCGTCTGCTTCGGCGCCGGTTGATGCGTCCACGACGGCTTACCAGGCTGCCACGCAGGTCTCGGCTGCGAATTCGAGCTTGAATAGGAAGATGTTTGGCTCTTCTGGCCATTCAGAGGTCTGCCTTGGCTCGATCCGAGCCCGAGATCGAAATCAAAGCTATTGGTCGACCCGGATGATCTCTTCCCGAAGTTCGAATTCATGATTTTCCCTCAAAAAAATTTCAGATTTACAAAGAGAAAAACTGATACAAAATCAAACGGAGAAATGTGCGATTGATGAGGTGATACCGGCGAAGATACAGAGTAGGATTAAGAGCGCGATTCCGTCGTCAAGAACCGACCGTGAAGAGATTCTTCGAATCCACCAGCAATCTTTTGTCCAGAGCCAACGAAGGAGGGGAAAATAAAATAAAGTAAAACTTTACAAAAAGACCCCTCTTGTTTAAGATTCCATTCAATTCACCCCCCATATTTTATCATTACATTTTTAATTTGAGCGCATTAGTGATTTTTACATATTTTTGGTTTTAATTTGCGCGCATGTGTGAAAAGAAAACTTCTCTTTTTTCTCTTATCCACAAATCTCCATTTAGAAAACTCGAGTGAGTTTCATCTTCTTTTTCTTAAAAGATGCAAACAAGAAAGTATTATAAGCCATATTGCCTCAACATCTATTAATACGCGATCTAAATTCGAGGATTAGGAAGTAATACGTGGCGTTTCAAGATAAGGAATCGTTTGGTGCGTTTCCCTTGGGATACTCATACTTAGAACACAAGAGTCCTTCTCCAGCATCAACACGTACGCTATGGTACACAAAACAAGAACCAAGGAGAAATCAAAATGTGTAAACACTTGTGAGAAACTTCCAAGACTCCATGCCCGATAAAAGCATAAAAGGAGCCTGAAGAACATGCTGAAATAAGGGCTGTGACATAAGACAACTTGCATGTTTTCGCTCTTGCTCAGACACCATGACTGTATAAATCAATTAATCATTCCACTGAGTTTATATTCATTTCAACTAATGTTTTGTACGGACAATTGCTGGGCTAGGCTTGTATGTTTTACACGGGTTTAAGCCCAAATGAATTAGGCCCAGAGCTAATTTGCATTTTATGAAAAGCGGGAAAATCTGAGAAGTCAAAATATTTCGTCTCTCTTCCCCAACCTCTCTCAATCTCTCTCAGTCTCACAGTTCCTTTCTATCTTCAGTAATCACTTGAGTTCTTGTTTTGAATCCTATATTCCCTTCGATTCCCATAAATTTTTCTTAAATTTTACCTGAAAACCTGAGATTTTGTTGGGAAATTTCGCATTTTGCCAGGATCCCAATTCACAGTTTTTAGGGTTTCTGCCCTTTTTCGGGGATTTACGCTCAAGGGTATGAATTATCCAGTCTCTCCCTTTAGAAGCTCAATTTCCGCGCGGCTTTACAGAATATGACGAGTCACGGTGGCGGTGGAGTTCGCGGCGAGAGGATTCATACGGTACAGCCGGAGAGAGACTTGGTGGCAAATTGGGAAGTTGATCTGTCGGAAAAGCTAGAAGAGTATCTCCTCAAGATTTGTTCCGGAGAAATCACCGGAAATGAAGAAGATGGGCAGATTCCAGTGAACTTCGCCGAAGGTTTGTGTGGGTTTGCTTCGATCAGAAATTTCTGGTTGGGTTTAATTTGATTTTAGGTGTCACTGAAAATTGGGTCTCGATTTCATGTTCCCTGGGCTCTGTAGCTGCTTTGCTGCTTCAGGGCTCGGTCCAGGTTTACAGTAAGAAGGTGGAGTACTTGTACAATTTGGTCCTACGTACGTTGGAGTTTCTATCGAAGCAAAGGTCCGTCTTTTATTTCTTCCCTTTGTTAATAACCAAAGCTAATCGAACAGGATGAAAGATCAGTACTTTTGTTAGATACTCCAAACATTTCAGAGTTTCAGTGCTTACTTCGATTCATCTTTCTCTATCTGTATGCGTTTGTTTTGTGTTCACAGATGAAGCGAAATTATTATTATACAATGACTGCACCTAAAAAAAAGCGCCTTTTTCTGTTTAGGTGCTGTGCTGTGTCTAAGCTGTGACTCGATTGATTTCTTATTTGTTTTAGTATCCGAGTTGCTAATCGTTAGTTCTGGTTTTACCTTATCACTCTCTGAATTTCACTTAGAGATTTGTCCTTAGCCACTTGCAACTCTTAGAGAAATAGATAGTGACCATGTATCAGAATCAAGCAAACGCTATATATCAAAAAGGTTCTCTTGATTGATCAACTGTTCTTTCTATTTCAAACAGAGAGCAAGAAGAGTCCAAAGGTACATCAAACGAGGCTGAGGAAAGCTCCTCTCGTCAGGTTGATGAAGAAGAGAATGATCTCTTCTGGAATGTAGACGACATCCCAGGTAGATAAAGTTTCGAAATTTAACAAGAGATCCTGGTGCCACTCAAGAGAGCAGATTTCTAACCCATATATTGTTAATATTATACAAGTGGACGCAAAGAATAGCTTGGACAACTCGGTCGGCGGAGATTCCTGTCCAAGTCAGTTTGTCAAGCCTCCGGCAAATCTAGTTGTTCTTGAAGGTGACTGCTTGGATACTAGTGGTGACGGAGGAGAATTGGAATCTTATCTGGTATAGCATCTTCTTCCACCTCTCATAGCATTGGAAAATATAAATAGAGAGCCTTGGGTTCAAACTTTGAACTGCTTTTTAACTTTCATGTCTTGCAGTTAGCAACTACACATCTCTACCGGGATTTTATTCTATTGGACCCATGTGATGCTGTAGCGGTAAATGAATTTCTAGGTGATAACTATGCCGGTAAAGGAAAGAACAGTGCTCACAGAGGCAGCTCAGTTCGTAAAGGCTTACACACACCACTAGGACGTTCTGGAGGAAGTGCTCGTAGATCATCTGTGGGAAAGAATCAGGGCACCAATTTCAACCAGTCACCGATATGTGGGAATGGTCCCGATGTTGAAAACTGTGACCAAGGGTCTCAGCCTCCTCCTGTCTTTAACGACAATGATCATGGTTATGATATGGATGATGACCATGGAGGAACCATGGATTTGAGTGATACAGATGCTGATGAAGATGATCCGTGGAAGCCATTGAATCCCTATGAACCAGGGAAGTTGAAAGTGAAGCCTTTCAAAAAAGGTTGGGAATTGGCTTTCTTTGATTGATCTGCTAAGCTACTATATCATTTGATCTGTGCCTTACTTCTAATTCATCTTATACTTTATTTCTTGATCAGTTAAAACTTTCAGAAAGATTGGAGTGAGTGTTACCAAGGACCATATATCTTCCATGTTTCCTCTTGCTAGACCCAATGGTCCCATCAGTACAGAGCTCAACGGAATTTGGGAGAAGTGCCGTTGTGCTGGTAAAGACGAGAGAGAACAACAAGACGTTCCATACTACGAGAAGGTCTGTTTTTTTATTCTTATCTATACCTTTTATCTGATAGTTTAATGCAGAAAAGAAAAATTGATAATTTTGATTTTAGCTTCGAGCGTTGCTTCTGAATGGAGGAAAACAACCTTCTGATGCTAACGGCAATCACAAGGACGGCGATAAGGATAACCATGATGAAGCTGATAATGGCGACTTCCATGACTTCGGGGAGCATGATGGTGATGATGCGTTCATGGATGAAGATGGTCTGGATATGGTTAGTAGTTTATTAGTTCACCAATTTGAGCATACTGGTGGAATATGTGCAACTCTTATCCGCTTATTTAAATTCACGCAGAACGATGGAGGAGCTGGAGATTTTCCCAACTTCGATGGATTTGGAAACGACGACTCACATTGTCAAGAAAGCTTGGAAGATCTTTGCCGCTCCCACCTGGTAACTACATTGGATCCTATGTTTCAATTCTTATCTACATATGTCAACTTTTCCAAGGCTGAGTTTGTGTGGTTTTTTTAATACATTTTCTTGTGGAAGCTCAAATGTTCTGTGGTTTTGTAGGATGCTCTTCTTGCTAACATAGCTAAAAGTGAGAAGCAAACGGATCTGGCTGCTCGGGTTTCGTCATGGAAACAGAAAATCGAGCAAAACCTAGAAGAACAAGTAATTTCTTTCTCCTGGTTCCTGTGACCATTTCCTTGAAGTCAGAGAGATCTGATGCATTTTTCTACATTGTCTGGTTTTATTCTATGATCAGGAGCTACACCCTCCTTTTGACATTCAAGAATACGGAGAAAAGATTATCAACAAACTGAATGTTGAAGAGAGTGGAAATGTCGAGACCTTTACTGATCTCATGAAAGACCAAGAAAAGCACCATGTAGCTCGGGCTTTCTCAGCTCTTCTCCAGTTGGTAAGTCAGAGAGGAATAAAAACACATTTTCTGTATGTACACTAAACCAGAAATCATCATTTGACGTAAATGTTACTGTTTCCAGGTGAACAATGGAGACGTTGATCTCGAGAAACCTGGTAACTCCATAGGCGAACCAGTGTGTTATACAGCGGTTAATCCATTCAGCGTTAGGTTGCTCGGTGATGGTAACAGAAAGACTGAGAAAAGAGGAGTGCATTTACCCCGGAAACGAGCTAAATCCCCTGTAAGCAAAGGCAAATCCCACGAGTCACCACCACCGAAGAAGCAAAACACAAGTTCTGTGTCAAGCCAGACTCGGAAAGTGTCGTTAAAGATCTCAAAGATCAACAGTGCCGGCGCAAGATGCACGCCGAACAGTAAGAAGAGACGAAAGCGTCGAGCTGATGAGGTTGGCGAGTTATCTGAAGTTTCTTCAGTCAAAAGCACTGTGGGAAAATTGTAAAGCTAAAAATGGCTAATGACTTCCACAAATTAGATTGTAGTAGGTGTGGGATTTTAATCAGACAGTTAGGAAACTCTCTGTAACTGTCAGTTGTGTAATTTATAATGAAGGGCATTGTCAGAAGAAGTAGCATAAATGTTGTTGTAATAACAATGAAAGGCGTTTCAACTTTTGAGGATCTTTTAACATATTAGAAAAGATTGGTTGTGGAAATTTTATAAGAATTTGTATGTTGTAAAAGGTGATATTCTTTATCGCAAAGAGAATCGAATCGATAAATTTTACGAAAAAAAAAGTTCATGTATCTTCTCTTATATATTTTAGATGCCTTGTTCGAATTCGTTCCAACTTGCAACTAAAGTTGTGTACGATTTTGCATATTTTCTTATATCAATTTCAGTTTATTCGTCCACTTGTTTATTATCGTTATTTTTTATCACATTTTTCTTATATACACTTGTCACTTCTGAAAATAATTTCAGCGACACAGTAATTATCTTAATAAGAAGCATATTATAAATGTGTATATATTTATATATAAATAGTACCAAATCTCCTATTTAAAAAAAAAAATCCAATTAAGAAGAAACATAAAATGTTGCCATAAGAGTATGAAAAGCAAGAAACATTCCAAATCAGTCAGTGACTGTATCTACATGTAAGTTCCTTTTTCAACACTGTTTTTGGACTTTTGGGTCTTTGGGAAAGCAACAAAAGACTTTGGAGTCATCTAGTAATTGACAATGGAAAGTTCCCGGAAATTGTACTCTCCTGATACTTTTTTGTCATCTACTTGTACGAGTAACATATACAACCAAGTACCTAAAATACCCCTTCATTTACTTTTGTACTGTAGCTTTTTACCAACCTTTATTTAGTCGTTTTTTTTTGTACTTTTTGTTTTCAAATTTATGTATTAAAGAACTTATATCATTCGTAGCTAATATATGAGCAGCTTCGTTTGAACATCTTTTTGGTGAAAACAAATACAAAGGGTCCTCAAAATTCTTTGTTTTATTCTAGTACTGTTCATCTTCCTCCTTATTTGACTCCATCTTTGTTTAAAGATTATGTTGTATCACGTTCATAGTTATTCAATTAAATTTGGTCGAAAAAAAAAAGAACTTATATCATTCACGCATACTTCTCAACGACACAGGAGCAATATGTTCGTATGAATTATTTTTTCATTTTGAAAAGTGATGATTGGATTTGGAGATAGTGCGAGTTGTTATTTTCAATTGAAAACTTTGATGATTGGATTTGGTCGTTTGGAGATAGTGCGAGTTGTTACTCCATTTTATTAATAACACGTTGTGGTGTGGGTAGGAGGCATAAGACTTAGTCCACTTACGCGTCGAAAGTGGAAACCAAAGAGTCATATATATATTTCAATACATTTTTTATAAACAGATCCTAATGAATAGACAGAACTGAAAATAATAATTATAGTAATCAAGTGAAAGAATTAGAGTCAAAACTCGAAAGTCGTAGTCGTGTTGAGCACTTAAGAATCTCAATCTCAATGTTACTTACCGTGTTAAGAGACTCTTCTATACATTGACTTGATCCTTGGAAACTAATTGCGTGCATGTTTAATTATGATCTAATTCGATCAAATAGGTTATACGTTGTCCGAGACAACAATTACGTTTTGTTAACTGTAACTTGTAAGGTAGTTATATCATATCATTTGTAAAGAAACGCAAAGAATGCATGCATACACACAAAAAGTATCATAATCGTATTATTAAGAGTTATATGTATCATGTATGTGATGAAACATTAACAAGTTATATGTACTTCACTAATTTTAATCAATACTAATTTATGTACATTACATGTTTATCGAAAATAAATTAAAGACAAATCGAAATCATAAAGAAGAAAATAGACAGCTAAAAGAGTGATAATTATATCTTTTTATTATATATCAATAATAAACAAAAAATCTAAATGTCGTAAAAACTAAAAACTAAAAACAGATGATCTAACTATGAATTTAATCGAAACTTTCACTGACAATATCCAAATATAAATACATGTACTCTGATTTGTTAGTCTTATTTAATCTAGTTTGTCCAAATAAAAAATATAAACAAAGAATTGTAAACATGCAGTTGCTAGAAACTTTCCTTTTTTTTGGTAAGGTTCAGGGGATTCAACTTCTCCTAAGTTTTATTGAATGATATAGCCTATTACAAACGAATCAACCGAGGTTTTGATGATCCGTGAGAATCCTCCGCCAAAATCGAAATCAAACTATCTGGAACAGTATCAAAAGAATGAAAACTCCACGGCAGATTGAATGTATAGTTGGCAAACCCGTCCGCAAGACGGTTAGCTTCTCTATACACATGGTGAATACAGACTATCCAGTCCCTTGATAAAAAGTCATAGCACAACTGCACTAGGAAAGACAGAGGGTGACAATCACTGATCCCTGTCGTTAGAAACCCCACCACTATCTTCGAATCAACCTCCAGCTCCACCCGTGTAGCTCTCCGCTCCCATGCTGTATATAACCCATAGTACACACTTCATAGTTCCGCAACTGGAGCAGAACACACTCTAATATTAAGTGCAAAACCACCACACCAGTTACCTATCCCATCGCGTAAAACACCGCCTGCAGTAGCCAACTCCGGATTCCCGTGGGATGCCCCGTTTTGAACCAGCAGTCAATGGGAAAGCTCTATGATATGTGCCGCTCTTCTCGTGTCACCCTTCCCTCGTAACCCCGAGTCTTCTCATGAGCCAGCACAATTTCTTTTGCAATATCTATAACAAACTGCGTCCGATTCCTGCATCTTCCTATTGTACCAAACATATTCCCACAACGCCATTTCCACCCCCACCATGCTGCCATCGCAAACAGAGACCCCCATGGACTCCCCTCCACCACTTTCGTGTTCCCCAGGTTGTCATAAAGCCATTCAATCAACGATATGCCAAAGAAGCGAGATCTGTTGTTAATCGGAACTTTCCTTTTTGGGTTAATTAAAATGTGTTATAATCTTTTTTTATTATTATTAGTTGTCTCCAAATTCGTAATTACAATAGCGCGTGACAGAGTATGAAATATGCTTTTGATTGAGTTAAATATGAATAAATAAACTTATGTAAGTAATAAACGTATGTAAGTCTGTATCATGATTTTCATGACCCTTTGAATTGGTATTTGAGAGAAAAGAGTGTAGAAAGGGGAAAAATAAAAATAAAATGGAAACTAGATTTAAATATCGAAGACTGACTATATGTACATCTTCAAACAAATCTACCTAATCTAGCAATAACGGACGGTGCATATTGACTCCACGGTATCTCAGATTACGCCACGTGTTCATGGGCGCTGAAAATCAACCCTCGACAAATGCCTGTTGACTTATCATCACCGTAGTAAGTAGTAACTTTTACTCTTTCCTCGCGGTTAAATCAAAACCAATAAGAAACATCCACGTGGCAGTTACCTAGTCTCTTCTCCTCCGCGCTCGATATCTGACTCGGTCATCGGTATCTGGCAACTCGACGACGGCGATAGCGGCGGAGCTCCGGCAATAGGAGACGACGCGCTTCTTCGTTCTCTGCTTAACATCCGCGTGAAAGATAACATCCGACTCATCGGCGACCTAAACGAGTGACTCATTGGCGAGTTCCGAGTCAACCCGTCTTCGAACTCGCTGAAATTTCTCCTCGGCACTTCAATCGCCGCCGGCTTTCTCCCCAAATCTTCCGTCGGCATTGCAGAAGGCCCAGATCCATGAGGCTCATCGCTCAATCCAGAGCTCGAACCCGGTTCAACTGCAGAAACCGGGTCAGCAGGAATCGTGATCGAGACTTGATCATCCGCCGCCGCCGCAGGGATCTCACTTCCGGCGAGAGGCTCGACGTCAGAGCGGCAGAGAGGGCAAGTGGAATGAGAATGAAACCACATATCGATGCAGTCAACATGGAAAGTGTGTTTGCAATTGGGCAAAACCCGACCCGATTCGCCCTCCTCGAATTCCGACAAACAAACGGCGCACTCGGTCGGATCCTTATGGGTCAAATCGGAGAAAGCGAAAACGGGAAGAGATTTTATGACGGCGGGATCGAGGCCACGTGACGTGACGGCGGAAGCAGCGGTGGAAGGATCGGCGGCGAAGAAAACCATAGTAGCGCGGCGGTTACGGCTGCGACGGCGGATATGGCGTCTGCGAGCGCGGAGGAGATACCAACGAGCGTAGAGATGGAGAAAGACCATTAAAATGACGACGAAGAAGAGGATTACTATGGCGCTTAGCATGATTTTGCCGCTCATGGCGTAAGTTCGAGAACCAGAGGTGTTTTCGTCGAACCTGTCCATCGGATTCGGGTCGTTGGAGTTTATGATTCTGGTGACAACTGAGAGAGAGAAGTGAAGAAAGTTTGGGTTTTTAGTAATGGCGAGAGAGAGAGAGAAGTGAAGAAAGTTTGGGTTTTTAGTAATGGCGAGAGAGAGAGAGAGAGAGAGAGGTTCGTGAGAAAGCGCAACGTCATTATTGGCAATTTAGAAGACTGACGCCAAAGTTGACGCGCGAATTTTCTCTTTGACCATTCTACCCTTTTCCCCCTATTTTTGTTCACTGCAATATGTAAAATTCAAAGGAAAAGAATATGTTAATTACGCGTATTTTCTTACTTTTACTTTATTTATTTTATTGTCCCCAGGCGTATATATATATCCTTTTTCTTTTCTGGTGAAATGGGATCGAACCGGGTTTTCGGTTAAAATCTGATATTTCGGTTTATTGTCGTCTTTTAACCTCTTCTGCTGTAGTTTACTCTCTGCTCTTTGATTCAGTAAAGCCCAGAAGTATAAAGCTTGTTCAACATAATCTCATCACAAAATCTGAATTCCCTTACAACAGTAGAATCATAATTCATAAGACACTTGCTCAACAGCTTTTTCACCAACCTTTACAGGTCCTATACACCTTCTCGAGTATCTATCTATCTATATACATTGATTAGCTTTTTTCAGACTACGATTCGACTTCTATACTCCAATGTACAACCCTGGTTCGATCCGGAATCTTGAAGATTGAAAGAACCTTCCAACGACAAAGACCTCTCAAGATGACATCTCCCTGCAAGTGAATCACTACAGAACTATTCCACCTGCAAAATTACAACAATTCACAACAATTTAGATATCAAATACAACATACAGCATCCTGAAGCAGTTTTGAATCAGTGCTTACGAAAGGTTAACTTTATATAACCTGTGTGTGTCCTCTCCCCAAACTGAAACAGCACCATCATATGCTTTGTGATCATAAGCATCAAAAGTAAACTCAAAACTCCTTCATGAGTCGGTGTCACATACTTAAGACACACGCTCATTTGGCGAGAACCCATCTTCTCTCATTCTCTTAAACAGCGCATCAGCTTCACGAATTAGGCCTTGCCTACAAAACCCCGATATCATTGTGGTGTACGTTACAACGTTAGGCTTCACTCCTTTGGAGAAAAGGCTACAAAATAAATCAAAAGCATCTTCCACCTTACCAGCCTTGCACATCCCTTGGATCACGATGGTATACGTAACGATACTAACACCCATCTCTCTCTTCCGCATGTGCTCGAATATCACCAGCGCTTTCTCTACCTGCCCGTTACAACACAGACCATCTAGCAGAACGTTGTAGGTCCTAATATCTGGTTGAACACCATGAGAACCCATCTGGTTGAACACTTGTTGTGCAACACTAGGTTTCCCCACCAGACAGTAACCTTGGATAAGAGACGTGTAAGTGATTGCGTTGGCGACTAACCCTTTCCCTGACATGGCGTAAAAGATCCTCACTCCTTCCTCTACTCTCTTAGACTTGCACAATCCATGTATGAGAGTAGTATAAGTCACTATGTTCGGGGAACAGCCTTTGCTTTCCATCAGATAGAACATTCGCATAGCCTCATTTAGTCGACCGTAGATGCAAAACCCGTTGATGAGTGAGTTGTAAGTGAAAACGTTAGGAGCTATAGACATCTTTATCATTACCCTGTACAGTTCTTTAGCATCAAGAAGCTTCCCAGCTTTCACAAACGCATCGATCAACGCAGTGAAAGTGATCACGTTAGGTTCGATCTTCCTCTTCATCATGTCTCTGAGCAGCCAAGCGGCATCTATCCATCTACGGGAATCACAGAGACCGGTTACGAGCGAGTTGTAGGTGACGACATTAGGTCTAACCCCATTGGTCTCCATCTGGTTGAAAAGGTACATCGCGTGATTCACATGCCCGTTCTTGCAGAGACAGTGAATCAGTGTGGTGTATGTCACAACATTAGGTCTATATCCTATTTGGAGAATCTGATTAAACAAAGCTACGGCATCGTCGATTCTATTCCTACGACAGAGTCCATTGAGCAGAGAAGTAAAGGTGACTACATCAGGCTCGAAACCAAGTTTCATCATCTTCCCAAGGAAAGACGAAGCAAGATGAGGCTGAGAGGATTGGCACAGAGAGTTCATGACGATGTTGCAGGTGTACACAACCGTTGAGATCCCCAGCATTTGCATTTGGTCAAAGAGGGAGATCACAGCTTCGTACCTGTTCATCTTGGAGACTGCACTCAGCAATCTAGTGAAATCGCCAGTGGAAGGAAGTGGGCGAGTGTGAGCCATCCGAGTGAATAAATCGAGAGCCTCATTAAGCTGAAGATTGTGGAGATCGCTTCTCAAATTGTCTCGGTGATTAGAAAAAGCTCGTACCCAGAAACTGAAACCGCAAAGGCTGAAGGAAGGAGCAGCTCCAGGGTTAACTGTCTCCACGGGATTCCTGTAAAGGATGAGCCTTTTCGCTATCGGCGTAAACCCAGTCGCGATGGATCTACGCATTCACAATCTATTACCTCTCGGGAGTCATATTTCACTGTAATCTGCGAAACCACTGTGTGTAGAGAGAGAAAGATAGAGGAAGGTGGAAGAAGACGAAAACCTAATAAGTCTCTCTCGTATGCTTGTGGAAGAGACGCGACGGACATTGGAAGAAGGAAAAAGAAGAAACCATTTTCTTTTCTCTTTTCAATTATTTGATTAATTTAATTGGTTTCAAAAATTAAGTTAATTTCTATAATTAGATTTCCTCTGTGATTATGAATTCTCGTTGACCAAGAAACACCATCAATTGGATTGTTCTCCTTTGTCCAAGTAGTTGTAAAGAGCTTTAATTGGTTTCAATAATAAAGTTGAATGCTTATATATATAACTGAAAAGATCATACAAAACTACCAAAAGGTTCACAAAAACACTAGCTCAACAATGGCTTTACACGCCTACCAACATCGAAATGAACTTCAGAAAGACCGGTGATTCCAGCTGTTATCTTCTGACCAATCTTTACAGGTCCTATACCTTCTGGTGTACCTGAACATACATTCACCAATTTTTCTTCACAATACTATCTTGAATGTTCTCAGCTTTAGTTCAAATCAAAGCTCTACCTACTCCAATGTTACAAATTGGTTTAGTGCGGAATCTTGAAGATGGGAAACTTTTTTTGTTTTACCTGTCAAGATGACGTCTCCTTTGAAAAGGGTCATTACAGAACTAATGTAGCTGATGAGGTATGGGACCTTGTAAATCATATCCTTTGTCCAACCTCTTTGTCTTGTCTCATCATCAACCTATCACAGAGATGGAAATTCTAAAAGGGTATATAACATAGCTTGGGCATACAAACAGGACAGGAAGAGGCAAAAACCTTTAGCCAAAGCTCCAGGTTATTGGGATCCAGCACCATTGCCTTTGGTAACTAAAAACCCCACCAAAACAATAAAAAAGAAATTCAAGATAAGAGACCAAAAGAGTGTTTTGCTATCAGAAGCTAATAAGTTGTGTTTGCTACGCATGTTCGCATACAAGATGGTGATTATTAGCATCCAAAATCCCAAAAAATGGACGCAATGATACTAAGTAATCTGCTATCAAATTTTAGTTGCATATACCGTGATCTTGGTCAAAATGCATTTGGTGAAAAGAAAGAAATGGGTCCATATTAGAAGTAACACTCTTGACATGGTTTTGGTGAAACTCAGGTTCAAGAACATGACTTACAACGGAGCTGATGGGAGTGAAACTATCCTGTGCTTTAGCAAGCGTACATGGGAGACCAGATGCCTGAAGAAGACAGAAAATTTCAAACACACATCCCACGGTAGAACGGTAGATGATAATATATGCCTAAGTAAAGAATTGCATAAGCTGTTTATATTCACAGGCCATAAAAGGACTGATATGCATGCATACACAACACGAATCTAAGATTCTTGTTAACAGAAAAAAGGATGGATAGAAACATGGAATCAATTGGCAAACATATGTTATGATCCCACGCAGGAAAAGCTCGACCAACTTATCGCTTACTAGCTTATAAAGCCCTTTCTCATCAAAGGACGAGGAACAGATGAATAAGTAGGTGGTGAAGCAAGAACATGCAAGAAGAGAAATGGTTATCTACCATGGCAGAAGCTTGGTATTCCCTAGCAGTCATATCAAGAGCAAGCGCATATCCTACAAAATAAGAACATCAGACATATTAGAATTGGGAAACAAATACTAAGATTAAGAACAAAAGTCGCAGACAATGGAAGACTTTGAAAGTCTACCATGGCAGAAGCTTGCTATATTACACACTCTTGTGATATAATTGCATCAAAGTGAAACCAAAAGTTGAAGACTTTAAAAGTCTCTATATCAGAGAGGTTGATCATGAGTCATTAATAAAACAAGGTAACCATCAACGAACCTCCATTTGCAATTTTTCGATGAGATGCAGACAAAATGTATAAGAGCAGCTAGTTAAAATTAAAATACCTCCGATGTAATCCATGGCTAACCGTTCTGGGACATCTCTTGCCTTGTGTCCAATTACTACAGCGAGTTCCACCTCATGGTGAAGTGAGTCCAGAGGATGTGGGATCTCAATTGTTCCACCGTTTTCCAGGTACGACGAGGTTGGCTTCAAGAACACAATCGGGTCCTACTTCCAGTAGATTACAACACACAAACAGGTGCGTTAAAATCAAAGTACCAAACTTGTATATGAACAACAAAAAGCCCTAATGAAGTGATTTACATGAATTTGACTCAAATCATTTTCTCGGGAAAACAAAAAGAGGTAGTGAAGAAGAAGATACAAGTGTACCTTTGGGAGGGCGTTGCCAAGTTCTTTGGCGTGAGAAGCGTAATTGAGGCCAACGCCGACGATCTTCGTGCCCTGCTTGTACAACCTCTGAATCACCGATGTCGCCATTTTTAGGGTCAAAGCATGTTCTCAGTTCGCACTCTTCCTTTTTCCCACTTTCGTCTGGAAAGATTTCGTTGTTGTTGACTGAGTTACCGAGTCCACTCGGTGGGACCGACCAAAGTCATAATATGAAGCTTTGAAAGTCAGTGGCTAAAAGTAGGAAACTACTGAAAATGTATGGACCTACTGCAAATAACAAACTAATCAACCACGTGTATCACGAATCAGACATCACATCACGACGTGGAATTTCAACAAAACTGCTTAGCATTCTATATTTTTCTAGTCACCACATAATAGCTGGGCTGGGGATTTTATTGCTTTCTTAATTTAAACAGAGATCGTCCAACCGTGTTAAGATTAATCTAAATCTCGAAAATTTGATCAGACATAAAAAAGATATTAAAAAAATTTATATTATCCACAATCAAAATATTATTACAAATCTAAAGATTTTTGTCTGTAAAATCTTAATTATTTGAAGGCAGATAAACTTCTATAATAATAATTTAACAAAGAAAAAAAACTTAACAATGATAATTTTACACATTTATATATTTATTTATATTTGACAAAAATAAATATTTATTTATATCTATTTCATTTTAGTTTTTCAGTAAACAAGTTTATGGGTTGTGTTTGTATAATAATTTTTTTTTTTAAACAGATTAAATATCTTAATTTAAAGTATTTTTTTCAAATTAACATATAATTTTAAAAATAAATATTTTTAGTTATGAAAACACATTTAATCAATAAAATAAATAATTTATCTATAACAAAATGCTTATATATTAATTTAAATATCTAGTTTGAAATAAAGTTTTAAATATTATAATATATATTATAAAATAGACATTATTAATTATAAAAAATGTATATGTTCAATTGATAAAATAAATTATTTATCTAAACTAGAAAAGTATATGCTGAAAAAAAAACAGGAAAAGTATATCTAATATTTACTGATTAAAATATTCTAATCATATATATTTAGTTATATTTTATGTAAAAAAATATTTCTTTTTAAAAATATTATTGATTACTAAAAACAAAATTCGTAAAATAAATAGTTTATCTAGAATGAATGATGTTTATAAGATATATTTTAAATTTAACAGTCGGGTCAAAATTTTAAATTTATCATAATTTCAATAACATTTTTATTGATTGGTAACACATTAAATTCATAAAATATATAACTTTTTTTTGGTCAAACAAATATACAACTTTTTAAAACGAGAAATGTATATAAAATATCCGATGATTTAAATGTTCTGATCAAATCTTTAGGTATAGTAAAATTTTAAATTTAGCATATAATTTTAAGAGAAAACATTTATAATTACTAAAAATGTGTTTAATCTGTAAAGTAGAACTAAAAATGTTGGTTGAGCTGTTTGGATTAGGACTTGAACAAAAAATCAATTATGTGCTTTGTTAATGTTATTTTTGTTATTAAGAAAATAAAGTATTATTGTAGGTTTTACATTATCGATCGATTTGCCTCTATATCTAATTATTAATGATCTCTATGATATCCATTCAAATCTTTAATGAATCACAGTTTTTAGATCTAATAGAAGAGAGGGAAAAAAAATAGTCAACCGAAAAAGTGTTGAATAAGGTATGCACGACACTACATTTATCCTTAATCAAATATTCACATGCTACATGAGCCATTTTATTTAAACATATTGTTCTGTCCTGTCCTGTACTCGTTTTGCTGTTTGGAAGAGAATTTATATTCTATTAATACTTTACCATAAACTCACATACATATATGTGGACAGATAAACACAAAGTCATCTCTTTATAATTTGCTATCCATCTCTTTATAATTTGCTATCCATCTCTCTCATCCTCTTGCGGTATTTCTTTCTCTGTCTTCCTCAAAAACTCGTCATCGATCTCTAGATATGGCAGAACTAAGTTTTTATGTTGGAGTCATAGGTAACATTATATCTTCTTCTTCTTACGTGTTTTTAATTACTAATCTACATCAAAGGATCATATATACATACAACTGAGTTAATTTGTATATATGATCGATGCAGGAAATGTAATATCGGTGCTTGTCTTCCTCTCTCCTGTGTGAGCTATCTCTCTCTCCCTTTCTGTATATCTTTTAGCTGATTTTTGGTTGATATAATAAATGATCGAATTATAAGAAATGGGTCGTGAATTATAATCAGATTACAAACTAAAAATGATTAGGGAGGCGTTTTGGAGGATAGTGAGACGGAGATCAACGGAGGAGTACGAGTGTTTGCCGTACATTTGCACGTTGATGAGTTCGTCGTTATGGACATATTACGGAATTGTGACACCTGGCGAATACTTGGTCTCTACGGTCAATGGCTTTGGAGTTCTTGCTGAATCCATCTACGTTCTCGTTTTCCTCTTCTTTGTCCCCAAACCAAGATTCGTACGTTTTCTTCTCTACTTGTTATTACTTACATATATTATTATAATTATATAAACTATAGTGAGATCTTGTGTCTTATTTTGTTGGTTGAAATCTGCAATTTAATCGATGGACAGATAAGGGATTGTATTGGTATGAGTCAGATTCAGATCTGATAAGAAGACTTTTTATTAAATAATTCATATTGTGACGTTTTATCAATAATGTGATCAATTATGTATACATGATGTATAATATAAAACTAGGATATACATGGTCCACTTGGACGCGTATATTTTATAACTAAATGATTTCTATCTTCTTTCAATTATGATTTTCCAGCTGAAAACGGTTGCTATGGTTCTAGCTCTGAACGTGATTTTCCCAATTATAGCGATTGGAGGAACAAGAACTGCGTTTGACGATGCAAAAATGCGTTCTAATTCGATGGGTTTCATATGTGCCACTCTCAACATTATCATGTATGGTTCTCCTCTTTCCGCTATTGTAAGTCTCTCTACTTCCTTTTTATCACACTAATTATATTATACACATTTGCTACAAACGAATGATCATTTTCGTTCTTTCTTTTCAATATTTTCGTTGATGCTGTATGTAAAGGCTACGTTCACATATTCGACAATAATCATTCAAATCAACCACCACAAAGAATAAAAATAAAATAAAAGAAATTGTATGGAGAGTGTTTTTCAGCACGTGTATAAGTAACATATCAATGTCAATATGTCATTTTATATATCATCATCATTAGATGGTGTTTTTGATATACACGTAGTGTCGTTTTAATCTAAATCATATTAATGATTGATGCGATCAGAAAACAGTTGTGACGACGAGGAGTGTGAAGTACATGCCGTTTTGGCTGTCGTTTTTCCTCTTCCTGAACGGCGCGATTTGGAGTGTCTACGCTTTACTCTTACACGATATTTTTCTACTAGTAAGTATCATTGTTTTGATATAATTTTTCTTGTTATATATTATATATTTATATGATGGTAAACTGATTTAGTTGCACAAAAGAAAAGAAATATGATTTTTATATATTTTGTTGCGTGTGTAGGTGCCAAATGGAATGGGATTTGTGTTTGGGGCGATGCAACTCCTAATTTATGCGTTTTACAAAAATGCCAAACCAAACGTAGAAGATGAAGAGGAAGTCCTCACACCAAGCCAACCTCTGCTCTCTTAACCTTAAATTTGTTTAAATGAATACAGCAACAATTTTTGTTTCCTCTCTTTTGGTGAGTGTTCGTTTTGATAGCCACCTACTAACAAAACGTCATCGTTTGTAATTTCTGTATCATCTCCGAGTGAGTACATGTGTGATTGTGTCTAACTTACTTTGGAACATGGGGCGTATTAATTCTATTCAATATTTTGATACCGTTGACAGTTTTGATACCACACACACACAAATGGCCATATAAAAACGGGAAATTATTTCTTACATTTCGTAACAATATTAGACAAGCCAAACCTTGGAATTATAAACCGCAACGGGTACACAACTTTGAAGAATGAGACATAAACCCTAGACCTTATTCATGCATATGGTTTAACGCATGCGCAAGTAAACATAAATTGGTCACGACACAAAAAAACATAATGGAAAGACACAGTAACCGAACATAAAGTATAGTTTGGAGTCACTAGTCACTAGTTACCTAGGAGAAAGCCGGTGGGGCCGAGGGTGACGATGCGGAGGATACCAGAGACGATGTTTCCGACGGTGGTCAGAGGTGAGAGGAGTTGGCCGGTAGGAAGTGAGGCGTTGCAGGTGGAGAGAGGCGTCGTGACGGCGAGCTGACAATCGGAGAGGAGTGAAGAAAGCAAAATCTGAACTGGGTTTACAAGAATCGCGAATATTCCGGCACCGTTCGTAGTCGACGCTGAGACTACGTTTCCCCCGCATTGGAGCTGAACGCCCGCATCTGTTCATTTTGTACCATTGGAAGATTATTAGAAAGAAAAAAAAAAAACTGAAAGACTATAAATTTGTATAATTTGAGCTTATATATTTGAACGTCTTCAACGAGATGAATAGTAAATCATAAATATTTTTCTCAGTCCGTATAGATTAATCATGGGTAATAACTAGTACGTCACATGAATATTGAAATGATTCAATTGCGAATTAACATGAACAAATTTCTAGTTGTTGTAGAATAATGATTTTTGTCCAGATGATTAACACAAAATCTATAACATAAACGTTATCTTATATCGTAAGTATACAAAATCTTATAACAAAACCTGCCTGGTTAATCTGTGTTGATTTGCTGAACCGATAATAAATTTCTTGGTCCGGTTAGATATAGATATCCAAATGATTGATCAAATGTAAAAGGAGAAGAATGAAAAGCTTACTAGGGAAAGCAGGAGCGGAAGCATTGCCATTGACCGAGCAACGAACATTGCCTCGGATAGTGATGAGACCTAAAAGCCCACTAAGATCCCCAAGGCCACCACCACCACCACCACCACCAAGACCACCAAGAAGACCACCAAGACCACCAAGACCACTAAGGAGACCACCAAGACCACCAAGCTGAGCTTGAGCCATTGGAGACATCACAATAAGACACACCAAGATCAATGAGAAGGTTATGTGTTTGTTCTTGAGCATTGTCATGTTCTTGGGGGACAATTGTATATATGAAATGCTTTTCTTTTGTATGTTGCTTTTTAGTTGTGGTTGTGATAAAGTGTCTTCCCCCATGCAGCTCTATTTATAGGACAAGTTTTGTAAACCCTTTACCTTCCTATTTACTTTGCTCTTATAAATTTAAAGTCGGTGTTTATGTCATTGATATGTGTTTACTTTATTACATTATTTATCATCTATATTTAGTTTCACTCGTGAGTAATTATCTTTTCCTAGACACTATATAATTTATCCAAGACTCCCTGCAATTTGCTTTTCTTATGAGGAATATCGTAAGAGATTAATCGGGTATTAATAAAAAAAAAACTGGTGTGATTGTATTATATTAAATCATCGCATGCATGCGTTCAATTGTTCCTCTCGGTTACTTTAGTTAATAATGAATTATACATCCCTCTTTACTAATCAGCATAACCATCAAATCATTAAAAGTTCAACTTTTCAAAAAGGACTTGTTGCTTCCATAATATCTCACAAAAGAGTTCAAACGTTTGCACACGTACCAAACTATTAATATGATAAATCCGTAACATAGATATCGAATGGAATGAAGTTCTCGTAAGTTTTGGCGTAAGTTTTGAGAGAAGAAAAATCATACATATTATTGGTTCTACTACTTAAATGATTAACATAATAATATCAAAAACTAATTTCCCTATTTTCTGAATTATGACAACAAAAACTCATATAACTTAATTTATCGTGCAAAAATATGTAACATGTCGATTTAAAAAAAAAAAAAATTGGTCAAGATATCGGAACCCACAAGGTAAAGAGACAGATGAGGAAAGACAGACAGAATATTAGACTACAGTTTTGTCTTTAAATGTATCCTAAAGTTTTGGGTCAAGAAAAATATATGGTGAGATCAATTTTTCCAAATTCAAAAATCCAACAATTTGCATCATTGAGTGGTCTTAACTCTTAAAACTCAAATCATAGGGGGGCTCTCCTACAGATTTGGCTCCTTTTTTCCTGCTTAAATATTTTTTATTATATATAAACAAATCAAACTTACACAAGTAGACTCTTGATACAAGGAGATAAGAGCAAATCCACCACCCATCTTGTGTTATAGATTGGTCCATTGACCCTATTTTTAATCTTCGACTTTGAGCCCAATCGCTCGTTTTATAGCCATAACAAAGAGTTATCTCATACGTAAATGTGAATGTAACTTATAAATGAATTCTACTAAACTCGTGTCACAATCAAGTTGCCCTCTTGCTTACGTTAATTGTTTGATAGAAACCATAAAATACCAAGAATAGCCACTCGGGGAGTTTACTAAGTAGCCAAGAAACTCAAGTAACAATGGGACATGACTTTGGAAATCTGAAGCTTTCATCACTATAAACATATATATATTCCTTAACTTGTAAAGCCTAAAGGCTTGTATAATTTATATGTGAAATTTAGAAGTAGATGTTTTAAGGTTTCAACTTTTTCAATCTCACTAAATGAAGTGAGAGATTTGATTCACCTTTTTCAATCAAATTTTTGATCTGATTCAGAGGTTCTTTTAAGAATCCCGTAATTATGTACATATATGTTCTGTTTTTCCTCCTTTTGTATTAATGGTATAACTGTACCAAAAAAATTAATAGTGGCTTTTTAAAAACACAACAAAATGTAGTTAAAAGACTAACAAATATTTTTTTCAAAGTTATGTCAAGGTGGTTACATAAACTATAGTCTTACAGAAATTAAAAAAAACCATCATGTTCAAAACACAAATAATATGTAATATATAGATTAACAAAACATAATTAGATATTAAACAAGCCAGGCTTGATAATAACTTGAGCATCCCTTTTTAACTGGAACCAGCGGGTGTCTTAGGTTCATCGTCAGATTTGGAGGCGGAAGGAGGAGGAGTGCCTTGTACGTCACGAATCTCAGCTCTTAGGTCACCGATGCTTTGCTCGTGCTCATTGATCCTGCTTCCCATATCGTCATCTAGTGAAGCCAGTACAAAGTCAAGGAGATTACACAGGTTATGTAAATGAAATAAAAAAAACAGAAAAATGTGATGGACACAAATTGTTGATCCAAAATCCACAGATGATGGTAAATTCTATATAGAAAACCATTCACTCTCTCAGATATATGATCATAATTTCAAACTATATCCTAAAAGAACCAATTAACTTTCATTTCTATAAGACTAATAGAGAAAGGATATTCTTTGTGATGAAGGAGTCCAACACTGTCTGGAACCTGGATTGCTGTAAACATACATAAGAAAAAAAAGAAGAAAAAAAATCAGTATATACGTATTAAAGATGTAACTCATCACAAGCCTAAGAAGATGAAAAAACCAACAAATCCACCATTTGCTGCAAAAGATTTTGATCCACATTGCCATCAGCTTCAAGTATCGATGAATACGTAATTGCATCATACACAAAGCCTTCATCTTTCATCTCTCTCATCATTCTTGCAGCCTCCTTAAACATTCCAGCATGAGCGAAACATCCAAGAAGAGTATTATACGTGACACCATCAGGCTTAATACCAGAACCCTTCATAGTTTCAAACATTTATATAGCTCGCTTCGTCACACCTGTTCTAGCAAACCCATTCAAGATGATATTATACGAGTTCACATCCGCGACGCAGCCCTTTTCTTCCATCTTTCTAAGCAAAGAACTAGCTTCATCTATCATACCAGCCTTCACCATCCCTGACATAAGCGCATTGTAAGCGTAGACATCAGGACCGCTTCCTTCTTGGTCCTCCTTCATCATCTCATTAAAGAGATCCATGAGCTTTCCACGCTTCCCGTAATGTTTGATCATGGCCGCATAAACTCGACAACTCACGATTCGGAATTTCTCTTCTTCTTCCTTAGATAGCTCATTCCCTGCCTCGTATCTTCTCGACTTTACGAATCTGCGGTACACTGCAGGAAAAGCTGAAAGGTCTTCCTCATCCATCTCCTCAAGAAGCAACAGAGCCTTCTCCACACTGTTTCTTCCACAATAGCCATTTATAAGGATTGCGTAAGTTAATCCAACAGGGGAAACACCGTCTGCCTTCATCTCATCAAACAAATAGCTCACTTCTGAATCAGGTGCTTTGGACTCAAACAGAGTATTAATCAAAGAACTGTACGCAATAACTTTTTCTGTGAATCTCCACACACCCACGACCTTTGTTAACGCCTCCACTCTACCTATCTTGCTTAAAATGCTAATCAGCTTCTTCAAGAAGACGATATCATGATTCCACGCCCCACCCTCACGAACGTTGAGATGTAAACCGTATGCTAAATCCACCTTCCCCACTCTGACAAACTCCTTGATCAGTTCCGTGAAGCAAGAATAAAAAGTTGGCGTTATTTGTTCCATCTCCTCCAGAAGATGCAAAGCTTTCTCAACCTCACCAAACTTCAAGTATAAGCCCAACAGGTCCGGGTATACCAATGCTGAAGGCCTCCTTGTATCAAGCCTAGCCTCTTCAAGGCAATGCATAAAGGCCATGTTGTTGGCGTAGCTATGTTGGTAATAGGTTCTGCGACCAGCCCAGCTGAAAAAAGTAATCTTGGCATCGATGTCAACGTTCAGCTCAAGAACCGAAGAGACGAAGCGATGATCCAGTCTATTTATATGCTGAGATATGCCTCTCAAACCAATCTTTGACCCTCTTCTGTAGCTTTCCATTATAGATACAAAGGTCTCACCAAGGATCCGCGCTAACCTATACCTCCGAGTAGGAAACACAGGCTCCTGATGATTCGGACTACTACTAAACACAGGCTCATGATTCGGAATACTAACACTCTCATTTCCTGCAAAGAAATGTATGAATGGAAACCATAAAAGCAAAACCTTTTTTTTTGTCTTTTTCAGACAAATCTCTCTCTCTTTCTCTCTCTCTCTCTCTCTCTCTCTCTCTAAGTGTGCAGCAGATTTTACCTGTTTGTGTCGGAGAGCGGCGGCGACGATGACCACGTGGGAGTATTGCGACGGCTTGCTTTGCGTGAAGGGATGGAATCATATAAGCCCTCTCAATAAACTCTTTTTCTGAAAATTCCAGGAAACGAGTCAAATACCATAAAAGCAAAACCTTTGGCCAAAAATAATAATTGAAATTTCAGACTTTTTGCTTTCTCTATTTCTATAATTAATAGGCAAAGTTTGCAGATTTACCTGTTTGTCTCTCAGCGGGGTGACGTAGAATCGAGAGTCCTGAGACGGATCGCTTCGCGAAAGTGGGTAGAACCGACATGTACACCATCTTCATATAACCGAGCAATTCCACTAAATTTATCGTGTTTTTTTATTAGATGCAATAACTAAAAGATACTGATAACGAAATTGGTAAACCCTAAGAGAGAAAAAAAAAACCGTTTTGAATTTCTCAGTGACACTGATACAGATCACATACAGCTTCTGATAATCATTTTCATGAATCAAAGATTGAGAACTTCATTTTTATTTCCTATCTATAATATTACGTTCTGCATCAAACATCATTGCCCGTCTAGTTCAGTTGGCAGAGCGCAAGGCTCTTAACCTTGCGGTCTTGAGTTCAAGGGCCACGGTGGGCGAGTAAGTTTTCATTATAATTTCATTCATTTTTGAAGTGGTAATGTTTATTATAATTTTATTCACTTTTGAAGTGTAAATATATAACTATTTCCGTTTTATGAGTATGTCATTGATCGGAGGAACGTTGGGAATACGGAGTGTTTATACGAACGTCTATGAGTTTTTGTGAGCTTTGTTGCAAGAATGAACAACAAGTATGGAAAACTTGAAGATAATGTGTGATTATTACGATAGAGATTGAGATTTTTATGAACTCTTTTGGAGGAAAAGACTACAAATCAGATAGACCGATCAATATATGTTCATGGATAATAGTTTTCTTCACGACAAAAAAAAAGAAGAAAAAACACAAGTCACAAGTTGTAAAATATACTCATCATATATTCCTTGCTTATACTTCACGGCACAAAATTAGTTTCAGTATGGTAAATTAAGAATTCACTAATGTACTTGACAAAATAGTCAATGCCTAATCAGATGATTGTTGACAAAATAATGGCTAATCAGATGAAGTTGACAAAACTAGTCAACGAGGTTCTTTGATTTGGAGAAAATCCTATAGAGTTCAATGATCTCAAAGGTTGCTTCTTTGGCAGAAGAATAATGGAGTTCGGCAACTTCTCCATCTTGTAATTCCAACGTCAGATACTCCGGGCAACATTGCTCTATTAGCTCAACAAAATGCTTCAAGCTGTTCACTTTCACTCCATTCACTTTGTATACCTGTTTCATACAAATATAGTTTTTCTCAAAACACTAAAAAAACAATTTGGTTAAAGTCTCAAAAACAAGTACAACATAAAAGAGTTACCTGGAGATCTTCCAAGTGTTCGTAATAACGGTTGGTGTCATGTCTCAATACCTACATCAAGAAGCAGAATTTATTTTTAGATTAACAATGCATAATGTCAAAAGTGGAAACCATTTAGAACTCTAAGGTAAAAAATAATATAACCTAGAAAGCATGACCAGCTCTCGAGCCTCTAATTTTTTTTGCCGTGGTTGCAGTTTTATATATAAAATGATCGGAGAGTATCTAACTTCATTGTCATGAATGTAAGCCATGCTGAAAGGCATAAAAACTAACCTCCAAATATGTAGTATTTTCGACTGTTGTCCTAGTTTTGCACCTCTATATGTGGTGTTACCTAATTAGCAATAGAGAATAATTAAAAATGCGTAACAAAGTAAGCAATTTATAACAAAGTAAGCAATTTATACAGATGACAAAATGCATAGAAAATAATAATTTTAAAAATGTGTAGAAAAGTCAAATATACTGCTTTAACGAGGTATCCAAATCGATACGTTCTTCTTTTCAAAAAGGAACTGCATCAAAAAGATAAGATTGGTTTAACAAATTAACATATATGGAGAACAATTAGAGAAAGTTTAGTACCTATTACCTCTCCCATCGTATCATATGACAATGTTGTCAATTGCAAGCAGTATGTCAAAAGGGTACATAATCTTGTGAACATCAGAAGTTGAAAGAAACTACATCACAACGTATGTGGGAATTACATAGCTATATAAGACCAGAAAGAAAAAGTTAGAGAAATCCAAAATATGCGCCCTATTCATCAAAATCACATAAGCACAAAACACCTATTACCCAATATGTGTCTGATACACATCAAAATCGATATTCTGGAAAGCAACGCTGATAACTGCTTCTCATGTAATTACCGGATTTCCACTATGCCCACTAATGATCCCTGCGTCTACACCAATGGCCAAGAGCTCGGTGTTGTCTTAAAATGCATCCCAAAGTTTTGGGTCAAAGAAAAAAGATATGGTGAGTTCAATTTTTCCAAATTACAAAATCCAACAATTTGCATGAATGGGTGGTCTTAACTCTTAAAACCTCAAATCATAGGGGCTCTCTTACAGATTTGGCTCCTTTGTTCCTGCTTAAATATTTTTATTATATATAACAAATCAAACTTATGCAAGTAGATTCCTGATATAAAGGAGATAAGAGCAAATCCACCACCCATCTTGTGTTATAGATTGGTCCAGTGACCCTATTTTTAATCTTCGACTTTGAGCTCAAACTCTTGTTTTGTAACCATAACAAAGAGTTATCTCATACGTAAATGTGAATGTATCTCATGAATTCTACTAAACTCCACAGGACCAGAAAATATCCATCAACAGCGCCATTAGTCGTATCACGATCAAGTTGCCCTCTTGCTTACGTTAATTGCTTAAATAGAAACCACAAAGTCCTAAGAATAGCCATTCCGGAATTTTACCAAGTAACTAAGAAATTCAAGTAAATGGTAACAATGGGACATGGCTTTGAAAATCTAAAGTTTCATTAGCATAAATATGCTTCTTAGCTCTGTAAAGCCTAAAGGCAAGGCTTGTATAATTTATACAGTAGAACCTCTATAAATTATTAATATTGGAATTTCAATTTTTTTATTTATTAATTTATTAAGATATTTTTTTGATTCTCAATATACTCGAGATACAAAAATTCTCTACCTATTAATTGAGAATATAGTTTAATGAAAAATGTTGATTTGTTTTAATTTGATTGGTTAAAATCTTTTCTCTATCCTAATTAAATGTAACATGGAAATGATGATGTGTAATGATGATGTAATTGTGACATGACATTTACTAACACATGTGGTTTATGACATGACAAAAAGATTATTTTTGTGATATTTTCATTAATAAAAAATTTAATTAAATGATAAAATTTAGTATACTAATAACTAAATCTGGAATTATTCACTAGATGCATTACGAATGACCTGATATATTATTATTCATTTATATGGATAATAATAGATGAATTTGGGCTGAACGTGATGATTTTAATACACATATATAAATATATATATATTACAATACTATGGATCTATTAAATTTACTATAACTCTGTCATGGATCACTGTGACTTTCCATATAGATACACATATCTATATATATATATATAATAATAATATATTCATATGGAATACATGTACATATATTTTTATATACTTCAATAGGCAAAATTATAATAACAAAATCACATTGATCAAATTATTTACCAAATAATTCATACTTTTTGTAAAGGCGTGCTCCATTTACGTGCACATATGTTTTCACATACTTTAGTTGGCGAAATTATAATAACAGAATAAAATATTATTGTGATCTTCTGTAGAACATTCAAAATTTAAAAAGATTAGTTTAGTTTAAAAATAATAACAAATATAAATATAAGATTTCAATTTAATAATCCTCTACATTATTTTTCGTAACAAACATTGAATATCCTAAAAAATGAACGTGCATCTAATGAAAACCCAAAATCATTATCCTATACATTATTTGAAAAGTTTAATATCCATTTAATAAAAACCAAAAAGATCCATATAAACATACGTTTATCCCAAATAACTAATGAAAAAGTTAAATACTTGGATCTCTATATAAGAAAACATCACAACACACATGAATATTAAACAAATCAAACCCTAATAAACAAATCAAACCCTAACTCAAAGTGCGGGCATTACAATTCTATCAATCCATTTATCTAAATCAAATATGGCAAAAATGAAACTTGAAGGTTGTATAGATCACTCCAATCGTGAGTGTAATGAAGCAAGGTTTTATCGCTATACTGAATTTCCAAACAAATGAGTTTGGCAAAAAAGATTTAAGAAGTGGCTCCCTCGCAACCGAAAAAACAATGTTCCCTACGATATTAGCCTTCCAGAAGTCTCAGAAGAATATGGTGAGTTTTTCTATCTAAAATGTTGCTAAATGTTCAGAGAAGACCAGTATGTTTTGAAGATATTATGACAGTAAACAGAGTTTTATATCCAACCTTCGCTGAAACATGTCTTGCAATATGGTTAATTGAAACACTTGATGCTTAAGTGGAGATGATCTTGCAATTATTTGTAGAGTCTACTTGATAAAATTATAAGTAGAAAAATCGCACATATGAGTAGATCGAGACCAACAATGACGGAATCCTTGAAGAAATAATGCTTTAAATTGAGGAAGATTATAGAAAGATAAAGAAAATAAAAAACGTTTGTTCAAAAAATAGACAGAGAAGATAAAATTTACAGCCTGATCCGCAAATCCGAAGAAGGTAACCAGCTATCTACGGATTTGACCCATTTGACCATCTAAAATAAGCCTGATCATAGAAAATTAATTATTGTGTTTTCAAAATTTAATAATTATTTTTCAAGTCCTGTCTTAAAATATAAATGAATTTTTGGTTATAACAAAATATTTAGTTAAAATTAGATCATATTTTACTATTTAATTTAAAGTCTTATAATTCAAAACACTGACTTTGAATTTCATATATTACAAAAAATCAAAATATTTAAAACGGATTTAAATATTGTATTTAAATAATTACATTTTTAAAATCGTTCATGTCCATACATGCGTGCGGACCAATATCCTAGTATGTTTTAACAATAAATTCATTAAAAAATGTCATCAGTCCAAATGTGAAATTTAGAAGTAGATGTTTTAACGTTGTTGATGTCATCCTAGTTCTTAGTAGTTGGTATATCATCCTTTCTGTCTCTGTTGAATTTTCCAGGATATTTTCTGAGCGTTTACTTCGTTGCTTTGTTTGCTATTAGAGAAGAAGAGTGCTTTGATATTTTTTGTCAACGACACAATGCTGATTTTGTACTCACTTATCTTGAGTAATAAACTGGTAAAAAAGATATCAACACGTAGACCAGTTTTTTTTGGGTGAGATTAGTGATTAGTCTGACTTGAGTTTTGAGATAACTAATTAGAAAGGTGAGAGAGAGAGAGAGATAGAGAGTGCTCTTAGTGGCGTCTGATATCTTTGGGAGGTCTGAAGTTGAGAGGATGAGTTTCAGGAGTTGCATTCTCGTCTTCCTTCCACATCTTTATTGTCTTGTCTGCTTCACACGTTACCAGCCTTGAACCCGTCTGATCGTAACACGCTGCATATATACCAGCTTCACACTCCAGCGAACCTGAACAAGTCAATCATAAAAATACCCATTACTACTACGTCCTGATAGAGATTCCTTATAACGAATCATAAACCTCAAAGACTTGTGTATGTTTAACCAAGAGCAAAGGAGTATGAGGGTCATACCAGGCTGTACAATAGTTTCTGCCTGTTGGAAATTGTGACCACTCTTCCAGTCCCAGAACCATAAGCTTCCATTATCACCTTCAATGATACAATGATGGAAACATTTTCATTAAAATTTTGAGGTTGGGACGATAAAATTCGAGAAGAGTATTAAATAGAGAGGTCTAGAAATGAATTAGTACCTCCAGTGACCATTACACCATCCTCGTTCACAGCCACTGCGTTTATTGTGGCTCTTTGCTGTGAGCTGCGAACTGCTCCATAAAGTAAGACAACGTTAAGGAAAATGTATTAAGACTAAGAAACAACTAGATACAGTGATGATCCAAGAATTAATGACAAGGATTCCAGAAACTTACAGCATATTGTGGCATAATTCTCCCTTAGGTAGGCTAAATTTCTTGGTGTTGTCAGCTGATGCGGAAACAAAAGCATTCCTGAACGAAACAGAGAGATACATTAAAACACGATGACATTATCTTGCACAACTCTAAGGTTGAAAGAGAAAGAAAATTACTCTTTCGGAAGGAGAGCCATTGCTCGGACAGCTTTCTTATGATCCGTTAGGGTTGTCATTGTTCTACCTGATTATGATATCAAAAAAATATATTTGTTAGCCAACCATGCACACAATGAAAAGCTAGAGAGGAAAAGAAAAGCAAAAGTCCAAAAGAAGGTTGAATGTTAAGTGTACCATATCGGAGGTCCCAAAATTTAATGGTTGAATCATGAGATCCAGTGATAACTTGTGGATCCTGCAACATGACACACACCATCAGTTCCCTATCCCAAAAAGTTCATATGATTTCGAAAGAAAAACATATGAATATCTAGAGCATATAATAGCAGTGTCTGCCACAAGTACACAATAAGGAAATGATCTAATCGAATAAAGAGAAGATGAAAAGCATACAGTTGGACGGGTGACAACGGAACAAACGCCTTCTCCATGTCCCGAGAGTGCAAAAATTTGCATCTTCGTACGGATATCCCATACCTATAAGCAGAAAATGATTTGTTAACAACAGACTCAGCAGAACAAAAATTGAAACTAATCATATGCTTATAAACACACGATACATCCTGTCAGTAAAATTTCATACCCTGCAGAAAGAGTCTCCCCCTCCGGTTAGTAAAACGTCCAGAGTTGGATGAAGTGCTAAACAGTAGACACCACTCAAATGACCATGGTAAGATCGGATAACCTATCCAAGCCAAAATTCCAAAAACATGAGAAATTCAGACCGGGAAGACAATAATTCATTTATAGATATAATCATGAAGTCCATCATCGAGTTCAAACCTTGTTCTGCTCAAGGTCCCAGCAGTTGACTTGCTTGTCATCACCAGCAGAGAACATATAGGTATGTCTGTTGCTTACAGCAAGGCCTGTGAAACAGTAGTTAATCAAATTTATAGAAGTCGAAGCTTGCAACGTTTCTGCACGGGTCATTGATAAACTAAACATATGGATGGGAATAAGAATTAAAAGGCTAACCTCGTACTTGCCCAGTGTGTCCAGTAAGTGTGAGCTTCAGAACTCCAGACGCTACATCCCATATCTAGTGAGCAGAAGCCGAATAAGCAATTCGGTAAGAGTAATAGAACTACCACACAGGGTAGTTAATTGTTAAATGAATGAGATCAAGAGATGGGAAAACTGGTTACCTTAATGGTACGATCAGCAGAACCAGTGCAAAACCATTCATTACTTGGGTCAAAGGCAACAGATCTAACCCAGCCCAAGTGTCCCTGGATCACCTGTAAGAATAAAGCAACACCTCGTATGAATATTTGAAGCAGTCATTAAGACCTATATGCTTCCCTTAGATGGTATGTTTCTGAGATCTTACCCTGTAATTCTTCCATGGCGCATGCCACACTGGACGGGGCCATCTACTAGGTGTTCTTTCCGTTAAAGAAGAAGTTGACAGATTTCTGTAACACACAGAGGGGAAAAGATAAATGAGAATCGATAATTATCATGAAGTAAACTTCTTATATATGAAGAATATGGATTAGTAAAGGTAAACTCACAAGTTTCTTGGAGGTAAAGTTTGACCAACAACCAAAGCTTTCTCTGTTGCGCCCTTGGAACCTTCTGCAGAACACATCGAGCAAAATAATTTGGTAAGAGAATATATTACTGACAATTTTCCAACCCTACAAAACGACATACGAATGGATCTCACAAGGGAAAAAGGAATGACATGAAAACTAGATATGAGTTGAGCCTAGTTCTGTCTCACCTGGAAGGGAAAGGGCATTCGATGGAGCTATATGTTCATTGTTATGGTCAGCTCTACGTGTAGGCTTAGACCCGCCTCCGAATGCAACTTGAATCTATACAAAAAAAACTCAAATTCATTAACAATAGCTCATCAACAAAACGCAAAAGCTTATGCAAATTCAATATCTTACGTAATACGCTACACAAAGCTCAAACAATCGATCGAAGAAAGTCAGCGAGTTGCTGAGGAAGATGATCTTAGCAAAAGATGCGGAGAAGTAAGGTATCATTCCGCCGATGAGAACAATACCGGTGAGAGCAGATGCTTATCAATTTATGGCAGAGACGAATTTTCCTTACCTTATGGCAGAGACGAACTTTTTTACTGCGAGACAAAGAAAACCAAAAAAAAAAACAGAGGAGAAGAGTCGTCAGTACATAAAAGAAAGAAAAATTCCGAAATTTTTTCGAGAAACAAGGAGACTGCAAGCGAAACTGACCTTTCGAGATCAGGCGGAGCGAACTGGTCATGGACGGGGGAGAAAAGATCAAGAGCTCGTTTTACAGATTTGAGACTGAGCTTTTCCAGTGACTGAGGTTCGATCGCCGTCGTCATTGTCCTTTTCCCTGAGTCGGTTAGGGTTTGTTAACACGGACAGTTCAGAATCAGAGCGCGAGAGAGGGAAAGAGAAGGTAGAGAAAGAGATTAACCGACCCGAACAAAAGTCGGATCGAATCCCCCACCCGTTTCCCTGAACCAGACCCATACTTCGGGTCGGTTAATATTTGATCCCTTTTTCCATAATTAAAAAAAAGGAAAAGGGTAGAATAGGCAATTAAGAAAAGGAAAAGCCCCAGAAAAGTAAATTTTAGTTTTGGGAAATTTGTTTTCCTGTGTTTCTAGCTCCATCGAAAACCCTCGGTGTAGCTTCACTATAAATACCAAAGTTACAGCATCCATTGAAACTCCTCAGTCGCTGCGTCTCTCTCCCGCAATCTGATAATATTCGTTGTTCCCATCGATCGGAGAGAGAAAATTCAATAAGCGACCATGTTGGTGTTCCAGGACAAACTCACCGGTAAGCTCCATAAACTCTTTTCTTCTCGTTATTAATTCGCGTTTCATTCAAGCTTTCTTATGTTGGTTTCGAACCTAATTTTTTCCGTTAAGATCTAATCATTCGATCCAAGGTTAATCTTCAATTAGTACCGATGATTGTAATCCTATTAGTGAGAAGGGCGTAATTTCTGTAGTTGCCTGTTTCTGCGAATTGGTTAGATCTGTGATTGATCGTGATAATTGGATCTTTTATATTTCGTTGAGCTTTTTAGATTGTTTGGATACTAGATGTCCTGGGACTTTGAATTTGTGAGCTGATATTCCAAAATTAATCGTTTAGCTGTAGTTATAATCGAGCTTGATCCAATTTTTTTTCGGGTAGCAAGAATAAATTACTGAAGATTTCTGGTGAATCGATTTCAGGTGATGAGCTTCTCTCTGACTCTTTCCCTTACACGGAGATTGAGAATGGAATCCTTTGGGAAGTACAAGGAAAGGTATGTTGTGTCTCATCAAACCATCATTCTTATTGTTGAGTTTTTTTTTTTTTTTGGTTTTCGTATTCTCAGTTGGATTTTAATTCTTACAGTGGACTACCTTGGGATCTGTGGATGTTAACATTGGTGCCAATCCATCTGCTGAAGGCGATGGTGAGGACGAGGGTGTTGATGACCAATCTGTTAAGGTTGTTGACATTGTTGACACCTTCAGACTTCAGGAGCAACCACCTTTCGACAAGAAGCTCTTCATTGCTCACGTGAAGAAGTACATTAAGAATCTGACTCCCAAGCTCACCGAAGAGGAGCAAGCAGTCTTCAAGAAGCACGTTGAGGGAGCTATCAAGTACTTGCTCCCCAAGCTCAGTGACCTCCAATTGTAAGTTTCTTTCATAATCTATCAGCAACTTACTTGTGTTGCATTCCTCTTTCATCACTCATTAATGTTTGTTTGAATGCAATCGCAGCTTTGTCGGAGAGGGGATGCACGAGGACAGCAGTTTGGTCTTTGCTTACTACAAGGATGGTGCAACGAACCCAACCTTTTTGTACTTCGCTCATGGTTTGAAGGAGGTTAAGTGTTGAGAGAGAAGCTCTCGGGTTACTGTGGTCGGTCGCAGCGACTCTCTAAGTTTATGTGTCTTTATATCTTCTCGTGTTTCTCCGTCTCCTGTTAACATTACCTACCAGTTTGCTTTTCTTTCTTCTCCTCTTTTGTGTTGGAAAATTCTTGAGTTATTTGATCCGAATACAACGGTTTATCAAGCTATATTAGTTGAATTTTGGTCGTTTATTATGATTGTCTTTTAAATTAAGTTTCTCTCTGGATCATCTAATTTAAGCGTCTTTACTAACATCATCCCGGACTTTGAGGCAAGTTTATGAATTCAAACAATCTTAGATTCAGATCTCTATTATTAGTGCAAGTATAGTAATTGGGTGGTTGTGTAAGATTCCTTTCCCTGATGGAATATGTTACTTTTTTAAATAGTCTTTTACTCTTTTAAAGAAGAAAAAAGTTGGTATTAGACATCATCATAGAGGCGTGTTGTCCTGGAAACGACATTCACATCCGTGTAGAATCTCCGTATTTAGAGTTCTGTCTAGGTTGCGAGACAAATCACAAGTGCGATCGTAATAATAATGTACGTGTGTTGTTTTCTACGTATTTTATGATTGATTCTTCTCTCCGTTACAACCGGCTTTCCAGTTTACCTATCGGTTTATCGAGACAAGTTCTTATATAGACAACTTATGTACGTGTGTATAATATTGTCTTTGTATATATGTATGGAGGAGAGGACAACCAAAAATGCGTTGGAACGTATTGTTTGTGTCTTTAAAGTAAAAAAGGAGACGTGATTTGGTCGGTTTGACGTTGCTCCAACTCTCTTGCCTCTAATGTATTTTAAGTCATTATCTTCTTCAAAGTTTCTTGTTCCTTTCGTTTTCGCTAAAAAACTTCTAACAAATTATTCAAGTCCACTATTACGTATTCACGTTGTCACTTGTTAATCGTAAAAGAGGAGGTAGATGATGTAAAGCTGCACAGAGCTATAGACTAATTTTGATATAATGGATAAATAATGAAAAAAGAACTCCTCTCGTACTGTTTATAGTAATTAAAAACATAAATCCTTTATATTAGATCGAAATGCTTTAGGCTAAAGCAAAAGCTTTTTGATTCAAAAGGAAGTCACCACAAGCTATGTTGGTCCACTTTTCTCTCCTTTTGCATATTCTTGTTCTCGTTTATAATACAATATACTCAAGTATGTTAGCTTTGGATATATAATATATTCATACATGTAAACATAGAAAATTAGAAACCAAAAACTTAGAATTCAGTAATAGTTTTCACATAACATAATGATATGTGTCAATGAATAAATGTATACAAAAGGTATAATAAGATATAGATGCAAGATTAAATCATTATCAAGTACTAAAATTCCAAAAGTTGTGGCATTCATGTCGAGGAAAAAAAAAGTCATTTTCCTCGGATAGTTTCAAATTCCATTTCTCTATTACAATTTAAATGGTCCCAAACCCAACATCCTTAAATACCATATAAAGTAGTTGAAATCCTACAATGCACAAACCGCATAAATCCACTATTACATGTATAAACATATCACTTTCATGTAGCATTGTTAAATAAGTTTGATTCAAGATGATAGTATATCACCAAGGTGTATGTATGTTGTTGTGTCATGATCTCAGGCTGATAGGTTACAGAGATTTCAACACTATCGTAGAAACAAATATCAGCAATTTCTATATATGATTATTCAAAACATTTAAGACAGCAGATTGCAGTTCAAAGATGATCGTGTGGTCTAGATAGTACAATTTACAAAAAGTAGGACAAATCAGTGAATGTTTCTGAACTTAAAGGGTGTTATAACTGTCACTTAAATTTTTTTAAACGCCTCGACTTTACATTTTATTTTATTTTATTCAGTCTCTCTACACTTTGTCAAATCTTCTTCAACGCATTTCTCTCTCTCTCTCTCTCTCTCTGCGCCTAACATCGCTTACGGCCATACGGAAATAGAAGACGAAAATTTTGAACAGAGCTTTCTCTCTCTATCTCTCTCTCTCTCCCTCAACGCCAAATGATGCGCGTCGCTTAGGGTTTTTCTTTACAGTCGGATCTGATTGTATATTGAGAAAATTTCAGATCACAGATCTCTTATCCAATCGTCGCGTGTCTTCGTTTCCCTCTGGTAATCATTACTTCCGTGATTTTGTTTCTACGTTTGCACTGTAGCCCCGTGGGTTTAATTCGATCTTCTTCTCCGCTTCTCTGATGCATACTATTGGTTGGAATTTTTCAGATACGAAAGTTTGCTGCAGTACTCTCCCGCTTTCATGTTTTGCGTTGAATCCGAATTCTCTCCACATTGTGAGTTTCCTTCGATCGAATTCAGAGATTCTATAGTTGGAATCGGGCATTTAATTTCCTGTTTGGTAACATAATGGGGGATTCTGGTTTTTGTTTTGGGTGAAGAGTTTGTTCTACAGATCTCCGAAGTTGGCTCCTCAAAGAAGATCCCAGCGCCTCATGGGCGGCCAGATGCAGCAGAGCAATGCTGCGGCTGCGACGGCGCTTTACGATGCTGGACACACAAATGACGCAGGAGATGCTGTCATGGCACGGTGGCTTCAATCCGCCGGCTTGCAGCATCTTGCGTCTCCAGTTGCTTCTACTGGCAATGATCAGCGTCTTCTCCCAAATCTTCTCATGCAGGTACTCACTTTCCGTGATTATTTGTTTCTACATTCTTCCAGTGACCTGCATGCCCTTAGTTTTCCGGCTGTAGTCTTCTCTAGCTCGTTAAGTCTGGCAATTTTTTATTAGACGCAGATAGCCAAGTTTTTGTTTGAGCCTTGCTTCGCTGCATCCTTAGCAATGTATGATGCAAGACTACAATACAAAAAAGATAAAGTCTGAATGTAGGATTGCTTCCCTGTTATGAATATTAGCCATATTGTATCTTAAGGAGAGCTTGGAACTTTTTAGGGTGAGTTATCTTGTTAAATATTTTTTGTAGGGTTGTTAGTATTTTCTCTTTCGACTGGTAGATTTCTTTGCTCTTGTTTGGTTCTGGTATTTGAAGCCTTCTTTGTGGTATCTGTTAGGGTTATGGAGCGCAGACTGCTGAAGAGAAACAAAGACTGTTCAATCTAATGAGAAATCTCAATTTTAACGGGGAGTCTACTTCTGAATCATATACACCAACTGCTCAGACATCAGCAGCTATGCCCTCTTCAGAAGGATTTTTTTCACCCGAGTTCAGAGGTGATTTTGGTGCTGGATTATTGGATCTTCATGCAATGGATGATACAGAGCTGCTATCTGAGGTACGCTTGGAAGAAGAACTAGGACAGGGACTATTCATACTTATGTCCCATTAGTTGCGATAGAGAACGGAAAGATCATAATTTTTCATCATCAGATTGTCTGTTCTCGAGTTACATTACATCCCGGTTGCTAATACTGTTACTGCCAATCTTACATTGTCATATTGGTTCCCACCTAACCCATTGACTTAATGCGCATGCAATATATCTGCGAGACTTATGTTAGACGACTTTTGATCTTGACACCCGAAAAGATTATGCTAGATATGGCAGTTGTGGTCTTGTTGTCAATAGAAAAGCTTTCTGTGTGAAAATGCCGCTTGCATTTGCTTGTTCTTAAAGAATGAGTTTACCCATGTGAAAAAGTTTTAACTTTTCATTGCTTTTGTAATATGTCATTTTACTTTCATTTTGCAGCACGTGATTACCGAACCCTTTGAGCCATCACCTTTCATGCCTAGTGTGAATAAAGAATTTGAAGAAGACTTTAATTTGCCGGATAATCGTCAACAACGGCAACAAGCGGATGCTGAACCTTTGGGCTCACTGCCTAAGAGTGAAAAAGAAAATAACAGTGTAGCCAAGATTAAAGTAGTGGTAAGTCATTCACATGAGCACTGACCTGTTTCTTTACTACTTGACTGTTTTATAAGCAACGTTCATTATGACTAGGGATAAATGGGATACCTTTGTCTTTTTGTCTTTACTCTTTAGGTAAGGAAAAGACCCCTAAATAAGAAAGAAACAGCTAGAAAGGAAGAGGATGTCGTGACGGTAGCTGATAATTCTTTGACCGTCCATGAGCCCAAGCTGAAGGTTTGTGTGTATTCTTCATCGAAGATAACAATGGCATCCATGATTCAGTTGAACAACTGAACGATGGCATCCTGATATGAAAGGTCATATATTCTCTTCATTTAATATTTTATTTTCTGATATTGAACGATTCATATTCTTGGTTGTGCAGGTGGATTTGACTGCTTATGTGGAAAGGCATGAGTTCTGCTTTGATGCTGTTCTAGATGAGGACGTTTCAAATGATGAGGTAAGTTAATAATTTAAAAGTATTGGAGTTCATAGCAAATTCTAGCAGGAGTGGATGATGCAACCTTGAGCTGTGATAGATTTATGATTTATGTCAAGGTCGACATACCTTATTGACCTATAAACTAGACCTGCATGTGGTTTCCCCACCGTATAATCCAGATTGGCTTTTGATGAATGAATACATTTAGCTTTGTAGGTTTTCAAAAGCTTTACTCTGCTTTGAAGTTGTTTGTTGTTCCCTTGAACAGGTGTATCGGGCCACAATTGAGCCGATAATTCCCATTATTTTCCAGAGAACTAAAGCTACATGTTTTGCATATGGTCAAACAGGTAAGCAATGGCATTAATTTTCATTCGAAAATATTACTTTATAAATTCATGGCCCTGATGATGTTTTGCTTTATTCAGGTAGTGGTAAGACATACACAATGAAACCACTACCCATACGAGCTGTTGAAGATCTTATGAGATTGTTGCGTCAACCAGTATATAGGAATCAGAGGTTTAAATTGTGGCTCAGCTATTTTGAGATATATGGTGGAAAGCTGTTCGACCTTCTCAGTGAAAGAAAGTTAGTGTTCTTTCTTTTTATCATTTTTTCTAAATGTCCTTTTTTATTTTGGAGTATACATTGATTTGGCATATCCTAGCTTATAATTGTTATTTTGATGTCATTAACTATTTGACCCCCCCAAAAAGATGTCATTAAATTGTAACTATTGCCACTTTTCATCATTTCAGTCTCCATACATTCACTGTTGTCCACTATTGCAAATGCATGTTTTGAGCTGTCTAAATCATTCATCTATTGTCGAGTAGGAAACTTTGCATGCGAGAAGATGGTAGACAACAGGTTTGCATTGTTGGCCTGCAAGAGTATGAAGTTTCAGATGTTCAAATTGTCAAAGAATTCATCGAGAAAGGAAATGCTGAAAGGAGCACAGGGTCAACTGGAGCGAACGAGGAATCTTCTAGATCACATGCTATCTTACAGCTTGTTGTAAAGAAGCATGTTGAGGTAAAAGAAACTAGACGTAATAACAATGATGCCAATGAATTGCGCGGGAAAGTTGTTGGGAAGATTTCTTTCATTGACCTTGCTGGCAGTGAAAGGGGTGCAGACACTACAGACAATGACCGCCAGACAAGGTAAGGATGCTCTTTGTCCCCGTGGTCGTGTAGTTTGAATATTGAAATACCACCAATTCGTAGATAAATTTTTAGGCCCCGTGGCTTTATGTTGCTACATGTTTACTTTAGGACCACCATTTTAATCTAAATTTTTTAGCTTTCACGGTGGATTTTGCTTAGGATTGAAGGCGCAGAAATCAATAAGAGTCTCTTGGCTCTTAAGGAATGCATACGTGCGCTAGACAACGACCAGCTACATATACCATTTCGTGGAAGCAAACTAACTGAAGTGCTCCGTGACTCATTTGTTGGAAACTCTAGAACGGTGATGATTTCTTGCATCTCTCCAAATGCAGGATCGTGTGAACATACCCTCAATACTTTAAGATATGCTGATCGGTATGTTTTTTCACGAAAACTATTAGCCTCTCTTGAAACTAAATCTCAATTTCAGCTTCTCTTAACCTGTTTGTTATTTACTGAATAAACAGGGTGAAAAGTTTATCTAAAAGTGGGAATAGCAAGAAAGATCAAGCAGCCAATTCAATGCCTCCGGTTACTAAGGAAGCTTTGTTGGTCTCAAATGATGCAGAAGATTTCTTCGAGCCTCCACAGGAAGTGAATGTACAGGAAACCGGGAGGAGGGTCGAGAAAGACAGCTACACTACTTCGGGTACTGACTTGAGACAGCCTACAAATTACCGAGAGGAAAGTGGAATTCCAACAATCTCAATGGACAAGGGAAGATCAGATACGAACAATTCTTTTGGTGGCTCCACTAGTCAGAGGAACCACTTGTCTTCATATCCTCAAGAAACATCAGACCGTGAAGAGAAAGTGAAGAAAGTGTCACCACCTCGTGGGAAAGGGTTGCGGGAAGAAAAACCAGACAGACAACAAAACTTGTCTAGAAGAGATTTGAGGTCGTCGGATATTCCTACCTTGACAAACTTTAGACAGAACACAACTGAAACTGCTTCGAGGCAACATGAAATCGACCCTTCGCTTGATGAAAATATTGATGCACTGCTTGAGGTAAAACCACTCACTTAAACCTCTAAAAACATGAGATGAACCTGTCTAATTGATTTGCAAGCAATGGTCTTATAACCACCGCATGACTTTGTCAGGAAGAAGAAGCTTTGATTGCAGCGCACAGAAAAGAAATAGAGGATACAATGGAGATTGTTCGCGAGGTAAGGAAACGTATCTCTAAATGAATAAACGATTGTATATATTATTTATCCTTTCGTTGATTTTGTTTTTGTTTTTATCATATCAGGAAATGAAACTTCTAGCAGAGGTGGACCAACCAGGAAGCATGATAGAAAACTATGTGACGCAGTTGAGCTTTGTGTTGTCCCGGAAAGCAGCCGGGCTTGTCAGTCTCCAAGCCCGTCTTGCTCGGTTCCAACACCGTCTCAAGGAACAAGAGATACTGAGCCGTAAGAGAGTTCCTCGGTAGAAGAAAGGAAACCAAAGACGACTTCGGTGTGGTGTTGTCAAGTGTGAAAGTTGCTTCGGACACAGTGGATGAAGAAGAGAGTGAAGTTTTTGTTTGTTTTTAGTTTCAGAAAGAAAGGAAAAAAGATGGGTGATCTCTTCGTATTTACACAGAATGGCAGAAATGTCCTTCGTGTTTGTGAATTTGGGAAATTATTTATTTTGTATGTTTTAATCCTTGTTATAAAATTATATACCTTTCCCTTGTGTTTTTCATTTTTCTCTATCCTCCCCAAAGGAATCAAACTCTATTCTGAATCATCTGAAAAAGAATATAGCAATTAGTTAACATTTTGAATCTAATCAAAGTTTCAGTGAGAAGTGTTATAAAATCACATTTTGCTAATAGCAAATGAGATCCTTTACTCTACCGTCTCTACTGACAAACAATGGAAAGACAGGTGAATAATTCCAAAGAAACACACAAGTATCTCTCTTGTCGTGAACTTAAAAAGGCCGACAAGATTTTGCAGCCCAACTAAAAGGCCTTGGCCCACCTCACGTTTGTCACGTGACATGCCTTTTTCCACGATTGCATAAAAAGAGCCAATTTCCCACCGTCCGATGCTTAAACCCAAACCGATTTGCACCGTCCATCAATGTCTCTTATCCTCCTCCTTCCTTCCCGTCGTAGTCGCACTGTCGCAGGCGCCTAAAAGGCGAAAAATAAAGCACATGAAAGATTTTTTCACACTTTTCCCTTCTCTCTCTCTCTCTAACCAGGTATAATTTCCGCCATTGCTCTTCTTCTCTCGTTTACGTAGTTTCATGAGGCTTCATTTTCAATATACTATTCTTCTATTTTTGAAATTTTCATGACGAAATTTTACCTGCGATTTGGCGATGCTTTTCACTCCCATTGAATTGGAAAGAGACGGAATTTTTGAGCTATGATTTTTTCTCTCTCTCCGTTTCGCTTTCTGCTCTAATTTTGTTGTTATGGTTTGTTGGAATTTATTTCAAAAGAGTAAAGCAGTTTATTTTATTTGGATGTTTTGTTTACCATTTTTTGTTTTTGTTTTTGTAGCTGCGGTGGTCTAGAAATGGGAGATGGAGCTGAGATTGTGAACAGGTCAGATGGGGAAGAGAAGAAGGTTGCAGAGGATACAATTAGCGATGAGCAAGTAGAGAAAAACGAGCTGGTGGGATCTGATGAAGCGAGGGAAAACGAAGAAGAGGTCTTTGAAGAAGCAATTGGTTCGCAGGAGGGTGCAACACCTGAAACTCTCGAAGCCGATGCGTTGCGCGAACATTTACCTTTAGAGGCAACTCCTGAAAACTCCATGGATGAGCATGAAGTGGTCGATGATCTGGAAGAAGTAAGTAGCAATGAGACGGGAGTGAAAGCTTCCAAGGTTAAGTTTTCGGTAGTTGGAGAGAGCCATGGAGAGGCTGAATCTGAGTTTGTGACTCCCAACATGAATAATGATGATAAGGGAGAAGCAGGAGCAGAAAGCTTGGATGTGGATGAAAACAGTGAGGAAGCTGCTATGGAAAACGGAAATGCACATTCTTTTTCAGAAAATGGAATCGTCTCTCCTGAGAATAAAGAACCGGTGGTGGCTGAAGTTGTATCAACAAGTGCCTTGGATGATAGTATTGAAGTAGTAAGTTCTGTTTCACCAACAGAGTCTAGAAGTAATACTGCAGCATCACCACTTGCTCGTCCAGCAGGTCTTGGTCGTGCTGATCCTCTTTTGGAACCGGCACCACGTGTTCCTCAACAGCCTCGTGTCAATGGCAATGCGTCTCAGAATCAGCCTCAGCAAGCTGAGGACTCTACTACCGCTGCAGAGACCGATAAGCATGATGAGACCCGTGAGAAGCTCCAGTTGCTCAGGGTCAAATTCTTGAGGCTTTCGCATAGACTAGGACAAACTCCACATAATGTTGTTGTTGCTCAGGTTCTGTACAGGCTTGGCTTGGCTGAACAGTTGAGGGGCAGAACCGGAAGCCGTGTTGGTGCCTTTAGTTTCGATCGAGCCAGTGCCATGGCAGAGCAGCTTGAGGCAGCTGGACAGGATCCACTTGGTTTTTCTTGTACGATCATGGTGCTCGGTAAAAGCGGGGTTGGTAAGAGCGCAACGATCAATTCTATTTTCGATGAAGTGAGAATTTGTACTGATGCATTCCAGATGGGGACAAAGAAGGTTCGGGATGTTGAGGGTTTTGTTCAGGGAATTAAGGTACGGGTGATTGACACTCCCGGTCTCTTACCATCCTGGTCTGATCAACACAAGAACGAGAAGATCCTGAAGTCTGTGAGGGCGTTCATCAAGAAAAACCCACCTGACATTGTATTATATCTTGATAGGCTGGATATGCAAAGCAGGGATTCTGGTGACATGCCTCTCTTGCGCACCATCACTGATGTTTTCGGACCATCGATATGGTTTAATGCCATTGTGGGTTTGACTCACGCCGCTTCTGCTCCACCAGATGGTCCAAATGGTACTGCTTCTAGCTATGACATGTTTGTAACTCAACGTTCACATGTCATCCAGCAGGCCATTCGCCAAGCAGCTGGAGATATGAGGCTCATGAACCCTGTTTCTCTGGTTGAGAACCACTCTGCTTGCAGGACGAATCGGGCAGGCCAGAGAGTATTACCAAATGGCCAAGTGTGGAAGCCTCATTTGCTGTTACTCTCATTTGCATCCAAGATCCTAGCAGAAGCAAATGCTCTTTTGAAACTACAAGATAACAATACTCCAGGGAGACCAGTTGCAGCTCGGTCCAAGGCTCCGCCTTTGCCATCTCTCCTCTCATCGCTTCTGCTATCAAGACCACAAGCTAAGCTTCCTGAAGAGCAGTATGGTGATGAAGAAGATGACGATGATTTGGACGAATCATCAGATTCTGATGAAGAATCGGAGTATGATCAGCTTCCTCCGTTTAAGCGATTGACTAAAACAGAGATGGCTAAGCTTAGTAAATCTCAGAAGAAGCAGTATCTCGATGAGATGGACTACCGGGAGAAACTGTTTATGAAGAGGCAGATGAAAGAGGAAAGAAAGAGACGTAAGATGCTGAAGAAATTTGCCGCCGAGAATAAAGATTTGCCTAACGGATATAGTGAAAATGTGGAAGAGGAGAGAAACGAACCTGCATCTGTTCCAGTTCCCTTGCCAGATTTATCTCTACCTGCATCTTTCGACTCTGACAATCCTACTCACCGATACCGCTTCCTTGATTCCTCCAATCAATGGCTTGTTAGGCCAGTCCTGGAAACTTATGGGTGGGATCACGACGTTGGCTACGAAGGTGTGAATGCGGAAAGGCTTTTTGTTGTCAAAGAAAAAATACCGATATCATTCTTTGGCCAAGTGACAAAGGACAAGAAGGATGCAAATGTGCAGCTGGAAATGGCCAGCTCGGTTAAACACGGAGAGGGCAGATCAACCTCCCTAGGCCTTGACATGCAAAGTGCTGGAAAGGATCTGGCTTACACTGTTCGAAGTGAGACGAGATTTAACAGTTTCAGGAAAAACAAAGCAGCAGCTGGTCTCTCTGTGACTCTATTGGGTGATTCGGTGTCTGCAGGGCTGAAAGTAGAGGATAAGTTGATTGCTAATAAACGGTTCAGAATGGTTATGTCTGGTGGGGCAATGACTAGCCGGGGAGATGTTGCTTACGGTGGTAGCTTAGAAGCTCAGCTCAGAGATAAAGACTATCCGCTTGGTCGGTTTATGTCGACTCTTGGGCTTTCGGTGATGGATTGGCACGGCGATCTTGCTATCGGAGGGAATATACAGTCGCAAGTGCCCATTGGACGTTCCACTAACCTAATCGCTCGTGCTAATCTGAACAACAGAGGGACAGGGCAAGTAAGCATCCGCGTAAACAGCTCTGAGCAGCTCCAGCTTGCTATGGTTGCACTTATTCCTCTGTTCAAGAAGTTACTTAGTTATTATTCCCCAGAGCAAATGCAGTTTGGACAGTAATGAACTAACATTAAGGTTTTGATTCACTTCCTACAAGAACATCCTACAAGTGAGTTTAGAAAAAAAAAGGTGCTAATCTTCTTTTGATTGCTTGATTTCGATATCTTCATGTAACTGTAAAACCATCTTTTAACTGACTGTATTGATGAACTGCTGATGTTGAATGTGGCTTTTGGGTTTGAGCAGGAACATGGTGTGCGTCCTTGGATTGTAAAGTTTGAAGACCAAGTTGTTGGAGGAAAGCCTGTTTCTTGAAATTGTCTGTCTTAAACCTTTGCGTGGTTCTCTATTAGAATAAAGCATACTTGTTATAAGGGATTTTAGTCCTAATCATACCTCTCTCATACAGCTACTTAGTTTATAAACTTATTAGCAATCAGCAGTTTCGGAAACTCAAAAATTGCTTAATTCCGCTCGTCGGAAAAGCCTAACTTTTCTTCTACTACATCGATCCCTGTTGAGACTTGATAGATACAATGACGAATATGTCGAGCCTTTCGAGGGATATGGTGGATGAGATTCTGTCTAGGGTCCCATGGACATCTTTGAGGAGAATCCGATCTACTTGCAAAAAGTGGAACACTCTGTCCAAAGATGGCTTCTTTGCAAAGAAGCACCTCGCGAAGGCAGCAGCAGCATTAGCAGAGAGGGAAGGGGAGTTTTTGGCTGTCCTGTTGATGAATAGTAAGCTTCATCTGACGAGCTTCAATCTCCATGGAACTCACAAGGACTCCCCTCCAACAGTGTGGATTGAAGGTAGTCTTATTAACCTAAACGATTCAGATAAACTCGACATCACTCGAGTTCATCACTGCGATGGTTTGTTGTTATGCTTCACGGAAGACCACACCAGGCTCGTCCTTTGGAACCCTTACTCTGGGGACACTCGGTGGATCTGCGTCGAACCACCTTCTCACCACAAAGCCATCTGGTATTGTCATGCTCTCGGATACGACGAGAGCACACATAAAATATTGAGATTTTACAATTACCCTTGGGAGACATGTGATCACGAAATCTACCATGTAAGCTCCAATACATGGAGGGTTCTTGATGTCACTAGAGACTCGTATATAAGCAGGGTGGCACATGGCATGTCTTTGAAGGGAAATACGTACTGGTATGCAGAAGACAACACTCCACGACAGAACGTGCCTGGTTTCTAACTCTGTTTTGATTTTACAGCAGAGCGATTTGCTCTGCCGTTTGAGTCTTATGGTGAAGATCGCGTGACTCTATCTACTGTTAGAGAAGAGCAGCTTGCTGCCTTGTTTCAGAACAGTTATACACGTGAGATGGAGGTTTGGGTTACGACCAAGATTGAGCTCAATGCTGCGTCCTGGATCAAGTTCTTAGCTGTAAATCTGGATCCACTCATCGGGGATCTGTTCTGTAGTGGTGTGAGTTTCCTCCTCATTGACGAGGAGAAGAGAGCCGTGGTTGTTGTTGATAATATGCTCAAAGACCATCGCAACAGAGCTTACTTCATTGGAGAAAATGGTTACTTCAGAGAAGTGGTTTTCGCAGAGATTAACCCGGACAGGTTTTTGTTTTACCCGCACGTCTCTTCTTATGTTCCAAGTTCAGTGAAGATCGACCAACCCAATTAATAATCTCTTTCTCATCTCTAATATTATGCATCAGGAAGGGCTGACTTCATTGGTGAAAATGATTTTGCTATGCTCTTTGAACAATGATTCACACAATTCATAATCTCTTTTCTCTGTGTTATTTCTTTTTTAAGCAACTCCTCCACTTGTGTGAGAACCTAATTTTGAAAGAGAACTTTAGCTAAAATAATCTTTTTTTAAGCTTATAACATACAAATCCTTCCAAAGGTGTAGTCTTTAGTCAAAACTCTTGGGAAGATTTCTTGAATCGATTCGTCCAATGTTTCTGAGACTCGTTGAATTATGTATTCGATCAAGGGATCTGATCCTAGGGAAGATCATTCATCAGCACCTTCTTAAACGCTCCCTCACGCTCACTTCCTCTTCCGTGCTCCTCAGTTTAACGCGTCTCTACGCATCGTGCAACCAAGTGGAGCTTGCACGCCATGCGTTCGACGAAATTCCTCATCCAAGGACCAATCCTATTGCGTGGGACGTGATGATCAGAGCCTACGCATCGAACGGTTCCCCGGAAAAGGCTTTGGGTTTGTACTACGAGATGCTGGATTCTGGTCTCAGACCCACCAAGTTTACATACCCTTTTGCCCTGAAAGCATGCGCTGGTCTGCGAGCGATCGAAGATGGTAAGCTGATACATAGCCATGTGAAATGTAGCGGCTTTACCGCTGATTTGTATGTCTGTACCGCTCTGGTAGATTTCTACGCTAAATGTGGGGAACTCGATATGGCAATGCAGGTGTTCGACGAAATGCCTAAAAGAGATATCGTCGCATGGAACGCTTTGATTTCTGGGTTTTCTTTGCATCGCTGTTTAACTGATGTCACTGCATTGTTTTTGGATATGCGTAGAAGCGATGGACTCAGCCCTAATTTATCCACCATCGTTGGGATGTTTCCTGCAATAGGAAAGGCTGGTGCTTTGAGGGAAGGGAAAGCTGTTCATGGGTACTGCACGAGAATGGGGTTTAGTAAAGATATAGTTTTTAAGACGGGTATCTTGGATGTGTATTCGAAAAGCAAGTGCGTCGTCTATGCGAGAAGGGTTTTCGATTCAGAGTCTTTGAAGAACGAGGTAACCTGGAGTGCTATGATTGGAGGCTACGTAGAGAATGGAATGTTAACGGAAGCTGGAGAAGTGTTCTTGCAGATGTTGCTTGATTCAGATGTGGCAGCTGTGACGCCAGTGGCCATTGGGCTTGTTCTGATGGGTTGTGCGAGGTTTGGGGATCTTAATGGAGGGCGATGCGTACAATGTTACGCGGTTAAAGCAGGCTTCATCATGGACTTAACTGTTGGAAACACCGTGATTTCATTCTACGCCAAGTATGGAAGCTTATGTGATGCTTTTAGGCAGTTTAGTGAGATTGGCTTGAAGGATACTGTTTCATATAACTCTCTTATCTCCGGGTGTGTGGAGAACTGTCGCGCGCAAGAGAGTTTGCGTCTGTTTCATGATATGAAATCTTCTGGAATTCGGCCAGATATAACAACATTAGTCGGTGTTTTAACCGCTTGCTCTCACTTGGCTGCTTTGGGACGCGGTTTCAGCTGCCACGGGTATTGTGTTGTTCACGGATATGCGGTCAATACAACCATCGGTAACGCATTGATGGATATGTACACAAAGTGCGGAAAACTTGATGTTGCCAAGAGAGTTTTCGACACGATGCATAAGCGGGATATAGTTTCGTGTAACACTATGATGTTTGGATTTGGAACTCATGGGTTTGGCAAAGAAGCTCTTTCTCTGTTTGACAGTATGCAGGGGACAGGTGTGAAGCCAGACGAGGTGACTTTTCTTGCTGTTTTGTCTGCTTGTAGCCATTCAGGGCTTGTGGATGAAGGGAAACAAGTGTTCAACTCCATGGCTCGAGGAGATTTCAACGTCATCCCAAGGATAGACCATTATAATTGCATGATTGATCTTCTAGCACGTGCCGGATACCTGGACGAAGCTTATGATCTTGTTAACAAGATGCCGTTTGAGCTCGACACTCGCGTGTTGGGTACACTTCTCTCTGCTTGTTGTGCGTACAAGAATGTGGAACTTGGTGATGAAGTGTCGAGAATGATGCAGAGTCTTGGAGAGGAAGGAGGAACAACGGGAAGCTTAGTTCTTCTATCAAACACCTATTCAGCTGCTGAGAGATGGGACGATGCAGCGAATATTAGAATGATGCAGAAGACAAGAAGGCTTCACAAGACCCCTGGTTGTAGCTGGGTTGATGTTCATTAATACATTTGTTTGAGAATCGTAATTCTTAGGCATCTGATCTACTCCATCTGATCATTCAACGGAAGTCTAGTATTCTCACAAGCTGGCGGAAGGAGGCGTTGTTGCAGGTGAGATTAACAAAGGGCAGCTTGATAAGATGAAATGACAGAGAGATGTATTGGTTTATGTCCAATAGCAGAGCCAGGTATGAAAGTGTTGCATGTGTTTTAATATTTCTTGTATCATATGATTCAGAGATGATACAAGAATTGACCTGTTTGAGTTTTTGATAAAAGCAGTCAGATAATGAACCTTACTTGTGGCAATAATGGCAGACTTTTGAGTTAAAGTGTTGCACATCAGTCACACCTTTTGCTAGCCGGAAACATGAGCTTCAGATTTATTGTCACACCAGTCGAAGTCATGGGTATGATTCTCTGGTCTGACCAAAACGATCAACATTGTCAACAAATGAACATGTTTCCAAGCACTGTAAGTGTAAGGAATCGATTAGGACCAGTGAAGTTGGTGTACCAGAAGCTGCAACCAAGAAGCCTGGAATCATCTTGTTATAAAAAGATTATTGAACTCCCCTGTTAAGGTAGTTTTGTTGTAATTTTTTACCTGGGAAGTGGTTTTGTATCATACATTGCGACAGATGTGTGTCCCAAGGTACCTTATATCCTACTAAGTTTGATTCCTTGAGGCCATAGAGAACAACAAGAGTTTGGCTGATCAAATGGAGAGTTAAAAAATCACAAGAAACAAAATAAAATACATATGTTTCTTATAAGAAAAGTCTCTTGTGTTACTTTATTTCCTTTTCTTTTTAAAAATAAAAATAAATTATTCGAAGCAACCGACTTACAAGGTCGTTTTAAAGCCCATTCTTGCGACTATATATTGTATAAACTTTTTATCAACTCGTTTAAAATTCCATTCCGTGAGATCGTCTCTTTCTCTGTCGAAAACGGAAACCCTAACAAAAGTCGATTAGTTCTTCTTCTCAAACTCGTCTCATCTTTATACTAATTACGTCCCTCAAAACGAATTAGCTAATTGTCTTGTGGGAGAGGGCTAATTCGTTTACGTAGAAGCCCGAGAGATTCTGATTCCGGCATCAACGAGGAGGTTTTACGATGAATTATCCTATTTACATAAGTTCAGGTAGTGATGATGATGATGAAGATGTTCAAGAGCCCATTAGGCAACAACATGGGACCATCTTTCCTAATGATGAGAGACTTATCTATCAAGCTGCATTACAAGTATATTATTCAAACCTAATCTTTATTTATAGACTTACTTGATCAAAACTATTTAAGTAGCTCGTCATTATTATTATTATTGTGCATTAATTATAACTAACCTGCTATATTAAATTGTATGCTAATTACAGGATCTGAATCAACCCAAGACCGAGAAGGATTTACCTCCTGGTGTTCTCGCGGTTCCTCTTATGAGGCATCAGGTTAATTATCATGCTTTGACCTAACTTTTTCACGTCCTTTCTTAATTTGGAGATTTATGTACTAAAATCTTGTTGTGTTTCTCAGAAAATCGCACTGGAATGGATGCGACAAAAAGAAAAAAGTGTGAACAATTGTTTGGGAGGGGTATTAGTAGATGATCAGGTTACATTTTATTAAAATATATTATTTCCCCAAACTATAGATATTAATTTTCTCTTCAAATTTATAATGTGTGTGTACCATATTATGCTAATGCAGGGACTTGGTAAAACAATCTCAACGATTGCTCTTATCCTATTGCAAAAGTTGAAGTCACAATCAAAGCCCCAAAAGCCAAGAAGTGGAAAATCTGGTGGTACATTAGTTGTTTGTCCAGCAAGTGTTGTAAAGCAATGGGCAAAATAAATTGAAGACAAGGTTTCTCTTGAACACAAGCTCTCTGTCTTAGTCTACCATGGATCCAAAAGAACCAAAAACCCTACTGAGTTAGCCAAATACGATGTCGTCGTGACAACTTACGCACTCGTTACAAATGAAGTTCCTCAAACCCTAGAAAGCATTCCAAGAAGATTTTCTGGTGCACTATCAAAATTTAAGTGGTTGAGAGTAGTATTAGATGAAGCTCAGACAATCAAGAACTATAAAACACAAGTTGCAAGAGCGTGTGCTAGTCTTAAAGCCAAAAGGAGATGGTGTTTGTCTGGAACACCGATACAGAACGAGATCTTCGATCTTTACAGCTATTTCAAGTTTCTTAGATATCATCCGTATGCTGACTACGAATCATTTTGCCTAAAAATCACGGAACCAATTAGTAAAAATCATCTTAGAGGTTACAAAAGGCTTCAAGCTATTCTAAGAGCTATATTGCTCCGCCGTACCAAAGGTATTTATTTGCTCCAACAAATGCATAGACATATATAATCCTAATGTAGTTTTGCTAATTTTTGATGATATTGTGCTATTTAGGAACAATATTTGATGGGCAACCTATACTTAGTCTACCTCCAAAGATTGTCAGATTGACTAAGATGGACTTTTCTCCAGAGGAATGGTCTTTCTACAAGGATCTTGAAACAGGTTCACAGTTGGAGTTCGCGGTAATTTTTCAAAACATTCATGTTTAATAAGAAGCTTGATCCTATATATAGATAAATGTAACCTAATTTTCATCTTATCTGTGTAGGCCTTTTCTGCTGCAGGGACTGTGTACCAAAACTATGCTTATATTCTTGTGATGCTTTTGAGGCTACGCCAAGCTTGTGACCATCCAAAACTTGTTAAAAAATCCAAGAAATTACCATCTTCTGATAATGATGATAATGATGATGATGATGATATTGATGATGATGATGATAACGATAACGATCAAGAACATCTACTTGTGCGACAAAGCGGCTTTAAGTCAAGGAAAATCAAAGCCGTGATGGAGAATCTTGAGTCGCTTGCAAAGCAAGGAAGTCAAAACTCTAAACCAATAAAGACAATAGTATTCTCTCAGTGGACAGGTATGCTTGATTTGATTGAGGGTAATTTTGTCGAAAAGGGTATAAATTTCAGAAGATTAGACGGTACAATGTCTCTACTCACAAGAGACATAGCTGTGAAAGAATTCAACAACGATCCAAATGTAAGTGTTGAACGACGTTTCATTATAATTATAAGTTTTCTTGGAAATACCTTTGTACTTAAAAGTTTAGTTAATATATTAATTCAACAGGTGCAAGTGATTCTAATGTCTCTAAAAGCTGGAAACCTTGGACTGAACATGGTATCTGCATGTCATGTGATTCTATTGGATCTTTGGTGGAATCCAACAACTGAAGATCAAGCTATTGATCGAGCTCATCGAATTGGACAAACTCGGACTGTTACTGTGTTACGTTTAACTATCCAAAATACCGTTGAGGAACGAATTTTGACTCTTCAGGTGTTTATATAATTCTTTGTTCCGTTTGGATATTACGTAACATTACTTCATTCGACTGTGAGTGATATTTGACCCTTTTTAAAAAAATTATTCAGGCAAAGAAAAGGGAAATGGTTGCATCTGCTTTGGGTGAAGATCCTGGTGAACTATCTGCGACTCGACTAACAGAAGAAGATCTTCATTATCTATTTTATGGTGGTTAGAGTTTTGATCAGGAATAAAAACAGCTACTTAAGTCTCAGGGTGAATGTAATTTATTCTTTTTTTTCTAGTTATGCAAAGGCTAAGTATCATCAAATTTTTTAACTTCAACTTTAGTTAACCACAAGTATCATCGAAACTATGCTTATCATATTACATCTGTTAACTTTAGTTATGATCTTCGAACGCTTAGGCAATAATAATGTCTGAAGTGTGAACTTAGAGACCCGACAGATTTTAGAAAGAAGTTTATGATTATAGGCAATATTGACCTTCTTAAAAATAAAAAATAAAAAAATTCTAATTAGAAATCCTTTAAAGATATATGTAAGATATGATGATTTTTTTGTTCAAACTTTTTTTCCTTTTTACCAACGCACTCAATAAATTGACTATAGAAATCTGAAACGGGTACTTCAAAGTTGGGAATCTTTTACTACAACTAGATGAGTATCCGCGTAATGCGTAGATTTTTGTTTCAAAATATTATTTGTTAAAAAATTAATTATAATTTATTTTATTGTATACTTCTTTTTTATGAACAATGATAATATTTTTTATCTTTGATTTCTAGTCATCCTATTATTTTAACCTGATCATGCAACCTCTTTTGACTATAGTTTACAAATATGTTATAATTAAAGAAATATATTATTACATATTTTGACTATAATAAGAAAAAGTACTTATTAATTATTTCATATTTTATTATTGAATAAGAAACTTAAATTTTTAATGATAATTTATTATATATGAGTTTTCTCTAAAAATATTGTGTATTTGAATAATATAATACATATGTATATATTTTATCGATAATAACTATGTATATGATAAATGTTTTGTCACCAGAAAATGTAAATTGTATTATGCATTTATAAATTATATATAAATTTAATTAGCATGTAATTAAAAGATAATTAATTAATCTAATTCTGGTTGTATTAAAATAATAAACAATTAATTATAAAATTTAAAAAGATAAGTGTCACTCTCTCTAATGATGTCGCACTCAACTGGAGAGAATTGGCCATCTTTTATATTATAAATTTAGTTTTGCCTTTAAAACAAGTCTTATTGATTATTATTAGCTTTAGGTGCAGGTTTTTTTTTTTTTGTCGTCTGGATAATATTAATAAACCAAAGCAGAGTGTTGTACCTCGTTATCTTTCTCTCTTGTTACAGTATTGTAATCGCTTTAGGTGCAGGTTAGGAGTAGTGATAATTCGTATCTCTTATTGGGCCAACCGACTTATTAATAAAGTCCTTTATTTGTATTATAGAGAGTGTTGCTACAAAGTTATTTTATTTGTTTAAAACTAATTATTCCTTGCGATCGTCTCTTTCTCCGTCCAAACCGAAAATCCAAACCGAAAACCCTAACTGTACAGTATATAACTCAAAATCTCTTCCAATAGTTTCAGATTTTATCAATCTTTGCCCCCTTGTTCTTGTTCTGCCCTTTTCTTTTACGTGTTTTGATTATAAATTTTCCAATTTGGAGTAAAAGGGGTTTAAATTGGTATGATTCTTGTTTAAGGATGCCCTAATTTCAATACTCATGTGACGCTGATCATAAAGTAATAACGGTTTCAGAGATTAAGAGAAACCAACACTAGATAGCAATTTCTTGCGTCGCAGGCTAGCGCTGATTCGTTTTTCTTAGAAACCTGAGATTCTGATTCTGACATATCAAAAGGAGAGGTCATCGTCTTATGATGGATTCTGCCATTGACAATGATAAGTACAGTTCAGGTAGTGATGAAGAAGTACAAGATGCCCAAAAGACCACCATTAATGAGAGAGTGATCTATCAGGCTGCATTACAAGTATATTCACCTTACAGTACTCTAACAACTTCTTAAAAAATATTAATGGACTCAGCAACAATACTTGAATTTTTGTATTCAAATTATGTTAGTGTTTTTCCATTTATCAACATGAATATTGATAATGGCTAGCTAATTTTTACAGGATCTGAAGCAACCCAAGACCGAAAGGGATTACCTCCTGGTGTTCTTTCAGTTCCTCTTATGAGGCATCAAGTATATATCAATAACTATCATTATATTGTTACTTAAAAACCTTTTTATTGAATCTGGTCCTTGTACTAAAATCTTCTTTTTTTCACCTAAGAAAATTGCATTGGAATGGATGCGTAAGAAGGAAAAAAAAAAAAGTTGCACTGTTTGGGAAGGATATTAGCAGATGATCAGGTCACATTATGCAAATACTCAAATATTGTTTGTTTGAACATTTTTAAACCAGCATCTAGATATCTAGATGCAAAATCAAAAATATCTCAAAAATCTGGATATTTGAGATCTGAAAAAATAGAGTTTTGATGTTGCATTTGCATCTCAAAAACCAAAAAACCAAAATATCCTTTAATATGATAAAAATAATGCAATAAAATTTATATTTATTATTTTTTTGTCAAATCGTAAAATAAAAACAAAAAAAATCATTTTTTCCGCTAAATTAGTAAAATTGAGTTTCTCGATAAAACTTCAAAATAGAGTTTTTCGCCAAAACCGTAAAATCAAGTTTTTCCTGCAAAAACTGGAAAATCGAGTTTTTCCGCCAAAACCGAAAAATCGAATTTTCCCGCCAAAACCAGAAAATCAAGTTTTCCGTCAAAACCGTAAAATCAAGTTTTCCGTCAAAACCGAAAAATCGAGTTTTTCCGCCAAAACCAAAAAATTGTGTTTTCCCGCCAAAACTGGAAAATCGAGTTTTCCGTCAAAACTGTAAAATCGAGTTTTTCCGTCAATACCAGAAAATCGAGTTTTTCCGCCAAAACCGGAAAATCGGGTTTTCCTGCCAAAACCAGAAAATTAAGTTTTCCGTCAAAACCATAAAATCAAGTTTTTCCGTCAAAACCAGAAAATCGAGTTTTTCCACCAAAACCGTAAAATCGAGGTTTTCCGTCAAAACCGGAAAATTGAGTTTTTCTGATTTTTCGGAAAATTAAGTTTTCCATCAAAACCGTAAAATCGAGTTTTTCCGTCAAAACCGGAAAATCGAATTTTTCCGCCAAAACCAGAAAAATCGAGTTTTCTCGCAAAAACCGTAAAATCAAGTTTTTCCGTTAAAACTGTAAAATCAAGTTTTTCCGTCAAAATTGGAAAATCGAGTTTTTCTACAAAAACCGTAAAATCAAGTTTTTCTCCAAAACCGTAAAATAAAGTTTTTTCGTCAAAGCCGTGAAATCAAGTTTTTCCGTCAAAACCAGAAAATCAAAATTTTCCGCTAAAATCATGTTTTTCTGCCAAACCGTGTTTTTCAGTCAAAACCGCAAACCAAGTTTTCCCACTAAAACTGAAAACTAATATTTTTCCGCCAAAATTTTTCGTCAAAACTATTTTTTTGTTAAATTTTATTTTTAGAAAAATTATTAATTTGTATTATCATAAATAAATTATTTTAGTGGTAAATAGAATTAATAAATTGAAAAATATATCCTTTTAATCATTTGAGATATTTTGTATTCAAATTTTTTTATAAATACACAAACAAACAATGTTGCATCCAAATGTTATATCCAAATACAAAACCTAATTTTAAAAACGAACAATATCTAAATGATGCATCTGAAAATTATATCTAGATACTGAATCTAGATACAACATCTAGATCAAAAAACGAACAGGGCCTTAATAGAAAACTTTAGTTAGCATTTAGCAAGGTGGATGTTAGATTTCTGACAAGTTAAATGTGTGTGATATACTTATGCAGGGACTTGGCAAAACAATCTCGACGATTGCTCTTATCCTATTCCAAAAGTTGAAGTCACAATCAAAGCCAAGAAAGCCAAGAAGTCGAAAATCTGGTGGTACTTTAATTGTTTGTCCAGCGAGCGTTGTAAAGCAATGGGAAAGAGAAATCGATGAGAATGTTTCTAATGAACACAAGCTCTATGTTTTAGTCTACCATGGATCCAACAGAACCAAAGATCCTATTGAATTAGCAAAACATGATGTGGTCGTGACAACTTACGCCATTGTTACAAACGAAGTCCCTCAAACCCCTCTGCTAGATTATTACTATGAGAGGAGTAAGAAGAGAGATAGAGAAAGCACTGAAACAACTTACTATTTTGGTCCACTATCAAGAGTTAGGTGGCTGAGAGTAGTGTTAGATGAAGCTCAAGCAATCAAGAACCATAGAACGCAAGTTGCAAAAGCATGTTTTAGTCTTAGAGCCAAAAGGAGATGGTGTTTGTCTGGAACGCCGATTCAGAACGATGTCGTTGATCTTTATAGCTATTTCAGGTTCCTTAGGTACCATCCATATGCCATGTACAAGTCATTTTCAAAATCAATCAAGGTCCCACTTTCCAAAAATTCTCTTCATGGTTACAAGAAGCTTCAAGCTGTTTTAAGGGCTATACTGCTGCGCCGCACCAAAGGTATATGTTCATCCTCTCCTACGTACTAATAATATATGTATGTGCTTTTGAAGTTGTGCTAAATATTATCTGTGTGATATTTAGGAACATTACTTGATGGGCAACCTATAATTAACCTACCTCCAAAAGAAGTTAATTTGAGCAAAGTGGACTTTTCAGTAGATGAATGGTCTTTCTACAGAAAGCTTGAAATACTTTCACAATTGGAGTTCGAGGTGATTACATTCTCCAAATATTATCAGCTGCGATATATAAATGAAATAAATGTAATCTTGCACCTTGTAACATGATATTTTATATTAGAAATATGCCTCTGCAGGGAGTGACAAAAACTATGCTCGTATGCTTGTGATGCTGTTGAGACTACGCCAAGCATGTAACCATTCAGGAGATTAGATGGTACAATGTCTCTAGTAACAAGAGACAGAGCTGTAAAAGAATTCAACAATGATCCAGATGTAGGTGATGGATTCGATGTTACATTAACTAGTAATTATATGTTTTCTTGGAGATGCTGTGATATTAATATTATTTAAACAGGTGCAAGTGATGTTAATGTCTCTTAAAGCTGGAAACCTTGGATTGAACATGGTATCTGCATGTCATGTGATTCTATTGGATCTTTGGTGGAATCCAACAACTGAAGATCAAGCTGTTGATCGAGCTCATCGTATCGGACAAACTCGGACTGTTACTGTAACTCGTATTGCTGTCAACAATACTGTTGAGGATCGGATTTTGGCTCTTCGGGTATTTTTTTTACTTCTTTGTTTCAAACATTATCTTTCTAGTAAACATTAGTCCACTTAACTGTGATTTATTTTTATAACTTTTGGCAGGAAGGTAAAAGGAAAATGGTTGCATCTGCAGTGGGTGAAAATCATGGTAAAAGCTCTGCGATTCAATTAACAATAGAAGATCTCGAATATCTATTTTATGGTGTGTAGAACATACTGGAGATTGTGCCCCCAGAGTTTTTTATTTTATTTTTATCAGGAAGAAAACCTCTGCCTACGTAATTTATGATCGAGTTATGTTGAGTTTGCGAGTTGTGCTAGCTCGCAATATGAATTAGAGTTGATCTTTAGCCTATCCACCTTGTGTATGTTCCTTAGTTTGGTAGAGCAACAAAAATTAGAGTTTTTTATATATATATATACATTTTGGCTTATTGTTTGATTTTGTAGCGAGCTAAATTGATTAAGAGTTTGTTGCTTAATGGATCATATAGATGACAAAGTGTTTTTCTATGTTTTTGAATACTTTGTTCAGCCATATGGCTTGTTGGTAATTTACAATATAATAAAATGTATCTATATATCATAACATGAAGAAATCGAAGGTTATAAATCAAAAAGGCAAAGAAGTGTGAACTGAACTTAAACCAGAGAATTTTGGAAAGAAAAGCACAGATGCAAGTCATACTATTTCAAAAATAAAAAATAAGGAGTAGTAGCTACATCGGATATATATTTCATTTTAGAAAATATAAACGTAAAATAAGAAAGTAGAGAATATAACACGTGTCATACTCATCAACTATGGTCACGTGTGAATCCCCAACAATTACAATTGTTTTGTAAAATCTCAATGCTGTATATATATATTGGAGACATATTTTACGAGCATTCGGTTGAAACCCTAATAAGCAAAATAGATAATGAATTCAACCAAGAAGAGCAAAAACAAGGAGATAGCTGCGCATGAGGAGAAGCTTCCATGGGAGTTGATTGAAGAGATACTCTCTCGTGTCCCTCCTAAATCTCTCGTTCGCTTCAGAATCGTATCGAAACGATGGAACGCTCTCTTCGACGACAAGACGTTCATGAACAACCACAAGTCGACGTTTCGATTCATCTTGACAACCAAATCCAAGATTTTTTCGGTAAGCATCGATCCCAAGATAGTGGTGCGTGAGCTAACACTGGATATTCCCGGTTTAGGATCTCAAAAACCTAAAGAGATGGTTGATTGCGATGAGTTCTTGCTATGTCGCATGGATAAAGGAGCCGCGGTTTGGAACCCGTGGCTGAATCAGGGTACATGGATCAAGGCCGAGGATAGGTTTCAGATCAATGGCATGGGTTACGATAGTAATAGGAGAAGTGAGAAAAGTGTTTACAAGACCATGTGGTCTAATCGTTCTACCGAGTGGAAAGTCCATGACCTTGCCTCCTATACATGGAAAGAAATAGTCGGGTCGGACCCTGATGGTAGTGATAAGGGAGCAAAACGTTCTACGTCACATTCTACAAGTGGTGTATCGTTGAATGGAACTTTGTATTGGATTGCTTTTTATGACAAGACCGATCCCTTGTACCACCTAATTAGCTTTGATTTTTCGTGCGAAGGATTCTACAAATTTTGTGATCTACCATGTGGGATGAACCATCATTGCGATGCGCTCGAACTTAGGGTGTTTAAGGGAGATCGGTTTTCGTTGTTAAAGCAATGCTACGTAACAAAGAAGATTGAGATTTGGGTGACCAAGAACAAGATTAACTATGAGGATGATGATGATGTGGTTTGGATGGAGTTCATGACTTTGTCAATTCCTAACTTTCCACGTTTAGTACATATTGGATCCTACTCTTGGCCAAGTTACTTCATCGACAATGAAAAGCTTGTCGTGTGTTCTTGCGATGAAACTGGCCTGTCTTGGATCTATGTTGTGGCGGATAACAAGCTGATCAGTAAACTCAAAATAGATTCTGTGGTTGATCCTTGGCCTTGCCATTGCACTTATTTTCCCAGCTTGGTCACGGTTCCTCGAGGTCCAAGAGATGAAGCAGGATTTATACAAGTTTGATTTATAATGTGTGTTTTCTTGTTAGTTTGTTGAGGAAACTAATATTGATTAGGATTTTGGTGTTTTTATTCGCAAACCTTCTTCTTTGTTGCAACTAGAAATTTTTTTCTCATTTTTCCTTCTTGTTTCTCCTCTTTTGAGAGAAATAATTTCTTTTTAGATTTTCTTAGAGCAAACTGTAGTTTGAATTCGTTTAAGGGGATAAGTTTAACTCTAGAAATATTTTCCAAAGAATTTGCTAATTAACTTTCACTTGCGGTCCAGTCCTATAATTCAAAAGTTGATAATTTTTTGGGACTCTGGATAGTCGCCTCTCTTGATAACTATGCCACATTTTATAACCAAGTTAACAACATAATCTATATTTTTTTCTATAATAAGCATCAACATCGCCTGTTTACTACCTTTTACTAAGATTAAGGGTGATTGGTGAGTCTCGTAATTACTTTTGAAGACATTTTCTTATTTGATCGAAGTCAGTCTATAATCTACAATTTTATTGTGTAGTGGATCAATAGTAATTAAAAAAAAAGAGGAAAAAATCATAATCATGGTTTATTTTGAACCGGTCATGTATAACTAACATTGGCCAGGGCGTATAAGCCGGTCCGAGTCCATCATTGGAGAAAAGCTCAGAGAAGTCTAGTGGTCCAAAAGAGTTGTTGCTTGATCGACACTCCATTGAAATCCCATCACGTCCGAATGCTGACATTCGAAAATATGGTAGGTAAAAGGAACTCGTGTTTTTTTATATATATATATCCAAATATATTAATAGCTCATTGATGATGATCCAAGCAATGCCAGCTACTAAAATTTGATGTAACCATTTTGAATTTGCTAAAAATAAATAAAAAAACGCTACTTGTAGAGAGAATTTGTTCCCTTTTGTATAAGGATGGATATGGGAAAGCTAAGTCCGCGTGACAAGGATGCGGAAGATGTAGTTGTCGTTTCTTGATTTATATGCACACGACAGTGACTATATAATTTATATACTATTTTTAAGCTTCATTATTGGATCACTATTTTTACATAATAATTCGAATGTATAAAGTATATAAACACATCGATGATGAGTTTTGTTTGCCTCTGTGCTGTCCACGAGGGATGGGGAGAGAGATGTGGTCCAAAACTTTGCGATTATCTTTGCAAGAGGAAATATTCGACCCGTTAGATTTTAAAGTGCAATAAATCAAAAGAGTGTATAATTGAATTGTTGTTGCGATATATTTAATGTTTCTAATGGGTCCTTAACCATCTGTTTCTACTAATGGTCAGTTCCATTAATCACAAAGAGCTTATGTGTTTTGTTTTATAGGTGCGAATTCTCGTGACTACAAATTTCATTTAGAAATTCTAAACTATATTTCTTTTCTAATGTGTGCACACAAAAAAATATTTCTACATTGATATTTCAGATTATCCTCCACGTGTGGCTCTGTCGAAAGGGATACAGGTGAAGCTGGCTCATTACATCGTCTGTTTTCTGCTCCTTGAATATTCAAAAATAAAAATGAAAAAACTAAAACAGTTTATTATTTTATTTACTTAGCTCCATCATAAATCGAAAATTAATTATATTTTTCTAGTTTCTGGTATTCCTCTATCACAAGCATGATGCACCCATGAATATGAACGAATAAAATCCATATGATACAATTTTCATAGTATATAATATAATCCATCTAATTAGTATTATTTCAACGCATTTGTTTATTACTGATGAATCTAGAATTTATTCCATACTTGTTTTTCCTGGTTTATGTAAGAAACTTACATCAACAACAGACAATTCCCAGATAAATTTACATATATCGTTATATATGCGTCTGAAATTGCAATGATTATGAACTTAAGAAAATAAACCGGCAAAAAAAAGAAAATTCTGAAATTTTTTATATTTATATAAGAAAAAGAAAAGAATTTCGAGGAAATTACAGTAACTGATTTAGCGCCGGCATCGAGTGATGGCGCTGCAGCCGCGGGAGTAAGGGTTGGCCTGAGCGCCACGTCGGCAATTGTAGTAAGATGCGCCGCGTCGTGAGCACGGGATACTGTTCCTCCTCAGCGCACCATAGCTGATGTACCTCGTATTCGCTAAAATACGCCGGCTGATCTCTGAGTCCATCTCGAACTCAGCTCCCATTTCTCCGCCGTAGAAGAGATCTCCGCCGTCGCCGAGGGCGGCGGAAACAGAGCACTCGGCGATGGAACCGCGGCACTCTGTTTCGATCGGAGGGAAGTCTCCGGCGAATTCGACTGACTGAGAAGATTCGGCGGCTACGGACCAGTACTGGACGGCGAGGATTACTAGGATCGCGAAAATCGCCGCCGCGCCGGAGTTTCTAGAGATTCCTCTCATCTTTCGTTTGATGTGTGTGTGTCTCTCTCTCTCTCTAGCTTAATAATTTCTCTGTAGCTCACCACGAACTTCGAAGAAAGATAGAGAAAGAAAAAGGCTTAAAGGAGGAGAAGCAGAAGGAAATGCCACTGAATGATATGAGTAATTACGAATCATACCACTTGACTTTAAATACATATACAGTTTTACAAGTGGGGCTTTTTTGTTGTTGTTAGCTTCAGATCTAAGGATGTTTAAATGCGCTAAGTGTATGATGGAGATGACACCACTAAAATTTTTTAAAACTTTGTTAATTCACTTTACGGTTTCTATCGATAATAATATATATTGGGATTATATATTAACCAAACTCCGCCCACACAATTTCACAAAATTTTGTAATTTGTTACTTACATGAAACCTTCTTATAGATACTATAGTGTTCCAAATCGGAATCATTTGGTGAATTATTATGATTTTTTATACATAAGAATGTCAGAAATAGTAGTTGTGATTATGATTTTCTTCCTTACAGCATTATGCATATACATCCGAAAATTTTAATGTTTCAAGGCTCCAACAAAAAAAAAATATAGTACTAAGGTTAGATAAGAATAATGTAGAATGCATTTACTTCAAATTTGTACAATATGAGTGGTCTCCTTCCATGTTTTGTGGTTATTTCAAAGAGAAAAGCTGCCTATTAAATTAAATTAATAGTTTATACATTTACTGTTTTACTCTATATGTAATTTGTAATTTCATCAAATTGGATATTATGTAAAGCATATATAATATCATGCGCAGCGACACGCCGCCTCCTAGCAGAAGTTTATGAAATGAAAAATGGTTTGGAAGATAATTTGGACCCACACTTACAGAGAATTGAACTTTTATTTGGATTTTATTCAATATTGTCTTTTGCAGATTTATGTTTTTATACGTGACTAAAATTCTATTTTCTCACCGATTTACGCGTTTCCGTCTCATTAAAACATATAAGGTTTGAAAATATAAAAAAAACATATAAGGTTTGGAGACTTGCATCAAATTAAATATCCCATTTTAATAAAAGATATTAAGTCTACTGATATTTTTTGCTAAGAGCCGAACAAAAGTCACTTTAACTTTTCAAGTTTAAGAAAAAATAAAGTATATATGTAAGTTTTGACCAGATGAAAAATTTATCAGAGTTGAGAAGTTTACAAAGGCAAACTCATGATACATACATTGGATAATCTAATTTGGAGAGTAAATAAAACTTAAATATAAAGAAATGTGTGGAGATTCTTAACGAAATTGAAACAAAACGTGGGTGAAGGTGAAGCTCCCCCAAAGTGTTTCTCCTGGTTTAACTCAAATGCTGGTTCAAGTTGATTCATGTTTACAAAGTTAATGAAGAAGAAAATCTATTAGTCAAAACTTAATATTTAAAGCCCAAAATAAAATATTTAAAGCCCATAAACTCGTGGACGGCTTTTAGTCAACTTTACTTTTCTTTGTTTCCCGTTGACCACGTCGTCGTGACTCGTGAGACTTTAAAACTCAAGAGGTCACTCGCTCGTTTTCACCGCGACGAAAGCCATCGGAATCACCATGGATTTTCCTCCGACGAAGCTTGATTATCATGTAGACATGTTCAATCTTCAATCACAAGCCAGATTTCTCTCCTTATATAAGGTACGTCTTGATAATAACCATTTGTCGAGCTCTTCCTCGCCGTCTTCTTTTCCGACTGCAATGCTGAATCATTATATTTTTTTTTTTTTGATAAAATGAATCATTATATATCTCTCTGTATCGATCAATGATTTCTATATATATCACCACATGATTCAGGCGGAAGATGGACGCACGGCCCTAATACTGGATTCGACGGTGTTTCATCCACAAGGTGGCGGCCAGCCATCAGACACCGGCTTCATCGCTTTCTCCGGTTCGGATTACAAGTTTTCCGTTCAAGATGTTCGATCGAAAGACGGAATTGTAGGTTTTTTTTGTTTGAATTTCTATCTCGATCGTTCCCAATTAAGTTTCTTAGTGTAGATGGTTCCCAGTTTACTCGGAAATTTGAATGCTGTTTGTGTCATTCCCTTTAGGTTCTTCATTACGGAGCTTTTGAAGGCTCGAATCCTGAAAGTGGAATGAACATTGAGAAAGGGCAAGAAGTTTACTTGCTTGTTGATGAACCGAGGCGCACACTTAATTCCAGGTTAAGAAAGTGTTTGGATTGAAGTTTTAAAAACATTTTTAAATGCATAGTGGGATACCATTATACCAATGCTTGAAATTTTAAAGTGAAAAACTGTTCCTTTTCGAGTTAAAGGATGTGGGGCACGAGTGATGCAGTTTCATAATCTGATTTTGGAGATCTTCATAATAGGCTGTTAGAAAGATTGTTCTTCATTGTTATGAATCTATCTTAAAGTTAGCATTTTTTTCTTCATGAGCAGGTTGCACTCAGCTGGGCACTTGCTAGATTTGTGTATGCAGAAAGTTGGGTTAGGACATTTGGAGCCTGGGAAAGGGTACCATTTTCCGGACGGGTAAGAGTCTCATTAACGAGATTTTGTCATCCGTTTGCCTCTTTGAAAGCTTTTTGTAAAAACAGTTTTTTTTTTGCTACAACGCGATCAGTCCGTTTGTGGAATACAAAGGAACCGTTCCGCAGGATGTCTTGCAGGTGAAGCAGAAAGAGTTGGAGGCAGAAGCGAACGAACTGATATCCAAAGGAGGAAAGGTAATTCCTCTCTCTTATTCGTAGTTGAATCTCTTTGGTTTTGTGTTAGGCTTCTTAAAAATGATTCTTTTGCCCTGCATAAGGTCTATGCCGCTATATTGCCCTATGATGAGGCATCCATGCTCTGTGGTGGCAGTCTTCCTGACTATATTCCTAAGGTATTCGCTGATTCCTTCGATCTCTAATGATTTATCTTCCATTATAAAACTTGATCGTCCAACTTACAGATGACCTAGAACTCTTATAGGATTAGCAATGGTTATCTTCAGTTATATCAAAGTTTTGCAGTTAAATCAGTGGCTTGTCTTAGAGTGATCTATTCTGGCTTTTTAAGTAAATTATAACTCTGCATAGATACACCACTTTCCCTGTTGCATTTGTAGGGTAATAGGTATCCAGTGAGAGTAAGCAAGTCAGTTAAGCAATGAAAATGGATAGTTAAGATAGACTGTCTCGAGCCATTTCATTCTTGAGATATAACAAACTCAAGCTTCTAAATTTTCTTACCTCGCAGGGAAGCACTCCCCGGATCTTAAGATTAGGTGAGAACCCTGGGTGTCCGTGTGGTGGAACCCATGTCTCCGATATATCTGATATCATAAGCATGAAGGTACACACATCCAAATATACCCAGTCTCTAGTAGATATCTTTCCTTTTTTTTCTTGTTGCCTTCTCATGTCTTGTGTTTTCTAAACTTACATGGGTACTAGCTACTTCCCTTGTCGTTTCTCAGGTCACACAGATGAGAACAAAGAAAGGAATGACAAAAGTTTTCTACACCATTGCAACTTAATACTTCGCTTACTGATTCCACAGTATACAAAAAAGTCAAGGTAATCCTCAGCATCACTTCTTGTTGGTACTGTGAATTCACAACGTCACGTTTACATTTATGTATAGCGCCTTAAACCGTATCTAAGACAAACAAAGCTTCATTTTCACCATCATTCCCTGAACAGTCCTAGGTCATAGTACTGTCCCAATAAAATAGTAGCAAATGAAATTACTCCCTGGTTCTGTGGTTTAAGAGACTTAGGAGTTAGGAGCTTGTACTAGATGCACATAACAACACAACAGCTTGCAAAAACTGTGTTATCTTACAGTTGCGTTCATAGAGACAACCCGAGATCTCTCCTATTGATTAGAAATTGCCAAAAAAAGGGTACGTAAGCTAAATGGGATTGTCATCAAATGTCATTTTCAGGGAAGGAATTGTAGTGATGACGACTGTTTTCATCAGTTGCCTTCAACAGCAAGCAGCCTCTCCCGTGGCTCAACAGCCACGAATCACACTATTTGTGGGGTATTTTATCAATCTATTAAACGACTCTCCCTATCACTGATAAGTCGTATATGATATGATATTGATGTGATATTATCTTCCACTCAGACTCAGCCCGCTTATTAGTATTACTATATTGACTCTTTAGTTTGTAGGATCGTACCGATCATTTGGTCTGACAATTTTATTGATGCACCTTTGGTATTTTTACCCTACGATAGAGTTGCATCATCATGCACATGGAAGCGAATCAATCGGAATGAGTTTTTTTGCGAAGGAAACCGGTTAAGCATGTAACAATTTCCATAGTTTTATTCGGAGACCGGTCTGACGCTGACGTTGTAGAACTTTTTGAAACATGTAAAAAATCGATCATTAAGCTCAATTAACCAGGTCAAAATTCGATAAAATAGAGAATATTTAATGGATTTTTCGTTGCTCTACTTATTGTTTGTTTTCGTGTGGCTTCTTCATACGATCTAACAAATATCGATAAACAATTAGACACTTATTAGTATTTTAAATGCTAAGAAAGATGCAAAATGTTAGATCTGCTCCCTTTTTCTTACGCCATGCGACCTAACCTAACTTGTAAACATTCTCGATTTTCTGCTTACCATTTTTTATTATTATTGTTATATCTGTTTCTGTCAGTACTATTTATTTCCTTACGTCTCTGTTTGCGGCAACTATGATATACGCCACGTCGACGTCTAGTAGCCCAAAAGATCAGATTTTGTAGAACGTCACTTTTCGGTTATATTATTGTGTTGCCCATTTTATATTGCAATATTTAGATATTAAAATTAAACATTCTTAATTTGATCAAATTACACAATACACACCATTATAGATAAAAATCTGCAGTCCAATTTATTTATGTAAAATAAAAGTCCTTAGTTGAATCTCTTTTCAGAATTGGCTAGAGTGAACATGTGGGTTTGTTTTATAGGATGACAAGAATTACCATTATAATTTTGTTTTATATATACACCCCTTGCAATTTTTAAATACGTAAAAATAACTATCGTGGGAAACTGGACAACAAAAATAAAATGGTTTATTCTCTTATTTCAGTTATTTGCTTAATCGTATTATATTGATTCTTTGAGCAGTTCAAGAAAAAAAAATAGAAATATAATTTGATAAACTACTAATTACAGGTAAGGATCTGAGGATGACATCAGCATAGAAAAATGTCAACTAACACACTTATTGCCTTCGATTGTTGACTCTATTGATTTTTCACTTTCGTCAATAGATATTTTTTTGGTCGATCGGTGTTTTACGAAGATTTTAAGTTATTACTATGTTTAACCAATTAAACAACTCATACAGATAGTTATTGTTAATAAATTGATTTACTTATGCAACACTACCCAAAAAAAAAAGAAAAAAATCTGAAAGTATCTTAACAAGAAAATTTTTAAAATACTAAATACTTCTCCGTATACTTTTTTAACCAAGATAATTAAAAAAAAAGAGAAAAAAATACCATAGTCTTTTGTGTAAAAAACTGAACTTTGAATGGAGAAAAAAAAAACAGGAAGCTAAAAAGGTAACGAATCAAAAACCAAAAAAAAAAAAAGTGAGAAAAAACATTATAAAGGGAGCTTCGATTTTAACTCCCAAAATTAGCAAAGAAAAACATTCACTCGTTAACTCTTCTCCTCCATCCATCCCATTCATCTTCTTTTCTCCCTTTTCACTTCTCTCACTCGTTTTTATTCGCTTCCTTCGTCTCTTCCGATTTGTTCCTTTCGTGAATTTCGCTTCTCCTGAATTCTCCGATTCGTCAAATCTTCCTCGAGTTTTCTCCATATCCGCGTTTTCCCTTATACGTTAAGGTAAAACCCGTTATCTCATCAATCTCCAATGTGTGTCTGCTCTTCTCGATTCACCGTTTCGTTCCGATTTTCGATATTCCGATTTAGGTTTTCTCAATCCAGTTTGCAAGTTCTAATTTTGTTCTGTCAGTGGAATCATTTATATACATCAATGTTTAGGAGTTTTTGTTGATACCACCTTTAAGCATGAAGACATGTCATGGTGAATACACTGAATAGTGAATACTTGAAGAACCAATTCTATTTTTATTTTTTTCCTGTTTTCTTGCAAACAGAATTGTTTATCTGTTTCTGGGTTTTTTTTCTCTGTAAAACGGAATCCATTGCCAACAACTTATGTGGTCTGCATTTAATGGCGTCCTATGAGAAAGACGTTTTTTTTTTTTTTTTTTATAACTCCACATTTAACTTGTGCAAGTGTTCGTTATCTTGGCCCCGTCTATCTTCACTTTCGATCTCTGCTTTCACTCACACCACGTATTTTTTTTTTTTTTTTTTTTTTTTTTGTAAAAGTCTTAAGCTTTAATTAGGACTGCTTTTGGATCCTAGAGTTTTGATTAAGACAAGTCTTTGACATGCCTTTTCAAACTTTTCCTCGCTTGATTTGATCAATGATTGATAACCAATAGTGTGGTAAATCTGATGAAGTAAATTGGATTCTTGTTGTTTCAGAAACCATTTTTTTTTTCACAACAACAACAACAACAAAAAAAGATGCAGGAAGAGACAATAAGTGATCCTTATGGAGAGATTGAGATAAGCTTTGGTTATCAATGCAATAGTAAAAAGATTAGTATCCCTGAAGACAACGTTCTTGCTGGCTTTAGGCTTCAAAAGACAAGCAGCTTCTCTTGTTTATCAGGTGCTGCTCTAAGCGGAAACCCAACGTTAGCCAACACGAACATCTGCAACGGAGTGATCGGCTCTGAGATTCTGCCATCTCTCGATTCTCCAAAATCATTCAGGAAAGTTCCGTCTTCCCCTGCGCTTTCCAAGCTTGACATACTCTCTCCTTCTCTCCATGGGAGCTTGGCGAGTCTAAGCTGCAGCTCGTCTACTAGCCCGAGCCCTCCTGAGCCAGAATCTTGTTTCTTGTCCTCCATGAGTTCTCCTTCTTCCGTGAACGAAGGGTTTCTTCTATCTGCCATGGAAGTTCAAGTTGCTGGCGGTGCTGCGGGTGAAGATAGGGTTCAGGCGGTTTGCTCTGAGGAGAACGGTTGGCTCTTTTGCGCCATCTACGACGGATTCAACGGAAGAGACGCTGCTGATTTCTTGGCCTGTACGTTGTATGAGTCCATTGTGTTCCATCTCCAGTTGCTTGATAACCAGATGAAGCAAAGCCTTACAGTGACGCAGCTAGATGATGACGTTGGCGAGAGACAGGGATTGTTGTCGAACATAAGTATTGTAGACTCTTCTTCATCTGATTTGTTCAGACAGGGAGTGCTAGATTGCTTGAACCGTGCGCTTTTTCAGGCGGAGAATGATTTCCTGAGGATGGTTGAGCAAGAAATGGAAGAGAGACCGGATTTAGTATCCGTCGGGTCTTGCGTTCTTGTCACTCTCCTTGTCGGGAAGGATCTGTACATCCTGAATCTAGGTGACAGCAGAGCTGTACTAGCGACCTACAATGGTAACAGGAAGCTGCAAGCTGTTCAGCTCACGGAGGATCACACTGTTGATAACGAAATCGAAGAAGCTAGGCTCTTGAGCGAACATCTTGATGACCCCAAAATCGTTATTGGTGGGAAAATCAAAGGAAAGCTCAAAGTTACTCGTGCTCTAGGAGTTGGTTACTTGAAGAAGGTATTGTTAATGGTAATAATTATACTGTAATAGCTTTTCGTCTTTTTGGTTTGCTTTTTCTTAAAAAAATTGCTGCTCCGTTTGCCAGGAGAAACTGAACGATGCACTGATGGGAATCCTCCGTGTTCGTAACCTCTTGAGCCCACCTTACGTTTCGGTGGAACCATCGATGAGAGTTCACAAGATAACGGAGTCGGATCACTTTGTTATAGTTGCAAGCGATGGTTTGTTCGATTTCTTCAGCAACGATGAAGCGATCAAGCTCGTTCATTCCTTCATTTCTAGTAATCCTTCTGGTGATCCCGCAAAGTTTCTACTTGAACGTCTTGTAGCGAAAGCTGCTGCTCGTGTTGGTAAAGCTTCTTTTTTTGTCTTCTTCTTCAAAACGTTTGATTTCTCTGCAGTTTTCGTCATCTGTGAATAACAACTTTTTTGATTTTTTAGGCTTCACGTTGGAAGAACTAATGAATGTTCCGACTGGTCGGAGACGGAGGTATCATGACGATGTGACTGTGATGGTAATCACACTCGGTACGGATCAACGCACCTCAAAGGCTTCTACGTTCGTTTGATTTTTGATGATTTATTGATGATTAATGATGATGATGATGATGACGACAAATCGTGGATTGGTGAAACTGTAGATATAGTCTCTTGATCGTACCTAAAGACGTTTGGAACTGATGTTGAATTTGTCTTTGCTGGTATTTTTCCCAACGTATAGTAGTAAAAGTACGTACAGTATATATATATATATATATATATTTATTGTAGTGGTCGTAGTTTGGGATTTTTTTGGTTACTTGTTTTTGTCATCTTCTTATTATTTCTTTGGAGATTTTAAAAGGGGTCAGTGTCTGTCCAAGAGCCGCAAGACGTTGGTTGTTGCTCTGCTTTTGGCCTTATTGGGTTTGGTTTTTAGCGTCTGGTTTGTAACATATAGACTGTACCGGTTCTGTTAATTGGTTAACGACTACTGGAATAAATGTTGAAATGAGAGCTTATTTCACTGTTGTAGTCACGTATAGGGGTGGGCAAACGGGAATATGGGACGGGATTTTGCGGGAATGGGAACGGGACGGGAATATGGGAATCAAAATAATTGTTCTATATGTGTTTCATTCAAAATTTGGGATGGGACAGAAATGGGACGGGATAGGATGGGAATGGGACGGGAATTCCCAAAAAACCTAAAAACACGACAAATTGACAATTGTAAAAAAAAAAATTAAATTAAATTTATATTAGTCTATTTGTCATTTCTTAAATCCTAGTAAGTAATAATAATATGTCATATAAGATTATAAATTAACGAAGAAACAAATGAAATCAAACTTAACTTAATTATTAAAAGTTAAAAGCTTCAATTTTTTAAAAAAAACCAACATAATCCATTGAATAGTAAACAAAAAACCACATGTAGTCCATTAGTCATATAGAATAAAATAAAAATTAAAAACAAACATAATCCGTTCAAATCTCAGCAATCGGCATGCATTTAGACTATAACTTATAAGTCAGAATTTTAGGGGTGCAACTTTTTAGTTTTAACTTTCGTTTATATAAAATAATATATTAATAAATAATAATTATCATTTTGGTAATATATTTTAAATATCTAATTTATTATTTATATATAATTCGGGACAAATGAGACTTCGGGAATTCCCGTTCCCGTCCCGTCCCATCCCATTCTCAAATGGGAATCGATATGTTGTACCATATGGGAAGCACATTCTCATATGGTACGGGAATTTAGGATTGAGACTGGAACGGGATGGGACGGGACGGGAATTGTGCCCACCCCTAGTCACGTATTTGTAAGATGTAATAACAAAAAATAAATGACTGGCAAAAGGAATGGTAAAGGATAGAAAGAAAAAAATTATAGAATTGATCGAGATCATACGTCCCAGTTACTACTTTTTATCTTCTTGAGTATGTTCTTTCTATCTTTCGATCCTCCACAAAACATACTTGGTAACAAGAACCTCATAAACATTTCTTTAAACACTTCATATTTCCGGCCGGCGTTCCTCCCGATCAAGAGCTATGACATGTACATAACACCGAAATGATTATACATATATGTATATACCCTTCAAAAGCCAAAAAAAACTTATATATAAAATCGCCCACCGTGGGGCTCGAACCCACGACCACAAGGTTAAGAGCCTTGCGCTCTACCAACTGAGCTAGACGGGCTTTAATATTATGAAAACATTGCCATATTATATATAGGAATATAAAAATGAAGTTCTCAATCTTTAATTCATGAAGATGATGATTAGAAGCTGTATGTGATCTTTATCAGTGTCTTTGAAAAATTGAAACGGTTTTCATTTTCTTGGGATTTACCAATTTCGTTATTGTGTAGTTAGTTATTGCATTCAATAAAAAGGACGTAGAACTAAACATTATGATGCTTTCACACTACACACTACACACTACACAGGATTAATTGGAATTCAATTCATGATTAGGGGAGAGTTATGCGTTATCAACCACTACCCAAGTCCTGATGAGGATTTCTTTGTATGTCATGTCATATAGAATAATAAAAATTAGAAGCGGTCGAAAGATGGACTATATATAGCTAGAAACAATGAATAGTTCGTTGATATTATTAGGTTTGCGTGAATAGCAAAGAAATGATGACGTATGTTAACTTTCTTCAAGTAGAAGTGGGCAAGGTTTTGGTGTACAACGAAAACATAAAAAAGGTCATTAAAAAATCCCATTTTGTGAGTAATTTATATGAAGAATTCGAGCTGACATGTCGAGATAAGATGTAAAACCAAGTAGTGTTATATTACTAGAACTTTTATAATACAAAACTGGCTTCACTAGATGACGACATGGGAAGCAGGATCAATGAGCACGAGCAAAGCATCGGTGACCTAAGAGCTGAGATTCGTGACGTACAAGGCACTCCGAAGAACGCGGCCGAATCACCCTTAACCGAAAAACCGGTTCGTCTCATACCGCGTGGAGCCCAAAATGATAATTACCGGAAACTATCAGTTCCGCGTCGGAAAATATTAGAAATCAATTAAAGACGAAAAACTGATTTAATACGTGTTCATTTAAATAAAATTAACGGCTAGGATCGATTGGTGTCTATGTGGAATGGAATCTTCTACTGTCCACCAGATACTTCATAAATACACATTTTGTTGTTATATTATAAAAGTTGTTAATAAAAGCTTCAGTTATATACAAAACTATTATTTTATTACGCGTTGATAACTCATTTAACATTACATTCCTTTTTAGACGGAAACCACAGCAATCTCCTTCTCTTATCATCATCATCCATGGCGAATCTGACCATAGAGCTCAACATCTACTCTGCGAAAGATTTGGAAAATGTCAATCTTATCACCAAGATGGACGTGTACGCCGTCGTTTGGATCAACGGCGATGATTCTCAGAAGAATTACAAGGAGAAAACCGCCGTCGACCGAACCGGAGGATCTGAGCCGACTTGGAATCACGCCGTCAAGTTTTCCGTCAATCAAAGATTAGCCCGTGAAGGCCGTTTGACACTCGTCGTGAAATTGGTCTGCGATCGGATCTTCGGCGGCAGAGATCTCGGAGAAGTCCATGTCCCGGTTCTCGAGCTCCTCAATTCGTCGCCGTCTTTTAACGGTGACGGTAACGGGAACGGCCAGGGGATGAGATTCGTGACGTATCAGGTGAGAACTCCTTGCGGGAAAGGTCAAGGTTCGTTGACTTTCTCGTACCGGTTCGATACACCGTCATTTAAACCGGATCTACCGGCAACAGCGGTTTACCCAAACCCGATTGATACACCTCCTGATTACCATCCGCCGTCTGAAGCAGGTTTCTATCCACCACCACCGACAATTGGATATCCGCCGTCGTCTCAGCCGCAAGGCTATCCCGCACCGCCGTCGTCTCAGCCGCAAGGCTATCCCGCACCGCCGTACCCGTACAAGTACGATTCTCCTTATCCAGAACATCCGGTCACCGCTTACCCACCGTCATCCTCCGGCTCGCATTACCCTCCGTCTTCCTCCGCCTCGAATTACTACCCTCCGCCGTCTTACGGTGCTTCTCCGCCTCATCATCCGTATTTGTATCCGCCTCCACCTGATAAACCGGGTCATTCGTTCCACCAAATGCAACCGTCACAGTCGTTTAACGGGTATGCGCCGCCGTCCCCACAGAATCAGCATGTGTATAGTCATCCGCCGCCACCTACGTCACCGGGATATGGATACCGTTATCCTCCGCCGACGCAAACGCCGCCGAAGAAGAATAAACCAGGGCTTGGAATGGGAGCTGGGCTTCTAGGAGGAGCATTGGGTGGGCTATTACTAGGCGATTTAGTGTCTGACATTGGCTTTGATTTTTAAATTTTTACTACTCGTGAGAATTGTTTTTTTTTTTTTTTGTTTTGTTTCTCATGCGCCATTCGTCTTGTTGATTTGATCCATCCGCATCTATTATTTCAAACACAGCTTTATAGTGCCAATCTTTAACTTACCTGAGCCGCCAAAAAAAATGTATCTATAATTTGATTCCTATTACACTTTTTCTAAGTTTCAATGTGAAATGTGTTTTTAAGCATTTGTGAGATATATATATGTGTATATATTTTGAGAATAACTCTTTTCCCTCATTCTCAAATAGACTGTAATTTTGCTTGTTTAGTATGAGGAAGATTCCACAGCAAGTATTAATAAACCCTTTGAAAAGATATGGCTCACATTTTATTCTGTTTAGTAAGAGGGAGAAGGATTTGGTTAATTTTAGTAATTGGTGGACTGTACAACTTGGTATTAATTTGTTTGACGGCACTTGGTATTTTTAGGCATAAGATTGATGTATTTAAATAAATGTTGACTTTGAGAAATTACAAAATTAATCAGAGATGAGCTTTATAGAAGTCCTAGAATAATCAAAGGCTTTTGGAATGCTTAGACCGAATCACGTTATTTAAAGAGAAGCCAAGTAACAGTTGTGGTATTTGCCTAGTTGGCTATATAGCTATTGTATATCGGATAAGATTGGTCAAACAGTTTTTCGGACCCTAAATAAAAGATTATTCGAATCAACATGGCTTGTATTTCCCTCGGTTTCAGACCATTACGGTGCCACATGCGCTTACGTTTACGCCTTCGAATCAACCCCGTCAATACCTTTATATGTTATTTAAACAGGAGACCATATTATAATGTGATATTGATAATGTCGTCTTACATCTTAATTAGTTTTCTAATCTCTTCCAGGTTGTCAAGGATGAGATTGCTGATAGGAAAAATTCAACATAAGTAGTCCTAGATTTGTCGATGACAAGAATATAGGCTTTGTGAATTTGTAGACACTTTCATTATAAAATTTGTAAAAATAGCTTATGTTTATAAAGGATCGTCATCACAGAGATGTTCAGGAAACACCACCAACAAATTGGACTCTATTCAGCAGAATACTAATAAGTTTGAAATATCATGATTGGAAAATAAAGTTTTCTAATCCAAGAGAAAGAAAAAAATGTATAGTAGTACATATTAGACTATAGGTTTAAGAAATGTATGATGAAGATCATTTATGCAGAATATACTTGTTCACGGGAACCAAATCAAACCAAATCCGCAGCAAACTAAACCCAGCTAAAATTTAATCAAAACCAAACAAACCAAGTTAACCAACCCCAATGAAACTCAAAATGCCACCCCTAATTAAAACCACAGTACAACTTCAGTATAGTAGTCAAACCATTTGTTCTAATGAACAATTGGGCCCGTTTTGTGCGTGGGTTTCATGGGCCATTTAGAGCAGGCTTAATTCAAATATCATACTTCGATTTTTCTTGATTTCATTTTCCTACCTATATGCTCCTCCTTTTTTTATTTAGATTCTCCTCAAAAAGATAGCATTATTAATTTATATAAAGACTAAGAGTGTACAAATGATTATAATACCCGAAAAAGTAAAAACCCTACAAAGTACAAACTCATAGTTAGTGCATAAAATAATTCACTGATTTAGACAATTTTAAAAGGGATAAGTAGTTTTTAAAACTTGCAGATTATTTTTCTTGGTAAAATTCTGGGAAGAGCATTAGTGACACACCACTATTCTCTCTTGCCTTATCTTCTCCTTTTTCTGATATGACATTCATTTCACGAGTTGTTTTTGTTCCTTTTCTCCCGAGTCGGCTACTTTTAATTGGATGCTTTGCAATGTTAGATCACAGCCCTCGCTTTCTTTCATCTCCATTCACTTATACGGTTGTGATTAGAAAGCCGAAATTTAAACCTTATGCAACTGAGTGCAACATGTGTCCACTGTCTACTTTGTCTGCGCGGATCTAGTTTTTGTTTTTGTTTTTTAATTACAAATACAAACGTTTTTCCTTTTGCTGTATCTTCCGCTTTGAACTATTGACGGTGAGAAAGAGAAGTGCGGTTAAGTTAAACCGGAGAGGTTAACCATGGACCATGGTTAAGGTTTGTCTGACAGTGAGGGAAGAAAGTCACGGAGTTGGGTAAAACGGAGACAAGATATGACTAGCGTCTAGCGACATACTCCTTCGCTAATTTACCAAAACACCCTTCCTTACTTGACCGGAACTCTTCGCTCTCGAATCTCGAATTTTTCTTTGTTCGGCTTTTCCGTAATATCGCTATCACACGTGCCTTTACACGTGGGAGAGACATGTACATAAGTAGCTTTACCGCTGAAATATGTTCATAACTTTCGCAGCATAATTTTATGTACAATTTTTTTTTTTAATATAGGTTAATGTTATTTTTATAATATGTCAATTTTGTAAATTATGATGTTATTTATATATATGTATAGAGAAAATAATTAAAGATTAGGCAAAAAAACAGTTGACTAATTTACTCTGGTTGGGGAAGCAAATTAAATATACCATCGTAATCCACACGTACGCATTGTTTTTAACTGTTGACAAAATTGTTGATTAGCTACCTAACAAATTGACATTGTTTTTTCTTTTCTTATTGAATGTCAATTTTACATAAATAATAATCTATATTCGTATGTACTCCCCCATTTCTTAAATTCTCTCAGTTAATCTTCCCATGCGATTCATTTATTATTTGATGAAAGGAACAAAAATTATGTTTATTTATAGATCGTTACATAATGTGTTTACAAGTATAGGGATATGTGTCTTATGGACACTGGATAAGAGAGTGGTCCTTAACAGACCATAAATTATGGGATCTTCCCTAGTTCCTTTATTGTTATCATTTCTTTAATTATTCTTATACTATATTTTTATGAGCAAGTTGTTTATTGGATACATGCATTTCATTATTTATTTAATCCCTAATACTACTGCTACTAGTACTACTTGTAAAGAAACAGAACAGCACGCTTTGCTTCTTTCACTAGACAAAACCTTAATCAGCGATTTTTGAGGCAGAAAAAAAGATAAGGTTGCGTGTGTTTTACTCCAAAAAAACTCCTAAATCCTAAATCCCAAATCCTTTTTCTTTCCTTTTTTTTCACTGCTTTTTTTTCTTTATGTCAACAAAAATTGTTGTTCTTCTTTGTATGTTGGCATTTGTACTATTTTGTGGTTTTTAAATTTATCTGTTGGGGTTTAGGAGTAAAAGTAAAGTCACGCTCTGCTTTCACTTTTTCTTGGGGTTTTTTTTAATAACTTCATACAAATCCAACTTCTCTTTTTCTCTGTATTCCTAATTTTTTCTCTTCTCGTCCCTTTCAGAATCTTGAGAGAGAGAGAGAGAGAGAACAAATTGTAAAAAAAAGGGAAGTCTGTGTGTGAGAGAGAACCCACCAAAGCGTGCACGAGAGAGAAAAAGAGCCAAGAAAGAAAGAAAAAAAAAGGCTTTGATTTGTATAAAATCCCACCACTTGTCTTACCACATACCTTCATTTTACATCTCTCTTTCTCTCTCTCGCTCTCAGTTTCGTAAGATTGTTTCTTTTTAGGGGTTTCTCAGGTTATTTTCTTAAAAAAGGTTTCTTAGGGTTTGGTGAATCTCTGTCGTACGTCTCCCCTTGTAAGTAAGCTTTAGGCTTTGATGAAAATAAATCTTTGAACTTTTGGGGGAAGCAAATTATCAGTTTTTCAAAGTTTGGGGGGTTTGTCGAATTTCATCTCTTTTGTAAGCGAGATACGGAATCTTCTTGCCTTGTTGTATCGATGGAGGGTTGTCCAAGAAACAGAGAAACCTGTCCTAAACTCCTTGATTTGATTCCCCAAGGAAGAAAATGGTACCATGAAGAGAAGAAAAACTCAGATCAGGAAAAGAAACTTGAGCTAAGGCTTGGACCACCTGGTGTTGATGAAGATGATCGTTCGGCGATGAACACAGAGACGAGAAACAACATCAAACAACAACAAAACATCAAGAAGGAATCAGAAGACAAATCTATCTTCAGTCTCAACGGAAACCATTTCTCTCCTTCCAACAAAACCACTCATGTTCCTCACATCTCTCATAAAAGGTAATCTCCATTATTCCTCACTGGTGATTTTTTCTTACTTCAACAGCGGATATTCTCTAGACATTAGGGACCCATCATCTGAATTCTCTGTTTTTTGTTCTTTCCTATTTATCCTATCTTTTCATTTTTTTCTGGACTTATTTTAAGATTTGCTCTGTTTCGCTCTGTTCTGCTCTGTTTGGTGTTAACATATTTCATTTGAATGTATGATATAAAGAACTGCTCCTGGTCCAGTGGTGGGTTGGCCTCCGGTTCGTTCGTTTCGAAAGAATCTAGCGAGCACAAGCTCTTCAAAGCTTGGAAACGAATCCTCCCATGGAGCTCAAATCAACAAGAGTGGTGATGGTGAAAAGCAAGTCGAACTTAAGAGGGAAGGAATGTTTGTAAAAATCAACATGGATAGTGTTCCAATTGGTCGGAAAGTCGATCTCAGTGCTTACAATAGCTACGAACAGCTCTCTTTTGCCGTTGACAATCTCTTCAGAGGTCTCCTCGCAGGTTAAAAATCAAGATTTCAAAATTCATTTTTTTTTTGTGCTTCTTAGATAAATGATTCTTGGTTTATTGATTGTGTTTTTGTGTATTTTTTTGTTTTGTTAGCTCAAAGAGATACTTCTGGTGGTGAAGGAGAAGAGAAACCGATCATTGGTTTATTGGATGGTAAAGGAGAATTTACTTTAACTTATGAAGACAATGAAGGGGACAAGATGCTTGTTGGGGATGTTCCTTGGCAGTAAGAATCTTTTTCTTTTTTCTCTTCTCTGAATCTGATTCAGTGTTTTACAGAATCACATTCTTAATCACATAACAACAAAAAGTGTAAAGCATCTCTTTTTTTGTTTGTAGATTTCAAAATGATTATCTTTTACTAATCTTAATCTGTATTCTAAAACCAGAATGTTCGTTTCATCTGTGAAGAGACTGCGTGTTATCAAAAGCTCTGAGATTTCATCTGCCTTGAGATGTAAGCTTTTAATGTTCGTATGTGTTACTTTTGAGCTAAGATGATTTATAGAGTAATAACTAGAAATTGGTTCCTCTGTATTTGCAGTTGGATGCAGTAAGCAAGAGAAGATGAGGAACTGAAGAGCGTTTTGGAAACTTCTACTTGACTGAGAGGGTCTCACAGTTTTTAATTGTACATCTGGTTTTTGTTATATATAAGAGATAATCATTGGTTTTGTCCAGAGATAGACATATGATCTTGATCTGAAATATGTTCCCGTGTCCTTGAGACACTCAACGATGAGATTACAGAAGCGATGTGTGTTTAAAAGCATTTAAATAAGAAGATACTTGCAACATAATAAATCATCTCATGTCTACAAAACTCTTTTGCAAAAAAGAAATGAAATTTTTATTCTCTGTAAAAGTTCTTTTAACTTTCGTTCCAACTTTAGCCTATACCTTTAATCATGTAAAAAACTGAGAATAAAAGCCACATTATTGTTGTTTTTTGTTTTTGGTCTTTTATTTGTTTTTTTAATATGAGTCTGTACATAAGATTGATAACCCAAAAAGACTTTTCAGAATGATCAGTCCATATCGATAATTTTGGTGGCTATCATCTATTTTGCTATAGTGCAGAATTTAGCAGCTTTTGTTCTCACTATAAATCATATATATATCCACTGTATGTAACACATTTCGCATTATCAACTATTGGACCGTTTCTCGGTGGACCGACTGAAACATCACAAACAAAAACTTTTTTTCATTTAGCACATTGTTTTCGTGGTAAATATTTTCATAACGTCGTCAAGTAAAAATTGGCCGACGTAGAATATCATCCTCAAATTAAGTACAAACTTTAACTACGAGATGAACTTCTGAGGCTTGAGCATAAACGAATCAACTAATAACAATTGTTGAAACTTATCCAAACTTTGTGGTTACTTTGTTTAAGCATAAGAGCCGCACGTAAACTATAAATTGAAAACCACTAATCTCGTGTTTGAAGTTGTCCTTCGATGGTTTTCAGTAGTTTCATGCGGGTGTTACGGTTAGACCATATGAGATATTTGGATAGTTTTGAAATTTATTTCTTAGTTAAATAAGGCTATACATCTATAGTGTCGGTGGTTTAACTGATTTATGAACTGGCCATCCAGAAGAAAAGAGTTTTCGAGACCACGAATTCGAGTTTTGGCATAATATTAGGGACAAATTAGCATGCTCTACTCTCCGACTCGATAAAATTATGGGTGTAATTAGACTTGAACCTTCTTTTCTACTAAAAAGGAAAGCTGATTACAAGGTCAGATAACTTATACATAACTTTTATTCTTTTATATGTAAACAAAATGTTTTATAAAAAACCGCAGTTAAAAAGACCAACTTTCAATTGAGAACACATTGCTTGAAACATATTTAGAGAGGTAGCCTGAAAAAATTGTTATAATTTTTTTTATTTAATTCACTGTTATTACTTAAGGAACTTCTAGTAAGCATTGTGCCATTTTTATACTGTAAAAATTCCATCATATAATCTGTTCCGAAAATTCGCATCTATTTCATCGTTTGGATCCTCTATAATTTCATTTTCTTGTTAAAGATAAGCAAAACAAATAAAGAGTAGCGACATGATCAATTTGGTGGTGTTCTTCTTGTGGAGCAGTGTGACTGGATGGGTTATATAATTTGTGGTTGGGGGATTTTGAGAAAAATAATACTGAGTGAGACATGAAAATAAATAAATAAGATAGAAACATTGAATTTAGAATAGTCATTTTCGTTGAGACATGCCTAACTCAAAGCAAATGTGGGACTTATTACTCTTTCTTTAGATAAAGGGATTTGGTCATTTATTATGTACATGATTGTGATGGTAGACTTGTTCTCCACCAATGCAGCGAAGAAACTCAACTTTGTACACATGTTATAAGTGTTTTTTGCTAAATATAAGTGATAATAAAATTTAAAAAAAAATCATATATGTAGATAGAAACTTATAGTCTTATGACCAATGGAATGAATTCCTGTATTTCTTTATTTCTATATGTAAATGTAATATCATTGGTTATTACTTATTAACGCACTAGATTAGCCTCATTTCATCAGTAATTTGTTTCCATGGCGAGGCTACAAATCGACGAATAGACTACGGAGCGTTTCGAGATTTCTTTGTAAGTCTGTGTGCCGTTTAACTCTTATATGGGCCTCACAAGTTAAAAAGATTTCGGTCCATACTGAGTCGAAATACTTTCCAAACAAAACCACACACATTTTAAGTTTACAACCAAATTTTAAAATTATCTATGAATCGACTAATAAAGGCAACGAAGTACTTTTCAATAATTCGTAATTTCTTAAAGTCAAAATTTCAATTCTGTAAAGGGAGACTTGAACCACTAGATAATATGGTAGCCCCCCCTATAAAGGTTTATTATATCAACATGTTTATAAATCTTAATGCCTCTCTTATTGGTAACACATAAAACGCTGTATACAATGGAAACAAAATTTCTCCGACATAATCTTTAAACATAGAGAACACTAACGAATATATATTGTAGAACAGTAGGAAGATTCGGCCCACTCTAAGAAAAGTAGTAAAAGATTCTTCGGTATATTTCACCTGTTACACTCTAGAGTCATGATTACCTTATCTACAGATCAAAAATACGTGTATTGTAGTGATGAGGAGATTGGTTATACTTATTCCTGGACCAGCTCTCAAATTGTAGGCGCAAGGAACGTTTCAATACATATCATTGATCCCGATTAATTAGTAATTTTGTTGTGGACAGTCGAGAGTTAGGTGAATTGATGATACTGTATATAAATTTGATCGGTATACAACTGTAATCTTCTCCATGCGCGTTTTGAAAGTTTATACAATTGTAATCTCCTCCATGCGCATTTTGAAGCTTTCTCAATTATATACAATGAGAAAGGGGACTCATGCAGTGATTATGGGTTTTGACCAGGAGACAAGATTCTCCAATATAAATAACTTATCAAGTGGAGGCGCCCATAACTGTTGAATATATATGTATTATTTGTTTCTAAAGAATAATGAAATTATCGGTTGAATCCATTCTCCAATGTCTATCCCACTTAACTCTCCCACATGATGACCCTTTGTACTATAATGTCAAATCTTTTTTTTTTAAACGTGTATAAGAAAAACGCAGCGGAATGATGCAAGTAACGTAGCGGAATGATGCAAGTTTGTGGTGGAAATAAATAAAAAAAACTCAATGGAAACGACGATTGCTTTGGTTAACAAACAATCCAAATTAGAAAAACCTAGGCTTTTATAAAGATGGATAAATCAATATATATATTTGTAAAATTTGTATATGACACGTACGATAGTTGTATGAAAAGAGTGATATATATGTTTGGATAATACAAAATAATACAACAGCAAAAAGCCAAAACGAAAGAACACAGATACGGAGATCAGTCTTTCATTATATACAGTAGTTCTTGATTTTACTATTTGACAAAAAAACTTTTGTTCCATTGAAATAGAAGTTTTTATTAAAATGTGTGAAACGTACCACTATGATTGCTCTAGGCAATAAGACAATGAGGAGTGTTCTTCTCCACCATCAGAAGCCAAAGGAAACAAATTAGATAGATATCTTTCTTTATTTTTACAACTGAATATATAGATACTGGCCTTGTGAGCCTAATGTGTACGTACGTATACTGAAAATGATTCTTCTCAATTCTTATTTCTTGGTCTAAATTCTTTTCGTGTTGTGATGGACCTATCGTATTACTTGTGTGCTCATATTGTAAATGTATAATCATTGAGTTATATGAAAATTGTTTCTGCGAGTAACTGGTCTCCAAGCAATCGAGTGCTTCTAGAAACATCATATTGACATATAATAGCTGCTTAATGGCTTGTTCGCTTCATCGGTTTAAACTTTGATTCATAAGTTTGCTGCCATATGTTCCTTCTTTATGTGTAAACATTTATTTTAAGTAGAAATAAGGTTTGAAGAAGGGTATTATTGTAAATCTAGGAGAACAACAGGGACTTTATGAAAAAGAGACAAGACTTATGTCTTCTTATTGGTGTATCTACTTCTTGAGAACGAAGCAAGAGCCAAAGCAAGTCTATTAGATTTGGCAAGGTAGAGGAAGAAGCAGCAGAAGCAGAGGTTCTTGAGTTATGGCCTGAAGAAGATAACTTTGAAGAGTGCCTGTGTCCTAAAAGGGGTCCTATGGCACACAGGGTCAAGTCAGGCAAAAGAAGAGATTAAAAGAAACGGTAAATATTTATCTATATGAATCTCTCTCTCTCTCTCTCTATATATATATATAATTAAAATTTCATATAGTTTAACGTTGATCAGGATGTTGATTCGGATACAAGCTTGTAATCTTTGTATTAGCATATATATGGAGCTTGAAGCTCACTTCGATTACACATGTTCTTAAAATTATATATTCGTATTCTTTCTCAATATGAATTTGTAACATTGTTCATAATAATTTGATTCAATACATATTATTTTATAGGTTTTTCTTATTACGTTTGTTAGATTTATAATATAGCTATCATGTGTGTGTGTGTGTATTCTTTTTTCTAATAGTAAAATTTGTTAAATAGAAAAGATCGGATGCTAGATTAGCTTGAATGTTTGTAAGCTGAACCACTCAAGAAGAAGGTCTTCCAATATGTGAGAGTTGGATATTCATTTCCGATGTTAGACTTATCAATGATGCGAGTGAGATGAGAAAATGGACAAAATATGTATTTTAATTTAAAGCTATTGAGAAAAAAAAACAGAACGTCATAACCTCTTCTAGTATAAACAAATTTGAAGCATATTCGGAAAGTCGGTTTGCAAAATAGTTAAGCTCTGAAACATGATCAAATGAAATTTCATAGATTCGAACCAGCTAGAAACTTACTTCTTTTTACTTTCTACCGCAAATAAAAGAATCGTGAACATACTCCGATAGTGAAATATAAATAGTAGTACAAAAAAAAAGGACATCATGTGATGTGTGAGTGAAACTTATGGTAAACGCACAAAGACAATTTGTCATGTTAATCAAATTTTAAGTCGCTATAATATATAAATCGGTCCGTCTCATCAGATCAGACTTTCCCATACTAAATTTTGATTAGTCTGTGGTTGGACAACTTAATGGCTTAAACATGGAGGACTCACTCCGTCTCACCTAAAATGGTTCTAAAAATGCTTCAAATTGTATTTTCAAGAATGTGACTGATTAAAATCACACTTTAAGAAACTGTCAGAGAAGAATAATCATCCACAATTTTAAATCCCGCAAACTTTTTTTTGCAGGCCAAATAGGTATTGCACTCTTGCTGATAAGTGATGACTAACAATTAACAAAAGTTTAAAGATGTTTTACAATACGTTGAGAGAATGCAACTTTTGATTTATATTTGATGAAAAATACTTTTTTTTGTCACATTTATTGAAGTTATTGATCAATTTTTTTTTACTGGAAGGACATATTTTGCTACCGTGAAATTTCCCATAATGACGCTAGAATCTATAATTAGAATGACTTTATACCCAAAACCAAAATAAACCACACCCAAAAAGTACAAGGAAGAACGTTAAAAGGTGCATTGTTTCACAAAGTTAATTTCATTTCTCGAGGTAGATAAACCCAATGCTACAACCTTCTTTGATTGGTAACAGAAACTCATCATCATTAAGACATAAAGTTTCAACTTTTTATTATAGTTTCCAGATTCGCATTTGTTTCTCATAAGCCACACTTCGACATGTGAGCATGAACCTTAGTCATAATGATGGACATTACTTGGTCAACGTTCGTCAACCACGACCATATTTAAAGTTTGGTTTTTGCATTATATACAAACTTTTCAAACTACAAACCAGACATTTTTTAGAAAAAAGATCAAGATGATTCCAACTCAATGCCAGCGTAATTGTATACCAAATCAAAAACGGATTAATTAGTGATTATGTTTCAATATTCATTAGATCTCTTAACTTAGTTAACATTTTAAAATAAATGGGGATTATGGGTTGAGGAAGGGAAATGGGGATAATTGAATTAACTAATAACGGGAATTACGAGAAGGGTATCTCTAAAATCGAGTAAGAACACAATGCTCCATAAAGACATTTTTTTATTACTGAATAGCAAATTGTTGAAGGCAGAGACACCACTTTTTGAATCGTTGAAGGTGCGTTTAGTTTTAGTCTTAATTTCTAAAATAATTTAAAGAGTACTACTATAGTTTACTCTGTTCGTCTTCATTGTTTGTCTGCAGATCCGTGTTCCGTTGTGTTTGATTTTCTTTTTTTCTTTCTCTTTTTGTATACTTTAAAGAAATATTTCGAAAAGAAAACGATTAATAGAAAATTAGAGCGCTCCATCTTTTGTCTCTCCATGACATCATTTTGTCTTGTAATTCAGTTCTTCACGAGGTTGTGTCAGATCATTTTTTTTTTTACATATATCAGTATTTCTTTCTTCCTATCATTTTCAAAAAATAATTATTCACTGCCCTAAAATCTAGACTCTGTAAAATAAATCCGTATTTTTTTTTTCGCTTAAGGTTTATCTCTTTTTATATCTATATAAATAATTCATTTTCAAATATCTGCGTAATGATTAATACTTTGCGATTCGTGTTTCAAAAAGGATGATTACAACTGTTGTCAGTTCATTGAAATTGAATTCAAGGTATTTTCAAATGAAGCAACTGTTTGTCTCACAATTAGAATATGAACTTTCTTATTTTTTGTTCACAGTATTATTTCTTGAGCAACAAACTTGTAATCAACTTTAAACTCTATATTCTATAGTTTGATTTGCAGAGAAAAGTAAGTTACCTTCAATTTGACGCTTAAGTTTTAATATTTGTTAACGCTTTTGAATTAAAATATGTTACCTTATATTTGAAGCTATATCGTATAATCAAAAGGTTAGCTCTTTACCAAACGGTGTGCATTTAAAACAAAAATTCTCCATAACAAGTGTACAGAGATAGGTTTTTTAATAATCAGCCTATTTGTCCTTTGCTCGAGTTTAAATTCAAATAATACTTATATATATATAAATGTGATCCTGATATTTATTTTCAAAGAATCTATCCATCACTCTCTCTCTCTCTCATGAGTTCTCTTATCTCTCTTTCTTTTTTACAGTTCTTCTTTCACTAGACATCATATTGTATCTTCAGTTTCAGTGCCATAAATTTTGTTTCCCTCTCCTTTTTTTGCATACGAAAAGTTTTTCTGGGTATTTGTGATTTGTCATCTCTGGTTTATTCAGTCTTTAAATCGTAAAAACAAAACCATCTTTGACCGTTCTTCAAATTCGAACTGAAAGAAGATGGGCAGAGCAGCGAGATGGTTCAAGGGCATTTTCGGGATGAAAAAGAGTAAAGAGAAAGAGAGCCGTGTCTCCGGCGAGGGAGAAGATTCCGGCAAAGGCGGAGGAGAAGCCGGTGCGTCCAACATTCACCGGAAAGTTCTCCAGGCGGACTCCGTCTGGCTCAGAACCTACTTAGCAGAAACAGACAAAGAACAGAACAAACACGCGATTGCGGTTGCTGCAGCCACGGCGGCGGCCGCAGACGCAGCGGTTGCAGCAGCGCAGGCTGCCGTTGCGGTGGTCAGGCTAACAAGTAATGGAAGAGCGGGAGGGTATTCCGGCGGTAACGTAGTTTCCGGGACCACAATGGAGCGGTGGGCCGCCGTGAAGATTCAAACAGTCTTCAAGGGCTATTTGGTAAATTCCTAAAATCTCCACAAAACCCTTTTTGTCATCGATTTCGACACGAAAGATCGAATTTTGCCATGTGGGTATCGTTTAGATTCGGTTTTTCTAAGAGAAAGCATGTCTGTACATTGCTTGCTCCTTACACATCTTCCTTAATGAAACAGTACACATCTTTGCTAATTTCAAGAAAATTTTGGATTTTTCTCTAATTTAAACATTGTGTGTTTTTATTTATTTATAAATATATTTAAATTTGAATTTTGTTTCAGGCGAGGAAAGCCTTAAGAGCGTTGAAAGGACTAGTGAAGCTGCAAGCTTTAGTTAGAGGATACTTAGTCCGCAAACGCGCCGCCGAAACGCTTCATAGCATGCAAGCTCTCATCAGAGCACAAACCAGCGTTCGATCTCAACGCATGAACCGCAACAACATGTTTCATCCGCGACATTCTCTTGTAAGAAGAACCATTCATTTCATAATCTCTCAATTCTAACATAAAATCTCTATTGGCCAAACTTACGTTTTGTGGAATTGATTGGTATATATAAATAGGAAAGGTTTGATGATTCGAGAAGCGAAATCCATAGCAAGAGGATATCAATCTCTGTAGAGAAACAGAGCAACAACAACTACAACGCATACGATGAGAGCAGTCCCAAGATTGTTGAGATTGACACTTACAAGACGAAATCAAGATCGAGGAGGATGAATGTTGCTGTGTCCGAATGTGGAGACGACTTCATTTGTCAAGGCAAAGATTTCGAATGGAGTTTTCCGGGAGAGAAATGCAAATTCCCTACGGCGCAAAACACGCCAAGATTCTCTTCAGCGGCGGCGAATAACCATTATTACTACACACCGCCTTCGCCGGCGAAGAGCGTTTGCAGAGACGCTTGTTTTAGGCCAAGTTATCCTGGTTTGTTGACACCGAGCTATATGGCTAATACGCAGTCGTTTAAGGCCAAGGTGCGTTCGCATAGTGCGCCGCGACAGCGTCCTGATAGAAAAAGGTTGACGCTTGATGAGATTATGGCGGCTAGAAGTAGCGTTAGCGGTGTGAGGATGGCCCAACCGCAACCGCAAATTCTGCAGCAGCAACAAGAAAAACGCTCTTCTTGCGATCATCAGTTTCGTCAAGAACCGGTGGATTTTAAATTCTATAATTAGAAAGAAACGTTTTTTTCGTCCTTAAGAAGAGATCGTCACAGCTTTTGACTTTTCATCGAGGACTTCTTTTTTCATTTCCTTCTCTTTTACCTTTTTTTTTTCTCCCCTTTTTTTCGGGTTCTTATTTTTGTAAATCTTTGCTTCGGAAAAATGTTAAATTTGTTTCTAGTTATCTACACACGACCTCTTCATGTGGAAATGAAAAATTTATTTTAGTTTATGATAAATTAGTTAAGGTTATTGTATTAGAGAAGTAGGTTATATACTTAAAACATTAAAAAGGTTAATTGAATGTGGATATCTGTTTTGGAGAATTTGAAATTCAAAGATGTGAGTAATCTCGAGAAGATATTATTATTAACAAGTAACTATGATGACGAAATGAGGTTGAAATTTGCAATAAATTGGGGATTCCATGTAGCGTCAGACAAGTACGATATGACGTTATCATTATTATGAAATTTTCAAAATCTTTTTGTAATGTTTTTCTGTATCTAATCATTTTTAAAACCACTAGGGAATATGATTGGAGGAGGCCGATACGTGTTTGCGTCATCATATTCGTTCTTCTGAAACCCGAAAATTAAATAAAGTTTATTTCAACGGCTTTTGATAAGCTCTATTTACCATGTAATCCGCCAAAAAGATTCTCTTTAATAGCCTTTTAATTAAGGTTTTCTCCTAATTATTAAATACCTTGATTATTAGATTACACTTTAGACTCTAGACGAATATGCTTCTACATTTAAAAAAAAACTCAAGGTAAATTCATCTCATTGGGTTTCTATGGAACACATCACACACTCTTCTTTTGTCAACGATCACATCACACTATTTAAGACTTAGACCATCTCGATGGGTAAAGAAGTTAAAATGAATATCTAAATAATATTATATTAATATTTTCGTTTCATTTATTTATATAAATAAATTTTGATTAAAAAAAATCTGTACCAATCTTTAATAAGCACGTGTCATCAAATTGCCATCAAATGATAAAATACGGTTCTAAAACTTTTTATATAAAAAATGATTTTTAGTTTTCTCTCATATTTTTTCATTTTTTAATATTTAATACTCAAGATACTCTTTAGAAAACTCGCAATGGAGTTATTCTTAGATATTAAAGTATTTATTTGGATGACGATGAGTTTCTTCCATTATTTTGAACCAAAGTAGCCAAGATCTATTAAGCATTAACAGAGTTCACAAAATACTGATAAATATTAAGTGCCTCTATCTTCATGTCTGTATCCAAGTTTCCTAAAATTCTCCAACAAGAAAAAAAGAAATATAAATTGAAGCTGAAAAAGAAAAGAGTAAAAAGTTGGTAACTGTATCAATCATTATTCACGAACCGAAGAAAAATACGCAAAAATGTTGGAGACATGGACGTGATTTGTCGCCATTTTATGGGCTTATCTTCGGTCATAATTCAGAAACTGTGAGATGAAACAATTTTTTTTATCTCACAGAAAGAAAGGCTTTCTTTATTATACAGGTCCCAACTCTTTTCTTCTGATGCAAAAATTGATCGTCTGCTTCGAGCAGCTTCAAGTGAATCTGCTGCTTACGGCATCATAGCTTGGAACACTTAACACTGTCCCAAAAATCAAAATCAACATTGGTAATTTCAAAGGATTAAAACGTGTGAAGATATGTTAATTGTTTTCTTTTTACCTTCTCCGAAAGATGCCATCGTCAAAGGCTTTGCAATAACCTTGCTGGTGAAATCTGCAATGTCCTTTAAGTTGAGTTGGTCTACTTTCTTCAAGAATTGGTCAACTGGTTTCCTGCAAATATGATGAACTGAGTTAGAGAAAAGTCTGGTTATAACCGGTTTAGAGGTTGAATGTGTGTAAAAGTACCTCTCTCCGTATGTAAGTATCTGTCTACCTATATCTTCTGCCACAATCATCTGCAAATCACACAAAAAACAAGTAGATCCCATTAAAAGAAAATCGCATATCATGCTACAAAACAAAGAACAAAAAGTGCAGTTTATTTATAGGTACCCGAGATTCAAGATTCATCAGAATTGCAGATTTCGTTGCTGCCTTGGCACGATCAAGATGTTTCTGGTTAACTGCCAAAACATATAAAACAAAGGAAATTATATGTTTTTAGTTGTATATATTATGAACAGATGGTTCCAAAAAAAAAAAAAAAAAGGTACGGAGCAAATTAACAAAACCTTTTCCTTCAGCAACAGCTTTCATTTCATCAGTTACTAATTCAATTCCCTTTGCAGCAAACTCAGGACTCTGCAACCCCAAATACAATGTAAGCAAGCACACTCGCGTTGTGATTAGAACCCATAACACTCAACGACTAGAAATGGGAGGGAAACTCACCGTGCAACCATAGATTCCAAACAATCCGGTACTGTTAAAGATGCTAGTGAATGCAGTGCATGACTGAAACTGCTGATATTCGTTCAAAAGGCGAAGATCTGCATCCACAAATAAGGAATCCATCGTTATCATCACCGACTAGTGAACTTAGATGAAAAGATGAGTGTTTAAAAAACAAAGATGGAACGGCGAGTAGAAAGAGACTTACAGAGCCAAGAGTGCATTCCCTTTCCAGGACCTCCCGCAGAGAATGAGCCACCTCCTCCCATAAGCATCTAACAAGAATTGGATTTTACACCATTAGGCCTTTACATGTGAGAGAGCGAGTAACGTACTATTTGAGTTAGGCACCTGAAGAGTAGTGGCCATAACAGCTTCCTTCTCGTTATCCCAACCTGGTACTCCAAAAGCAAGCGCAAAATGTGTAGCCTGAGAATGTAAGCAAAAAAAAAAAAGAAAAGAAAATCATGAATAATAAACCCTTTCTTTCATCTCAAACAATCTCATTAAAAAGGCGAGAACAGATTAATCATATGAACTTTACCTCTCCACCAGTATGTTGACGGAAATCTCCACCAACATATTGAGACTTTGGCTCTGCAGGTCGGGTTACATTAGGGAGGTCAGAGAGTAATGGCTCAACCACTTTCAAAAGTTCTTCATGTTCAACTCCACTAGCTGCTAATACCATTCGTGGTGCAGTGAAGTTCTCCTACAATTTCAGCACATACGCGATATAACTAACTCAAAAGCAACGACCCTAATTTGCAGAGAAGAATGCAACTGTCTCTTATGTTATAGCGGTCTTACGGAAACGAACTCCTCCAAGACTTCCCCAGTCAATCCATCGATTGCAGATTCAGGTGCGTACAACGGATTAGCCAATGCGCCAGAGTAACCAGCAGAATGAACCGCCTCCAAGAGTAAACCCATAGGGTTCTTTGCAAGTTCTCCAATCTCCACTTTCACTTTTCGGAGCTGCCAGGAAGAAGGAAAAACAACAATGTCAAATAAGGAAGACGCTTTGCTTTGATTTTTGGCTGCGAGACTAATGCAGCATGACATTATTTACCTCTTCGTTCACTTCCCAGTCCAAGAAAGCAGGGTTCCTCACACTGTCGATAAGCACTTCAGCCATTTGGGGAAGATACGTTTTGAGAGCATCGACTGTGTAACCCATCTGCTCTCGGGAAGCAGAGGCTGAGGTGTTGCCTCCAATAGCCTCTATCTCCCTTACAAGGCGAAGATGGCTTCTGTTCAATGTACTCTTGAAAGCCATCCTTTCAAGCAAATGCGTCGCTCCACGGGAAGAAGGCGTCTCGTAGATAGAACCACAATCAACGTATAAACCAATGGAAGCTGCTGGATTCTGAAACAAAATTCCAACAAAACATAAATTTCGTTCAAAATCAACTTTTTTTCTAAAGAGAAAGATGGATGCAGAGTTTATCAGGAGAAGCTTCCTCACCGGAGACATCTCAGTGGCTATTTTAAGACCATTCGGAAGAGTTGTGGTCTGAAGCTTGCTAGGCTCGACATTGTCAGAAAGCGATGGTGGAAGAGAGACACCAGCGAAGGGAATGTCCAGCGAAGGAAGCGAGCTAGATGAGCCTCCGGTTAGCCAGCTGGAGGCTCCGGGTGTCGAACTCGTTGCAACAGCACTAGAGCTTGCGTAGCGAGACGCCCTGAAGCTGCGGCTAAATACGCCCTATAAACACACACACACACACAAACCCTATGCGTCCTTAAGCTTTTGTCTCCAATCAATGGAACAAAACCAGACTCATCTGTCTCCAATGATGCTCTAATTGATTGCAAGTAAAGCTACTTCCCTCAAAAATGTTGGCGATTGGCAAATTACTATTGAAAAAAATAAGAACTTTCAAAACAGATATCATTCCTAGAAAGCATGAAGTGTATCACCAGCTGCTAGAAAACGATACAAATTGAATCTAGATCGATAAGAACCTATGAGGCTTTTTTTTTTTAATCCGTATTATCCAACAAAATGTTCACTACTCGTGTATTCCAAGCGTTTTTCCAAAGAAGAAATTAAAACAAAATATAATGGAAAAAGTGGAGTCGGACATTGACCTTAAGGGCCTTAGCTCGTGAAGCTGCCGTGCGGTACATGACAACTGTGAAACCCTAGATCGGTCGTCTGGTGAGTCCCGGTGGTGGCTCAGGCTCACGACAGGAGAGAGAGGGAGAGAGGGAGAGAGCAGTGAAAGGCTTCTCTTTTGCAAGGTTATTGGATCCTGCTAATTCTTCTAATTACTTTGACGTGATCTTTTTATTAATAGGCCCATTAGATATAATGGTTCTGGTTCAAATATGTAAGAATTTAAAGCCCACGAAGTTTAAGAGTGTGTGTGCTTGGTAAGTTCCTATTTCGTTTTTTTTTTTTTAATGATTTGAGTTAACAATTATAGTATCTGAAGAATCTCATAAAATAATTTTGTCATAAATTGAACAACAAAAAACACAGTAAAAAAATGTACAGTTTAAAAGCAAAATCATAACCAAGTACGAGTCCAAGAATTCATTATTTTGGTGTACTTGAGATTTGAATCTTAATTTTAGATACAAAAGATCTTGTTCACGACTATTTTTTATATGTTGTAGAGGCTTTTTTACTTTTTGAAATTTCGGGTTTCAATATAATTTTTTTATTAATCTTTAATAATGTAAATTTTAAACGATGTGTTATTTCTTTTTCTTGCAAAAATAAAAAGGTTTCAGTGTTCCGCTATGTTTGGTACACATTTCTAACTAATCAAAGTTTCCCTCCCTCGTGAAGCACGAGTTGGTTGGTTCATTTCGATGGGTCAGAACCAAAAAAAAAAAAGTAACAAACAAGAAAGTGGTTAACATTTATTATTTTTAGTAGTCATGTCCGTATTAAAACGTGTTTTATATAAATACCAAAATCCCAAACATCAAGTCATTCATTCAATCTTCATCTCTATTTCTCACACTGGAAGGTTATTTCTCTCTTCCCTCTTGCTCCCTTATTTTATTATTTCTTTCACTAATCGCTACTTTACAATTTGTTTTTTTGATGTATATCTTTAAAGAAAAGTGAATCTATGAGAGTATGATAATATATATACTTTTGTTTGTTAAAGAGTATGATAATATTGTTTAAAATGAACCTACTACAGTACTACTATTACTACTACTTTACATATTGTTTAAAGTAAAGAGTAATGATTCTGCACAAAAAATAAAGATAATGATCGGCTGAAAGTGGTATAGTCCTCCAATTAATTCAGTGTGGTTGATGGTAACGATGAGCGTGTTTCCCTAATCTGATCAGCAAAAAATCCTTGAGCAGTGTCTGTTCTCACGGATCTTCAGCTGATAAGTATTTTAGGCTAAGAAGGAAAGATGGCACAAAAGTTGGAAGCTCAAGGTGGTCGTGGAGGAGAGGAATGGGACGATGGTGGTGTTTATGAGAACGTCAAGAAAGTGTATGTCGGTCAAGGTGATTCCGGTGTGGTTTACGTCAAGTTTGATTACGAGAAGGACGGCAAAATCGTATCACTCGAACATGGGAAGAAGACACTTCTTGATCCAGAGGAGGTAAACGTTTTGTTTTTGTTGTTGTCAAATAATTTCGAGACAAATGATTTTTTTTCTTGTCATTAATTGATTTTTTTTTTGGTTGGTTTGCTAGTTTGAGCTTGATCCTGAAGACTACATTACATCTGTGAAACTTTACTACGAGAAACTCTTTGGGACATCAACAGAGATAATCACGGCTCTCATCTTCAAAACATTCAAAGGCAAAACTTCTCATCCCTTTGGATTAACTTCTGGAACAGAATCTGAGTTAGGAGGCGGCAAGATCGTTGGATTCCATGGAAGTGCGGGTGATGCTATTCATTCTCTCGGAGCCTATATAAGTACTTCATCAACAACGCCGGTGACTCCCCCAGGGTCGGGTGGTCCAACCAAATTGGAAGCTCAAGGTGGTCGTGGAGGAGAGCTATGGGACGATGGTGGCGCTTACGAGAATGTCAAGAAAGTGTATGTTGGACAAGGTGGCTCTGGTGTGGTTTACGTCAAGTTTGATTACGAGAAGGATGGGAAAATCGTATCACTTGAACATGGGAAGAAGACATTACTTGAACCAGAGGAGGTACATAAATTTCTCAAAAAAGTCTTCTTTATAAAAAAAAATTCGAATCAAGAACATTGTTGATGGTTCAATCTTTTTTCTGCAGTTTGAGCTTGATCCTGAAGACTACATTACATCTGTGAAAGTATACTACGAGAAACTCTTTGGAACACCAACAGAGATCATCACGGCTCTTATCTTCAAGACATTCAAGGGAAAAACTTCTCAGCCGTTTGGAATGGCCTCTGGCCAAGAAGCTGAGCTAGGAGGCGGCAAGATCGTTGGATTCCATGGAAGTGCGAGTGATGTCATCCATTCTCTTGGAGCTTACGTAGCTCAATCTTCCACACCGTTGACTCCTTCCAATACTATTCCATCACAAGGTGGAGACGCTGGAGTTGTATGGGACGATGGTGTTCACGACGGTGTGAAGAAGATATATGTGGGACAAGGTGAATCTTGTGTGACTTATTTCAAAGCTGACTATGAAAAGGCTTCAAAGCCTGTCCTTGGAAGCGATCACGGGAAGAAGTCATTGCTTCAACCAGAAGAGGTTGTTTTCTTGAATTCATCTTTTTCAGATCTTTGTCTTCTTTTGAAGTTGATTTGCAACCCCTTGGGTTCTTGAATATTGAATTGGTTGCAAAATGCAAAACGTGCAGTTTGTGCTTGAAGCTGGTGAGTATGTCACGGCCGTGTCGGGGTACTATGACAAGGTTTATGGAGTTGATGCGCCTGCGATCATGTCGCTTAAGTTCACAACAAACAATAGAGAGTCTATCCCGTTTGGACTCGAGTCAGGAACTAAATTCGTGCTGGAGAAGAAAGACCACAAGATCGTTGGGTTCCATGGACAAGCTGGTGACTTTCTTTACAAAATCGGAGTCAAAGTGGCGCCTATAGCCAACTGATGCAGAACCAATCTGACATGCCTGGAGTTTGAATAAGATTATCTTGCGAGCTTATGGAGTTGTATGGTCTATTTGTATTTGGCTTGTTTCAACCTTAATGTAAGTGTGTGTTGCTTCTTAGCTATCTAAATAAAGAAGGTTTCTTCTATTCTGATTTTAATAAACCCTTTGTTTCTATGGAGCGCTAAATAATAATTCAAGGAACTAGAAAAATAATCTGAACAAACTCTATTTTTTTATTAAAAATGGATCACAGATTCATCAAAGACAGAACAACAACACAGAGAGAAAGACTTGAAGCACTGAAGCAGAAAACAAACAGAAACCAGTAAACGAAGAATCCAGATTATTCAAAGTGCAAAGACCATCAAGAGAGAAACCACAAATTTGTGACAAATTCAAGATCTTCCATGATCAGTTGGTGATTGGAAGGACATGCACTCCAAATTTATGAAGCAGATCACCGGCGCTTCCATGGAACCCAACGATCTTGTGGCCTTCCTCTTTGAGTACGAAAGGTGTTCCAGCTTCAAGCCCAAAAGGACCAGCTGTTTGCTTATTAGTCTTGAACCTAAGCATGGTAATGACCGCAGCGTCACTCCCAAAGATTTTATCGTAGGTGCCGTCCACTGCCGTGATGTATTCACTTGGATAGTCAAGCTGAAACTGCAATTTGAAGGAGCAGAAAACAAAACAAAAATGAAATTAATTCAGAGTAAAAAAAAGGCATGTATATGGTCAAAAGAGAAAACAAGAACTAATTAATTAAGTGTACCTCTTCAAATCCAAGCATTGTAGTTTTCCCATGTTCATTTCCTACTACAATCTGAGATCCTTTGTGATACACAAACTTGACCACTCCAATACCATCTTGGGCTTGTCCTACAGACACTACTCTTACACCCTCGAAAGCACCATCATCCCATAAAGCTCCTCCATCAGAACCAGCTGCTTCTAGCTTCTTTCCTTGTGTTGCAGGGGTCAAAGGGATGGAGCCTACTGGAGCTAAATAAACTCCAATAGCATTAATAGCCTCACCAGCTCGTCCATGGAACCCGGTAATCTTGTAACCTTCCTCCTTGAATACGAACGGTGTGCTGCCTTCAAGCCCAAACGGTCCAGCTGTTTTGTTCTTGTTAGTCTTGAACGTAAGCATCGTCACTACAGCACTGTCTGTCCCAAAGATTTTGTCGTAGGTGCCTTCCACGGATGTAATGTATTCATCTGATTCAAGCTCAAACTGCACAAAAGGAAAGCAAAACGAATATCAAAACTAGTTTCACATATATAGCTTAAAAAAGGGAAAACCACTAATCTGTATTTGTGTGTGTTAAACATACCTCTTCGAATCCTAGCATTGTGGATTTTCCATGTTCAACTCCAATAACCACTTGAGAACCATTTGTGTATTCAAACTTGACAGCTGCTACACCATCTTGGCCTTGTCCTACATACACTTTTTTAACATTGTCGTGATGACTATCGTCCCACAAAGCTCCTGTCTCACCACCTTTAGCTTCAAGCTTCTTCGGGGGAACCGAAGGAGGGGTGGTGGAGGCTAATGGAACGAAATAAGCTCCAATGGAATTGAGATGGTCGCTGGCGAAACCGTGGAAACCGATGATCTTCTTGTCTTGAACTTGGAGAGTAAACTTAGTACCAGTACCATCGAACTCATAGCCGATGTAATCAGAAGTCTTTTGGTTGGTTTTGAATTGGATTCCCAAGATGATATTGGAGGAGTCATACCAACCCTCGACGGAAACCAGATACTCATCCGGATGGTTAATCGCAATCTGCATGGATTCATAATGTTAGTAATAAAATCGATTAGAGGGCAAATTAAACATATATTTATAGCTTCTTTACCTCTCGCGTTGAACCTCTACTACCCTGTACACCGTGGAGAGCTCCTAGTTTCGGCTGTCCGCTTTTCACATAGTCAAACTTGACGTATTGAATGCCATTCCCACCGGATCTTACGTATATCTTCGTTACGCCGTCTTGATCGGATCCGTCGTCCCATGCAGTTCCTCCTGTGCCACCTTGTGCTTCCAATTTCTGGGCCCCTGATCCGCTGCCTGAACCAGTTCCTCCGGTTCCAGTTCCTCCAGTTCCAGTTCCACCGGTTCCAGTTCCCCCGGTTTCGCCAGTTCCGGTTCCGCCAGTTCCACTTCCACCAGTTCCGGTTCCGCCAGTTCCGGTTCCTCCGGTTCCAGTTCCCCCGGTTCCGCCAGTTCCAGTTCCCCCTGTTTCGCCAGTTCCGGTTCCGCCGGTTCCAGTTCCACCAGTTCCGGTTCCTCCGCTTTCGCCAGTTCCGGTTCCGCCGGTTCCAGTTCCCCCGGTTTCGCCAGTTCCGGTTCCAGTTCCCCCGGTTTCGCCAGTTCCAGTTCCCCCGGTTCCGCCAGTTCCAGTTCCCCCGGTTCCGGTTCCTCCTGTGCCAGTTCCGGTGGGTACGGGAGCGTAGTGAACATCGATGGAGTTGAGAACACTGCCGCTGGTACCAAGGAAACCGGCGATCTGTTTACCGGTCGCCTCCGGAGCAGAAATCTGGTAACCGGATTTGTTTCCGTAGGGCCCATAAGTTGTCTTGTTGGTTGTGAAAGTCAACGCCGTTATAACGTCTTGAGTGCTCAACGTTTTGCCGTAAGCAGAAAGAGCGGTTATGTACTCGTCCGATCCCAAAGTGAACTGATTTATAAACAGTATGAAAATCAAAAGTTAGTTTTAATGTTACAGAAGCTATACATTAAAATCCAAAAATATGAATAGTTTGAGCTGACCTCCGCGGTTTTGGGCCCAACGGAGCCGCGACGCTGAGATTGAAGGTTGGTTCCGGCGTACGTAACTTGGATTGAGTAGATGACGTCATCGTACGTAATCTGCACTTTCGTCACCTTCGCGTGCGCTCCGTCGTCCCAAGACATCGTTGCTTCAATTTAATATAACCAACCAGTAGGAATTTAATTTTGTTTTCCTTGACCCTTTTTGTAGTTCATAGCTTGCTAAATGTAATTAACAGCTTCATAGTGTCGACCAAATTCACAAGTCAAAGTTAATAAAACCGGTTCCAGTTCCAACTTCTAACTTATGTATGTGTTGATGACCGGTCTATGCCAGTCCTATGTTTTTGGGGTGAACTAACTTTACTACACTTGATGATAACAATCTCGAGCCTAGGGCGATCAAAAGTCAATTATGAAACAATATGTCTTTAACAAAAAGCGATTAAAATACGAAAAGCTCAATGGATTATGGACTGATCGAGTTTCATAAAGCAGATAAGGTACATACATGATACATATAGAGAATATACAGAGAGAGAGAGAGAGAGAAAAGCTAGTGAGAGAGGGATAACCTGATTGGAGAGTATGAATCTGATGATGATGATGAAGGTTTGGTGTGAGAGAAGAGAGGGCTAATGGTAGGATTTATATTATATCGACTTTTGTTATAATTTTTTTTAATTATAACATTAAGTACGCACCACATGGCATATATAAAAATATTCAGGTGGGTCCACAAGTATGTAATAATTAGGGGTGAGTACTTTGGTTTAATTTTGCATTCGGTTTGGCTAGTACGGTTTTGATAAAAAAATTTTTTTAACTGAACTGACCACCGTTTGAAATTAAGTTGGTTGGGTTTGTCCTCGGTTTGGTTTGGGTTTGGTTTAATTAAAAAAAATTTTAGACTTACTAAACTCATCAATCATCATCAGTTGATGACTAATAATATAAATTTAAGGTATATAAAACTTAAAAACTCATACAAAGCATTCCAATCAGATTAAACTAAACTTAGATAAAAGAAAAAAACAAACGTAGGATTTCTTTAGAACACACATCTATATATAAAAAGATGATACTCCTATTAAACTAGTAAAATGACCACCCCTAATAGTAATTCCTTGTATCGTCACAAAACCGGTGATCGCATATCAAGAATTAATATTCCAAATATTGAGTGAGCGTGAACGTGCGTAATGGAGATGGTGACACGATGGCTACTAAAATTCATTAGAACAACTATTTAATCTATCATTTCCTTAATTATTTCATAATTTGATCGTGCATCGCATGCCTTATTGACAATACAATTACTCGTATCGTTGGTACCGATTGATCGATCCTTATCGTATTCTTTATTTTCTTTTTGATATGTAAAATCGTATCTTGTATTAAAATATACTATAACTCTTAAACAACTTGAGCTTTAACTTAATATGTATGAAGGTTCCTGTAACTGCATCGGTCATGAAATCGTTGGAATTTGGAAACGTGTTGTCTTATGTTCGACTAAATATGATACTGTAACGTAAATTTAATTTTTTTGACTGATTCGATCTTCTAGTATGGAGCTTGAAACTTGCGAAGTGGAGTATTTATTTAGTAACTAATTATTCGTCGACTTTTTATTTATTTTATACAGAAATCAAGGATATCAACGAATAACTCTAGTGTTAATCTTTTTTTACTGATAATAATTTATTCATCTTTATTATTTTTGACGAAATTAAGGTTTTACTTGATTCATCTTTGTATTTAATTGGGCATCATTTTGAGATACATAGTTGGAGATGGAGATGAGATAAAGGTACAACTTAATACATGACATTAAGAGACGAAAGTAGATTCTACTTTTGAATCGATGATTAAAAAATAAATTTTGATATTTCCCTAGAAATGCAAACATTTTTTTTTTCTTTTAGCAAGGCATGAAGATTTAAGTAAAAGAAATAGCAACTCGTGGGTCTCGTGGACTTTATTTATATATTAGCCTAACAATAATGACGACTTTTTTAGGCCTACAAAGTAAAATATATTATCACACTCTGAGCACGTCGCGTCTAAACTCGTGGCACGTGCGTGGATCAGGTTTCCACTTACGCGGATGATCCAAGATTAATACTGTAAACTCAATAAAATCGATCGAGGTAAATTACCTCAGGTAAGGTAATAGTACATGTTAACATGGCATGCCTAATTAGTAAAAGTTAGGACCGAAATGTATATATCCCATGCCGCATAAATTGACAAAGCCGAACCAAATTAATCTAGTCCAACATTTCTATCACAGTAAAAGACGGTTAAGTACCAAAAACTTGTTTTAAACAAAAACGATTAATCTTAGTTGCAATGTTGTTACACCATTATCTATGCACGATTACAGCTTTCAGGCAAATCATTATGTATATTAAAAAAATGTGCACCACTATCAGATCATTAATATCAACATATTAAAATTTAACGCAATTGCTTCATATTCACGACAATTTAATATTTTAACGACTCGTGGTTCACGAGATTATATAATACTCCAGTCAAAAACATCGAATTTGTATTAATAAAGTAGTAGTTAAATACAGATGCATCATGTTCGTAAACGGATCACGAACTCTCACCCTCTCTTCTCAGGTCAACTCTCACTCTTTCTCTCATCTGGTTATAGTTTTGTAGAGTCCTTTGGTTATAAACCATTTCGTGTTCGTACTTGTAGGTAATATTCGATCGTAAGCAAAAGAGATGGCTCAAAAAGTTGAAGCACAAGGAGGCCGAAACGGTGGGACCCAATTTGATGATGGATCCGAACACGACGCAGTAACCAAGATTCAGACTGCAATAGGTACGAAGGGTATTCAATATGTTCAGTTCGAATATGTCAAGAACGGACAAACCGTAGAAGCCCCTCTTCACGGTGTCAAGGGCCGTACTATCGCAGCTGATCCGGTACTATCGCCCCTCTTCCCTTGCCTATTTATGTTTCTTGAATTTTTATTTTTTATAAGTTATTATGAGATCACCTTAAATTAAAACAACATCAAGATTAGATATTGTTGCTTTAAATTTTCCAAAAACAGAGTAACAATCATTGTAAAAACGATTTTTTTTAGTTGAATTAACATTAAAAAAAAAATGTTATGAAATCTATAAATCAACATAATATATCAAGATCTGATAATTATCAAACATTGTTAAGGGCGTGATTAGCTAATGTTTTCGTTTCGAAGTTTTTGACATGTTGATCTTGATCTATGCAGTTTGTGATTAGCCATCCTGAGGAGTATCTAGTTTCAGTGGAAGGTTGGTATACCCCTGGATGGGTTATTCAAGGGCTTAAGTTCAAGTCCAACAAAAAGACTTCCGAACTCATCGGATATGATGACGGTACTCCATTTACTCTCCAAGTTCAAGACAAGAAGATCATTGGCTTTCATGGATATTCTGGAGACAATCTCGATTCTCTTGGAGCTTACTTCGTTCCATTAGTAACCTCCCCTCCTTCGGTTCCCCCGAAGAAGCTTGAAGCCAAGGGTGGTGAGACAGGAGCTGTGTGGGATGATAGTCATCACGACAATGTTAAAAAGATATATGTAGGACAAGGCCAAGATGGTGTAGCAGCTGTCAAGTTTGAATACACAAATGGTTCTCAAGTGGTTATTGGAGTTGAACATGGAAAATCCACAATGCTAGGATTCGAAGAGGTATGTTTAACACACACAAATACAGATTAGTGGTTTTCCCTTTTTTAAGCTATATATGTGAAACTAGTTTTGATATTCGTTTTGCTTTCCTTTTGTGCAGTTTGAGCTTGAATCAGATGAATACATTACATCCGTGGAAGGCACCTACGACAAAATCTTTGGGACAGACAGTGCTGTAGTGACGATGCTTACGTTCAAGACTAACAAGAACAAAACAGCTGGACCGTTTGGGCTTGAAGGCAGCACACCGTTCGTATTCAAGGAGGAAGGTTACAAGATTACCGGGTTCCATGGACGAGCTGGTGAGGCTATTAATGCTATTGGAGTTTATTTAGCTCCAGTAGGCTCCATCCCTTTGACCCCTGCAACACAAGGAAAGAAGCTAGAAGCAGCTGGTTCTGATGGAGGAGCTTTATGGGATGATGGTGCTTTCGAGGGTGTAAGAGTAGTGTCTGTAGGACAAGCCCAAGATGGTATTGGAGTGGTCAAGTTTGTGTATCACAAAGGATCTCAGATTGTAGTAGGAAATGAACATGGGAAAACTACAATGCTTGGATTTGAAGAGGTACACTTAATTAATTAGTTCTTGTTTTCTCTTTTGACCATATACATGCCTTTTTTTTACTCTGAATTAATTTCATTTTTGTTTTGTTTTCTGCTCCTTCAAATTGCAGTTTCAGCTTGACTATCCAAGTGAATACATCACGGCAGTGGAAGGCACCTACGATAAAATATTTGGGAGTGACGCTGCAGTCATTACCATGCTTAGGTTCAAGACTAATAAGCAAACAGCTGGTCCCTTTGGGCTTGAAGCTGGAACACCCTTCGTACTCAAAGAGGAAGGCTACAAGATCGTTGGGTTCCATGGAAGTGCCGGTGATCTGCTTCATAAATTTGGAGTTCATGTCCTTCCCATCACCAACTGATCATGGAAGATCTTGAATTTGTCACAGATTTGTGGTTTCTCTTTGATATGGTCTTTGAACTTTGAATAATCTGGATTCTAGTTTTGTTGGTTTCTGTTTGTTTCAGCTCTTCTCTTTTGTGTTGTTGTTGTTTCTGCCTTTGATGGGTTTGTGAACCATCTTCATAATGATAATTTACACTTTTTACGTTTTTAGAATATCTATTAAAACGTGAATGATCTTGTTTTATTAGAGATTTAATCAAAGATAGTTTTTGGTTTTGTTTCTTGTGTTCACGTTTCGTAATGCGCAGCTAATATGGATCAAGTTAATTAACCATTATTTATTAAAATCAATCACACATATTATAACATCAATGACATATGACAGCATTACACAATAATTCAAGACATTTGAAACATAAACAAACAGAACATAAAAGGTAGAACACTTATTATAAAGAGATTTCAATAGACAAATTCGGTGTAATCATAGAGAAAGATGTGATGATGATCAGTTACTGATTAGAAGGACATGGACTCCAAACTGATGAAGCACATCACTGACTTTTCCATGGAAACCGACGATCTTGTAGCCTTCCTCTTTGAGTTCGAAAGGTGTTCCAGCTTCAATTCCAAAAGGAGCAGAGGTTTGCTTATTAGTCTTGAACTTAAGCATGGTTACGACCTCAAAGTCACTCCCAAAGATTTTATCGTAGGTGCCTTCCACTGCCGTGATGTATTCACTCGGATAGTCAAGCTCAAACTGCAATTAAATGAATCCAAACAAAACAATAAAATACACAGCTAGTATACAAATGACATTGATCCGATGATCATTACGAATTGGTTTTAAGAAAAAACAAATTTTTCTAGATTTTGATTTAAAAAAAAAAGCATAATTATAGTACCTCTTCGAATCCGAGTAAAGTACTATTTCCATGTGCATCTCCTATAATTTCCTCAGCGCCCTTGTCATACACAAACTTGACGACTGATATACCATCTTGGGCTTGTCCTACAAACACCTTTTTGACGCCATCGTAAGCACCATCGTCCCATGTAGTTCCTCCATCACCACCAACTGCTGGTAGTTTCTTGGCAGGAGTCAAAGGAGTTGTGGTCGTAACGAAATACGCCCCAAGAGCATACAGAACATCGCCAGCGCGTCCATGGAACCCAACAAGTTCGCCACCGTTTTGTCCCTTGAGTACAAACTTCTTCTCGGTATCCAATCCATAGGGTGGTGAGGTTTTCCCCTTGAATGTAAAAAAGGTAATAGATGTGATGACGTCGGAGTCATGGCCAAATATTTTGTCGTAGGTCACCTGCACTGCTGTGATGTAGTCGTCTGCATCAACCTCAAACTGAAAAAAAGAAAGAAAGAAATAGACCTCACGTGAATAGGGAAGTTGTTATGTAATTATCTCATCTAGAAGGTAATAGGTTTTGTGGTGTTGTGGTCATGGGTAGTCTTGTTTATTAGTAGCATAAGAATAAATTCTAATCAACAGTGAAAAAATTCAAAAAAATGTATAAATCATAACATTTAACCCAAAAAATGATAGGGATTTGATCCTGCATGCGTATGAACGATTTGTTCTAGAACTGATCCGACACAAGTTTTAACGTGGTTGAAATGGATTAGTCCACGAGCTTTGCGCCAAAATCATAATTCATAACATCCCTAGTATTGAGTGTTACGTAGTTTGAAGAATAGACAATGAAAATTTAAGCAAAGACAAGAATGGAAGCAAAAAACTATACACGTACCGTTTCGAATCCAAGAAGTGACTTGTTTCCATGTTCACCTCCTTCGACCTCTTGAGAATCCTTCTCGTATACAACGTTGATAAACGACACACCATCTTGGCCTTGCCCTACATGCACCTTTCTAACGCCGTCGTGAACACCATCATCCCATACATCTCCTCCAACACCTCCTTGCGCTTCCACCTTTTGAGCCATCTTTTGCTTGCTTTGATAATTCGAATTACCTGTGAACGAACTAAATTTTTTCTTATTAGCCAAATTCTACAAAGCTATGATCAGATGAGAGAATGAGGGTTAACCTGATAAGTAATAGAGATAGAGAGTCTTGTTATCCATTTACGTAGATTTGCATGCGTATTTATTGACGTCGATCCTGGAATATAGGCCAAGTCATTACGTAATAATTTTTGTTTTTAGTATTATTTAATCTCGTGATCCACGAGCTATTAAAATATTAAATTGTTGTGGAGATGAAGCAAATGAGTTGAATTTAAGCACAAATATAATTGCGGTCATCAGATTTTGAAGCACAAAATAATATTTTGTTTTGCCAATGGAAGTTTCATTTTTTAAGATAGGCAATTGTGTTTTACAATTCTATCATTATTAAAATATAATTCTATTTATAAAAATAAGTAAAATTATTATCCACCATAAATGCTTATGTTACCACTTACCAATTTAAATACTGAAAAACGTACCAAGATTCTAATTTAAAAATACTGAAAAACGTACAAAAATACTGAAGAACATTTTCTGAAGTTGTTGACAGCGGGAAAAAAAATTACAAGTTCTAATTTTTAAACCTCGCGTACACCATTGCGTGCGTGAATATCTCGTGTATCTTGTGACTCGTGACTCGATCGTGAATCGCGGTCTTTAATCAATTTGGGGTTATAAAATGGATAAGCATATACTAAGCAATACTCCTATAATACGTTAACTTAGACGTGTACGTCGACCCTAAACTCGTTGACATGGTGTGCTGCCAACGCGGGTTATTTAAGAGACAGGCAGGTTATGAACATTTAATGTTTCTTATAAAATTCGGCTAGAAAACCATTTTCTTTACAAATCTTGAATTTGCAAAACAAAAAACAAAACTATCCCAACTAGTAGTTAGTTATTCTACTACTGTAATGAATTTTAAATTTTTTTAGACTATTAAAAATACAAAGACAAAATTGTGAAGAAACGAGAGAAGAAGATAAGGTTGACAAGAAAAAACCTTGATGGTGATTTTGAAGGATTCCGATCATGATATAATATATATTATAAATACTGATAATCAACGAACCGATTGAACCAAATTTCTTAGTTTTTGGTGTTTATTTAAGTTTTGACTTTCAGATTGATCAGCGAGTTTTTCTATTTTAGGTATGGTTCGTTTGATTCCTTAGAAGTTAGAACCAATCCGTTCTTTGGTTTTTTATTTTCTCTAACGAATATATACCAAATTATACTTAATTATACCGAGTTTTATAAAAATATACTCACAATTCCAAACCAAAAAATAAATTAACGGAGGTTAACCAAATCAAAATAATTTTAACTAAATTTGAATAACATATACCTAAGAAGAAACAGAAATTTCGGTTCAATTCAATAGATTTTTTTTTATATAAAAACAAACTAGTTTAATCCAAACCGAATTGAACCGAGTTTTTATTTGGTGTTATTCCGTAATTTTGCTCCTCAACTGCGATGGATTTGTGGTCCAATTTGATAAAACACTTGAGCAGTTTCAAACAGAAACAATGAAAGTAAAACAAACATAATTATTCAGTCAGGAGAGACATAAGCATAAAAAGACTTGGGATGACAAATTTTAAAGACATATAAGACAGATACGATAACTTATTAGAAGAAAGATGTCTTCATGCTCAGTTGGTGACGGGGAGTACATGGGCTCCAATTTGATGGAGCGCCTCATTGGCTTTTCCATGAAACCCAACGATCTTGTGGCCTTCCTCTTTGATTTCGAATGCTATGCCAGCTTCAAGCCCAAATGGATTAGATGTTCGCTTATTAGTCTTGAACCTAAGCATGGTTATGACCGCAGAGTCACTCCCAAAGATTTTATCGAATGTGCCATCAACAGCCGTGATGTATTCACTTGGATAGTCAAGTTCAAACTGCAATTGAATCCAAAAAAAAAAAAGATATTCAATATTGATTGATAGAATGATATGCCAGTATTTATCTTTTTATTTAAGGCCATGTGTGATGCTTTTTTTCCTATTCATTAAGTCTGGATATGATAGAGATCCTATATTCATGGATAATTGGTTCTAAGATGAAAACATCAAAAGTAAACAAATTTTGATGAAAAAAAATGAGCAATTATATATAAAATTACCTCTTCGAATCCGAGTAGAGTCGGCTTTCCACGTTCTTCCCCAACAACCACTTGAGAACCATTGGCATACTCAAACTTAACCGCTGATACACCTTCATGGCCCTGACCTACATACACCTTTTTGACACCATGGTAAGCACCATCGTCCCATGTAGTTCCTTCGTCGCTACCAAGTGCTGGTAACTTCTTGGCAGGAGTCAACTGAGTTGAAGAAGCCAACGGAGCAAAGTAAGCTCCAAGAGAGTGGACATAGTCTCCGGCAAACCCATGAAAGCCAGTGATCTTTTTGTCTTGAACTTGGAGAGTGAATGGAGTACCATCATCGTATCCGATGAGATCAGAACTCTTCTTGTTGGATTTGAACTTAAGCCCTTGGATAAGACCTTCAGGGTTATACCAACCTTCTACAGAAACTAGATGCTCCTCAGGATGGCTAATCACAAACTGCGTAGATCGAAGATCAACATGTCAAAAAACTATAGACAAAAAAAAAACAAGATCATTTTTGGCAAGGAAAAGGTATAGAAACCGGATCAGCTGCGATACTACGGCCTTTGATGCCGCGAAGAGGTGCTTCTTCGGTTTGTCCGTTCTTCACGTAATCAAACTTAACGTATTGAATTCCGACTCCACCTGCTCCGACCTGAATCTTGGTCACGGCATCGTGTTCTGATCCATCGTCCCATTGGATTCCTCCTTTTCCTCCTTGAGCTTCCACCTTCTGAGCCATCTTTTTGTTGCTTTTTGATCAATCTTATGAGTTACCTTTACCTGCAAAAGCGAAATTTAATTTCAACTTTAAACCAAAATTTACTTAGATATTAAGAAATAGAGAGGAAAAGTGAGCGCGCCTTCAAACAGAGAGTAGACGGTGATCCATCCAGTGAAGGTGTACTGTGAATTTATTGATCTCTTGGAATTAGCCATAGATCCGCATACAGGCCATTGATTAGTACAGCGCGAAATAATAATCAATAGTTTCGTGATCCACGAGCCATATAAAATTATTATACCAAAAAAGCTAAAATATCTTATACTTATAAGTTATATCTTTCTGCCGACTCATTAACCTATACAACATTTCAACTAATCATGTTAAGTGTTTGACAAAAACCGAAAAACCCCATTATTAGCAAATTTCTCATGTTATTGTTGGGTCATGTAACGATGGCGTTGAACAAATTATCTGCGAAATTAATTGACAAAAGTAGCCTGCGTGAAATAATGAATATAAATTAACATATTTATTTAAAACTTAAAAAAAAATGTTATGAATACTTTTTTTTAAGTTTTAGATTATATTTATCGGGTATGGCCTATTTGGACACATTTACGTATTATATGTGTAAATTACATTTACTACTATTTGGGTCAAAAAAACCATGTAAGTTTGGGTGAATCATTTAGCAAGTGTAATTTAACTTGAACGATTTTTGTAATGCGGTTCCATCGAGTTTTGTATAACCATGTGAGATGTTAGTATAAATAATATACGTATTAACCAAATGGGAAATGTAATTATTAGAAGCGATGAAGCAAACTTTCTTTATTGAAATGGATCATAAACACATAAAATAAAATACAACATCACAAGAGACAACAATACTTAAACACTTATCCAAAGGTCATCGGAGGCATGAAGAGACTTCAAATGACAAATCTTAAAGATAGATGTAATAACTTTATTTTAGAGGGAATCAAACAGAAATGTGTCTTATGATGATCAGTTGGTGATTGGCAGGACATAGACTCCAAGCTGATGAAGCACATCACTGACTTTTCCATGGAACCCTACGATCTTGTGGCCTTCCTCTTTGAGCACAAAGGCTGTGCCAGCTTCAAGTCCAAATGGAGTTGACGTTTGCTTATTAGTTTTGAATTTAAGCATATTTATGATCGAGGCATTACTCCCAAAGATTTTATCGTAGGTGCCTTCCACTGCCGTGATGTATTCACTTGGATAGTCAAGTTCGAACTGCAATCAAGAAAACCCAAGCAAAACAATTCAATACTGGCTGATGAAACCGATATAATTTTATTTGTCACATATAAAGGAAAAAAAAAAAAACATTTTAGGAATTATGGTCTCTCAAATCAAAACTAATTAAAAAAAAATGGCCCCCCAAGAAAAAAAAATTCAAAACTAATTGGTAGTGCATGAGATGTCATGTCCCTTAAATATTTATGTTGCGTACATACAATTTCACTTTCTATGTGAGCCATTTACCATTCTAACTAATGTGAATTCCCTTACCCCAAGCATATTAATATGTAAAAGAACTTATTTATATATATAACCAAAAACAAAGAAAGCATTATACCTCTTCGAATCCGAGTAGAGTACTATTTCCATGTTCAGCTCCAATGATAACCTCAGCGCCTTTGTCGTACACAAACTTAACGACTGAAATACCATCTTGGGCTTGTCCTACGTACACCTTCTTAACACCGTCGTAAGCACCATCATCCCATGCAGTCCCTTCATCAGCACCAAGTGCCGGTAGCTTCTTGGCAGGGGTCAACGGGGTTGAAGTCAACGGAGCAAAGTAAGCTCCAAGAGAGTTGACATAGTCTCCGGCAAAGCCATGAAAGCCAATGATCTTCTTGTCTTGAACTTGGAGAGTGAAATGAGTACCATCATCGTATCCAATGAGATCAGAAGTCTTCTTGTTGGATATGAACTTAAGCCCTTGAATGAGACCACCAGGGGTATACCAACCTTCTACAGAAACTAGATGCTCCTCAGGATGGCTAATCACAAACTGTAGAGATCAATACCAAAATGTCAAAAACTTGCAAAATAAAACTATAATTATATCTACATATAAAAAAGATCAATGGGCAAGGAAGAAGTATAAGAACCGGATCAGCTGCGATACTACGGCCTTTGATACCGCGAAGAGGGGCTTCTTCGGTTTGTCCGTTCTTGACGTAATCGAACTTAACGTATTGAATTCCGTTTCCACCTGCTCCGACCTGAATCTTGGTCACGGCATCGTGTTGGGATCCATCGTCCCATTGGTTGCCTCCAGTCCCTCCTTGTGCTTCCACCTTTTGGGCCATCTTTGTTTGCTTCTTGATCAATCCTATAAATTACCTATAATTACAAAAACAAATTGTTATTTTTACTATCCATCAAATTATATAGATATAGAGAAAAGGATATATTACCTTCAAAGAGAGAATATATAGTGATCGGTGCCATGGTCAATTGAATTGTATGTGTATTTATATTGACCTCATGGAATATAAGCATATACAGTAGTACTAAGCGAAATAATAATCTATATAATTTCGTGATCCACGAGGCATATTTATTTAATTTTATCCATGAAAAACGCATGATAAAATATTCATAATTTCATATCTTGTATAACTTCTCAACTAATCATCTTTATGTTTATGTTGGGCCATGAACGATGGTAGTGGGCTAATTAGCTATTTAAAAAAAAATTCATGGTCCGTGTAATCAGTTCTATTATGAAAGATAAATTATTAGCATAAGGTTCAAGTTGCAATTTTTTACTTACAATTGTGTGACTAGCAACTTCTTTATCAAGAGTTTTTGGTTGACAATTTGATCATTATTGTACGATACTGCACATGCTTGTAAAGCCTTAAGCACAAATTAAAACGGTAAAAAAAAATTAACATAATGCATGAATAGAACCAAATAGTACATCTATAATATACACAGTTTTGTATATAACACAGTTTTGTAACATGCAATCTAGAAACAAGAACCGGATAATATGGATCGAGCCAACTCTTGTGTACTTGATAATTAGAATTCTAATTAATATCATCAAGAGGATTAAGGAATACTTTAAAAATATCAAATTTTTTAGAAAAATGCTTAGAAAATTTACGAAGCCTTCTTACTTCAAGATTTTATAAAAATAAAAATAAAAAACTTTTTCATTGGTTTGTGGAAGATTCTTAAATTTTGCTAAGAATAAAAAAATTCGATATTTTTTTGGAAAACAAATGTGGGTATCTTTTAGAATATAATTGGAGATAAGCAATACAGTTTTAATATATGTGTCGTTTGAAAAGAATTTGTGTTGAAAAGAAGTGTCTTTTTCTATGTAAGTTTCTACCACAACGCCTAGTACAACCCTAGTCCAAATTAATGAAATATTCACGTAATTTTAAGAGTCACTTGTTCTTGTAGAGATATAATAGCACATTGTAATTAGTTTATTAAATCGAGTGGATTTTTTTTTTTTGTCAAACGACGTTTATATTGAAATAGAGGAAGTATGATTCATAATTTGGCAAATAGGTTAACGTGTAGACTATAATCTATACTGATTAATTGGCATTGGGGATACGACGCAATCAAGATGAATTACACTAGCTAGATAGTTATTATTTCATACTACTAAAATTAAGAGGAAATGATTAATCATACCTACTCATTGACATTACTAATTTAATATTAAGAGGGTACAAATTTATTATTATTTAAAACAACAATGTTAATAAAAAGTCTATATCATTGCAATCATTTTTGTATTTTATTGTTTTAATTAGAAAAAAAATATTATTTTATATGTCAATAGAGGTAAAACAAAACTTTTAATGATTTTATTAATTTGTGTGAAAATATGTTAAAGTGACATTTTTATGAAAAAACAGAACTAGTACGATTCAATAATGAAGTGTTAGTATTTACTAGTAGTATTTAGTGTCTCCTATAAGATAGCTGATAATGTAATCGTAACACTTTGAGGAAGAACAGAATTCACAGCCACATTTCTTCATCTTCCCCGTTTTCTCAGTTCGTAATAGAAACCTTTGTTATTTCTTCCAGTATTGAATCCAGTCTAAGTACATTTAGCTGAGCCAAAACTTTGTGCTTCCACAAACCAAAGTCTCTCTCTCCAGTTGCCATCAAACTTCTAAGCTTCAAACCTCCCTTGTGTTGGTTCCATATTGAAATACATACAATGTTGTTCACCCCTGATCTTGATTGTTGCAAAGAAAATGTGTTTTCAATGGCCTCAAAGTCTTTACCTGCGCGCCGGCTTCACATCGGCGAAGGGCCAATTTATCTCTTCTTTTATATGTCTTTTTGCAAGCTCATGCATCAGAGAGCCTAATTTGAAAAGAATCGGAAATGTTACTGAGTGAATCAAATTCCGATTTATAGGTGTATACGTTGAATATAAAATCCCTATAGGAATAAATAATTAGTACAAATATTACGTTTATAATTATAAGAAGAAGAAAAAGAACATGGTACTGCACGGAACTTATAACACGTGAAGTTTGATGGTGCCAAAAGTAAAAAAAAAAAAAACTAAGTAAGCATGCTAGTATACTTGTTTGTCTTATATTTTGATCATCTACGATATGTCGATATAGAAAAATATTTTTATACACAATTATAAGGAAAGAAAACATTGTATATTCCTCTAAACCTACAACACGTGAAATTTGATGTGCCAAAAGTCAAAGCTTTTATAGGGTCTATATAGTATAATATATCCTTTGTTTTTTTATATATATAATTGATAGAAACACTTTTTATATACGATTAAAATTAAAGAAAGCGTATCGTGGTTCATATGATTCACCGTGTTAGTTGAAAATTGAAATTAGGGCTTGAGAAAATTTTCAATACATTTTTTGGTAACATTTTCTTAGTACATTACTGTGCGTTTGATATGCATTTATTTTTCGAAGATGAATTCATAATCTTGGGTCGAATTTATAAGTTACAACAAAATAAGTCGTGTTTTTTTTTAGCATGTTTTATATCTTTTTAATGTTTTTCCGCTTGTTACTCAATATGTTTAAGTATTACTATAATATATAAAATCTGGTCGAACTGAATCATAATCCGAAGTCACATCCATATTGTATGATGCGGGACTCCACAATCAATTTTTACTCCATTATTAGAGTGATTATTATTACTTTATTAGTGGTGGCCAGAACCCATCAAGCCGGATGGTTGGATTGCCTATTCGCTTGGATTGGACCAAGTGCCGGTTTTCTTCATTATTTTTTCCTGAACAGGTAAGATGTACGTACATTGATCAGTGTGGACCCTTCTTTATCACTTCTTCAACCCCCCCCTGGATTAGGATTAATGTCGCTTTCGTATTTACAATTATTTCTATTTATGAATCATGCATCGCTTTAATCTTTCACGCTTTTTCGGTGTTTCCAACACATTCCACCGTTTGTTCGTTTAATTATAAGCAAAAGCTATGACTCTCCGTTCTTAGTTTGGCTTTTCATTTTTATCAGGGGAGGGATTACAGAAAACAAGCAATTTATTGTTTTAAAAATGAAATATGAAACATGAAACAAACATACACAAAAGAAAAAGCTGATGAAGGTATTCACGACCTTCCCTTATTGAAATCACATGCAAACACACACACAAACAATTAATATCACACACGGTTATATGATCACACGGCGTTTGAAAGCGTTTCAAGCAGAGCCGATCCCGTAGAAGAAGAGATCATCAAAACGGTCATTGTTCACAGCTTTCCCACCATGCATGACCAGACCTTTCTTACCATCAATCGTCCCAGTCGTGGAAGCCGACCATCCCCTGATAGCCGGAGTAATCACCTCTTCTTTTTTCTTCATTTTGTGGATACCCAAAAGGTCCGGGACCGAAACATGTAACTCTCCCACAATCGGGATCCGAGCATCTAAGCTTATCACCGTCCCACTCGAAGTCTCCTCGTCTTCACGTAACTTATCCAACCTCTCCCACTTCAACGTCTCTGTATCCAACGCAAAAGTCCCATCGATCAGTTGTCCCGGACCCACGTGAGCTAGTGGGTCCATGGCAATCTCTCCTCCAAAGAGCACAATGTGTTTCCCGACAACCGCACTAGCGAAAACGCTCCTCGCCGAGGGCTTCACACCGAACGTTTCCACGTCTGTCCACTTGTCCTCAACGGGATCGTAGTAATGAACATCATCGATTTCACATCCGTTGAATCCATAAACCACCCAAACCTTCCCTTGCACCACTTCGAGACCGGCTCCTCCTCTTATGCTGAACGATTCTCCGGGAGTCGCGCATTGCACCCATTTCTTCTCAGCGATGTTGTAAGCGTCTAGGGTCTTGAGCCTCACCGTAGCACTCACTCCACCGAAAACATAAACGTTGTTCTCATCGGCCGCCATAGAGTGGAAGCTACGAGGAGTTGGTCCTTCATCAACGGGAGTCAGGAGTTTCCACTCGTTCTTGGTCGTGTCAAATGAGTAGAACCCGTTGTATTTGCGGGAAGCGTCTCGGCCTCCAAAGACATAGAGGGTTTTTCCAACCGACACCATACGGACGCCTAAGCAAGAGAGGTGAGGAACGTCTCCGGTGGCTGGAGAAATGGACCAAGTCCGGGTCTTGAGGTCAAAGACGTAAAGGTCTTTGTCGATGGGCTGATTTGGTGTGAACTCGCCACCAAAGGCGTAGATCTTGTGTCCTACCTGTGCTATGGCATGTGAGCATCTAAGCCCTGGACACTTTCCCTTTTGCTCCACCTTATAAATTAATAATATTTGTTAAGAAAAAGAGATTTATACATTCTGATTAAGTTACACGAGCGCGGAATGATTCAAAGAGTTCCCCATTTTTTTTAATCAAGTCAAGTTTACTAGAGTTATATATAAAGCCACTATTCCGTTGAATTTTCAATTAAGTCAACCATTTTCACTTATTATTATTTTTCTTTTCTCATTTACTACGATTTTACGATCTGTTGTCAAAACCCCTAGTTGATTGTGTTGTGTCTGTTTTTTCAAAAAAAAAATCATTGTCACTACCTTAATCCACTTTCCAAGTAATCCAGAAGTGGTCCGAGTGGATGGGAAAGAAACATAGGCTCCAATGGAGTGTAGAACATCGGTCGAACGCCCGTGAAACCCAACGATCTTGCCACCTTGGTGAACAAACTTGACCCCAGGACTCGTCTCGAAGTGCTCATTGGTTTTGCCTTTATAAGTCTCGAACTTAATAGCCGTGATGGTTTCTTCGGTTTCTTTGTCACGGAAAGCTTCCACGTATACGATGTAGTCATCTGCATCAAGCTCCAACTACATACACACAAAAACCACGTATACGATGTAGTCAACTGTATCAAGCTTCCACGTATCATGAGTACGAAACCAAGATTGAACAAAGTTGTGACATTTTCAACATAATATAACAATAGTATATATATTATAATGAGTACCTCCTCAGTTCCTAGCGTTGTCACTTTTCCATGTTCATCCCCAACAACCACTTCAGAACCATCGACATACTCAAACTTGAGGAAGGCTATACCATTCTGGCTTTTCCCTATATATACTTTTCTGACGTTTTCGTGAACACCATCATCCCATACATCTCCTATCTCACCACCCTTTGCTTCTAGCTTATGGATCATCTCTTTTGTTTGCTTTTGATCGATCTTGCTAATATTACCTGTAAATACGAACACAGATCGTTTATAACAATTTATAATTGAATACTACTATACAAACTACAATCTTCTGGGAGAGAGATATGTAGAGAAGGCTGACCTCAGAATTAAAGTAATTACTGGTGCGGTGATCCATTTTGGGAAATTGCAGGGGTATTTATTGGCCAATGGAAATAGACAGTCGACATTTTTCTTGGTATATAATAAAAATCTCGAGATCCACGAGGCATTAATATATTAATGATTAGTATGAATACTTTCGGTTGATTTCAACTACTAGTTGAATGATTTTCGCTATACGTGAATAGAATATTTATATGCCAACTACTCTATTTTTTTTTCCTAGTTACTACGAGCGTATAAATTTAGAGATATAGAAACTATAAAATTCCAAATTTATTAATCAACCAAAAAAAACATTTATAAAAGTTAAAAACATAACATAAATGAGTTTGAACCAAACTAAATTGAAAAACAGAACAAGCTAAAAAAACAGAGACATGAAAGTGCTTTTACGGTGCCCGAAGAGCAAACCAGCGACGAAGGAAACCTTCTAGTTTGTACGATTCATGGTACCGTAAGGTGACAATCCAGCTGCATATCAGTTTCTCAATTCGCCGCCTAAAATTGAAGTACTGATATACGTCTTATTCGATTTAAAGTATTTGCAATCTCCATTGTCATGGAAATTGAGTATTATGATCAGGGGCGGACGCACGTTAAAGTGTACGGGGGCACGTGCCCTGACTGTTTTTTTTTATTAAGCCTTATATAATTTGATTAGTTATTGTTAGTTAAGTGGACAAAAAGTTAGCCTATGATTTACCTCGACTTTATATAACTCATATAAATAAACAATAAATAATAAACAATATAGAAAAGTCCAATATTTAGAGTTTATTTATTAAAAAAAATATGTAAAAATTAAATTATTATACCTAGCCACACAATCCACAAACACGTTTCTTACTTCTTCTATCAATTTTTTCTTTTTTTCATATAATTTTTGTTTCACGACATCTGCCTGTTCGAAATAAGGTAAATTAATCATAATTAATGTTAAACAAAAATTTATCATTATATGGTAAGTGATATACAGGTTTCATCGTCATGTTTCTTAATTTACTTTTTATTTCATTTTGTTATTTACAATATTATGCCCCCGGTTTAAAATGGTTCTAGATGCACCCCTGATTATGATACTGCATGTGATTTTGGTCCCAAAAAATAATGATACTGCATGTGATATGTAGTATGTCTTAGTCGATTGAAAGCACTTTTATTTATTTATTTTTTGCTTAATGGTAATAATTCATTAAAAAAAATGATAGGTTTAGGAAAAGATTTAAACTACTTACAATCTTCATTGTCATGGACTCGTGGAAATTGAGTATTATATGACACTGCATGTGATACGATCAAGTTTTTCATTATCATGGAAATTGAGTATGATGACACTGCATGTGATGATCAAAGTATAATCCAACTAGGTTACTGCCAACGCATATCAATTAGCTAGTTGGCATTAATTTATCAACGTAAATGACATGGAAAGTCGAACACCACAAGACACGAAACGATTTTGGTATATTTTTGAGTATTAGTGTATTACCCTAACATATTCTCCTACCGCTTCTAAATAACAAACGTAAACTACCACCTTGTCGTATCTTGATTTGAGTCATCCCATCTCATAAAGCACATTTAAACCTTAATTTATTGTGTTGGACAGAAAGAAGCGATAAAGTTGAAGAACTCCCTTTCTCTATGAAGAACACCATTTAGAAATTATGAACTTTTTCACCATTTATCAACCCCCTATACGTGTTCCGCCACTTTCAAACATTAAATGGATGAATACAAAATGAGCTATCATATGTTCTCTCACATTTTCTCAACTGCATCATATTTGTAACATCTTAATTTTAGAAATATGATTATATTTATATATATCAAGAGGCTTTTAATAATTGATTGGATTATCTATATCACTAAATTACATTATCTTTTAGATCACGAGAACTTCAAAATTAAGTATACTTAAATTATACTCAATTTTAAGATACGTATTTATTTATTTATTACTAATTTTGAACATTTGCTTAAGATAGGTATTTATTGGAAAGTTATTTATGGTATTATGTGTAAAGATAAAACAGAGAAAAAATTCACGTGGTAATTTACAGTGTCATTATATTAAATTTTTCGAACCTCTCGATTAATGCACCATCATCAGATAAACCTCTCGATTAACGCCCCATCATCAGATGGTTTTGAGTTTTACCAATATTAAATTCTCAAAATATTTTTGTTAAGGCACAAAATGGTGAAATTTTCCTACGTATACTTTTACTAGTTTTTAGTAATATTACAAATTAACCTTAACCAAGAAAATAAAAGGAGAGGATTTTTTGCGTAATTCTTGTGTGTACTATATAGTAAAATTTTATTCAACACATCATCTACAAGGGACATAATCTATGATCTATGCAATTACATAGTAACAAGCCCAATATAGAACCAAAAAGCATAAGGCCCAAATTATTTGGTAAGGGGGTTGCTTTTCACTAAGGCTACAGATGTATACATAGACCAAATTCTTTTGTCCCCAGCTGGCCCAGCACCAAATATATATACTGTATTTGTTTTGTAAATTAGTAATTAAGTTTAAGTAAAAGGTTTAATTATCATTTTTACCCCTTTTGGCCTTTTTACTTTCAGAAAATAAATACAAAATATATGGTGGTAGATAATTATAATTTTTTTTACTTGATACTGGTATAAATTTTATGCGTTGCCAAATTTAAAAAGGAATTATGCTAGGAATGAATAAAAAGATCTCTTTTATAGTAATTGGGATGAACAAAAGTAACGCGAGTTTTTATACTAAATCATACTCGCAGCGCGTGTAATGTCCGTACAAAAAATCGTACAGCCGACTCTGCGAGTCTGTGCGTGCTGCTCACTCGCTATCATTACGGTTATAACGGAACGATATACACATAAATGTGTATATATATATACACACACAAAGACAAAAGACCTCTCCGCTTCTTCCACTTCTCTCGTCTTCTCCATTTTTTCTTCTTTTTCCTGCAGATTCTCTCTCTCCCGCTCTTTCTTGGAAAAAGTTGTTTTCAGTCCCATTTTTTTTCTACAGAGAAAGCGAGAGCGAGAAGGATTTACGAACAACCATGACGCTCGTGAAATCGGAAATGCAGGCACTAGAAAACCGGCATTCCTTGAGCTTTGCTTCGCTTTACGTCGGTGATCTTAGTCCGGACGTGACGGAGGAAGATCTCTTCTACAAATTCTCTCTGACTGTACCTGTCGCCTCTGTCCATCTTTGCCGCAACTCGGTCACCGGAAAATCCATGTGTTACGCTTACGTCAACTTCGATTCACCTTTCAGCGGTAAGAGAATCCATGTCTCCAATCGTTTCGTTTCTTCGCTCTAATCTTCGATTTTGGAGTCTCTTGGTTTCATGTGAGGGTTTCCGATCTCGGACTCTCTCATGTTCATGTTTGCATTCAATCGTTTCTTTGTTCGTCTGTTTTCCCCCCTTTTTCCATGTAACCCTAGAAATTTCATGTTCCAAATGTGTATCCGTTTCCATGATACACCGAATGATTCTTCGCTTTGGATTCCGAAATTATCTCTCTGTTTCCGAAATTTATCATCTCTGTGTTGATTCGAACGGAATGATTCTTCGCTTTTCTCCAAGATTGTCTCTATTTAACCGATTTAGTTTTCTCCAGAGCTGTGTTGCTCTTCTCTTGCGATTGATGAATCACTTTCTGATAAATCCTTTTTTCATGTTCTTGCTTGCTGCTTCTCTGGATTAGCATCGAATGCCATGGCTGCCTTAAACCACACTGATTTGAAGGGAAAGGCAATGCGGATAATGTGGTGCCAGAGAGATCTTGCGTACCGTCGTCGTAGTGGGTTCGGAAATCTCTTCGTTAAGAACCTCAACAGCTCCATCACTAGCAGTTGCTTAGAGCGACTGTTTCGCCCCTATGGAACGATACTTTCTTGCAAAGTCGCAGTAGAGAATGGCCAGAGTAAAGGCTTTGGGTTTGTTCAGTTTGATACAGAGCAATCTGCTGTAGCTGCTCGTAGTGCTCTCCATGGCTATACGGCTGAAGGCAAGAAACTGTAAGTTAACTGTATACACTCCTGACTTTAAGCATGGTTTCTTTTTTAAACGGAAGGTAAATGATGAATGCTTGGTGTGTTTCTTTCTCAGGTTTGTAGCCAAGTTCATCAACAAGAATGAAAGAGCAGCTATGTCAGGAAATCACGAATTCACCAATGTTTACGTGAAGAATCTGATGGAGAATGTCGCAGAGGATGTTCTACATGGACTGTTTTCTCAATATGGGACAGTCTCTAGTGTTGTGGTTATGAGGGATGGTATGGGAAGATCGAGAGGTTTCGGATTTGTGGACTTCTGCCATCCAGAAAACGCTAAGAAAGCTGTGGAATCTCTAAATGGACGCCCACTTGGTAACTCTACTTCTTTGTCTTGCGCCAAGTACTTATTTACATTGTTATTAGATCCAGGGGTTTCTGATTTTAGAAGAATTCTTTTACGATTAGGATCCAAGAATCTGTTTGTTGGAAGGGCTCTGAGGAAAACTGAAAGGATGGAGATACTGAAACAAAAACACAAAGACAACTTTGTAGCCAAGTTTAACATGGGGTGGTCTAATCTGTACGTGAGGAACTTGAGTGAATCAATGGACGAAACAAGTCTGCGAAAAATATTTGGAAGCTATGGGGAAATAGTCTCAGCCAAAGTGATGCGTCATGAAGATGGCAAAAGTAAAAGATTCGGCTTTGTGGCTTTCTCAAACATTGAAGAGTCCAAAGAGGCTAAAAGAAAGCTCAATGGTATACTATAACTACAGTAGCTTGGCTTTATCTTTCCTCTAAACCAAGCTGATATATAATTGGACTACAACTACTGCTTACAGGGTTTTTAGTTGATGGAAAACCACTTGTTGTTCGAGTTGCTGAGCGAAAAGAGGATCGAATCAAGAGGATGCAGCAGTATTATCAAGTACAACCAGCTCAAGCAGTCCCGCGACCAATGCCCAGCCATTACACGCAAGCTCCTCCTGTCCCTTCACCAGCTCAGCCAGTCCCAACATCTGTACCCTGCTCATATGGTTATCTGCAGCCATTTCATATCGGGGCATCTTATTACTATATGGGCACTCAGTTACCACAAATGTTGGGTCACCAAAACATGACCACCTACGTAAGCATCTCTATCTGCATTTTCAAAACAAAGAACAAAACCAGTCTTTTGCGTTAAGATCACTCACACTTTTCTTTATAACTCAGGTTCCAGCAGGCCAAGCTCATCTGAAGCAGAAAAGATCAGTGCAACTTGTCTACAAAAACCCGGTATATATGCTCTTTCTTTCCTAAATCTTCATTAAAAACATATGTGCTGAATCTTTCACATCTCCCTGATTTTTAACGCTGGAATTAGTTTGAAATGTTTGCTCGGTTGAAAGTTTATATCTCTAAGTTGGTAATTTTCTGCAGGTTTATACCTTTGCCAAGAGTGGTGCTAAACAGAAACTGGTCTTTAAGGAAAAGGGCAGACAAAGTCTCGAGGCAGCCACTTGCTCCAAAGCGACGACATCTGCTAAAAAAGGTGATAAAGCATCCTCGGATTTGATGGCGATTCTGTCACCAAACAAGAAGGCAGAGCTGATATCAGGAAAAACTGAAGTTGCTTAACATCTGGCTTGAGTTTGCTTAACACTACTCTCTTGGTTCATTAGTTTTTGGTCATATATAGAGCTTTGTGGATCTCTAGACCTTTTAGCTCAAAACTGGTTTTTAGCCTTTTAAGCATTTTGTTTTTGTACAAATGAACATGCACAAGGAGGTTGTGTATAGTTTCTGCCTTTCTGCTACTAAGAGTTCTTTCAACTTTTGGTTTTCTTTGTTGAAGTAATCATAATAAACTCATTTGTAGTTGAGATAGTGGTGGCTTGATACATAATTCAAAGGGAAATAAATGTATGACACAAGATTTGACAGAAACAGCGAATTTCAAAGAAGACAAATACTTTAGAGATCAACCGCCGATGAGAGAGAAGCCCTGTCCAATTAAAGAAGTGGCAAGAATCTGATTGGCAGCTTCAGAGGGATGAACACTGTCCCAGAACACATACTGAGTAGCATTGGAGCATGTCCCGTACGATTTCGGATTGCACAAGAGCGAAGTTGTCTCGACTGTTCCTGTTCCACAACATCCTTTTGTTGCTTCCGTGAATCCTGTTGGGAAACAAAGGTGAATGTGTGTCATGGGTTATTATGTAATGCAGATCAGCAACAAGAAATGTTACACTTATATATATCAGTCCTTTTATTTTGTGTGGCTTACCGGAACTGGCAGGGGACTGAACAAGATCATAGAGTGGGGTGAATATGTCGAAGACAACAATGGTAAGACCAGAGTATTGCTTCTGAAGCTTTGAAGCAGCTGCGTTAAGCTTCTTGTTGAATTGTTGAGCATCTGTGTTGAGTCTTGAGACACAGCCTTTTCCATGGAAACCGAAAAGAGTTCTTGCAGCTGGAAGACATCCCGTTGGAGGCAGAGAAGTCACACCGATCTTCCTTGCTCCAACCGCATACACTTGCTGCATCCCACAAAGAGCCTCAGTCTCCCTCTTTGCAGTTGAAAACAGCGGATAACCAAAAAAAAAAAACAGAGAAGAATAATGAAAACAAAATTACAATGTTACCTTGATAAATGTAGAGAAGTTATCGATAAGCATAGATCCGTACTGATCAGGAGTGTAGACTTTGAAAAGAAAAGGATTCACATAATAATTTTGAACGAAGTCACTGCTTCCTGCACTTAAGAGATAGATCGCTCCCTTTATGATCGAGTCAGATTGTTTGCTTCCTGCAACTTTTATGAGCTTGCTCTTGTATTCCTTAAAGTACTCAACTTGCTGATACAACGGGATCGCATGCTGCCAAAAAAAAAGGAACAAAAATCAGAATAGAAAACAAACAGATCAAAACAGATCAAAAGAAGAAATGTATCAGAAGAAAGAAGAGTGACTCACATTGAGAAGAGCGGCTTTGTCATCGTAACCTGAAGCTGCAGAAGCGAAGTTAGCACCAATGAGAAGGTTCTTACCTGAAGCTTCGGGACTTAGATAAGCTGGTGGGTACTTAGTGAAGCCTAAAGTCTCAGCTGTAACAGAGAGAAAACACACACACAAAAGACTTCAGTTTCAAACAACTTCAAAAGATTACTTGGGCTAGAAGTATATAAGTAAAGGCTTTTACCGGTAAAGTCGGTTGCTAATTTTCCGTTGCAGAAACGGCCGGTGGGTTTGTGGCCAGAAAAATCACGGCCATAAGGAGGGTAATCAGCTCTGAATATGGTCGGAAGATAGTTGTTGTTTCCAACATCAACTACAGAGTCTCCGAATGTAATGATTGCAGGAACAAGAGTCGTTGGAGCGTCTTGAGCAAATGAAATCTCAAGAATGGAGAAGGCAGAGACCAAGAGGAGAAGCGAAAACGACGTCGTGCGATGATCCATTCTCTTGCTTTTTGGTATGTGTGAATGGTGTGTACTTTCGTTTATATATATATACATAGAAGAAGGTTACACAAAGACAAAGAGGTTAGGAGTTAAGTTACTTCAATGTTGTTGTGTCAGCTCCTCTCTCTCTTATTCATTCTTTTTCCAACTATTTTTTATTCGTGGAAACAATTGAACCAGACTGTTACTTTTAATTTAATTTTATAACGTAATTTAATTAAATAAATTTACCTTTTAAGTGAAAAAAGGTGCACATGGATGCCATAAATAGGATCTGGTCTGTGTTTTTAAAGTGAGGAAGATGGAGGTTGTGAGAGTTAGTGAAATATAGCTAGGCTAATAAATGAGAGTGGTTCTACGTCGCTTTGGAATTTAATTGCTTGATTAATTCATAAATGTCAAGAACAACACATAGTCATGTAAACATCTCCTTAGGCTGTTCTGTTTTTTTTCTTTCGGCAGAGAAATTTATTGCTCTCTGCTTCTATAAGTCAGCGTTACTGTATCTAGTGTAAAAACTATATGCGGAAGAACTATAAATATTTCTCAGCATTTTAACAAATGTTGGACCATTTTAAGAAAACATCTGATTTATTTCTCTGCATCGGGATATTGTAATATGATTTGTTAAATTTATGTTTTCCCATGCATCAGACCTATATATATAGTTACCTTATCACATCGTATGAAAACCTCGGACATGTAAGACTAAGAGTAATTAAATGGAGAAGTGTTATTATTAGATTTGTGTACCAAATGAATGAATTATAAAGTTCCAGCCCTAAATAGTTTACACCTAACTCTAAGACCATCTCCATCCGACAAATGGTTGAAGGGTATTTAAAAAAAAATTAAACCAATCACAAAATGACATATATTAAATAAGTTTTTTCAGAAGGTAAAAACCGATTTTCAAATTCTTTAAATAAGAAGCTTTACTTCTTCTCTTTTATGCTTTTTATTATTTTATAATTTCTTTTGGGTAAAAAACTATGATAAACAATTTCTGTTAGACCACTTCCTCTAAACTATAGTATCTAAACCTTAAAAATAATAAAAATAATAAAAAAGAAAGAAAGAAATAAAAAGAAAACAAGAACCAGTGTCAAAAGTTTCTAGTTCAGAATCGATCTCTAAACTTTTGAGGACATATGTCTTTTTATTAGTGGTTTATTTTTTTTTATTATTAAAATTAATTATTTTACTAATTTATAATAATATAATATTTTTAATGAACCCATAAATAAGTTTCTACCGTTGACCATGCTCTTAGAGATGCTCTAAGCCTATATTTTTATTTTGTTTTAATTTTTTATTTGCTTTTATAGTCATTACTAGTAGCAGTAGAGACTATATATACTTTCGAGGTGCCTATCATTAATGAGATAAAGTATAATGTATTCATGGTAAAATGTTAGAAAGAATAACAAGATCGAAGAACGGACGAAGAGCGACAATTCATCATCGTTTAATGGATTCTATAAGAGCCTTATATAGAGGAAGTATTCTGGTTTACATAGATTAAACCAACCTTAATTACACGGTTAAGTAAACCGACTACACTAATATAAAAGGCGAATCGATAGATGCATGCATTGTTTCATTTTTTGTCTACTTTTATCATTGGAAGCCAAAATGCTATAGGAATAAGAAGAGGTGATCGTAAATATAACCACTAAGGAGAATATTGGCCATATAAGGAAAATAAATAGAGAAATTTGGACCGTTTATTAACATACATATAATATTGAAATCCAAGATCATCTTTATAATAACGTACATTGAGGAACTATTTATTATAGTAAGTATTTTCTACTACAAAATTCGCCGACGATTCCTCATTTATCTCTCTCTTTACTTGGGCCTACGTGCTGTCTCCCTAGGCCCCGCCTGTCTTGCCAACTGTTCGTTACAAAATTAAATTTCGGTAAATAATTTTAACAAATAAAAAAAGTGATTAGTCAAATAATTTTGTGATTCATTAAGCAGTAATTTGATCATTGGCTTGCCTGGAAATAATGTTCAAGCTTCTTTCTCAACGTTGCGTGCTCTTTCTTTAGTTGCTGGAAAGTCCTCAAGCATCTGCGCTCATCGCAAGTACGGAATAGTGAGAAAATTTATTAGGGGGGCGAAAATTAAATAAAGTCTAAGGTTCAGCGGATTGCTGCAATTCCTCATATTTTTACTTATTTTCATTTTGACCACATGAGTTAATCCGTTATGAACAAAAGCAGGAAAGGTTTTAGTGGAAAGACGAAAGTACCCTTCAGCATTTCCAACTCTGCAGTATTCCCTAAACGTAGTGCATTCAGTTTTCACCTTACTCGCACCAATGCTACAAAAAGTTAAAAAAAAAAAATGCACAGTATGTCATTATTAGTTATGTTTTAGGCAGCCGTATTTAAATAGCATTACAATCAAAAAATAAATTTAACATATTTAATTAATTCATTATTCGCATTTATAAGTAGATTTATCAACGTTGAGGGGAAAAAATACCTCGTGCTGCTGCCCTTAAACTGATGCATGTAACTATCCAGCCGACTGAAATCAAATGATCCTCTTTCCCTGCATTGTTTAAGTAAGTCACGTATATTAGGAGCCAAAATCTTTTGCAAATATAAAAATAAAATAAAATTTGAAAAAACTAAAGGTACTCACAAAGCTTGGTCAATGTTATTGATTAATCGAGCTGAATCTTTGAAGTATAATGTGGCCACTTCTTCAACAAAATTAGGATTTGCATCATCTTGGAGCTCTTCTAACTCCATGAATTGATCGTCGAGATATCCCTGCATGCATTTTCCCATTTTAGCTTTTAATTAATTAATCTTCTATTTTATGAGAAGAAATTTACAACTAGTACGAATGCAAATACTACACAGAGATACGAAGAAAGAAAAATAAAAACCTGATCAAAGAGGGACTGCTTAATGAGTGCCACTTGCCTCTGCATTTTTGCGTAAAGTTTCTAGAAAATTAACAGTAAGTGAGAAAATCAATCTTTTAGTTCCTTTTTATCTTAGGTAATTCGAGTGGCAATGCAATACTGAAACGGTGTACATCTGAGATATATATAGGGGAAGATAGAATATAAATTATTAATTTCATATTACATTAAAAAAGAGAAAGCAGAAAAGAGAAGAGAATATTTATAAAATGATGGGAACCTGCAACGTAAGGGACATGCATTCTGTATTCTACTACACACACAAAAATGTGTATTCGCTATTATCAGCTTATTTCGATGACAAATGGATACATTTGTTCAGTCAAAAATAAAATAAAAAAAAGACAAATGGATTCATTACTTGATACAATCTGTTTTATTTAATTATATATTTTGTAGGAGATATTTGTGGTGTGTAAATCGATATATGTTAATATGTATTGTATTGTTTACTTTAACAAAAGAGTATATAATAGTGTCATGTTGAAGTTTAGAGTACGAGAGTACACGATACTAGAGAATATTACTCAATGTAGATTGTTCACTTAATTTTGTTTCCATTACAAGTAAAAAAAACCCTAAATTTCTGTAGATCTACTGCCTCAAAAAATATTATTAAATTTATTAAAGATCCCTTTATTAAATTGCTTTTAAATTAAAATATTAGTCTCTCATGAATGGCGAATAAATTAATACATTATTTAATTACATACATCACATAAATAGGTAATTTTCGAATTTAGAACCTAAAGCTAAACGTTGTTACTATACGAAACACATCTTTGAATATAGGGGCAAAATATATACTTATAAAATGTTTTCGGACAAGAATTTTCCTGAAAGTGAAAGAGAAAAGTTATAATTTGAAAAATAAATATACAGTTCAAGAGAAATATATTCTCAGCAAATAAAATGACCATTTCCGTCTTGATTAATTACTGAATATTTTATACATGTATTCACAATGTTTTTCTTTACTATCGTTCTCTTAATTTTCTATGGTTGTGATTTCCCATTTTCGTAGTTTCATTTCACTCGAACCGTAATTACATTTAACCAAATTTTCTTTATATATATAAAGCTCTTTTAATAAACATAAAAAAAAAAAACTCGAACCAAGTTACCGGTACCCAAATTTTCTATTTGATACATTTTCTCCTTGACCGCTGAAAAAAAAAGAAGTTGTTACAAATTACATTGAACACTTTAGGTCTAAATCTGAATCCAAAATTTCGACGCTATCTGAAAAAAAAATAACAAAGATTTGAAGGTGCGTGCAAGTGAGTTAGTGAGAGGGTGTTGTGTGCCGACGAAAGGCTAGTGCCTGTGCGGGTGCGTGCCGTATTCATGCTTCTAGTTGTAATTTTTTTTTTATTTTTTTTCGAGTACTTGATAAAAGTTTTTAAGTTAATGGAGGATATGATACATATGGCCAACGGAAAATAAACTATTAATAAACCATAAATTTCTGTTATTGGAAATAAGGAACAAGTATCTAAAAAGGAAAAACTGAACCAAAAGCAGAGCACATAACAAGTGTGATATAAATGATTGACACAAAGACACCTAAGATCTTTTTATCACCACAGCATAATTTGTTCCTTCTCTCTCTGTCTCTTTCTCTCTCAGACAAGCATCGTGAGATCGAATTACAGAAGAGAGAGAGAGAGATTGATCATATACAAAATTTCCAACTTTATTTATTCCTCCGCCCACCAAACCAATCTCACAAAAAGACTTGTCTAGTACATATTTTGGGTGTAAGTGGGTTTAGAATATAAGTTTTATTATTGCTTGCTGTCTCATCTCGATTATTCTCCTTAATTCCGACCTTCCTGTAACAGCAAATACAATATTATACCAAAAATTGAGAAGAAAACAAAAATCATGCAAAAAAACTGTGATGTTTAACATCATGAAAAAACACAAGTGATCAAATCTAACAAAACTTCTTAATTTATATCAAATGTAGTTAATTTATATTTTGTTTGTTGTAAAAGATTTAGAGTATAATATAAACGGATGATATTTATGTATATTTTGTTTGAATGTGTTAGTTTTGATAAATGAATTTTTACGAGATGCTTTAGCATTCTTTCTCAAGAAGCATATGTCTACCAATTTTGCTATAGCGACACCTTGTTCAAAAGAATACTAACAAGTTTTTTATTGAGTCATCAAAATTAAAATTCAAGTATTAAACACGGTAAATTTCTACATTGTATTATTTTCAATTTTCAAAAAAAAATTACCTTATCAATTGAGTTATTGATTTATTATGCCTTTTTATCTATTTTTATATAATATTTAAGGCTCTCTAATTTTTATTATCATGATTCATTGGGCGATAATATGTCGACATTTAGTTTCCTCCATATACTACTAGAACATTGCTAGAATATAGGCTAGGTTAATAATATAGCTCAGATCCATATTCAAGACAAAATCAGTCTTGTGATGCTTTAGAAGGCTAGCTTGTTCCACTTTCCATATGATTGAAAGATTATAGATGTTTAACCGATTTTTAAAATGATAGATATTCTTCTAAAAGTTGTCTTGAGATTTTTATGTTGGATCTACATGATGCGAGTTAAAGTCATTACAAGTAGCTATTAGCACCTAATTTTGAACTAAGTATTTTTGTAAAGGGCACAATGTTGACTGGTTCGTGACTGAATATGACTCGTTACAAAAATCGAATGTCGACACGAAAACAGATTTTTTCTTTTGATTGTGCTGATTACTCCAATGAAAATTTTCTTCTCAACAAAATAGTTTCACATTACTTGAAATCGGTAACTTCAATCATCTATCACTCCCTAAGATAAAGTATATGCTAAACACATTTATTTTTATCCTCTATCACTTTCATGAATAATTACACTCCGCGATATTATGAACATGATTCCCCCCAATCCGAAAAAGCTATAAAATGATTAAAAACCAAATAAATTGGCTGATAAGGACTAATCATAATCGTAAAAGTAAAATAAAAAAATAGAGCCGAGTTTACATTAAATCACAGGGGGACCGTCTTCCGACATTATAACATCTTAATATCAAATTTCATTAATTTACTCATCCCAACTAAACAAGTATTATCCAATTGAGGAGCTGTCGTGGTTGAAAGATGAAACAAAACAATCACAATAATTCTGTTAACTATAATTGTAAATGGTGCAAACATTGATTCACAGCGTTTATTAAAGTGCTATCAAAAGTTCGAAAACTGTGTTTGTTACTTACCAGAGCCGACCCTGTCATTTTAGAGGCTACAAGCATATTTAAAAGTTGAGTTTCTAGATTTTATTTTAGAAATGACTATTTTTATCATTAAAATAAAAATATATTAGCTTCTATTTTTAATATTGCCTTTTTGTTCAAAAACACTTTTGGACCAAAAGCTTGTGCTTGGTCTGAGTGCCAGGCACTATTCGTTACAGATGGGAATGGGATTGATGGGCATGGTTCCAAAGAGGCGATCAAACAAAACCAAAAGTACCTTCAAAGAGGTCACAAACTCATAAGTGCATCTAATTATTGTTCTTAATACTAATTTATGTTGTCTCTTATTGTCTCTTGCTTGAGAATAATAAACTAATGCATGGTTTACTGAATGTTGAAACCAATAGATATAGGGGGTTGCACAGTATATAACCGTTATTAGACGCAAATCGGAAGATTAAGCGATAAATCCTTCTAAAAACACGACTTTGGCAATATTGTTATATAATTTTTTGAGTACTTTTAGTATCAACTGAGGTTTTAGAGCAGTAGCTAGAATATCATATCTAGTTTAGCCAGATCAAAATAGTGGGTAGCCAAAACATACGATTAGATCTCTGAGTTCCTTGGAGACCGTTAGAGAACGTTCTCCACAAGCCGGTCAGTACCAATAGATTGAGTTATCTTTTTGTGTGGATTCGTTCCCTAACTAGTAGTATGAAAGAGCCATTCATTTTTTTTTTCCTTCAATAGCCATTCACTTGCGGTCACATAAAAGTCTATTATTGAAAATTTAAGACACAACTAAATAGCCATTTGCAGTCATTAGGAACTAGGAAGTTAATTCAAATTCTTCTCTCTCTTTCTCTTTTTTTGTTTTGGTTTAGGTGGAGGTATTGGATTAATAAATTGGACTGAATTGTAGGGAATTAAAAATTCTATTAAATACCAGTGTTATTCAATTATATATATTATCAATTCTTTTAAATATATATGTTATTGGATTAAAGATTTTTATTCATTCTTTCAAAATCCTTTAAATACCATTGTTATCCAATATACTAATTCTCCAATTCTATTAAATATCTGTGTTATTCAATTTTGTAATAGCTTTGATTTTATTATCATTTGGAAGGAATTTAATAGAATCTTACATAAAAATTTGTAAAAAACCAATTACTACAATTTTTACTATGATTTTGATAGAATTTGTTTAAATTCCAACAAAACACTTTGAATTACTTAAAAATTAATTATTTTTGAATTTTTTTTATATTCTATCTAATTTAATAATCCAATACCACCTTCAATCACCGTTCGAAACCAAATACTCTCTCGGTTTCATATTATAAATTGTTTTGGTTACAAACACAAATATCAAGAAATTAACTTTTGTTTTAAAAAATGTCAATTAACAAATAATTAAATATGTTTAACCAATTATAAAATAAACTTTAGTATAATATTATTAGCTACACAACATCCAACAAACTTAAAAGTGATATTGGAAAGTGAAAACAACTTATATTTTAAAATAAAATTATACTCCTAAAACAACTGATATTATGAAACAAGAGAGTATAAAATGGTTAACTGATTATCTTAATTGTAAATGATTTAAATACATTTTGTAATAATGATAAGACTATATCAAAAGTTTTAAACGTTGAAATGTTATTAACCGGAATCGACCGTGCTTGTGCAGCCTCAAACGCTTCTTCTACATATACAAATTGTGACCACCGAGATTGGTATAGGTTGGATTGGATCCATTGCGACGATAAACTAGTAAAACACAACAAAATCCGAATATAAATTCCGTACTGCTCGTTCGAGAAGCGAAAGAGACGGTACATTGAAGCATAAGAAAGGAACATAGTTAAAAAGAGATCAAGGTACAGTGTGAATACACATTTGGAGAAATGTTGACACAATTTTACTATTTTAGCATTAGAGAGTGGCTTGTTTGGAATATCTTTTTAGTAACTTATGGGGACAGAATTGCAATCATTTACAAAATTCGGCTTTAGGGTCCCTTTTCATTTTTTTTAAATTATTCCCAACGTAGCATTGATTCTCTCTCTCTCTCCTGATTTGATTTGGGCTTTGCCATTGCTGAAAGCAGCTTCACACTAAAGAACAAATACTCTTTTTTTTTTTTTTTTTGCTTATATTCAATTTTATAATGTTCGAGTCGAACAATTTAATAGTAGAAATGGTTGAACGGTAGCCATAAATATTTGATTTGTAACGTTTCTTATTGTCTAATCATTAAATAATGAAAAAATATGACGCGACAATGAAATTGTGTGCTTTTTTTTTTGGTCAAATTGAAAATGTGTGCTTTATCTTATGTAAGTATGACGTGATGCTGAGTAACGTATCTGACTGTTTGGTAAATCTATTGTTACAGTTTGATATGTTTTTCTTTTCACTTGTTGGCTCTATTAATGGCTTACGTCTTGGTTTGTGTCGTCCTAAACCAAGAACATGCTCTGGTTTAATCCGGTCAGGGTTTTCCTTCTTCATTCTTGAACCACCAGCAAGATTTTCTTCAGATTGCCTGAATTGCGCTGTTGCCTTTACTCAAATCTGAACCATTCACCGAGCCATTAGGGTGAAACGCCGATGGCCTTGAGGGCTCTCCTATTAGTTTCAGAGATATCGGAGATGGAGATGGAGAAGTTTCGGTTTCATGTCTTGTCGCCAACCCTATGCGCAGCTGAGACATACCGACCAGCTCGTCCATGCTTACACGTTCTTTAGCAAATCCAGGTTTTGGTTTTAGGACCTGATGCTGCTGAGAAGAAGTCTCAGCTTCTAAGCAATGCTCTGTTCCGTGTAGTGAAGTGGAAGTCGCGGGGAGCCAGAGCGTGTAAGTGACTGGGAAACAAGGAGGAAAGAAGCCGCCAGGGACTAGCATTGGCGAAAGCTCGCTTGATGGCTCTATGGCTTCTTCCGGTTTTCCCTGTGGTGGCGTGGTGGCTACGACCGCTTCAGATTCTGTAGTATTATTGAGTGAAAGCTCCAGTGAAGGAAGGTAGGTTTTGTTTTCGGGTTCCTTGCTTGGAGATGACCGGTTTATGGTTTGGTCTTCCTGTGTTGGCGATGACTCGGTTACCTAAAAGAAGGGCAAAACAGGGCAAAACAGAGGAGATGTTCAATACAAGTTTTTTTCCATAGATTAAACACAATTTCATGGAAGATATGATGCGAACCATTTCATCTGTAACCATGTCGAAGAGGCTAGAGCGTCTTTTCCTGCGGCTAGAACAACTATGGCGGATGAAATACTTTTGAGCATGACTTGCCACTTGCGTGGGAGTTCTTGAAGTCACATAGTTTCTTGAAATACCTCGCCAGTCTCCTTTCCCAAGTTTCTGAAGACCGACTAAGAATAGCCTGTGTTCTTCCTCGGTCCAAGGAACACCTGTGAGCCCAAATTTACATGTAAACACCATTATCAGATTCAAGAACAATACTAAACCTTTCAACTTCAAACACACATATAACCATAGACTTTTAGAGTACAACAACATATGATCCACACAAATGAGATCATGTCAAAAAACTAATCCAACATTGTAAAAACTGTTGTCCTGCATAAGTTTCATCTGGTAACAGTTCCACTAACCGGTCAGACCAAATCAATTTCTGCAGCACCCGATAACAATTTCAACTCTTGATTCATCTTTAGGACAGTTTCAATTCCAAAGTTCAAAACTTTAGCTATCAATTTGCAAACCCAGATTCAACAACAACGAGAGTCATAAATAAGATGAATCTATGGATTAAATGTGAAACCCAATCAAAGGAAAGATGATAAATTTACCTCTCTTCCTCTCCGCTCGACGGTGGATAGAGCCATGAGCTGGATCATCGGATAAATACCCTTCGTTATGTTGATTAGAGTATCGCGCGTGATCCGACAACGGCGAATCGTTGTGATTACCCGTCGCGAGAGGAGACGACGGAGATAAACGATGGTGCGCCGCCGCCGCGGCTACGGCCAATGCCGAGAGATTACCCATACTCGCACTTTTTTTGATAATCGACCCATCCGTTAACCTCACGCCGAATAGCTTCACGGCGGAGGAAGAAGATCCTCCTCCACTCCCTCCTCCGATTCCGCTTCCACCGCACGTGCCACCCCCACGCGTCGGACACGTGCGCGAATTGTGCCCATTGTTGCTACAATGCGAGCACCTACGAGTCATCCGCACAAGACACAAACAAACAAAAAGCAAAACTCTTTTCGTAATAAATGCTCCGTAAATAGGTTTTGCGTATACACAACAAATTCGAGAAAAGAAAAAAATTAGATAGAGATTATAGAGAGATGTGTAATTGCAACCATTGAAGAAAAAAAAAGATGAGGACTTTGTTTTTTTGTTTGATTTCTTCTTATGGAAAGAACAAGGAAGGGTAATTTGGGTATTTTGAGATTGGAAAGAACGAGAGGATTGTGGTGGATCGTACGTTGAATTCTTGTTAAAAATTAGGGACTAATTATAAGCTTTTATTTTATCTTATCTTACCTGGAAATTTTCGTTTATGAAACAAATTTATATATATCGTGTCTTCTCTCTCAATCTCTTCTTTGTTTAGGATAACTTTTTTTAATAGAAAAAATGTTACCGACAAATTCAGTTCCGATAACCAAGATAATCAAATAATTGATTAAAGAAGATGTTGAGGATAATATTATTTAACCTAAAATCTGTCATGAAACGAAATAAACTAATACATTAACCCACTTGTGAAACAATCTATCCACAGATAAGAAAGAAACACGTTTTTAGTATGAGACGGATCAAGTGGCCTAGCTTTAAAGGGATATTATCATAAGGATTATTAAAGCATACACACACGTTTAGTTCTTTATTTAGCACAAAATGTGATTCAGATTTGAACAAGCTTTAATCAATCACACATTATCTTATCCTTGTCATAATTTCCTCTTCCTTTCTCCCATCGTTTTCTTAATTAAAACAAAAACAAAACACTACACTCCATAAAAATAAATTTCAAATGCATTTGACTTTGAAAAACCTCTCTCTATCTATGTTGGAAATTTAACATTTTTATGCCGAAAGCAAACATGGCAGCGAAAAAGACAGTGAAGCCCACTAACACAACAGCAATTGAGCCCATAAAATTCGAGTCGTACCCGTAATGGTTCCTAATGTACCATTTTATCGTCGGATCTTCCATCATACCCGGAACTTTTATCGTATCCTCTACGTCACCGTACTGTGAAACAATCAATCCATACACAGTCCAAGCTACTGGACATATCCAGTAGTACCATATCCACCATTTCGGGATTTTCTGCGGAAAAACAATTCAGACAACTTATAATATAAACCAAAAAGAAAGGGTTCAAGATTTCTTGCGGGAAAAGTAACCAAACTAACCGGTCTAGGGATGAGAAAACCGGAGAAGAGGTTGAAAAGTCCGTAGAAAGCTCCGGCGAAAATAGCTGCGACCTGCTGGTTCGGGGTGATGGCGACAGCCATCATACCGTAGTATGTGAAGTAGAGGAAGGAGAAGAATGTTACGAAGAAAAAACAAAAGAATTTGACCACTGTCCATTCAAAACACAACATTGCGTATATAACCAACGTATAAAACGTAGCTTGGACCAGCACATACGGTATTTCGCATACCACCTGAAAGCCAATGTAAAAGATTTAGTTAATTAATACTAGCCGTACAGATTTCTTGTTAGTCAAGTAACTAAAACTGGTTGTAGTCTAGTCTCACCTGCGCTAGGGCATAGGGCAAAGCAGAGTACATTTCAGCAGCTCTTTCTCGATAGAACACAGTTCGTTCCACGGATACGAGTGGCTGGACAGATGTGGAATTGTTTATACCGACGAATAAAACCGCAGCGTACATTGCTCCAATAACCTTTGTAAGATCATTCGCATTGTCCCTGTTCGTACAAGAAAATGTATTGGGTTTATGTAACTACGAACTCAAGATACTGGCCTTTCAGACCTTGATTCGATTCGGGTCTTTGAAACAAACCTTTTTGTGCCAACTTTCCAGAAAATTGATCCGACCATGAGAGCTGCAACCATTGTAAAGAAAAATCTGGCAAGATTGTAATCTGGAGTTCTCCAGTAAGTAATCCACTGTTTCCACAGACAAGATTTGAATTGTCCTAACAGTGATTGTGAGAACCGCGTTGAGAAATAGAGATCTGTTGCTCCTTGTGGCGGTGTGCTTAGTTCCTTTACAAGTTTCTTGTTTTGTCTACACCAAAAGATCAGTTCTAATAATTAGTATTAACTCTTGTCAATGATTTATTAGAGTTTCGAGTCTTGTGTTTCACTTACTCATATAAGGATGATGCTTTGTAATGCTCAGCAAAATCTGTCTTAAGCTTAGCTTCTGCAGCCATTGAGCTCACTTCTAGCATCCATGTCGCAGGATTATACTTCTCTTTAATTTCCGGAACTCCAGGAATCGCCTGTAGTTTCTCAAAAGAATAGTAGTGATCAGTGAGTTCTTGTTTTCAATGTGAGATTGATTCTTTAGCAAAATTTAGAATCTAACCTGGAAATATTCAATAATCTTGTGAGAGTTTCGGCCCAAGGGACCGGCGTAAATCACTTGTCCTCCTCTCTTCATAAGCAGAAGTTCATCAAAAGCTTCAAAGATATCAATGCTAGGCTGGTGTATCGTGCAGACCACAGTTCGTCCTGTGTCGACTGTGTTCCTCACCGTCCTCATCACAATCGCTGCAGCTCTCGCGTCAAGCCCTGAAGTCGGCTCATCCATGAAGATTATGGATGGATTCGCCACTAATTCCACAGCGATTGTAAGTCTTTTCCTCTGTTCTGTTGATAGCCCTGTGATCCCTGGAAGCCCTACAATCGCGTCTTTGAGACTCTTTAGCTCTACTAACTCCATAACTTGGTCCACAAACCTCTACAAAAGCCGGTGTATATATACATTAGTCTATATGGCTGAGGTTTGATCTTTTACTAAATGGTGTGAAGGCTTGCGAGAAGAAGCATTACCATTTTCTCATCTTTGATGACTTCTTTTGGGAGACGAAGGAAAGCAGAGTAGATGAGAGACTCTCTCACAGTGACTTGCGGCGAATGGATATCGTTCTGTTCACAGTAACCAGAGATTCTTGCAAAAGTGTCTTGTCTTTTAGGAAAACCAGAGATTCTGATGTCTCCTTCGATGTATCCACCGGTCTTTCTACCCGCCAAAACATCCATTAAAGTGGTTTTACCAGCTCCACTTACTCCCATCAGAGCTGTTAATACCCCTGGCCTAAACACCCCTGTCACTTCCCTTAGTAGTTGAAGCTTATCCTTGACAACTTCTTGTTCCTTCATTTCCTGTTTGTTTGTTAATAGTTAAATAATAGTTATTGTTTCAGTCTCAACAGATTTAATGTAACAAGGATTCTGGATTTGGTGGTTACCTTAGGCATGTCAACGTAGTAGTTGACATCGTCGAAGGACATTGTGAGAGGAGTAAAAGGAAGAACCATTCCTCTTTTCACGCAAGTGCTTCTGCTTTCTAAGCCATTCTCGGCTCTGTTTTCCTCTGCATTCTCTTTAGAAACAATGGCTTGCGGCTTCTCAAGTGCTGGCATAGCAAGGAAGGCATTATGTTAACTTAAGAAGGAAGAAAAGAAATGTCAACGTTCATTTATATACTAGGGTTAGGTTTCAAGTTACTGTAGATATCAGATTCTAATACAAACAATCGATATAGGTGAAAGCTTACGGTTTAGGAAAGCAAGAGCGAGGGTGACTAGGACGTTAAAGAGAATCGTAAAACCGAGAATGCCTCCTACTCCGACCCAGTACCAGCTTGGATCCGTGAATACGTCGAAAATCTCAAGAACAGCCAATCCCAACCTCGTGGAATTGTCAGAAGACTGCACGGCAAGTGAAAGAGAGCTGCTTGAATAATCATTCGATTTCATAAAGTAAACACAAAAGGAAGAAGTGTTAAAGACATTTAAAAAACTGTAGTAGAGACATTGGTTGGAGTTTTACCGGTTGATCCATCCATCTAGGAGCAAGCATTTCATTGACAGTTAAAGCCTCGTAAGTGTAAGCCATTGGTGAAATCCAATAAGCCCATTCCCACCATACAGGAATCTCACCTGTTAACGTATATCATCAAGACCAAGCATGCTCAAAACATGGAGATTTCTTGAAAACATAGTGATAGTGTTTTTAATGTATAAGGAATCTATATAACCTCTAGGAACAATGAACCCTCCAAGCAAGAAGAGGAGGAGAATAACTAGGGATCCTCCTGTATTAGCAAGTATCATCGATCTACAAGTTGCCGCAATGAGTCGAAAAATACTACTAGCCATTTGCTGTGTAAGATATATCACCAATAAATGCTTCAAGAACCTGCCATAAACATTTATACTTTTTCATACCTAGGAAATTTATTGATGTTTTGCAACAGTTTATATATTTTCTGGTTCAAGAATCATAATTACCTGCTAGGTTCTGGAGAAAATCCGATGAGATTATAGGTAATGCTGACCCAAACAACGGATTCGAAGATGGAGATAGGTATGCTTAAGAGAAATGATGGGAGAGTGAAGGTCCAAGGAGGGTGAAACAAAAGGTCTCGTTGCTTGTAGAACACGGGAAGCCTTTGAATTATCAGAGAAAGCTCCGCGAATCCATTGAACATGTTGGCGATCATTGAGAACATCAATGCACCGATGTAGACGGCTCCGTCATTCTCGTCCTTTGTGCCCATCTCCGTCCTCAGGTACACCGTCGACGTGATCAAGGCCATTACAATGATCTGAACTGTCTTGAAAACGTAGAAGAAAGCGTTGCGACTCATGAGAAGCACTTCTCTGTCCCAACAGATCTTGAAGAGCTGAGATTTGGGAACAGAGTGTTTGTTGAAGACGAGTGAAGCTGGGTGTGATTTGGATCTGTCGTAAGGGACAGATAGATCGTTCTCAAGATTGGCTCCGACGTGGAAGGTTCTGAATCGTTTGGAGAATTCGGAGACAGGCATGTATATGTATGGTTTTGTTGTGTCTGCCCAATATTGCTCTTGGTCTTTCCTTGAAGTTACCTGTTTACCAAGGCAAGTGGTTCACAAACAAAATAAGGGGTCATTTTAAAATTTTGAAAACACACAGTCGCAATTTTCGCGCGTAATTTAAACAAATAACGTATAATAACATGCTATTTGTTGAAAACAAGTCCACTTATTTACGGTTTCGCCATCAACTTTTTGAAAAATGAATGACCACACACAAAACTAACGCATTATATTAGAAATCATTTCATAGATATTGGCGCTTCAGATCTACTAAATTATCAATTCTTGGCTAAGTGATCTAAGTTCTGTATAAGAATGAACAAAAAAAAAAAGATTAGATATAGACAGACCTCTTGCAAGAAATCGGCCGTGCCTTTGCGATCGGGACACTTGAAACCGCAAGTTTCAAAGAAAGAAAGAACATGGTGACGTGGACCTTGGTACACGATTTGGCCTTCCGACAATAGAATGATGTCATCGAATAACTCGAACGTTTCGGGAGCTGGTTGTAACAAGGACATAAGAACCGTTGCGTCCGTGAACCGGACGACTTCTTTAAGGCATTTCACTATTTGGTACGTTGTTGAACTGTCTAGACCTGTCGATATCTCGTCCATGAACAATGTCTTTGTTGGTCCCACTATCATTTCTCCTGTTTTTTATTAATATTATATTTGAGATACAAATTTGTCAAAATCGTGTGCGTCATGATGATGGCTCATGGAGTTTAACATGGATGAGCAGTTGAAGAACGGTTATACCTGTGGTGACTCTTTTCTTTTGACCACCTGAGATTCCTCTTGTCATCTCGTCTCCGACCATCGTATCTTTGCATATGTCAAGGCCTAATATCTGAAAATTTTCCAATAATTACCCCCAAATTGCCAAACAATATAGACTTAATTGTTTAATCTTGAAATTATTGGGGTTATTTGGTGAAAACTGAAGAGTATCTTAACTTTTAGGTAAAAAGTAGAAAGAAAGTAGGTAAATGTAGGGTCCACTAATTGCGTGGGTTGGTGTTTTCAGAGGAAAATACTGTTATTTCTTGGATTTATATAATAAATTCATTAAAAGTCCATAAATAAAACTAACAACCCCCATTTAAAAAGTAATTATTTTCTGTTAAAAGATTTAATTTTATTTTTCCTAGGGAGTATCTAATAAGTTAGATTTTTTGTTGTTGACAATAGTATCTCTCTACTTGTTAGTGAATCATACAAAATACAAATACTGGCAAAAGAAGAATAATACCAAATGGTCCAAATCAGTTAGGGAAAGACTACCACATAAGAAGAATAAAGTTTTATTCCCAGATTTCCTATTTTTTTTTTTTGATAAAATGTTTCCAATTTCTACGTTAATAACTTATTAACTTATGAAACCTAAAACACAAATTATTCCATCCTACCACTAATTATACTCTAACTAAGTGATTACATTTAGTCTTGCACCTTATATCATTAGAGATATAAGATATTATATAGGTGTACCATTTTAGACGAAATCGAACTATAGGTTAAAGTGGGATCATTACTTTGAGAGTGTAGTCTGTGATAAGACTGCTCTTGACATTCCCAGCTGCTATGGACTTCATGAACAGATCCACTTCCGGTTCGGGCAAGATCCCTGCGTCCTTTTCTCTCCTCACCAACTCACTTAACAAATCTAATTATGACATAACTCTTGAATTCTTATTTCCAACTTAAAATGCGATTATAAAACTAGTAAAAAAAATCTAGTAAAAAAAAATGATTATTACCGTATCTAGTGCCAATGCCTTGGCATCTAGCAGAGAAATCAAGAGTCTCTTGGACAGTCATAATTCCAATATGAACATCGTTTTGGCTTATGTATGCTGATGATTTTTGTGGCACAAATTCTTCTAATCCATGTCCATTGTATGTTACTCTCCCTGTAACCTGTACATTACATCAATATCAGGTCTAATTTTAGCCTGCGGATATCACGTAGGATTGCCACAAGAGATCAACATGATTGGGTCCAATTTTAGCCACACGCGGGATAAACTTAAGCATAAACTTAAATCACGTGTTATATAACCTTCAAGCTTGGGTCCAATTTTCCAGCTAACGCCAACAAAAGAGTTGTTTTCCCTGACGATGGTGGACCTAATAAAAGTGTCATTCTGCAACCCACCACAAGTTCAAAACCATATCCATTATATATATGAAAATAATCAACATTAAAAAATTAAAAAATTCTCAAGTTAATTTACCTTGAAGAATTAATTATACCAGAAGCGTCTTTAAGGATAGTGAGTTTAGTGGTTTCAGCAAAGTTAAAACCAAATAAACGAAGGCCTCTCCCTGCAATGTTTAAGGCAGCGTTAGGTAATGTCGGAAGAGCTCTTTTTCCGATGTGACAATCTGCCTCTATCGTCAGTTTCCGAAACCTCACTTCAACGGTCGGTAGCTTTATCCCCACTCTGTCATAATTAGTCATTTTGTTGTATATACGTTAGACATCTCACATTTTTAAAAAATTAATAATAATATAATACAAAAGTCTCGACAAAAAAAAAAAATACAAAAGTCTAACTAAAACAAATAATCTTACTAAAATCTAGAATATAATAATACCTATCGATTCGTTGCCTCAACTTTTTCAAGAACTTCTCGTTATCTTCCTCTGTGACTTTGAAGATAGAATCGATGAACTTCTGACGATCATCGACGCCGAACTTGGTTACGTCGACGAGATTGTGAGGGTGGATGATAGTGGTACGAAGACGAGTGAAGGTTGGAAGTTTCTCGAGAGCAGCCCATTTAAGAGCTTCCTCGTCATGACCATCGATCGAACCGCTTCTCCTCGAGAATTGATTACTACTGCTCGTTATTAACTCCCCTAAGGTCTTGCTTAGGCTCCTCGACAACGTCTCCATTTTTTTGTAATAGTTTTTATCGGAGGATTTAGGGAAGAACAAGAAGAAACGGTTGTCGAGAAAGCGGTGAGAACGAGAAGAACTCAATTTGATTTGGTGGCTGAAGAAAATGTTTCGGGAAACAAAAAGAAAGCGTTGGGAATCTCAGCAGGTTTAGTGGGTGAGAGAGAGCAAGGAGATGTAACACTTTTTTATTATAGAAAATTAAGTTAGAAAATCTAAAGAATTAGGAAAATATATATATTTGTTGTGAATAGATAGAAGGAATTACTGTTTTTTTTATTTTAATGAATAAATAATTATTTATATAGAAGTAGAGTATAAAGATAGGACTGATGACAAAATAAAATCTAGTTTATAAATAATTTAAAAAATTTCTAGAAGGTGGATTTTATAGATTTATAATAAACATCACATAATAATTTATAATATTTTTTATATTCATTATACAAATAAGTTTGTAACTTTTTTATTATAGAAATTAAGTTAAGAAATTTTAAGAATTAGGAAATAAATATATACTGTGGTATTTTCTTTTAAGAATTAGGAGTCTTCTTTCTAAAAAATAAAATAAAATAGATACTACTAACAAAAGTTAATACAGGAATCATATTGTTAGATTATTTAATATATCTGACAAAAATGAAAGATTATTTAATATATTTTACTTATTTGTTCTTGCGTTATGAAAGTGAAGAACTGTTTTTTTAACAACTAAAAGTAGACATTGTTTTTAAAGGCTTTTGATGCGTCGTATTATTGTAGTGACAAGTGGATATTTGAATCATATTGAAGGATATTTTTGCTCGGTATATAACACTTTCATTTATTAATAAAAATCCAAAACTAAATAAAGAGACCAAAGTCTATTTTTGAGCATGCACGCTTGATATCAAAAATGTTCACCCTGATCTTAAAGAAGAAGCATCAGGTTCAAAACACGTCCTACCTACAATGTACTTACTAACATATTGGTCTAAAGAGAGGAGATACTTGGTCTAAATTACCAACACGTCTCTTTAAGCCCTAAAACATCGACACGTTAATTAATTAACAGAACAAGAGAAATGTCATTTACAGGAACTTTAATTATATAGTACTTTTTGTTCCAATATATATCATTAAAACTTTAAACCTACGGGTGTATGTAGTGAAATATTTTGTTACTAGAGTGAGATAGTTCGAACTATTGGATTACTTGGAGATTTTTTTTTTTCTCGACTTCGATTCTATGTTTTAAAAATAGATATTGGAATTAGGTTTTATTTTTAACGATATAAGATCACATATGATATAATTCTATTAGAGTTTGTATGATGGGATATGCATTCACCAACTCAAAATCTTTGCGACGTGTTTGGCGTTGAACAAAATAAACTAAACTTCTATGCGGCGCAAATGTCAAAAGAGTTTGAAATCAATCTGGTATTGTTTTCGACTCTCGACCGTTCACGGACCCAACACCAACACTAACTACCCTTTTCTCCGATTTTTTTTAATAAGTTTTCACTTGAATCAACACGTCGCATGATGCTTTTGGAATTGATAATGTCACATATTCGTCATACTGGCGTTGAAATTTCGAAAACTTATCTTTTATTTTCTTTATAATAATCCTAGTCTCCTAGACTCTTGATCTTGATGTTGCAGGAATATAAATGCGTGACGCCAGCGTCATTATATATGCAACATCACGTCAAAATGAACTAAAATTTGCAAAAGCGTACACATAATTATTATAGAAACTGTATGACGGGGGCATGTGAAGGGATTTTTTTCTTGCGTTATTATCAATTTTTTCATGAGTTAAAAAAAAAAATTATGAGTTCTATTATTTTTTTACATAAGAAATATATGTGCTTTCGAAAAACTCTTCCAAGTTCTCACACTTGTGGGTGGTGGCTTGAAACAAGTGGGCTAAAAAATAAGACTCTGAAGCCCAAAGAAGATAGAAGCTTAGTTGAGCCTCACTAGCCGTCATAAACTATCAAGGAGCACACAAGTCTTTACTCTTCACTTCTTGCTTATTCTATTTTCCAAAACCTCAATAACAACGAGGAGTTATGGCCCACATGGGATCGAATTAGGGATTCAGAGCCATTAGACCAATTCCATTGAATATAAACAGTTAAACACTATCACTAAACACGTTTTAAGATTTTTCCCAAAACATAGTACATAATATATTGGTTAGTTTAGGCGCTTAGCTAAACAAAAATTAACCACAACGTAACTTGAAGTTGTATCAGTTATTATGCCAATACAGTTTAACATGTCGACTAAGGGAACGAACATGCTAAACCCCCAAAAAATAAGAAGAACATGCACAATCTTGCTTTTCAATTTTTTTTTTCTTTATTAGAAAAATCTAAATAGATGGAACTAAAATAGTTGGTATCACTTATGAAAAGAAGTTTTTCTTTGTCTCCTTAGCTTTTTGTTGATTGTGGCAGAGTTTGTTGTTTTATGACTAATGAAAAGAGTTCAAACTCGTGAACACACAAAGGAAGAGAGAGTTTCAAATAGTGTTGAAATATTATACATAAAAAGTCGAGAAGGAAAAGTAAAGAAAAAGGTTGAAATGAAAAAGAGAAAAGGGTTACTTTCTCGTTTCTTTTGCTTTAAGGAAAGACCCGAACAGCTTGCATGCATTGGCCCTTTTACGGCTTTACGACGTACACCCGAGTTCCTTGTTTTTGGATGGTATTTTTTAAAATCAATAAGTTTTTTTCTCGTTAATTTACATGCACGATTAATATTATCACAAGCTAAAAATTTTGTAACCATGCATACTTATTTGTGTGTGATACTTTTCAAACTCCCGGAAAAAGTTTTGTTTTACTCTTTACGTAATCATATAAAGAGGCAAGTGAATGGCTATTTTCAATAATCTCTAGAGATTTATAAAATATTAAATTGGATAATATATACAGACGAGGAAAGTAGAACGCAAACAAACAAACTAAAACAAAATTGAATGAGATACGCATACTTTTCGTCAAAATTAATAACTCATAAATTTAATCGTTCTGTTTTTTTTTTTTTGAAAGAGACTCATAATCTAAACCCTTTTGTCAAAGAAATAAAGAATAACTCATATTCTTATTGGTTTCAGTATAATAAAAACGTAATATAATTTGGAAAGAAAAACCATCGATCATTACCACCATTGTTTATCTATTTGTCAACACTTAGTGAATAGATTTTGATATTGATTGGCCAAAACTTATAAAAATTCTAAGATAAAGTACAATTACCGGGATAAGCCCTTTCACATATGCATATATGTTCTTGTTTACGAGATTTGGGTTGTTTCCAGTTATGACATTTGCAACGGAGAAAGCGTTGTGTTTGGTTCTTGGAAAGCATTTTTAAATTACTCCAACATCTAGAACTGTTCTTTGTTTCCTTTTACTATTGAAACACCTTTTCTTATTGTCAAACAATCAATAAAAGAAACTACATACCTTTAACATGGCTCAGAATGAAACATATGAAAGCACAAGAAACCATAAACAAAGTAGTACACCTCATGATTCGATCAAAATTTAAAGAGTTTAATTTCTCTATTACTTAATGTATTGTCTGTCTTACTCGAGTAACAATCGGCAAGCCTTTTGTTGTCAACACTCGTAATGTATATACACTAATCTCACAGTAAAATAATCGTTCCGGCTACTGGCTACATTTGAGAGAAAGATACATAAGGATGGAGCCAATTCAACAGAATCGGCAGAACCGGTCTTCGATTTTTAGACACATTATTCTTAGTAAAATATAATTCACAATTTCAATTGTTTCTGATCAACCTTTTAGTGCTTCAGATCCGTAGTTTTAGGTTTCGAAAGAAAACTTGTGATATGTGGTTCTGAAATGAAGCTTATAATTTCAGTTTTCGCAACAATTAATGATGCTAGGTGCTAACACATTTCCGGTATTTTGACGCATGAATTATGATTCAGCGCAAGATTTCCCGATTTCATAACTATGCATGTTACGCCAAATTTTTATTCCAAAATTCCAATCTCTCAAATAGATTGCACACAATTTCAATTTTAATTTGATAAGTGCAATTCAATTTGAATTCCAACTCAGCGTTTGAACTTATGCACTAGACCTAAAATATGATAGAGCAATTGAGGCTTTTCTTGTCTCGAACCGTTGAATGCAAACAAACAAAAAGGAATGAGATACCCATACGCATACAATTCATTTTATAAGTCATAATTGACCTTGCTATATAGAACAACATATATATATATATGATTTAAAGGAAAAAAAGAAACATTAGAGTAACACCGATATCTTTATCTATCTGTTTAACACCAAAAATCTAAAACATTAGATTAGCACAAATACATTATAAATCTATATCCGTCACCAGCAAGAAAAATCTCGTAGTTTTCATCTTATTTATGAGTGAAATAGATTTTTGTATTGATGGCTGAAATTTCTAAGATTAGAAACATTTGCTGGGATCAGTTACCATAAATTGACAAGAGCATATATGTTGGTTCTTGGGATCCGAAGTTCCTACTTGACACTCGCAACGACGATATTTCTTTCCTTCTTTAGCAATCATTTTCTTTAAGCATTCCTTATTTCCTTGAGCGCTGCATTTTCCAGGGAACGCAACTCCATCCCAACACTCTGAGGTAGGAGCTCCTACAGCTTCCATCTCTATATATTGTTTTTTTTTTTTATCAACCACAATAAACTATAAGCTTAGTAGATATGATATTATTTTTAAAATACAATAATTTGAATTACGCAATGTTTTAGAGCTGTTTTTCTTTTTGCAACACCATTTTCTCTGCGATTGTTAGCAATCCATACGTTCAAGTGGTTCGAGTTTTTAATTGCAAAATTTTGGTCACAAATAATAGTGGTCGAGTAATCCAAAAAAAAAAAGAATCGAAAGACGATTAATATCTTACTTTCAACATGGTTCGTGATGAAAATGATGAGGACACAAGAAGCCATAAACAAAGTAGAACACCTAATGATTCAGAAACTGATAGATCTTATATTACTTGTGGGAATTTGTTGTTTGTAATACTCTCGTAATAAATAAAAAATTTGTTGTTGCCAACACTTGTAATAAATATATTAACCACACGGTAAAACAATTATTCCGACTCATTTGTAAAAATAAAAAAACACATGAGGATGGAGCCAAGTCAACAAGATCGATGAAATCGGTCTGCTAAGTTTAGAAACATTATTGTTAGCTAAGTTCATTTATTTAATTCTGAATTTTCTTTTATGTTTTTTCATGGAATATATAAGTTGTAGACCCACATCTGTAATCGTTTGAATGCAACAAAAATACTCATACACATACTAACTTGTAGAGAACTGCCACCAATAATAAATTATTATTCATGGTAATTCTAATTTTATCAAGAAATGAGAAATAATCCCCACGCTCCCACAAAAAAATATTATTACGACTTAGGAACTAAATCAGCAAAAAGAGATAAAGAAAGAAAAGAGAGAGGAGATTTAATTCGGTGAGAACTCAATCATCTTCTTTTGCTGATTCAAGTTCTTGTAAAACTTCTTTATAAACTCCTCCGCTGCTTTGTCCACGTGTCCGTTAGTCACGTCACCATCTTCCCGTAAAGGAAACGGTGAGTCCGTCACCCGTAAAGGCCTCACTAACGGAGTACTCCGTCCAAACCCCGGCAAGTAAGGAGATAACGCCGTCAAAGCCTCGACGGACAAAGCCGGCGTGTTACTTCCCTGATCATGATCGCCGACGCCGTTGAGAAGCTCCAGGACGGCTCTGGAGGCGGAAACGTCGTCGTCGAGGGTCGGTGGCGCGTGACCACACGCGAAGAGACCAATGTGGTGACTCTTCTTCTTGAGTGCGGCCATGTTAAAGGGGAACGAGTAGTTTGGAGTGCCGCTGCAGCTAAACTCGTATTCTTTCCGGGGCTGGGACGTCGTGGAGGTGGCTGGGACGCGGCGGCGGTTGTGGAACATGAGATTCTTGCCGCGTTTGAGGGTGGCGTTAAAGTCGGCGAGGAGCTTGTGCTTGGAAATGCCTTTGTGTAACATGTACAAGACAAAACGTACGATGTTCCATAGCTTCTTGCTTATTGGTACACTCTTCTCCATCTTTAGAATTAGAGAGAAAATGAGATTATTGTTTTTTTTTCTTGCCCTTTGATATTTGCTTATGGGCTAAGGATCAATGTGTGTGGGATTTATATATAGAGTAAAAAGAGAGACAGAGAGAGAGAGAGAGACTTTTCTACAAAGTACTTAAACGTGGAACATTACACAAACATTTTTAATTATCTTGTTGTTAATTAGCTTTAGGATTTCAAAAACCCAAATAATGGAAAAGAAGAAGAAAATTTGATTTTTCTTTGTTTTCAATCAACTTTTGTTGTACTTTAAGATTGCACTATGTATTATAGCCATCTATAAATGGATATAGGTCGTGCTTTTTAACATATAAAATAATCCGACATGCATACAAAATTTAACTAGTGTGGGTGTATAATGACTTGGCCTTCTACTATGATGGTATATACGCTTTACAACTGCATCTTTTTATTTTAAAAAGGGTTTTCTTTTTTTGAAAGGAATTGAATAAAAACACTATATATTATATTAGCCACTGTGGCTAAACCTTTTGTCTTTATACTTTACTTTCTAGTTTGTCTTAAAAGTTTTAAATCCTTCACCAGATAGTTACGATTGGTGTAACGAGTACCACAAATTTAAGCAAAGAAAAAAGTAAATTGTTATTGAAAAAGAAGTTCAAGTTTCAAAAAAAAGACAAATTCAACCCATCTTAATGCAAATCTCAGCATATACCCTCTTATATTATAATCAGTAAGTGAAATTAGCCAAGTTTTGTTTTAGGGTTATTCCTATCACAAGACAAATCTGAAGTGAGATTACAGATGACTTTGGTTTATACGAGAAACATCATCGGGTGTATATATGTATACTTACCTACACAGTGGATCTAGAGGTCCTCCTCCATCTTTAACTCATCTGGTAATATCAACCTCTCCATGTAATGCTGTAGACACAGTGAATAAATTTCTATCAAACAATAAACTGATGAAAACGTTACCACCACTCTTTAACTCGTAAAGCCAAAATGCGACCATTGATTGATGTTTGTAGAGCAAAATATGGTGAAAATGGTCTAACCTTTATCTTGACAGCATCAGATGGAGAAGCGTTTAAATCCAAAGCAATGCCGAAGTGTAACACGGCTTTGTCGTATAGCTTTAGCTGTTTGTAGATTTTGCCAAGCAACGCATGGACACTACTCTCTTGAGGAGCACAATCTTTGAGCTCTTCTAAGACTTTCAGGGCTTTGTGATAATCACCGAGGTTAACCAATATATTAGCCTTGAAGTACTTCGAGAGCGGATTCCTCGCATCAGCGATTACAGCTTTCTCCATCATCTTCAACGCCTCATCGTTCCTCTGCAAAATAATGTCTTGTCTTTATTTGTTCAACTTCACAGCTAAATCCAACACAAAGTCATAAAGAGTAGTAGTATATGGTATAAGGGAGTCTTCTCGTGAAGATCGTATTTCACAGGTTCCAAACCTCTGACTCATACAAAGCAATCCCTGAGTAACACATGATGACTGAAGATCTTGGGTTTATCCGGAGAGCCTGTTGAAATTGATGCTGCGCAAATTCGTATTTCTCTTGATGAAGGTAGGTCATTCCTAGACCGTACCATGCATTATAGTGTCTTGTATCTATGCTCAGTGCCCTCTGGTAGCATCTCTCTGCATCATCAAATACTTCCAATGCAGCAAACCTGTGAAGCCAAGGTGAGACCGAATGTTATATCACTGTACGTGTTTGGTTATATGCAGAGGTAAGACAAACAAAGAGAGCATAAGGAAGAATAGTACTCGTGACCACAAAGAGTATACGCATATGTGAATCTTTCATCTAGTTGGAAAGCTCTCCGAAACATTTTGAGAGCAGTTTCGTGATCCTTACGCAAACTGTAGTAGTTCCCAACAGCACACCTGCGATTAACATTGCCAACGCAGTCATTACAGGAAAAAAAAAATCCCAAGCGGAAAGAAAAACTTTAAGAAGTTCGAAGAGCATATTGTTAACGAAGAATCTAAGAATGATACCACGATTCTGGAGATAGGCGGTCGATTGAAATCAGCTCCTGAGCCAGATAGCCCAACCTCATCTCTTCTTTCAAGTGCTTCAAAGACAAAGACAAGAAATCACTAAAAAAATAAAACAATAACAAAGAATTTTTTGCAGGTTGATCTAAAATCAAGTTCTAAACGCTGATATCGAGACAGGATAATGTTCAAAGAGTCAGTTCGAGTGCGGATTCATAATGAATAGCAGGAAAGTTTGTAAGAAATGACAAGAGCTCACATAAAGAACAGTGGAGTACGTATCCATTCCTTCCAAAGCATAAGGTGACTTTTGATGAGCAAGAGTAAAGGCAGACTCAGCGTTGAAGTAGTCTTGTTGCTCAAAATAAGCTTTTCCAACCTATGTCGAAAACGTATCACATGTTTTTTTTAGTTTCGGTGCCAAAATAAGCCAACAAATGAAATTAGAAAAAAGCGTCAACGAACTAAGATAATCATTTCAAGCCACTCATGTTATCACCTGTGAGAGAACCCATTGAGTATTGTATTGTTTCTGAGATAGCCTTTGATATACCAACAGAGCTTCCTGCAGTAGTATCCAGTTTCGTCGAATTCAACATCAATAGTTCAACTTTTTAAGCAGATATTTGGAGTAACAGAATATGAACCCCGTAGGTACATTTTCTTGACAAAGTACCTGACAATTGTACATAAGTAAATGCCTGTGGCCATCTCCAAGAAGTTTCAGAAGGTTAAGCACTTCTGAAACTCCAGAAATGAGGCTAAAACGATCCGGAGAAGATCCACTAGGATTTGAATTTTCCTCATCATCAACAGAGCTTCCAATGTCACTTATAGACTGGCCTGACGTCGTTGCTGCATCATTTTAGAAAAATACTTCAGCCACCTGAACTATGATCAGCACCTAAACCACCTGATGCTTTATAGCTCGGTTTAGAAGCCGAGAAGAAATATATTTAGAGGGATAGCATCACCTTCGTTGCTGCTTTGGATTCTGCATTTTCCAATCATCGAGGAAAGAGAAGGTGCACGGTTTGACTCGGGAGGTGAAAGATGTGACCAGTGGGAATCTTTTCCACATGACTGCAACATAGGTATCTTTCTCCTTGCTGCTATTCTAGCACTCCGGCGACGCCCAGATTCTTCAGGAGCCTTCAAGATAGAAAAGATGGAGAAATCAAAACTACATATTTTATAGCTGGAAGATGGAAACCAGGTGAGAAGCTCTATATCAATATATATGCAATGAAAGATGGCCATTGCTCGCATATGCATTAAGGAGAAAACTCTTATGCGAAGAAGAAAACAAAAAAAAGAATATTGCGAATATATATATAACCTCTGCTGACACTTCTTCACTAACAAGCTTTCTTCGACACTCTCCATGTACAGACATCAATCCTCCCTCTGCTGGACGACGCACACTCTTATGGAGCATAGGTGGTGGAGCGTCCAATACCTGAAAAATGTAGATACTTAGAGATAAGGAAGCACGGTACGAAACATCTCAGTCAAAAATGAGAATTTAAAGCTAGAAACAGTAACGAATACGTTCTCAATCTATCTTGACTTAAAGATATCACCTGTGAAAGCACCGGAGAAGGCGTATTCAAGTCCCATCCATTTGTATGAGAACTACTGTTACGTTGCTTGTCAGTATCTGGCGGAATATCTGCTCCAAGCTGCTTAGTTTTCAGATCTTGCTGGCTCTCTCCTTGAACATGTTCTGTTTGCCACAAACTTGTATCTTTAGAGGCCTTATCAGAATCCCTAAGCTCGTTTAAGCTTTCTCTTTCTGAGAAGTTTATTCTATGTGAGACACAATCATTATGAAGACGCTGGGCAGCGACATTGCCAAAAACCGTTGAGGCTTCTTCAGCTGCACCTGAAAAGGCGATAGCAGAAACAAATCTGTTGTCCCATATAGTTCCTGGTTGAATAACCGAAACATAAAAACTGATAAATACATAACTCAGCACAGAGCTTACACTTACCTAAACTACAAAGTTCTCCATACGCTTCCCAACACAATGGATCAAATGATAACGCCGTCCTAAACTGTTCTATTGAACTGTTCTTCCTCCCAGCATATCTGGTAACATGTAACAGAGAGTAACACACACACACACACACACACACCAAGACAGAGAATTAAAACATTGAATCATACGAGAGACAGAAACTATCTCAAATAGAACTTGCCAAAGTAAATATAGCCTTCAGGCGTTACCTATATATAAGACCAAGAAGATAATGCCCAGCTGCACCACCTGGAACCTGCATGTTTAAAATTAAAGTAATCAACAACACTTAATATCATTGCCAATGGAAAAGTAAAAAAAAAAAAAAAGAAGGCAATGCCATATACTTGTTCAACGTATTCTTCTTCACTGGGCAACAATGCGGCTTCAGCTTCTCCAAGAAGATCCAACTTGAAGCATGAGAATGCAAACAGATACCGAGACTGAGGCGTTTTTGAACCTTTGGATTCACAAATGTTAAAACACGTTACAGTATTTTCAAGAAAGATGTTAAGAAGATTAAAGCACATGATGGAAGAATGTAGTTACCTTTAAGGATATAATATGCACTATAAGCTTGACTATTACTCAAGTAACACCTAGCTAGCAAATACAGGTTCACCTACATAGTGAATTTGTCGAATTACATTAGCATACAAAGACATGACTGGGAAGTCCAAAAAAAACAAATTGTTCAATTGAAAAATCTAAGTGTCGGAAGAATTTTACAAAATCAACTCGGAATCATGAAACATTTCAGTCAAATTGAATCAGAAATCCTCCCAATGTTAAACACTCTCGATTCCAATTAAATCGAGAAAGAGTTTTGATCGAGTTGAAAACAAAGCCCAGATAAATTCGAGAATCATCTATTCAGAAACAACTAAAAAAACCACATCAACGAACAATGACAAGAGCTAGAATATCGGATCAGACAGCAAGAGATACAGAAATCATTTGTAATTAGGAAAAAAAAAACGAAATGAATCCTCATCCGAGAGTATATAAAAATGAGAATCATGTGAACAATCACGAGAAACTGAATACCTCAGAGGGGAATTCGGCGACAAGGCGTTCGCAGAGGAAGATGGCGTTCGTGAGCATGAATTGGCTAAGGTTTTTCTCGATACAATTCACCAGTAAGGTCTCCATCTTGATGATGACGAAATGCCGCAGTGACAGCACAAATTTGGATTTGTCTTTCTGGGCAGCCAAATCGCGCGCCGCTAAGGTATTTCAAAAGCCTGACCTTCTCACGCGAGGGGCGTGTGACGGGCCGCAAAACCGCGTTTGGTGTTAAGCTTTAAAGAAAAATCGCGTTTCAAAATAGATGTGAACCTCTCCCGGTTGTTTTTTGTTCACAAACCAGATAGCAGCAATGTGAAGACGCCGTTTAAAATTTGAAATTATTATTTTTTCGGTAAAAGAAGATCGCACAAACCGGAAAAAAATGAAACGAAAGACGCAGCTCGCTCTCTATATACCACCGTTGTGTTGCAAACGGGGCACCTTCTCTTATATTTCCCAAAACGATGTCGTACTCATTGTTTCACGCAAATGGATTTGTGTGAAGTATTATCATGCTGATCACATTTGTCACAAAACCAAAGATTAACATCTTAGTTTCCATCGTGATGGATACAGAGGGTTTTTCTTAGTTATGGGCTGACTACTTCCAACTAGGCCCAAGTCCAGCCCATATAATGCGGCTGTTGTGGAAATGCGAGGTTACTTTCGTCACTTCGTAATGCTCTTGAATATTTTTTTTATTTTGTTTCGTGGTTCTAGGGTTTTTATTTCTTTCCCTCCGCTCCCTTTGAGCTCGACCTGAGCTTTTCCGGGATTCCTAAAGCTTAGATTGGAACGCATATCTCCATCTGCATCTTCAGGTTTTGTCGATTCTTCCGATTGTATAATCTTTCATAGTTTTTTTTCGTCGATTCGAGTGAATCTTACTGCTTTCTCCTGTAAACGATTCCAGTTTAAAATCCAGTCTGTAACTTTAAAATATCGCCGAACTTGCTCTCATTTTCTTCCTCTTCTGATTGAGACCAATCGATTTTCTGGTTTGTAAACCCTTATATTAGCTTGAATTCAGTGATTTGTATTTCTAGATTCATCTATTCTCGAAGGAATCACTCGTTTATCTCGATTTTGATAGAGAAGCTTGCTATAACTATGAAATTTTGATGCATTTTTTGCAGGGAGATATAGATTTACACTCTGTTGAGTAAGAAATGAGTGCTACAGCTCACAGGACTCCTAAATCAGGGAGGCAGTCTCTGCTCTTTCAGGATTTAGCTTCTCCTGTTTCAGCACGCAGAGGCAAATTCTCCAGCCCGGGGCAAGCAGCTGCGGTATCTGCGCTATGGCGTGAGAATCTCGGAGGATCGGATCTTCCGCCGCCTCCGATGAGTTTTTTGGATGACCGGTCTGATTTCTCTCCCGAGTCGGGCATTGCGGACTACTCGGTGTCTCCGGACGTCAAGTCCGACAGAAGGACGCCGTTCCAGAGCTCTGGGAAAAATATTGTGACTCCTGGTAAAGGAAAGCTAGAGGCAAGCCCGTCTTTCTCTCTGCTGAGTGGTGCACAGCAAAGTCAGCAGGTTTCGGGGAGCCCGACTTGGTGGTCGCAGCCAAAGGCGGGTAGTAGCACCGAGCAGGATGATAAAGGGAAGGGTTCCCCTGTAGAAGGTGTGGTTCAGCCAGGTGCTTTGGTCACTCTTCCCCCGCCGAGAGAAGTTGCTAGGCCAGAGGTTCAGAGGCAAGTTATACCGACGGGAAACCTTGAAGAGGAAGAGTGGGTCACTGTCTATGGGTAAGGCCATTAAAGCTTTTTTTATTTCTCTTATTAACTGTTGAGTTGCTTTGCGCTGTAAATGCTCTACATTTGTTAATGTTCTTGTATCTCTGGAATATTAGGTGCATGGTTAATAGCTTGGTATGTTTGTAGTGTTGTTGAGTGCCTTATCTTGTGTTTGTGTTCATGAATAATTGTTGTTGTGTAACTTGTGTAACAACTCTTTGTTTGTCAACCATCATGTGTCTATGTACTTCTAGGTGTACTTAATATTTAAATTATGCTAATCATGCTCATCTATAGCTCAGCCTTTGATTGTTGTTCTTTTTGGGGGCATTGTGAATTATGACTCTTTAGTCTTTACATGGATAATAAATGGTATAGTGGTAGTGTTATTAAGTGGCCTTATCTTTGCGTCTGTCTCCTATGTTTTTTTTATCTTAAGAACTAATCATAATAACTGTTTTCAGATTTTCTCCAGGTGATACAAATTTGGTTCTACGAGAGTTTGAAAAGTGTGGTATGATCTTGAAACATGTTCCTGGTCCAAGGAATGCCAACTGGATGAACATCCTCTACCAGGTTTCTCTTCTTCCCTTCAAAACCCGTTTAATGCAATGATGATAAGCATTCTTAATTCTTCGTAGACGAATCAAACTACAAAACTGAACAATGTTCTCTGCGTATTTGATACAGAACCGGTCTGATGCACAGAAGGCTCTGAGCAAAGCCGGGATGATGATAAACGGAGTGGTAATAGTAGGAGTGAAGCCCGTAGATCCGATACAGAGGCAAGCGTTAAACGAAAGACTGAACAACCAAGGATTCATGCCTTTACCTCCACCATCATCCACTAGGGACTCTGAGTTTAACACAGCGAGGGCCTCTTCTCGTCCTCACTACTTACAAAACGGAAGCGCCTTCTCGCCTCAACCAGGTGCCGGCGCCATGGCCACTCCATCGAAGTCGATGGTCTCAAAATTCTTTGACTTGATGTTCGGTGTTTGAAGCTATCTCCTTCGTAATTTGGGCCATTTCCAGAATGATTCCTTCTATACACAGATAATTTGTAGTTTTGTGAGCAAGAGTGGCTTCAGTAAATTCAAATCGTGATCAGAAATTTAAATTGTAAGAGGCGTCTTTGTATCGACTATTCACTATATAATTGGTATAAAATCTGATTATAAGTAACAAATCTCGTCTTTTTGTAGTATTTATATTTTTACTGTCACCTTTGTTTGAGCAGAGAGTGGTCGTGCCTCGTGCAGAACAGCCACCGTTACGACTTGAAATTAATTTAAAGACACTGATTACATGGAACCTGAAAGACCTCACGGGCTGTGTTTTTTAAACTCCGCTAAGCCTCGTGTCCAGCATGTGTTTTATATATTGCTTCTTTGGCTCTCGCGTTAGTTTCATTTTGTGACTAGACTCTACAGAGAGAGAGACAAAATGGCGAATGCAACAGAGCTGAAACTAAACTCTCAAACTGTAGCGGAGACGAAGCTTGATATCCGCGATGTGATCACCACAGCCACCACCACCTACGGTGAGGGTAACCGTCACGGAGGCAGACGCAACGACGTGGCAGTGGTTGTGTTAAGAGCCATGTGCATGGCCGTATCGGCGGTGGCTGTGTCGTTGATGCTGACAGCCCGTGAGACTAGCATGACCACTCTCTACGGCTTTGAGTTTCAGCTCCACGCCGTCTGGACTCTCTCAGATTCCCTAATGTAAGCCAATTTCTTCACAATCACATAATCTCACATTCCACGTGGCATTTGATGCTCACGGCTCTTTTAATTACAGATATCTGGTGGTGGTTTCATCGGCGACGGTTCTTTACTCAGTGCTCCAACTAGTTATAAGTGGAACAAGACTGATGAGGAAGATTCCGGTGATTCCGACAAGAACACAAGCATGGTTTTGCTTCGTTGCGGATCAGATATTGGGGTATGCGATGGTGAGTGGAGCATCCGCGGCTTTAGGAGTGACGAATATGAACAGAACAGGAATCAGACACATGCCTCTTCCTAATTTCTGCAAATCTCTCGGTTTCTTCTGTGACCATCTCGCTGTCTCCGTCGTCTTCGCCTTGTTCGGGTTTCTCCTCCTCGCCGCGTCCTCTGTTCTCGACGTTCTCCGCCTCTCACGCGACAGCTGAAACAATATTACTGTTTTACCCTTTTGTACTTTTCTCTATTCCTACGTCTGATGTTTTTTCATCATACAAAAATCATGTTATGTGTGGTTTTTGGAATTTGTTTGTTTCAATCGATGTCAGCGAATCTTCGAATTCCAAAGTTTTGAATTTTGTTGACTGAGTTCCATATTAAACGACAAAAATGCTTCAAAAAGGTCATTTAAAATAGTATTCAAAATCACCCGCGGTAAAAGACGAGCGACAGATTTATTTGAAAGTTTAAGACCTTTAGAGCATCCACAATGCACAGTTTGTGAGAGACTCTTAAATTAAAAAGAAAAGAAAAAAGAAAGAAAAAATGAGGTGGCATTTAAATATTCTGAGAGTCGATTCTCTGAACCGAGTCTGTAGAAACGATTCTAAAACACTGTTTATCATATCTCCTTCACCGATGGCTTTCTCTTGGATTTGCAATTGCAATTGCAATTTGCGACGGAAGAGATCACAGAGGAGCTTTGAGATCCCAGAGGAGCTTTTAAAGAGATTCTGATTTGGGTTGAGGCGGCTGATGGTGGTGAGTGGCCATCGCGACACAGCGCGGTGGCTTGCGCCGGATTAGAAAGAGGAGCAAGTAAAAAAATTCTCAATTACGAAATCAAAGGTTGTATTTTAAGAGTTATGACTTTATGATATTGAGATTCAATTACACAGATCAAGCTTTGTATTGTATATGATCTTGTCCAAGTTCTGTTCTCATAACTGGTTTTCATACATTGTTTGCAGAGGGTAATAGAGATTTTTGAATCTGAGCTAGGTTTGGTATTTGTTTATGGTGACGTCATGTGTTGAGTTTGATTGTGATTGAGGGAATTAAGATATATATATATATATATATATGCAGGAGGAAATGGAGGAGCATGCTGAGAAGGTGAAGAAGACGCTCACCACGAAACCTTCGAACGAGGACTTGCTCATCCTCTATGGACTCTACAAGCAAGCCACGATCGGGCCAGTGAACACCAGTTAATATTATTAAGAAGCTTTGATAATAAGATTCTCCGGTTTGCTTCTTAGCTATGTTAATAACGTTTTTTTTGTTTTTCTCGGATGATTCAAAGCTCGTCCTGGAATGTTGTACATGGAATGCCGTTGAAGGTTAAAAACATTTCATATTTGATTTGCTTGTAACCAAATATACGTGTGATTCCCGAACAATGTAACCGACGATCCTCTCACGAGCATAAACGCCCTTCTTTACAATGTTCACTCTCTCTCTCTTGATACAATTCACTCTCTGTAATTGCATAAACCAAGAAGAAGACACATGAACTCTATTTATACTTCTCTATCGATAGTAACAGTAAACCTTCTAAGTGCTTGAGAGTCTTTGCTTTCTCTTATTTCTTTTTCCTCTATGTCAACATCCTATCAATACCCCGCCCTTTTTGACAAGCTTGTCCTCAAGCTTTAGCATTGCCACAGTCAAACATGTCGAAAATATATCAAGCCCAGTCTTGTACGATCAACCAAAACCTGTGATTGTCTTTGCTTCTCCGTCGGTGCCACACAGAAGAGGGTTCCGTTCTCAATACCCACCAAGTAACGAGGTTGTGGAATTGCAGTACGTAGCTTTCGCTTGTATTCTTTCCCATAGTCGGAGCTTGCAACAAATGATCCTTAAGTTCCCGCAACATGGCAACATGTAATCTCTTTTCCTTAACATCAAATCACCCTCAATGTTGCTAGTAGGGCCTGACTCACAATTCAACAAAGACGGAGGTTCACGGCCATACACCAACAGAAATGAGGTTGTCTTACCAGGCCAGTCACCACCTGCACATTTGTACTTAAAGCGCCACGCTTTGCGCTTGCAACCACACAGTCTCAATCCTCCAAAAGCAAAGTAGTAGTAGATGTGTGTGCTCGATATGTGCAAGATAGAGAAGGTTGCTTTTCCCAGTCCACAACAAGTTGAGAAGATCAGACATTGCCTAATGTATGCTTTGCCATTTTCTCTAGTAACCAAGTATTGTTGGACTTGTAGGATAATCTCTTTTAGATGGTTGTTTTGGCAACTTTGTGACGTTTGTCTGAAACGCTCCAAGTCAACGCATGAAGCAACCGCTGTCTTTTGTGGAGTGTAATGTCGGGTTTTCCAGTGTTTTTGGTTTAGAAATTCAGCCGACATACAAAAAATACCCAGCCAAGTCGCATTCTTCTTCTCACTAACAGAGCCAAGCAAACATGTGAAATGTTTTAACAACTTGTGAATACTAGTGGGCTTTAAGATGTTTGAACCCAATAAGCTTTTTAACATCATCACTGTTCATTCAGCTTCTTCTATCCCCTGGGAAATGAGGCTAGACTCCACGAAGAAGCTCCTTTCTGCGTTTTAATGGCGGTCGATCTATCTCGTCTCGCTTAGTTTATCGCAATTCACTTCTTCATGTAAGTTGAAAATTCATCTTTCTCTGAATCGAATTTACATCATGGCTTGTCGTTTCCCTCTGCATTCGTCGCCACACTCTCAATTCCTTTCGCCGGAAAAACATCAAAGAATCCTGAGATTGCCCAGATATTACCCCTCAATTTCATGCCAAAACAATTCATCTACGAACGATGCTCACGATGACGGTGGCGATAACGAAAAAGCCAAGGGAAGCCAAGTCAATCTTCTCGCCATACCCATCACACTCACTGTAATCTCCGCTTCCCTTGCCCAACCGTCGCTTGCGGCGGCGGCGAAAGTATCGGAGAGAAAGAAAACACAGAAGAAACCTCAGGAAGCGTTGACACTCGAACAGCTAAAAGCTTGGTCCAAAGATCTTCCTGTAGTTTCGAACCGTATACCTTATACGGACATTTTGAGCTTAAAGGCTGAAGGTAAGCTCAAGCATGTGATAAAGCCTTCAGGTTTAAGTTTGAGGCAACAGGCAGAGCCTGTGTTAGTAGTTTTGGAGGATTCTCAGGTACTGAGGACTGTGTTGCCTTCTTTAGAAGGGAACAAGAGGTTTTGGGAACAATGGGATGAGTTAGGGATCGATGTAGCGTGTGTCAATGCCTATAGTCCTCCGGTCAAGATACCTCCTGTGCCGACTCCTTATCTAGGGTTCTTATGGAAAGTGCCTGATTTTATGCTTACATTGGTTAAGCCAAAGAAGGTGTCGAAACGTGCTGCTGAGTTGAAGAAGATGAGGGAGGATTTCAAGAGGCAGAGGAAGGAGGAGATAGAGAGGGATAAAGAGCAGAGAGAGATGATGGAGAAGACAATGAAGGCGCAGAAGAAACAGCAGGAGAGGAAGCAAAGGAAGGCGCTTAGGAAGAAGAAGTACGAAGAGTCTCTGCGTGAGGCGAGGAGGAATTACCGAGATATGGCGGATATGTGGGCAAGGCTGGCTCAGGATTCTAATGTGGCTACAGCTCTTGGGTTGGTGTTCTTTTATATATTCTATCGTGTGGTGGTGCTCAACTATAGGAAGCAGAAGAAGGACTATGAAGACAGGTTGAAGATCGAGAAGGCGGAAGCAGATGAGAGGAAGAAAATGAGGGAGTTAGAGAGGGAGATGGAGGGAATTGAGGAAGATGATGAGGAGGTTGAGGAAGGAACGGGTGAGAAAAATCCATACCTACAGAAGGCAATGCAGTTCATGAAGTCAGGCGCACGTGTGAGAAGAGCATCGAATAAGAGGCTACCTGAGTATCTGGAGAGAGGTGTGGATGTGAAATTTACAGATGTTGCTGGACTTGGGAAGATTCGCCTTGAACTCGAGGAAATCGTTAAGTTCTTTACTCATGGAGAGATGTACCGCAGGAGAGGAGTCAAGATTCCAGGTTTGTTGCTGTGACATCTTCTGCTTTTCCTTATATAATCTGTGAACATTCTGCTGTTTGATCATCTCTTTATATTTGTGTTTTCCTTCAGGTGGTATTCTTTTATGTGGACCTCCTGGGGTGGGTAAAACTTTACTGGCAAAAGCTGTAGCTGGTGAAGCAGGAGTGAATTTCTTCTCTATCTCTGCGTCTCAGTTTGTGGAAATATATGTTGGTGTCGGTGCATCTCGTGTCCGAGCATTGTACCAGGAAGCTAGAGACAATGTACGTCTTGAATTCTCACTTTGAGATTCAGTTTAGTATCGTTGAAGCCCATACCTCTTTGCTGCTTTTCTGATGATTCATTCTATTACTGTATGCTAATTTTGAGATGGAATCACTGCAGGCTCCATCTGTGGTCTTCATCGATGAATTGGATGCTGTTGGAAGGGAGCGTGGGTTGATAAAGGGCTCTGGAGGACAAGAAAGGGATGCTACTCTTAATCAGGTTTTTTAAGACATTTTAGATTGTGTAGCTGTCTTCCTAGTTTTTCAACTGAATGATAATTGTATTGGTTTTTTTTGGGGTGATACAGCTCCTTATTTCTCTAGATGGATTTGAAGGAAGAGGAGAGGTGATCACCATCGCTTCCACAAACAGACCAGACATTCTAGATCCTGCACTTGTGAGGCCTGGGAGGTTCGATCGGAAAATATTTATCCCTAAACCTGGTCTTATTGGGCGAAAGGAAATTCTGCAGGTACTGGTTTGGAGTCTGCATATTAGTACCTTTAAAACTTAGATATTTGTGGAAAATGCTTCGATAAACTAGAGATTTGAGTTGTCCTTCGGTTCAAAGTTATGTCTTTCTTTTGGTTTTGCTGCATAGGTTCATGCTCGTAAGAAGCCGATGGCTGAAGATTTGGACTATATGGCAGTTGCTAGCATGACAGATGGCATGGTTGGAGCAGAGCTTGCTAATATCGTTGAGATAGCGGCAATAAATATGATGCGTGATGGAAGGACAGAGGTATGATATGTAATTTAAGTCCGGATTACTTATAAATGCTCTTGCTTTTGGATGGTATACGGTGTGTATGAATTGGATTAAGCGCATGGATGTTGTATTTTAATAATAAGTAGAGGAGGCAGTTTCTTACACCAGCAAGGAAAAGACTGAGAAATCAAATCTTATATGTGACTCAAATGCAGTTAACAACAGATGATTTGCTTCAAGCTGCACAAATAGAAGAAAGAGGAATGTTAGATAGAAAAGATAGGAGCTCTGAGACATGGCGACAAGTTGCAATAAACGAGGCTGCTATGGCTGTTGTGGCAGTGAACTTTCCTGATCTGAAAAATATAGAATTTGTAGGTTTCTTATATCTATTTCCCCTTCAAGCTCCCTTTTTAGATTTGAAGCTTCGTCTTTGGCTGACATTTCAATGACTTGAACCAGCTGACAATCAACCCTAGAGCTGGTAGAGAATTGGGATATGTCAGGGTGAAGATGGATCATATCAAATTTAAGGAAGGCATGCTTAGGTTTGTGGCTTTAATCATACAGATTGTGCTTTCTTGATTACTCGGGTTCTTTACGTTGATCTATCTCTTTTTGTGGACTCTACTATATGCAGCCGACAATCCCTCTTGGATCACATAACTGTTCAGTTAGCACCTCGGGCTGCAGATGAACTATGGTTCGGTGAGGATCGGGTGAGGAATATGTTCTCCTTTATTCCCCCATGTCACAGTATCAGATAGATATGTTCTGTGATTTACCTTTTCTGTTAAAAACTGTTTTTGTAGTTACCAATCTTTTTGCTAATGATTTGTTCCAGTTAAGTACGATATGGGCTGAAACATCGGATAATGCAAGGTCAGCTGCTAGATCATTGGTTCTTGGTGGTCTTTCTGAGAAGCATCATGGCTTGAATAACTTCTGGGTAGCAGATCGAATTAACGTAAGGCCATATCTTGTATTGTCTTTAACTTCCAAGTTTTCAGAAACGAAGAATCATCATCATCTTCTAATACTTGGGTTTGCAGGATATTGATGTGGAGGCGTTGCGGATATTGAACATGTGTTATGAGCGTGCTAAAGAGGTAAATAGAATTCTAAATCTGACTTGATATGTATCATATCATCTCCTTTAATATTGGTCCTGTTTAAATACGATATGCAACAGATTCTTCAAAGGAACAGGACGCTCATGGACGAGGTGGTAGAGAAACTGGTTCAGAAGAAGAGTCTTTCGAAACAAGAGTTCTTCACTCTTGTTGAGCTCTATGGCTCCATTAAACCAGTTCCACCAAGCATCCTTGAACTCCGGAAAATCAAACGGCTCCAGCTCGAAGAGACCGTGATGAAACTGGACATGACTACCGCAAGAAACAGTTCTTGAGAATGACAGTTCGTAGCAAGCGTAGAGAAATAATCAAAGCCCATTAGATGCAATGATTTTGAATGTTTACGTCTCCTCTGTAATCTTAGTGACTGGTAGATAATTTTTTGAGCAATAGTAATTCCTCTTTTTTTATCTTAACAGAAAGAAAAAAGTTAATGTATCTTTCTGACATGTGACCTATCTTCAGTGAGTAGCTGCTTAGGTACAAACTCAAAAGCCTAATGAAAGGCTTGCAGACTTTTACTTAGCTTAGAGTCCAAAAATGTGTTATAAGCTGTGGGAGCTAAGAAGCATGGGATTATTGATAACAATAGATAAAAAGAAAAATATTGGACATTGAAAAGTGGCACGTAACAATGTATGAATTTTTGGGTATCTTATTAGGTGAAATTGCAAATTGATAATCAAATCAAGAAGAGTCTTATAGGTTGGTCGGTTTTCATAAAAACTATTAGGGCAGATCACAATTGACTTACAGGACTCGACAACTATCTGATATTTACACATTACCGAATTATATTACTTAACCTCCTTATTGGTAATTGGCCAGCTTAATGCTTAATCTCTATTATTGAGCCCACCCGACTCATTTAAACTAATATAAAATCGGATACCCAACCGATTTTTTACTTTATTATTTGAAATTTTTTACATACAATATAGTTTCACGTCATTGGTCAATAATCAATATTTTTTTACGTTTTACAAAGTGATTTCAAACAGTGAACACTAGAAAAACAGTACAATCTCATGAGTAAATAGTTTCCGGTGCTTCCGTTGGGTTCTTCAGTTCTTGTCTCATACCAAGTGTCCGAAATTATTTATCTTCTTATATACAACGGTAAAATTTATTGAATTTGTCAAAAGAAATTGACAAAATAAAAAAACAATACAAATATCTACAACGGCATTATTTGACTCCTAGCTGTTGTTCGTTCCCACTTCCCACGCCACCACCTTCTTCTCATTCTTAATTTAATATTTAAGCTAATATAATTATAAACACCCTCAAATATTATAATGTAAAAAAAGAAATGACACTCGTGTTTAAGAAGATTAATAACACGTAACGATTTCGAATAAAGAGATGTGAATATGGAACGTGAAATGTAGTTCCACCATTTTATGAAAATTCAAGTACGTTTTTTGTTGAAAGTGTTGGTTTTATTATCATTATCATTAGTGTAATAAAAAAAACAAAACAAATAACAGATTTCCAATATGAGTAATAAAATTACGGATGAACCCGCGACCAAACAAAAGAATATCCGTGAGAGTTTTGTGGTTGAAATTTTGTTTTGTTGGTTGAGTCAAGAGATCGAAATATTATCCACAATAATTCCATGTTGTGTATTTATATGTTTCTAATAGCTACCAGAACAAGTATTGGTGTGTATTTTGGTTTAGAATTATTTGATTATGAAAATTATCGAATGGTATATATATAAAAAGCCAAAATATATTACTATTTGTGAAAAAGAGTGGACTGTACACCTCATTTGAGTTATTTTAGCGTGTTATGTAATGCATTCTCGTATTTAAAAAACATATACAGTATGTTCTAACCAAAAATCTTACAATAACCTATTTAACATTGACGATCTTTTAGATATAATAAATTAAACATATGAGGAATAAAAGAATATTTTTCTTTGTTAATTCAAAAGCACAAGAACATTGCGTATCATACGGTACCAAGGATAGTATACAATTATTCATTTACAAGTTATAATAGTTGTATGCTAAGTTATAAATATATATATATATAATCTAAGTATAAAAATTATTTTACAACAATTGTATACTATCCTTGGTACCGTATGATACTCTACCACTACGTACACATACTGACATACAGAGTACACTACGTACATAGAACTATCCGTACAAATAAAAACAACACAAAATGTTATCCATCATAACAGTAAATTAATTAATTAACGTAATTAGTGATTAATTAGTTCCGTGTGAGGAAAGCTCCATAATTCCAAGAAATCAAACTCCAAGATCTCTTCGTAAAAATCCATAACCGGAGGAGGATACACCCAACAATCGAACGGCTCAGAATAAGCCAGATCAGCGCGTGATGTCACGCTCCCATCGTAACTTCCCTCAATGTTAGGCAACTCCACAATCTCCTCCAGCCTCTCCTCCTCTGACTCCGCCGCCACGTAAGATGATGCCGATGACAGTGCTGCCTCCTCCATCTCCGGCGCCGCTTCCTTCTCTAACATTTTCCCGTCGACAACCATAGCGGCAGCTTCTGCGGCGGCTGCTTGGATATCCTGCGGCGAAGATGACGCCGGACGAGGGAGAACAGAGGCGAGCTCCGGGAAATTGATAACGGCAGAGGAGCCTTTGATGGTGAGAGCAGCTACGTCGTGAGCACGCGCCGCCATATCTGCGGTGGCGAAAGTGCCGAGCCAAATCCGAGTCTTCTTGCGAGGCTGTCGGATCTCAGAGACCCATTTGCCCCAACTTCTCATCCGTACACCTCTGTATACAGGATGCTTAGAGTTAGAAGAAGACGAAGAAGGAGAGGAAGAAGAAGAATCTCTTCTTCTCTTTCTTGTGCTTTCTCTGGGTGAAGTTACAGACAAGTGGGTGCTTGTTGTTGTAGTTACATCAGATTGGTCCGATGACGATGATGTTGGTGATGAAGAACTGTTGGGTGACGTCATCTTTGGTACTCGTTTTAGAGAGATACTGCTTTGTTTTGTGTGTATGTGGGATGTGAGAGATGTATTTATAGACTGCACATGATGTTCAATTCCGAGGTCTGGTTTTTTTTTTTTTTTTTTTTTTGTTAATATATAAAAAATTTAACACGTTTTCTGGTATTTGGATCTGAGAATAATTAATATAATGATTATAACCGAACATGTAAAGCGAAATAAATATAATAATAATATCACCAAAGAAAATATATTTTCATGTTATTTTCAAACTTATAATCATACATAATTAGTTGTGTTTCAATAATACTATGCAAATACAAATGACTGATTTTGATTTAATTATAATATTTGTTCTTGTTTGTTTTAGACTATTTCGTTGCTTCTCTTTTTCTTCTCGTCAACAAGTAGATTTTCTTATCTAGTTCTTATCTGTAAGGTTTATTAATATGGTGGAAATGTGTCAAACTATCAAAGAAAAAAAAAATACAAAATTTGACTTAATGAAATTAGACGCTCCATTTTAAGTGACACTTAGCCTACCTATCTTTCGATTAAAGCTTTTTTGTTTGTTGGTTTAAAAAATAAACCAGGGGAAAAAACCCGCAACTTATCAAATAGTTACATAAATTTATATTTCTGAATTTACTTTTTGGTTAATGCTGGTCGAACTTGGTTAGGCACGTTATATCACGATATAGATAATTCTTTACCCAAACTTAGCAAGAGAACGATTTCGAATTTAAAGTGGATTCGTCAACAAAGAAAGAGAAAACACAAAAGATTAACGGAATATAAAAAGTTGACGAAACAAAAAAAAAAAAAGGCATTTGCAGAAGAGAAGGTTTCTAACTTTGTGTAATTATCATCTTAAATGCTTCGTTTCCTATTTGAGAGAGACGAGAATCTAAAGTTACTCACGTGTGTCGCTATCAATCTACCCGTTGAGGTATTTTTTTTATTAAATATTTTTATATATATACACAAATCGAAACATCAAAATATAAAAAAAATCAAATTTAAATTTCGAGGACGTCATTTCATCATTTCCGTTATCACTTTTAAAAAAGTAACTTTCGACCAGATTTTTTTAATCTTTTTCTATCTTTACCGTTGGTAGAGACGAAAGTATCATAAAAGTTGCACTCTTATCAAAAACTTCAGGTAAAAAATATCTAGAAGATGTCACAATGGGACCAATGGATGTGTTATTCTAAGCTTTCATGAACATGTAAATAACGTTAAATTAAATGCAACGCTAAAGATATGGACCGACCCTACTTTCCCAACAGAAAGGCCTAAAACGTGTGAGAAGAATCTAGAATTTGGAGGTATTGTAATGATTAAACCGGAAATGACTTGAAACTATGCTCATATGCTTTCATTACAGTGTGCTCCAAGAATAAAGGGAGAACGTGAATGGAAAAGGGCTCTTTTTGTCCTTAGTTTTATTTCCTTTCTTTGTCTACTTCGATACACAGACACAGTCTCTTCAGATATATATAGCAAATGAACAAAAGAAACACATCCAGAATCAAACAAGTGAAACAAAAGTAACTCTAAGACTACATGTTCATTCCCAAGAACAATGACTCCAAACAAGAGAAAACGAAGACAAACAAGGAAGAACAATATAAAAAAAAAGCAAAAAGCTTACCATATGATTCAGATCTATCAGAGATCTCCTTATCTTTTTCCCGACGAAGTAAAGCTCATCATCTCCATTCTCACCTGAAGTCTTTTACAGCTCTCATAGATAAACGTTTTAGCTTTCTCCCCTTTGTATCCATATCTCATGAAATAACACTAATTAACACCAGATACACAGACACAGCATCAAGATACTCTCTTTGTGTCGCGGGCTGATGCAAGATGATCCTGCACCACATGAACATATATGTTGTTGCTCTATCAGTATATGTAAAACCAGACAAAGGTTTGTATCTGTGCCAGAAAAAAAAAAGATCTGGTCTGACTATGGTTTAAGCCTAAGTAGGTGGTTGTAAAGAATATTACGAGCTAGCTATTATGGGTGGGGGTAATGCTTGCACGTATTAAGACAAATAGACCAAAATATACAATCAAGGATCCGGAGCAATATTGCAAACTTACGGAGATGAAATCGAATGCTCTGGTATCTTCTTTTTTCGAACCATTCATTGTTGAGGTTGGAGCCTGATTAGCAAAGCTTGGCTGGAATATATCAGGGAGTGCTGACTGATTTCCTCCGCTAACACCCGTAGGTAGAACACTTCCGGTACCGTGAGCGTTCATGTTACCAAACTGCTGGAAGTTGGATATATTACCAAGGTACTGCTGCTGCTGAGCTAACAAGCTTGCCATGGCAGCGTAATTCAAAGGATGAGATGCAAAAGCTGGATTCATCATCATCCCGGGAGGAAAATTGAAGGGCATTACACCCCCAGGAGCCATTGGATTTTGAATAAACCCAGAACTTTGTGAACCAAGAATGCCTCCAACAGGATTTTCCGGTGCTTGGAGGCTGGTGGTGCTCGGCATTGCGAATAAATTATCTGGAAGGGCGCTTGAAGACAAGCCTTTCTGATTTGAGCTGGTTTCGTCGATGGAGAAGCTTCCCATCAAGTCATTTATGTTTTCCGAAACTTTTGGCTCTGCTTCAAATGTTGCAGTTGACCCAAACATATCAAATAGCTCAGGCACCTGATTACCACCAGCAGCGGGCTTTTCCCCGACAGTCATTCCAGAGAACAGGTCATCTGAACTTTCTTTTTCTTCATTAGGATGAAATGATACATCTGCAAAGGGATCATCATCATTTTTCTTCTCGCTGCTACTCAGTCCCGTGTCAGCACTATCCCCAAACCAATCACCATCCATCAATGGAGCTGCTGTCGCCACTGTACTGCCAGTATTTATAGCATTTGGCATGTTCAAAGTGTCTTCTGTTATATAATCTGAATCACCGGTGTCGATCAAGTCAGGTAAATCAACAGCAGCCTCCCGCTTCACAGTATTCTCTGAGCTGCTCATCAACCCACTAGACTGTCCACCGTTTAGGAGGCTTAGAACCTACACAAAGCCAGTATCTTCAGTTAAACCACCAAATGAGCATAATGCCAAAAACGAGAGATTTGTGAATGCTTACAACAAGCAGAATCCTACCCTGTTAGCCTTTTCACGAAGGGAAGATTGAGGAGACTCGGCGCATCGCTGTATGACATCTGTGTTTTCACTAAAATAAGTATGTACAATTGAAAAATTACCATCTTCCTTCTTCCTCAAAATGGCCTCAAGGACACATAAAGCTTTCATCCGAACCTGCCAAATGAAACCACAGTGTCGTTTAAAGTGGGAAGATTTTCACATGCAGCAGAAGAAACAGTTTCACAAGGAGGTGACTAGGGAATTATCATGAACATACCTGCCACATTGGAGACTGAAGCTTCCCGTCAAGAGCAATGCTTAAAGAAACAGTATCCATTTTTGCAGCCTCTACAATGAACACATGAAGTGCATCTCGAGTTGGCTGCAGGCGTACACCGCCAGATGTAACAACGGTTTCCAGCAGCTTTTCCTCACGAGTTTTGCTCTCAAGACGAACTGAAGCAGAACTTTCACTAGCCTCTCCAGAAGCGTGGCCCCAAGATCCACCTCCCGTGTTCTGAGACATCCCATGTTTACCATCACTCCCCAGCTTCACCGGATCATATCGACTGAAGTTCTCGTTCTCCATAGTTAATGATCTGTGGAGATTCGGACCTCTGTAGCTGCTGCTTCCATTCTCATTCTTCTTTGGCAAATGACCTTGAGCGAAACTACTGATTCCTTGCTTTATAGATGCACTTCCAAGACCAACCACCTCACTCAGAAACGATTTTCTATCATCAGAGGGCACCTGAAAGTTAGTATTCCCAAATCCTTCTATGCGTCTGTTGATGCTTTCGGGAGCGGCTGGCTTACTACCGTTCTCTTCCGAGAACAGAGCAGAAATCGTTTCATGAGCAGTATCCCTTACAGCCTTATTAAGCGCATCTCCTTTCAAAGGATCTGGATGCCCCTTGTAATGGAATAAACTGCGAACTGCAGCAGAGTTCCTTTGCATTTCTCTTCTAAATTCTGAGCCAGACTTCCCCACAGCATACTTTATCAGCCTCAGAGCCTGTTTACATACAAGTACAATAACCAGAATCAGCATAACCAAACCACAATTAGATCGGATAGTTATCAATTCAGCAAACTAAATCAATCCCCGCATGCAACATTATTTTCAATCAAAATCTTCATGGAGACAAAATGATCTCACAAACGAACATTAACAATTCCTAATCTCCAAACAAATGATGATCATTCCAGCAAACTAAATCAATCACCGCATGCAACATAATTTTCAATCAAAACCTTCATGGAGACACATGATCTCACAAAAGGAACAACATTTAATCAGTAAACCATCGGCATAATCCGTGCGAACCCAATCAAAAGTAAGAAAGGTACGAAATTGCAAAGATACCTTCTGCTTAACGATGGGGCTTTTGTTATCAAGGCGTTTCAAAATGAATTCGGAAAACTCCTTGACGATGCTGACGTGAGAAGAACGAAGGAGGTCACAGATCTCTTCCAATTTGTACACAGGCGCTACCTTGTCCTCGTCTGACGTGACCGCGTCGATCATCCGCGACCTCCAGTAGGATTCAACCGCTCTCCTGCTCGTATCCATGACGAATTCCGAAGCAACAAACAGAAAAAAGCCCTAATTCCCAAAACGCAACACCGACACTGAGACCAGCCTTTCGTCCTCGCTCGTCAAAATCGGAACCAAAAAAAACCTTATAAAACAGCAATCGATCGAAGATCGATTCTCAAAACAATCAGATCAGTAAAACACCGATCTGGTAAGCTCCAATTCAGCTCAAATTCACCAAACTGAAGATCGCGATCGGGAGCTCAATTTCCCCCTACAAACCAATAAACGCAGAGGTGAAACAAAATTAGCTCCCTGAGAGAAGAAAAACCATCAGGAAATTCGGGAATCGAATCAATAATATCGGAGAAATGAGCAGAGATCGGAGAGGCTATTATGCGAAATCGAGGAGAAACTCACCGGTATGTTGGTGGACAAGGAAGGAAGGGGAGGGAAGCAGTCAACAAAGAGGAATGGGGAGATTCACAAGTTCTTGGCTTTTCCTTAATTCCCAAATTTTTAATTTTTTTTTCTTCCTTTTTTCACATTATACACATGAATTTTCTATTTATTTCCGCACCAATAAAAATCAATCAATACAACAATAACACTCAAGTCTCTCCATATTTTGACACATCAACTTTTTGAAGCTTTATAAACATGATACCTCAACAAAAATAATTACCAATTAAAATATTTTATTAATACAATTCATCTACTTATTTTTTAAATTTTAAACTTAAACCCATTAAAAATTCAAATACTTTTTCTATTGATCTTTGTTTTATCTTTTACCGAAAAAAACCCAAATAATTAATAACAGCAAATAAAAAAATCTTTATTATAATTTTTACCAAATTCAAAGCTAAATATTAAATAAAAACAAATAAAAAAAATTAAATTTTTGTTTTATTTTTTACCAAACTCAAACCCAAAAAATAAATAACAACAAATAAATAATAAAAAAATTTAGCTATTTGTTTGTTTGACATAGACATATATGATTGAAAAAAAGTGTAGGCTTAGCATCAACCATGCTTTGACGAGAAAACAAATTTTCTTGGCTTTGGCGGGAATAAGAAATTCTCTTTTTTTGCGGAGAATAGTGGATTTCTTGATTTCAGTAAAAAATGTGATTTTCAGTTTTGGTAGCAAAACTCTCGGGTTCGGCGGGAAAATGTGAATTCTTGGTAAAAATTGATTTTGACGGGAAAACAAAATACTTCAGTTTTAACGGAAAAATGCGATTTCGGTTTTGATGCGGAATGCAACTTTTCAATTTTGACGAAAAATTCGATTTCTCAGTTTTGATAGGAAATGCAAATTTTCGACTTTTGACCGATTTATTGGTTTTCACGAAAAAATGTGATTTATTAGTTTTCACGAGAAATTACAATTTAATGATTTTGGTGGAAAATGTAATTTCTCGGTATGATGGAAAAACAAAATTTCTAGGTTTTGACGGGAATAAGCAATTTCTCGGTTTAGATGAGAAATGAAAATTTTTAGTTTTTGACGAATAATGTGATTTTTTGGGTTTCGCGAGAAAATACAATTTCTTAGTTTTCGCGAAAAAATACAATTTTTTAGTTTTTGCGGAAAAACACAATTTATCTGTTTTGGTAGGAAAGCGTGATTTTTAGTTTGATGAGAAAATGATTTTTTTTTTTGCGGGAATAGACGATTTCTCGGTTTTTGCAAAAAATAAATTTATTGGTTTTGACTTGAAAATACATTTTTTTGTTTTTGCAGGAAAATAATTTTTTTTTGTTTTGGTGAAAAAACGTGATTTCTCGGTTTTGGCGGAAAAACACAAGTTTTTTGCGGGAAAATGAAATTTTAGATTTTAAGTTTGACGAAAGAATATTTTTTGTTGGTTTTGGCGGAAATATGCGATTTCTCAGTTTCGTGAGAAAATGAATTTTTTTTTGGTTTGACAAGAAATGCGATTTCTCGGTTTTTGTAAGAAGATAAAATTTTTCTATGCTAAATTTTCAAGTTAAAGTATATTACAGTAGCCAAAATTTTATTATTTAACTTAAACTAAAACGATATTTCAAGAGTTCAAATAGAATTTTCTATTTAGTTCTAAAGCAATAGCAATGATTTTGATATAAATGTTTTTATTTATAGTTTGGTAGTTTGAGAAATATATGTTTATAATAAATATTTGATAAATAAATAAATTTTATAATTAACACATAATTATATTAATTATAAATATTTTCTAAAAATGGCATTTTTCTTCATATAATTACAAAAAAGGATCAAGTGGCAATTTATTGGAGTTAATATATTATATTTACCATTAACATAAATGTACTGAAAGTGCATTTTTTATTCTTACATATACATTTATAATTAGTTAGCTAACCAAATTTAATTGCAAATTATAATTTTTAAAAAATATACAATATTTATCAGATTTAAAATATATAAATACATAACTTAAGCTAATAAAAAAATATAATACTTATTTATATTATAAAATAATTTTATTATATTAAAAATATATATAAAAATTAGAAAAATATACCGCAGCGCGGGTAAATATCTAATTTCAATTAAATTGATATATTAAAAATATAACACAGTTAAAAAAGAAAAAAAATGAACGAGAGAGCACAAAGCAAAACAGAACATTCTACAGGTAACTTAATTCATGAAAAGCTTGAGACTTTGTCACTTATTAGCAATCCAATCATCATCATCATCAGTGCTCTTCTTCTTCTTCAACCACCACGTTTTCTTAACAGAGTTTTGAAGCAATGATCAATGTTTGGAAGCATTTACAACCTTGCTTACGGTCGGAAGCATTTACATGTTGAGGAGACCATAATTCAGAAGCTGTGATTCTAGAAATACTAAAACTATATAATTAAAACCAAAAATTGCAAATGCTACAACCAGAAATTATTTATACATACAATAATATACAAGTCTAAATTAATAGAATTAAAACCTAAAACCCCGTCGTCGGCGTTGAAAAAAACACAAAACTTTATCAAAACCATCGGCACTTCTTCTCCGATTTGCGCGCCGGCCTTCTTTTTCTTCTTCCTCCTGGTACGTCGATTCTCAATCTCGTTTTAAACCCAGCTTCTCTTTCTTCTCCATCGGGTTTTCTGGGTTTACTATACAATCATTATTTCTATTGCAATTGAAATTTTTGAGTGCAGGAGTAGAGAAAAAAAATGCAAGCTTGTTGTGGAGGTACTTCAATGGCGTCTCTTCAGCAACATGGACGGGTTCAAGGACCCGTCTTTACCCCAATAATGTCTCCGGTGACCAAATTCTCTCAGCAACTCAAGTTCAATTTTCCGAGACCTTACCGTTCTTCATTCCTCGAAAGAAGCTTGGTCGTTGAAAGGAAGGCGTCCTCAGTCTCAGCCGAGATGAGCAGTGAGACAGTTTTAGGCAATGAAATCCATTTTGAGGACTTTGGTCTTGGTGAAGTTGATCCAGAGGTCCAAAAGATCGTCGCAAAGGAGAAAGACAGACAGTTCAGGAGCTTGGAGCTTATTGCCTCGGAGAACTTCACGTCCCGAGCAGTGATGGAGGCTGTTGGATCATGCCTTACCAACAAATACTCTGAGGGACTGCCTGGTAAAAGGTAATCAAGTATGTAAAGAAATGAGTTTTGTGAGACCATCTTCTTGTTCTTTCTGTTACTCTCATATGCTAAGATCTTCACAGGTATTATGGTGGCAATGAGTACATTGATCAGCTGGAGGCACTTTGCCAGAAACGAGCTTTAGCAGCCTTCCGCTTAGATTCCACGAAATGGGGTGTTAATGTTCAGCCTTTATCTGGATCACCTGCAAACTTTGCTGTCTACACGGCCATACTTAGTCCTCATGATCGAATCATGGTTAGGATCTTTTGCAATCTTCACCTCACATCTCTTCTTTCTTGTGTGTTTGAGATGATATTGAATTGTTAGTGGTTTGTTATGAGCTTTTTTAGGGATTGGATTTACCTCATGGTGGTCATTTGTCACATGGGTTCATGACTCCCAAAAGGCGTATATCTGCAACTTCGGTATACTTTGAGTCCATGCCTTATCGACTTGATGAATCAACAGGTGGTGGCATTTCTTATATGATAAAGTTCTCCGTTTATAGGAGAGACTGTATCCTGATGCCTGAATATTTGAGCAGGCATTGTGGACTACGATATGCTCGAGAAAACTGCTGCACTGTTCCGACCTAAGCTTATTATTGCAGGAGCTAGTGCATACAGCCGAGATTTTGACTATCCTCGCTTGAGGAAGGTAAAACCAACCGAACATTTGCTTTATAGTTTCTGTCTAGTTTCGGGATATACTTCGCTTTCCTCACAACTTTGTATTGGAATGTTTGAAGATCGCAGACTCAGTTGGTGCTTTTCTGATGATGGATATGGCTCATATCAGTGGGCTTGTGGCTGCTTCTGTGGTAGCTGATCCGTTTGAGTATTGTGATATTGTTACAACAACCACTCACAAGGTATGTATGTTCTGATGCAATCTGAAACATATATTTTCCATTTGAATTTATACCAAAAAAAAAAAAAAAATCTTATAGTTTATTGTCAGTCTTTGAGAGGTCCGAGAGGGGGAATGATCTTCTTTAGGAAGGATCCAGTTAATGGGGTTGAACTTGAATCTGCCATTAACAATGCTGTCTTCCCTGGTTTGCAGGTTTGAGAAATTACACCATTCCTTGTAGCCTCTCTTAGAAAAAAAAAATTCTTTCGAATGTGATTGAATTTTGTTTGGTGTTGTATAATTTATAGGGTGGCCCTCATAACCACACAATTGGAGGATTAGCAGTCTGCTTGAAACATGCACAGTCGCCTGAATTCAAGGCTTACCAGAAAAGAGTACTCACCCTTTTACATGATCATTAAGTTTGTAAATTTTGATCTTATAACAATCTTTTGTTACTTGTTTAGGTTGTGTCTAACTGTAGGGCTCTAGCTAACCGATTGGTTGAACTCGGGTTTAAGCTGGTTTCTGGTGGCAGCGACAATCACCTGGTTCTCGTCGATCTTAGACCGATGGTAAGTTCTTGTTAATTGCCCACAGAGAATCACTCACTTATCATGTGATGCGGTATCAAATGAATATATTCGTGCTATGGTTAGGGCATGGATGGTGCTCGTGTTGAGAAGATCTTAGACATGGCATCTATTACTCTCAACAAGAACTCAGTCCCTGGTGATAAAAGTGCGTTGGTTCCAGGAGGGATAAGGATAGGATCTCCTGCGATGACGACAAGAGGACTCTCAGAGAAAGACTTTGCGTCGGTTGCTGATTTCATCAATGAAGGTGTGGAGATAACGATCGAAGCCAAGAAGTTGGTTAATGGATCAAAGCTTCAAGAATTCACCAAGTTTGTGACTTCCCCTGATTTCCCTTTGAGAGGCAGAGTGGAGAGTCTCAAGGATAGAGTCGAATCCTTCACCTCTCGTTTTCCCATTCCTGGCGTTTGAAGTTTTACTCAACACAAACACATGCTCTTGTTAGTATTGACGTGTTATCATCTAGGGTTTGATCACCTTCGTTGTTGGCCTGTCCCCCAAGTTTCAAAGCTGTCTTTTGAATCTTATGTAAAATGGTTAAAACTTTATTTTGAAAGAAAAAAAATATCACTATTTTAGATTGATATTATTCAAAAAGATGAAACAGAGCACAAAACTAACTAAAACAGAACATTCTAAACTAACTTAATTCCTGAAATAGCTTGAGACTTTGTGACTTATTAAACCATCAGCATCATCATCAGTCTCTTCTTCTTCTTCTTCATCATCTTCAACCACCACGTTTCTAAACAGAGTCTTGAAGTAAGGAACAATCTTTGGAAGCACATGTAGATCCGCCATGTTTATACTCATCATATCGAAAGCAATGCAGGTATTGTGCATATTCGACTCGTCAATCACCGGAATCTTCGGGTATCTCTGGCTAAAATGGGTCAGAACGATCCGGTACACACCCGCCGAAGATCCAACGTCTATTGCTTCTTTAGTCGTGCTATGGTTCTTCGCCACAGCTTCTTCTACCAATGCATCCTCAAACGTCGCCTGTAGAATAAGAAAAAGATGATAATGTTAATAGAATGTGGAAGAAACAATGTTTTAGACAATCTTTGCTTAAACAGGAGAGAAACTCTCGGACCTCGTGTATAAGAACAGTTGCTCCTTTTGAAGCTTCAACCATCTGAGGACAAGGCCTTGTGTCGCCTGAGTAAACCATTTTCCATCCCGGAATCTCTTCTCCTGCAATGTTTTTTCTCTCCGCTGCTTTTAAAATAACCCCATAGGCTTGAGGGCAATGCACAACAGGAAAGCTAATCAAATCCTCCAAACCCATTTCTCCAAGGACCTTCTTCAGTTTCTTCAAGTATGGTAAGGCTGATGAATTGTCCATCGGTGGGCTACTCGGTCTCTTGTAGATACTCTGCATCGGACTTCCTTTACTAAACAACGAACCCTCTCCAGTGCCGCTACTGGCAATTCTCTGAGGACTAATGGGCTCTAGAGAAGCCCAAGAAGTTGCTGTGGTGTTCCTGCAATCAAGAAACTCCATATCTAGATCCTCGAGTCTCTGATACGCATCGAGAAAGTTCTTAAGCGGTCTCGGTCCAACCACGATAGCTGGCTCGTGAGAGACTCCTTTCAAAAGCTCACATCTACGGGCAAGGATTCTTGCAAGACCCGTATGATGATCAGCATGGATGTGAGAGATCCATATACATCTCAAGCTTCTGACTGCATCATCAGCTCCTTCTAAACCATATCTTCTTTTAAGCTGGCCTAAGGTGCCTTCCCCACAGTCCAAGAGAACACTTCCTTTAGAGAATAGGTCGATATAAACCGCACTGACATTTCTGTATTTTGAAGGTTGGGAAGAACCGGTGCCCAAAAGAACAATCTCCATGTCGTCTCGTCTAATGTTTTCAAGACAGCTTGGAACAGTGCTCTCGTTCAGCCATGGCTCTTCGATCATCATCTTGTTGTTTAGTCCATTCCATAACCGCTTGACTTCTTCGGTCTTACCACTCATCTCAGGGATTTCTGAAAGTAGCTCATTTATCACTCGTGAGGATGTCAGTTGACTAGGGATACAAGATCTGTCTAGCCCAAGGTTACCATGTGGACGCAAAGTGAACTGCTCATCATATAAACAAGAGAGAGAGAGAGAGAGACTTAAGAGGCTAAAGGAAGCAAAACGCACCGTTACAACATGAAAGGAACCTCAAGCATGGGAAACATTTAATACCTTGAGGAGATTTTCCGCGGAAATGGTTTCATCAAGACTTGAACCGAAGCACTGACAAGCGAAGAAAAGAACACAGCTTGAAACATTGAACAGAAACCAGAATCCAACTCAATAATCAGAAAAGCATTTGCAACCTTGCTTAGGGAATCTATCGAGTTATTAACATGCTGAGGAGACCAAAATCCAGGAGCTGGGAAGAATTGTGGGCATAAATAGTTAAGTCTGGCTGTGATTCTAGAACTGGCTTTCAGGATTGGGAACTCCATATTCTTCCTGGCCAAACACACCAAAACGAACTATTAGAAAAATAAAATAAAAAAATCAACAGCTTTCGATAAGGAAGAAGCATAGAGTTGAGGACTCACGTTTCATGTCCAGCGAGAATATGCTGAGCAGAAAGGAATCTCTTCATCCAGCTTTGGTAAGTAGGACTGTTTGTTACAGAAGCTGGACTTAGATGAATAATGCAATTCACAAGCTTATCCCGGTCTGTTGAATAAAAACGCTTCAGAGACGGAATCGATAGCAGTTCCTCAGCATGTGACTCTGTTGGACAGTCCACAAGCAAAACAACAGGACCAGGAACTGAAGGTCCCATCACATCGCTCGGATGAACCTATGGTCAAGCGTAAACAGTGTTAAGTCTGCTCCGAGAGAAACTGATGTTGGATTGTGGATACTCTCAAGAATTTCTCTTTGAGACATACCGTAATATCTTTGAAATCTGACTTCACTGACTGTCCAGACTGAAGTTTACCATACTTTGGACCAGCTCTCAGTCCAAGAGCCATGGCCTTCTCTGGGTCAAACCTTCCATTGATTTCAGGTAATTCACATACGTATATAACTGACGTTTCACCAGAGCTGCTCCCGGATTCCTCTGGTCGACTTGGTTCAAGGAGAATGGCGGAGATTTTCACAACTTCGTCATCCACAAGAACAAAGGGATCATCTTTTGGTTTACTTGAGCCAGTCTGTGGCGTGGAGTCAGATGCAGTCAAGGACGGACCAAAACTTCGTGTATGAACCATTGCGGCACGAGGGATGAATGACCTCATAGCATCCACTAAATACTTAAGATCGGAAGGACCCCATACGTTCACCTTCGTAACAAAATAGATTTTAAAAGTTTCAGACTTTCAGCAATTCCATTCAAATATAGTAGCAGAAACTCAAGAAAACAGACAGGAAACATACAAAGAGATCATATGAGAAGAACACTCACGGATAGTCCTTCTTCACCAATACCGGCCAGAGTCAATAGAAGACCTATAGCATTTAGAATAGCAAAACTTATCAGCTTCTAATGATCTAACAGCTAACACACACTGAAGCTGATTCCTGGATCAAGAAAACAAACCTGGAAGGCCGCCTGCTGTCTCTGAGCACACACGAGACAAAAATATATGATCTACCTGAAAGACTCATCGGATCATCACATTTCAAAAAATCACCTTATAATACACCGAAAAGAGGACACAACAACAAATGACAAATCCAAAGACGAAATTTTGACATACCTTGGATAACTTAATTTTATGTTCTGTACAGAAACGTTGCAAGCCCTAAAATTCCATGCTTATACCAATCAGACCACAGGAACCAATAAAAGCTTAATAAAAGCCATTGACTAAAGATAAAATCATAACAGAGAGATTGCAGAAAACTGACCTCTCCAGCATTGAAGATGAACCTTTGTTTGTCAAAGAAGAGTAATACAGAAGGTGATGTATCTTGCGTATCCATTCCCGTCCCAAGTATCTAAAAATGCAGAAGAAAGCATAAAAGATTTGAAATTTTCAAACTTGAACAGATTGAAATTCAAGCCTGAAGCTAGCTAGATACTGAAACCTGAACAAAGGCAATGGTGTTGGTAGGGTTAAGCGTGCGAGTGTTCCGCTTGAGATTCTTCTTAGGCTTATCGAACTTATCCATTCCTTCAGCTCTTCTCTTATTAAACCCGAAAGAGTCAGAAGAAGGATTAGAGCTAGCTTTGTCTTTCTCCATCGGAGACATGCCTTTCCTCTGCCTACTCTTCTTCTCCTCGAAACTACTCCACTTGCGTCTCGGAGGGAAGCGAGGAGAAGGGTCACGGCGACGGTAACCGGCGGAGCGAGGAGGACGGCTCGGGCGGGAAGAGGAAGGAGAAGAAGCGAAGATTGGGTAGAGAGAAAAGGGTCTGAGGAAGAGAGCGAAAGAAGAAGACTTGAGAGGAGAAAAACCGAGAAGGCCTAGGTTTTGAGGTATATGAGGCATTGAAGTTAACATTTTCGTACTAACAAAAGCTTCCCCTTCTTCCCGTTTTCTTCTCGGTAGACTCTCACAGATCAGAGTCGAGTCCTTCTCTCTCGACCGATTTTTTTATTTTTTCTTCCTCATTTTTGTTTTGTTTTAGATGAAAATGTTAATGTAGCCCATGGGCTTTTCGGCCCATAAATCATCCCCACACACAGAGAGTTTGCCATCTTGGATTAGTGTTGTTTATTTGGTAACGTCCTTCATAGATTACTATTTAACCATTTACCATTTGCCACTATTAGTGGTCTTATTCAAAAGAACCTTAAACATAGCAAGTGTTCAATAAACCAAAACTAAACAAGTAATCAAACCAAGATCCCCAAAAGTTAAATAAAACGAAATCGGTTATGTTGACTAATTTCGTTAACCAATTAACTAAACCGGCGCATATACACATTGGATAAGAGATAGAAAAGGCACCACACACCTCCATAGAAAACCTCATGGAGTGATATAAAACATTATCTCGAATAAAGGACCCAGCCTTTTTTTTTGTTCGGTTATATTTTTTATTTATTTTTTCAAAAGAGAGCAAGACTATGGGAAGTGTACAGTTGAATGGTTCAGGCTTAGTCGCTTCTCTATCTCCAAATCATAACTTTAGCCATAAGACCAAACTTTGTAATCTAAAGTCGTCCTTCTTACGCTCAAAACACATTAATGCCACCAGATTGTGCCGAGCCAAAACCATTCGGGCCACAAGCACTGCACCAGCGAGCCAGCCTTCAGTCGCAGCTGAGCCCGACGACGAACCACCCGCTGTCGATTTTGCGTTCGTCCATGTAAGTAGTCATCTCAACGAATTATATATTCCACTCTTGTTAGTTATATCGTTAACAAGGTAAGTAGAGTGATTAGAGAAACATAGTAGACTTAATGATGATTTATGTATCATTTGTTGTTTTTTATTGAACAAATTATTTAAAGTGGTTTTTGAAGGGATTATTAGTTTAATAGAATTGAAAGTCAATTAACTGTGGATAATTGAATTGTTAGTCGGTGTTGTTACCGGACGGGACACCGGACGTGCATTGGAGAAGAGCGTGCGGTGGACAGAAACTTAGAGACATAATGTTGGATTCTAACATCGAACTCTATGGTCCTTACGTATGATCTTTTATCTCTCTATATTTATAATTTGACTATATTTCTTAAACTACTAAACATATTAAAATAAAATAAAAACTACCATGTGTCATTAACTTCGCAGGGTAAGGCCTTGTCAAATTGCGCAGGAGTAGGAACTTGCGCTACTTGCATGGTCGAGGTAAATATATCTCATAGTAATTTCTTTAAAAAAAAATACTCCAGTAAGCTTAAATTTACATTTAGATGCTCAGACAAGGAATAGTGATGGATTTTTTATTTATTTTTTGCAGATTGTAAATGGAAAGGAGCTTTTAAATCCACGAACTGACATTGAGAAGGAGAAACTCAAAAGGGTATATATTATTTTTCATACTAGAAAATCTTGTACCATTTTGGTTATAGTAGTTAAAATAAGTAATGTTTTCACAGAAATAATTGAAAGCCTTTTGTCCAAAAAAAAAATAATGTTTTCACAGAAACCAAAAAACTGGAGACTCGCTTGTCAAACCCACGTGGGAAATCCAGATTCTACCGGATTGGTAACATATCTTTCTCTCTCTAATCTATTATATACTCTTTTGTACAAAACATTTCTATATATGAATGTGACTAACTTATATTAATAACCCATTTAATAGGTCGTGATACAACAATTGCCAGAGTGGAAAGCTCATGAATGGAATATCCCTAAGAATTTACCTGATGATGATGATCCCGAAACATCTACGTGAAACCATCCACTATGGAGTAATATTGTTACTACTATATCATAAAACTGTAACGATCCATTTTTAAAAAAATGTATGTCGATAATTTAACCATATATACAGCAATTTGTTCTAATCAACACAACAATAACATTCAACTTTCTCCATGGCTTGACACCTCAATTTTTTTAAGTTTTATAAACATGATACCTCAACAAAAATAATCATCAATCAAAACATTTTATTAATCTCATCCATTTATTTTAATTTTTAAACTTAAACACATTAAAAACCCAAATATTTTTTTCTAATAATTTTTGTTTTATTTTTTACCAAATCCAAGACCAAATAATTAATAACAGTAAATAAAAAATCATTATTTTATTTTTTGTCAAATCTAAATATAAATAATAAATAAAAACAAATTAAAAAAATTAAATCATTGTTTTTTTTTTGCCAAAGCCAAATTCAAATAATAAATAACAGCAAATAAATAATAAAACAAAAATTCTAGTTATCTATTTGTTTGACATAAATGTATATGATTGAAAAAGTGTAAACTCAGCATCAACTATGCTTCCATGACAACACTGCAAAAAGCCTTATGTTATAAGAAGCTCACACATCAACAAAAATTTGAACCGATAAAAACATAACAATTTCTTAGTTTTTTGCAGGAAAACATAATTTCACGGGAGATAATGTAATTTTTGGTTTTTGCGGAAAATTGTAGTTTATTTGTTTTTATAGGAAAGCGTGATTCTGGGTTTGACGAGAAAATGATTTTTTTTTTTGGCAGGAATAAACGATTTCTCAGTTTATCACAAGAAAAAATAAATTTTTCGATTTGGGCGGGAAAATACAATTTTTTTTTTGTTTTTTTGTAGGAAGATGAAATTTTTTGGTTTTTGTGAAAAACGTAATTTCTCGGCTTTGGTGGAAAAACACAGGTTCTCGTGGGAAAATAAAATTTTAGATTTTAGGTTTGACGAGAAAATGAATTTTTTGGTTTTGGCGGAAATAGTCGATTTTTCAGTTTAATGGGAAAATGAAGTTTTTTTGTTTTGACGAGAAATGCGAATTTTCGATTTTTGTAAGAAGATAAAAATTTTCTGTGCTAAATTTCCAAGTCAAATTATGTTTACAGTAACCAAAATTTAATTATTTAACTTTAACTAAAACGATATTTTAAGAGTTCAAACATAATTTTCTATTTAGTTCTAAAACAATAGCAATGGTTTTGATATGAATGTTATTGATTATAGTTTGGTAGTTTTAGAAATATATGTTTATAATAAAATATTTGATAAATAAATAAATTTTATAATTCAAAATAATCATATTAATTAATAAATCTTTTTTTTAAATGGTATTTTGCTTTATATAATTACAAAGGAGGATCATGTGGTAATTTATTGGAGAAAATAGATTACATTTGTCAATAGCATGAAAGTACTAAAAATGTATTGCTTTATTCTTATATATTTTATTCCTATATGCACATTTATAATTAGTTAGCTAACTAAATTTAATAGCAAAATACCATTTTGAAAAAGAAAAAAAAAAATATATATATGTAATGTTTATTCAGATTTAAAATATATAAATACATAACTTAAGCTAATAAAAAAAAATATAATACTCATTTATATTATAAAAATAATTTTATTATATTAAAAATATATACAAAATTTAGAAAAATATCCTGCCACATAGCGCGGGTAAATACCTAGTAAAACTAAAATCTTAAATAAAATGACTAATCTATAACCAAACAGCCCTTCCATTAAATGATATTAATTCATACAAATTGGATAAAGTTTACAACGAAACCGAACCAAACTCCAAACGAAGCAAGAGATTGAGAGACAGAAACATGAATCAAGAATGATACATCACATTTAGAAATCAGAGGAAGCAAGAGGAGCATGTTCAGAAGAAGTCATGAAGACATTTCCGTAGATAAGTCCAGCGAGTCCACCACCGATGAGTGGTCCCACCCAGTAGACCCAGTGACCAGAGAAGTCTCCGGCTGCAACAGCTGGTCCAAAGGAACGTGCTGGGTTCATGGATCCACCGGAGAAAGGACCGGCGGCGAGGATGTTGGCACCCACGATGAGACCAATGGCGAGAGGTGCGATGGTTCCGAGAGAACCTTTCTTGGGATCAGCGGCGGTGGCGTAGACGGTGTAGACCAAAGCGAAGGTGATGATGATCTCCATCACTACTCCTTCTATCGCTCCGACTCCAGCCGCAACGCTGTGGATTGGAACCGCCTGCGTTTCATTGTTTTAGCGTTTGTCTCATTAGTTTCTAATATTAAAGCAGCCTCAAGGAATTGTAAGAGAAACCTCAAAAAAACCTCTAATAATTTTCATTACCTATAGAAAAAAACTTCCAATATTCTATAACTTACACTTGTAATACTTTATACTCCAAGTAGTTAGTTAACAAGGCTAACAAACAGACAGAAATGTATAAACAAAAAACTATTAAAAAGCTTAGAGAATTTTTTTTTTGTTTGCCTTGTAAACTACTTGTATCTTATTTTGTAACCTAGTATTAAATCGATTATAAGATTTGCCTTCCAAGACCCTAGACTATATTTTAAAAACTTTTGTTTGTTTTGTTTTGTCGACCGACCAAAGCTACACATTACATTGCTTCAAAAGGTCTATTTTGCGAATTAGTAGATAATTAATTGGGATAGGGAAATAATTTGGGGTTCTTTTTGTAGGCAGTACTAATGTGTAATTTATTATACGAGTAAGTAGTTGTGATGTGGACATACCAAGCCACCGGTGACGTATTTGAGGAGGAAGCAAGCGGCGGTGGAGCCGAGAAGCTGAGCAACCCAGTAGAAAACTCCGGTGATGACTGTGATTTGACCACCGAGAGCAAGGCCAAAAGTGACGGCAGGGTTCACATGGCCACCGGAGATGTTGGCTCCGATTGCAACCGCCACGAAGAGGGCGAAACCGTGGCACACCGCGATGGCAACTAGTCCAGGCGTATCAAGAGCGGCGTCCGACGTCAGCTTCGCTATATACATAAATGTGACACATTCGTTAAGTATATTGATATTGGACTCATTTGTTAAAAAAGGTTTCGAAAGTTAATAAAAAATTATTTAATTACGAACCGTAGGCAATGGCAGAACCAACACCAGCGAAAACAAAGAGCAAAGTGGAGATGAACTCAGCGAGGTAAGCTCTTAGAGAAGCCAAGCTGAAGGAATCATCAAAGGAACCAAAGGCAACTCCTGCCATTGTTGTAGATGAAGAAGAATGACTAATTAAGATGATGTTTTGAAGGTTTTTTTTGCTTAAGGAAGATGATGATATGACCTTTTGCATGCCATTCTATTTATATAGGAGCTAGCCTCTTCATGTATATCCATGCATAATTTAAAATTGTAAAATTAATTTTTTATGAGTTTTTTTTTTGGTGGTGGGTTGGACACAAATTAATAAATGATTTCATGTGTGTTTACATTTTACCCTATATTCGTGACTTGCGTTAGGAAGTTGCCTAAAAAGACTAAAATAATGAACATTTCGTGGAAAACTCTAGAATAATACTTTAATATTGGTGTGTATATAGTAGTAGTACACTTTACTATATAGTATTCATGCGATATACGTATGTGCATTCATAACCTAGTCGTGGTTAGTCTTTACGAAGTTTTTTTTGTTTGTAACAAAAAAGGTAAATTCTCAGTAATTAAACTACAGAGTAACTCTAGTACGACTAAAGATAAGTGAAAATGAATGTAAAATCAATCAAATTATGATATCTAATGATTGCTGGCTCCTTAAAATTCTCAAACATACTACACGTTTTATGTTTTCTGTTTCAAAAATACCACCAAAATTCAGAAATTCCAAAAAACAATCCATAAGATTTTAAATTCAGGAATAGTTAGTTTTTTCTTCAATTTACCAAGAGCGTTTGTTATCGGTTGGAAACTCTTCCTAAAGTTTTTTGACTCTTCTTAAATTTATAAAGTTTGTGGTATTTTGGAAATAAAACCTTTTTGATCGCATTTTAAATGTACTTTGAACTACATATTGATTGAAAATATTTCATAAATTAGTCAATAATTTGGATTGGATTTTCCTGTAAGTGCAAAATTGGGCGGTTTAAAGTAATGGCCGGTTTAAAGTGATTGAAATTAGGGTGGTGGTGGTGGCCCCAAAAGACAGAGCAGCTTCAAAATTCAAAAAAAAAGGATAAAACATAAAGATGAGATTAGACTAGAGGGACAATGAAACAAATGGATACGACCAAAAAACTAAGGAGGGACAAGTGTGAGCTGTAATGAATGTGTATGGGTGATAGACCGGCCAAAATATGATGTGGTTGCATGTGACATGATCCTTTTTTTTTTTTTCCTAGTGAAGTGATTTGATCAGATTTTGAAGATGTGACTCATTTATGATTATATTCCATTTCACAATGTTACATTGGGTCCCTCCATTATTTACCTCTTCTATTGAACATTCTCCATCATATTCATATTCAACAATCTTGTATATTCTTACTCTTATTGAATTTGTTGTCTAATAAGTAACAATCAACAAACTCGAAAAAACTATCCGTGATCGATTACTCTCCTTACCGCAGCAGGATAACACTTCTTCTCTCCTAGAAATTTACTTCGGCTGTATCTCTCTTCCTTTTTAATGGTCTTGCCTTGTTTAGTCTCTCTATATGTTGGTAAGTAATTTATAGGTATGTTCCTCCTCCCCTTTTTTTTTTTCTACCAAACTTTTTGTAAGTTTGCTTCTGGTAATAATATTTTAACCTTAAACCAAAAAAAAAACAAACTCGAAAAAACATTTTTAAAAAATAAATAAATAACATTCATTAACGTCAAATTCACACAAGTTTTCATAAACATTTAAATTCTTCCCTTTTTTCAATCAAAATTTTAGTTTTTACAATAAGAAAATACGATAACTGTAAATATTTTTGTAATAAAATACACAAAGTTGTTAGGTCTATCAGATTACACTTTACAAAGTTGTTAGACTTTCTAAAAAGAAAGTTTTTTAGTTTTCTCAAAACTAATCATATGTTATGTTTGAGACTGGAATGACATGTGTTATGTTTTACGTCTATACACTTTTTCTAAACTCTTACGGTTCTTACTAATTCAAGAAACTCAATACATCTTTGAATTGCAATGTGTTCATTGCTGTCACCTTATCAAATACGCCAAGGGTCGTTTAGATGGGATTATTATTCTCCTAATTGAATTATATCTGTATATTAAGCTTAATTAGTTGAATGATAACCTATACTATCTTTTAACTAATTCATCATATAGAACTATATATTATACTATATAAACAACAATTGCGATTGGTTGTAGGCCGGTGGAATTATACAAATCTTACGAGTTTAATAAGCTCGATTTCGTTGTCTTGCCTCCATGCCCAAGAATCTTTCTAGTTTTAGATCTGTTGACTTGTTTATTAGCTCTTAACCCAATAATTAAACATGTTTTCAACGAAAATGTTCAATGTATGTATGTGTATGTTCATTTAAAAACCTTTTGAGTTTGACTGAGTATAAAAAAAAAAGTACAAGAGCGTTGTAGCTTGGTTTATTGAACCAAGACCAAGACAAACCAAACCGGAGAACAATTATTTGGTTAACACAAGATGACCGGTACGACTTTACAATTTGGATTTCTTCTGAAAGTTGTAAACTGATTTATTAAGCCCTAAAGAAGAAACAGCAGAAACCTGTGAAGAAGCTTGAGATTTGACTCTTTGTCCGGTTCGATGTTTCTTCTCAGGCTCTGTGTTCTTCTGGAAATGGTATTGAAGCACAGCAACGGTAATAACCGCTCTGGTCGAACACAAAACGCTGTGAGAGATGAGCTTCTCGGATCAGATACTCTCCCCAGTCTTCGTTTCCAAACTGTTTGTGTATCTCCCTTGCATCAAACGTCTCCATCTTCTTCCTTTTGTCCTTTCTACGACCACAAGTTTTTTCAGATGATCAGAATTTTGTAACAATGTCTACTATATCTGAACATAGATGCGGAGTTGGGAATCAATCACCTTTTCCTGTGCCTCGCGTTCATCACAGTCGCGTGTAGCTGCAAAAAAGGGGAACAAAGTATAAAACCGAAGCACGATTTCACCACTTTCAAGTCCCCTAGTTTTTGAGCTTTTAGCCAAATAATAATGTGACTGAAACAACCTCACCGTCTTTTAACTATAGCCTTGACTTAGAAAGCTCTTACCTTCAAGCTTTGATTTGCATCTTTCTCGAGTACAAGCCCAGCTTTCACAAATGCATCAGTAATAACTTCTGAACTTGGGGTTAAGAAAACAGAAAGCACTTACGTTAACTCTTAATCTACAGTCTACAACATCACTAAGAAGTAGGATACGACAAGCACGTAAAAGCCGGCCTTCATCGCCAATTTCTTCAACTGGAGCATAGAGCACACGAGCCTTGGCTAATGATCCTCTCATACAATCCTTAAGAAGATAGCAAAATGGCATATGCGTGAATAGACGATAAGCAAGTGGAAATGTAAAAGTAAAGCCAAGGATGTATCATCTCACCAATCCTTTAAGTCTTACGAATATTGGTCGGTTATCCAAAGCATCCATCACATGAGGATGTATACACTGTTTTTTCAGGAAAACGAAAACACTCAAATTCAACGAAGCATTCCTAAAATGGTGTAAACACCATCGTTTGGGAAAAAAAATACCTTCAGAACATCACGGGCCGCATTGATTCGGTCTTTGTTCCATAACTTTAGCATAAGCACAGTCAAGTGAAAAGTATTTGGCTTGATAAATATGGACTTTTCAATTCCCAAGTCTGCAATGTACCGAGCATGTCAGAGGATGCAGTAAAATTCATCAATTTAGTTCATTATCTTACCAAACAAAGTAGATGAGTCTGTTCCTTTAGCCTTAGGCTGGTAACTAACAATTGGGATACTCTTGATATCCACATTGACCTGGTTTGTCTCACTATTAGCTCTTAGACCAACCGCTACACTTGTGGATTCACTTATTGGCTGGACGTCTTGTTCATCACCAGCTACGCTATGGTTTCCGAGTATAGAGTTCTGAAAATTGACTAGCTTTCCCACTAACTCAGGGTGTATGGCCAGTGGAAGTGATACAAAGTGTGAGTAGTCAAGACTCGGACTCTTTACAACCTAGAAATGTGAATTCCAATGCTCAGTACAATCAGAAGAAAAGACAAGCACATTACTAAAGATCAAGGTGAAATGATGACGAAACCTCATCTATAATAGTAGCTATTCTTTCTGAAGCTTTAGTCACACAGTCCACTGAACCACCTTCAACGGCTGCAAAGAAGGTAAGAACAAATCTATTGAAAAATGGTAAAAATTCAGCTAGCTAAGATACAGGCTTAGACATCAGATTTGGGTTCCAGAATCTTAACTGATGTGATCTTCATTCCTTGAGGATGGAAGTATGATCTTCACTCCCGTTTCCTCTTCAATTTTCATCTGTGTAGTTCCTCTTTTTTGCAAAGAATGCAAAACTATTAGCATGTAGATACATGTGGTGGGGCTAAAGTAAGCCCTCAAAGTATTAAGAGTAACTAGAGCTCTTACTCTTTCCCTTTGATGAACTTAATCAAAGAAGCCCCAACCTACAACCAATCACACAGAGTCAAGACAAACTAGTTTAAAGCAAGAGGGCTACATGAAACAACAAGTGACAGAGAGGAAAAAAGGGACCTCAAGAGAAAGTGAATGCTTTTCAGCTGAAACAACTGAGGCTGACTCACTCACTCCTTCACTAACTTCACTTGATTTGCTACACTGAGCTGCTTCTTGGACTTCATGTCCAGCTTCTGCTTCATCATGAGAAGCCATGTAAGATAGAAAGCTAAAAACCAAGACCACTCATATGATCAAACTGATCAAGTGAAGATGCTATATAACCTGCAACGGTTGTAGAGGATTTGGTGGAGATGGGTCTCCACACTAAAGTTACAATCTTTTCCTTCTTGCTTCCATCCATAGCAGCGTTTCCCCTGTAGCTAATGATACTGAAAGATTCCTGCAATGTGTCAGGTGTTTGTAGCCACAAAACATCAAATCTCAAATCACTTAAACTGATTACACTTCTTAACAACTACACTAACAAAATGCCAAGGAGACGACGCATTATTGAGTGTTTTAGCATCAAGAGTAGCTTACAGGTTTCGACTGAAAACATCTACTCGTAAACCCAAGTACACGATCAATCCTGCGAAATTTCGAAAAGAAACGAAATGAAATATAAACAGAGCTAAGACAGAATCAAAACCCTTCTCACAAAATCTGTTTTTTCAATCCAAAAATTTGGGTGAATTGATATCTGGTGAAGAATTGAGTAGAAAGAATCAATTTTTAATTGCGCTGGTGTTTTTTCTCGGATACCCAATGAAGAGGAGAGAAAAAGAACCAAACCTAAAGAGAGACCTGCAAGTTAACATCTGTTTCTTCCCCGCCTCCTCTCCTCCTCCGGTGATCAGCCGTAGAACGATATAATTTTCCTCCGCCTACGATTTGTTTTAATTATTACCACTGACCCCATTACTTCTAGAAAATTATAGTTTTTACCACATCCTTTTAAAATCAACTGTTATAACCCTGAAAGTATTGTCATGTCTAGAAAAGGACAAGCTGCTTCTCTCCTCTACTGTTTTCTTGTTTTAAAACAAGATTTGATGATTGATAGAGAACTCAGAATTAAGAGAAAAGGATCAATCGGATCTTAAGTTTATTTTTCTTATGATTACATACACACACATATATTACATAATGTTGCTTTTGAGTGTCACTTATGCGGAAAAGGGAGTGAACCACAGCAATGGAAGTAGCCGGTCGAGTCATACCAAGATCGTTTAGAGATGTGAGCTTCTCTGATTAGATATTCTCCCCAAAGTTTTTCCCCAAACACTTTGTGTATCTCACGCGCATCAAAAGTCATCCCTTTGCTTTTATCCTTTCTGTAGGTTGCATTCATCATCGTGACATGCAGCTTCAAAAAAGCATTGAAGGAGAAGCAAGCAGAGAGATTATTCACTTCTCTAATACAAAGGAGTGTACTCAAAGGCACAAGAGTAAAACAATAGGAGATATATACCTTCAAGCGTGACTTTGCATCATTCCCAGCAAATCCAGCATTCACAAATGCATCGATGATAACATCTGAACGTGGGAGTTAAAGATTTCTAAAGCTCTTCAAAACTGAAAACAACTTGCTTATAGCAAAACATGTAATGTTGCACATTTTGATTTCCAAGTCCATCTTAAACCGAGGGAGAAATTAGGATACGACAAGCACTTAGCAGCCGGTCTTCATCCCCAACTTCTTCAACAGGAGCATAGAGCACACGTGTTTTGTCTAAAGATCCATTCATACATTCCTTAACAAGAGAAGAAGATACAAAGCAGACCATTGTGAATAAGTCATCAAAGTTTATGTTATATAACACTAGAAATGTTAGTAATGTATGTAAATCCAAGGATGTGACATGGTACCAATCCCTTAAGTCTTATGTAGACAGGTCGGTTATCCAAAGCATGCCTCACACTTGCAGAAATACTCTGATTTTCAGAAGATGAACAAATATTACAACGCCTCAATAATCAAATCAATTCTAGAAGAAGAAGAAGAAGCATAGAATTATCTTTTAATTGAGATGAAATTAATTTTACCTCAAGGATGTTCTGAGCTTTAACCACAGATTCCTTGCTCTCTAACTTTAACATAACCACAGTCAAGTGTAAAGAGCATGGCGAAAGAAACATCGATTGTTCGATTCCCATTTCTGTCCAATGTCAAAAAATATCATGTCATGAAAACAAGTTTTATACTTTTAATGTAACACTACTAATTCAACTTATTTTATATATGTTTTGTTTTTTTTCTTTCTGATCTTACCATCTAAAGTACCCTGAAACTTCAAAGGCTTCTTATCATGATTGTTACCCAATATAGAATTCTGAAAAGCCTCAACGCTTTTCTTCAGCTCAGGGTATATGGCTAATGGAAATGATATAAAGTGTGTAAGCACTTCTCCTTGACCCTGAAGAATCTACCAATCATTCCAAGATTTCAGTGCTCACAGTTAGTAAAAAAAAAAACCAAAATTAGAAACTTATCAAGGATCAGATTTTGGGGGGTTCTATCCAGATTATTTCTTCTCAACACTGACGATGAAGATAATCTCGGACATAGATCAGCAAACCTGTTTGCCTTTGCCGGCGAGAGCAGTGGAAGATTCGCCGCGATTCTGAAGTGATAAACTCTGTTTTGACGAGTTCTTGAATAACTCTGTTTTCACATGATCTCATCGGATCACACACATAGCAAAAGCATAATCCAAACCGAACCCATAAGCCCTAGAGGAGAATCAATCAGTCAAGAGAGAGAAAGAGAGAGACTTTACCCATAGCAAGATTTTGCCGCCGTTTGAGACTCTTCAGGAAGGTCTTTTCTTTAAACATATATATGGAGACTTGGCCAATAAGTCAATGACCCCACAGAAAATTCGTAAATTGAGAAACCACGCTGCTTTGTAACGACTCCAGCGTTACAGCGTATTATGTGCAACGTAATCATCAAAGTCAGGCACTAATCGTAACTTTAAGCATGCGTTTCTCTTGCGAGCCTTTGATCTTAGTGCTGTTGGTAATAAATAAACTAAAACTTTATGAAAAGTTTGTGATTACAGAACATAAGGAATTAGGTATCCAAAATGTTTTCTTTTAAAATATTATAATCACGACATTGCTGAACTTTTTACCTACACTAATTTACGCCGTACGCATCTCCTACTATAAGGAACGACCCACCACAGCGAAATACACACCAGAGGACAATTTTTATAACCACTAAACAAACACAGAAAAATAATGTCGGAATTTCTCCCGGAAGAATTAGCCGTTGAGATACTCGCGAGGCTATCGATGAAGGATCTGGCTCGATTCAGATGCGTCTGCAAGACATGGAGAGATCTTATCAACCACCGTGGCTTTGCAGAAAAGTACAGAGACATTTCTCCGGCGAAGTTCGTATCGTTTCACGACGAGGGCTTCTACTTGTTTGACGTGGAAGACAAGAATCCGGTTACTAAATCACCTCGTAAGCTTGATTTTCCTTTGGATCAGTCGATGATGATCGATGAATCCACACGTGTGCTTCATTGTGATGGGACGTTATGTGTGACCTTAAAGAATCACGCTTTAGTGGTCTGGAATCCATCTTCGAATCATTTCAAGATCGTACCAAATCCCGGTATATACCGTGATTCAAACATCCTAGGTTTCGGTTATGATCCGGTTTCCGACGATTACAAAGTCGTAACGTTTATCGACCGGGTAGATTCCTCTACGGCGCAGGTTTTCGAATTCAGAACCGGTTCTTGGAGAGAGAGCGTACGGATTCCTTATCCTGATTGGCATTACAGAGAGAGAAGAGGAACCTTCTTAAACCAATGGGTCTATTGGATTGCGTACCGGTGTAATGTCGACCGGTTTATCCTATGCTTTAATCTCTCAACCCATGAATACCGGAAATTCCCTCTGCCGGTTTATAACCAAGGCGTAACGTGTTCCTCGTTAGGCGTTACGAGCCAAAAACTTTGCATTACAGAGTATGAACCGTGCGAGAAGGAGATTTGGATTTCGGTTATGGAGGAAACCGGATCATGGAACAAGATTATAAGCCTTTCAATGTCGAATCTGATCTCTGTACAAGATCTGATCTGCGATTATCAAGTCGAGTTGGCATCGTTTACGAGAAAGAAGGATCTCGTCGTAACATTCACTTGGTATTACGGTCATTTGCAAACGGAATCTGAAGAATGTACGAAGGAGAAGGTGTTCTTGTACAAAGCCGGAGACCGTATATTTGAACAAGTCCGGTTCCGTAACTCTTTAGCCGGCTCTCGGTGTCTCTGTGAATATGTGGAGACTCCAGTGATTACTAATCACATATTTACTTGAACAAGAAGACAAAACGTTATAGCTTTTGTGTTTCTTATTTTTGTTAAAAAGATTTTCTGCTGAAATGCATGTGAAAGAAAAGAGTTTCAAAGGCCAAGCCCAGCGTTTCCCAAACAACTTAACAAAAACTAAACCAATTATATGCATTCAATTTGCTACCTATTAAAATTTACTAAACCAGAATTTGAACCAAGTAGTAAACCATGAGGATGAAGAATTGAAAAAATGAAGATAAAAACACTATTTGATGAGAAAATCATGCTTAGAGATTTCAGTGGACTAGTTGGTTGTGTGGATCTTGTGGTTATCTATCAGATTACAGATTTGACCGTTAGCTTTGTGTTGCCCTTGACGGATAAGTTATTAGCATTATAGCATATGGCAACCGGAGAATTTTTTGTAATTTACAAGTTTCTCAAAATGGTGACCGGTCCAGTTAAAGGACCCAAACATGCAAGAACGGTTTCAATTGAGTGGCACAAACACAATTTCCGTGGCACAGTGAAATTTCCAAAAAATAATTTTTCACACAAAATCTGACTATTATAAAACTCAATCCAATTTGCTACCTATTAGACGTTTAATTTTTTTTTTTTTTTGAAGAACTTATAATAGCTAAAAATAAATAACGGTTCAAAACCGGTTCGGTCTGCACTTGTGGTTGGTTCTTCGGTAATTTTTTGTGTTAACCTTTCACATTTATATACTTCCAGAGAGATAAAACAGATTTCTTTTTTTTTGTCAATTTTGGGTGAATTATTATCAATTTTTGTTTCCGGAGAGAAAACCCTTTGGATTAACAAAACATTGATTAACCCCAAAAAAGAAGATTAGATTAGAATATTTAATGGAAAGAGGGATGAACAATGGGCAATCACTCTGGCACTCTCAGTCACCCAAAACTCCGACCACGATGCTGGATCGCGCGCTCTCCTCTCGCCGTCCTCACTCCGACGCCGATCTCTCTGAATCCGGTGAATCCGGCACCGACGAATCTAAGACCAAGCGGCCACACATCTACCTCCTCGCCTCCAATTTCCTCTCTCGGATCGGACACCAGTGGTGGCCTTGCCTCATCCTCGCTCTCCTCTTCCTCGTCCTTCTCTTCCTCATCTCTCTGGCTTTCCACTCTAGCAGCTTCGTCTGCATCTCCCGTTTCGATCCCGCCGCTCGGATCGGGTTCTTCGGCTTCGACGGCCTCGAATCGGACTTTGGAGCCTTAGGTGTTCCTTGGTGTAAGCACTCGAGATCTCTGTTGTTTTTTAAACTTTTGGTTTTTTTTTTTTGCGTCTTGAACATTGTGCCTTGGCTAGTGATTCCATGTGGGCTTTGGCGAGATTTGATCTAGGTTTCCACTTCTGTAGATAGTGTTCAGGTCAATTTAGAAATTCCTCTCTTGAATCCGTTTCAGATGAAATGTCTATATTCCTAGTGTTGCAGTATTATCTTTGATGGCAAGCCTGAATCAATTACAGAATCAGTGATTATGTGTGAAATCCAGTAGAGAAGAATCACTAGCTGCTCTAGTACGCTTTAACTATGAGTTTTAACACTCTGAGATAGTGATTTTTCTTGTTGTCAAATGTTAATCTCCATGTTGAAGATTAGTTTTTTGTGGTTTTTGAGGGTTGGTTATGGAATACATTGTGTGTATCAACACGTTGATTTGTAATAGTATGGACGTATTTAATTCTTTTCCTTGGCAAAAGGCAGATCGAAACATGGAAAAGAAGTTGAGTGGACCTCCAAGGACTTACTCAAGGGCCTAGAAGAGTTTGTGCCGATATACGAAACACGGCCAATAAAGAACAACATGCACGGGATGGGTTTTGATCACAGCTTCGGGCTATGGTTCATGGCACGTCGGCTAAAGCCTGAGCTGATGATTGAGAGTGGTGCTTTCAAGGGGCATTCCACTTGGGTTATGCGGCAGGCGATGCCAGACACACCGATTATCTCACTAACTCCAAGGCACCCGGAGAAGTACCTAAGAAAGGGACCTGCCTATGTGGATGGAAACTGCACATACTTTGCAGGCAAAGATTTTGTTGATTTCGGAAGTGTTGATTGGAAGAACGTGATGAGAAAACACGGAATCGCAGATCTCAGCCGCGTTCTTGTCTTCTTCGATGACCATCAGAATGAACTCAAAAGGTAGTATTTTTTTTTTGTGTGTTTCTCATGTCTTGCTCGTCTTAATCACTGATTTTCTCTGATATACTTCTACCAAGAGCAGGATAAAGCAGGCATTGAAGGCGGGTTTTCAACATCTCATTTTCGAGGATAACTACGATACAGGAACAGGGGATCACTATTCCCTGAGACAGATATGTGATCAGTCATATATAAAAGGTTGGTTCTATAAAAAGAATCACACCATTAGATACATGAGTTTTTGTATTTGTTTTCTCATATGATGGGTTTTTTGTTTTTTCCCCTTCAGGTGGCGGACACAGCTGTTTCAAAGACAGCGATGAAGCGAGGATTAGATCAAAGAGGAAGAAGTTCTGGGAAAAGGCACTTGATACAGAGGAACTGTGCGGGCCAGGTGAAGCATGGTGGGGAGTTAGAGGAGAAATGAGAGATGACTTCAACCACAGTAACACACTGATCTCATACAACCAGCATTTTCAAAACAGTCGGTACGTTGAATCGGTTCTAGATGTCTATTGGGAGCTGCCTCCGGTTGCAGGACCTTCGTTGACCCATCAGTCGCGGTATGACCCTGCTCGTTCGACTCCACCGGTCGTGGAAGATGGTAGGCACCGTTTGTTCCAACGGCTCGGTTTAGGTCGGCTCGATAAGTCTGTGTTCAATGGCTACACTCAAATGGTTTACCTTCAGATATCTAAGCCCGGGTCATAGGCTCATAGAGATTGTGAGATTCCTGCAAAGGAAGAGCGGAACTTCTTTTTTAAAATTTCTTAGCTTTTTTTATTTGTTTTTCTTTCGTCTTACAACTTAAACTAAAGTTTGTTAATACAGAAAGTTTTTTTCTACTGTGGTATTTCGTGTAAGTTTCTTCTTTGGTCGGTTAATATTAAAACAGTCAACGTTTGCCAATCTGTTTTCTCTAAACCGGCGGGAATGAAATTTATTTGTTGTTGGGCCGGACTAGAAGACAAGCTATTGGGCCGAGATTCGCTACGTAGAGAACCAACGTTATCAATAGAAATAGGCAATTATAGCAATTTCGTGTACTGCAAAAGCATTTTCATCGTCTGTACTGTGGGAACCATGGCGGAGAGATGGACGAACACGGCTCTACTCGTGATCGATATGCAGGTCTCTTCTTTGTATATCTTTCTCTCTGTGTGCTATAATTAGTGATAAGTGTTGATTTTTTTTCTGTGTGAGTTTCTGGGATTTTGGAGTATTGAAATTACTGTCTCGTTGTGAGCAGAATGATTTCGTCGGGGAAGGTTCTGTGATGCAAGTGAAATTCGGAAAATCCATAGTTCCTAATGTTATTAGAGCCGTCGAACTCGCGAGGCAGCGTGGCATTCTCGTTATTTGGGTATTTCTCCTTTGATCTCTTGCTCTTCTCATGGTATGGACTTTGTTGCATACACAGTGTTTGAAGTTCCCTGAGAAGTTAGAAATTCGCAATTGATGGCTTGTGCTATATGAAATCTTAACTTGGTATCTCATATCTGAGTGAAAAATGAAAGCTTTCTTTCTTATTGAGAAAATGTTCTGGCTTTGAATATTGAAGGCTAATATAATGATTATGCTCAAACATTTTGCTAGAAACTGATGGATCATATATGACAAGGAATCGATCTCGATTCAGTGTGTGTGTAGTCTTAACTACTGACAAAAGTGTTGGTCACAGGTTGTTCGAGAACACGATCCTAAAGGAAGAGATGTTGAGCTATTCAGGCGCCATCTCTACAACTCTGAGAAAGCCGGACCAGTTGTTAAAGGAACCGTGGGTGCAGAACTGGTAGATGGATTGTTCATCAGAGAAGAAGAAGACTATAAGATAGTGAAAACCCGTTTCAGCGCCTTCTTTAGTACCAATCTTCATTCCTTCTTGCAAACGTCTGGTGTTACCAACTTAGTGATTGCTGGTGAGTTATGTTTTGATCTAAATCAATTTGTTTTGTGGACTCTTATGATTTTCTATACAAAATCATCTCCTTTTTAACTTCTTCAGGTGTTCAAACGCCGAATTGTATCCGGCAAACGGCGTTTGAGGCAGTGGAGCTGGATTATCCAAATGTGACTGTTATTACAGATGCCACAGCTGCTGCAACACCAGAGATTCATACCGGTAAATAAAAAGACCATTTTTTCACTGATGGTGTTTTATCTCTGTGGTTTAACAAAATGGCAAACAAACAAAGACCCTTTTATTTTATAATGAGAATGATGATGATATTTTGTATTGTTCTTTGTAATTCTTTGGAAAAAGGGAACTAAAACATTGTCGTAACATCTTTTGGATCAGCGAATATTCTGGATATGAAGAATGTCGGCGTCAAGACTCCTACATTACACGAGTGGTCCGAAGAATTTGCTTGAGATTTAGGATGACATATATATATATCATCCTTAAACCCTACTTCCTATCTTCTTCCACCTCTTTCTGTGTGTGTAATAATATGTAATGAAGTAAAAGTAGAAATAATGTTGTGGTATTTTTGTTCTTGTAAACTTTAAACAATTTGTCTCCCTTTCAAATACTTTGTATCTAACAATAATGTGGGAAATCATAATCTGATTCAAATATGAAACCTTTTTCTTTTCAAAAACATATCATTTTGCTAGACAATGAATCGATGCATTGAATTTGAAACAATAATACTTTGTACTTTTTTGTTATATACAACAATAATTGTTGCGAGAAGAATAAAAACCATTATTGAAAATTAAAGGAGATAAGAAAGGTAACGTGGAGAAAGAGAGAAATGGAGGGTAATGCTTATCCTCACCTCATTGTCCTCTCCTCCCCTTTATTGCTTTCCCATCTCCACTTTGTTCCCTCTAATTTTGGGTCCCTTTTCATAAAAATAAATCAATCACATATACCAGATTCTCTTTAATCTAGTAATATTCCAGTTTGATCTTTACTCATCTTGCTACTCCATAGTTTAATTTCACCAAATCCTTATAATTTCGAACATTTAAACCCCACAAAGCTAGCCATAAAGGAATAGAACTTTCATGTTAGTTGTTAGTTGAGAGAAACTGAACATTTTATTTCTTGTTATCACACATTAACATATTCACGGAGGAGTAGTGCATGTACCTGAAATAAAGATGCATAATTTATCGCTGTAGGCAGAAAAAAAAGCGAAGAAAAGTGTATTAGTGGAGTAGAAAATACACTAAGAATGATGTAAGAGACATATATGATTAAAGAAAAAGAAACGAAAATCTAGAGAGGATATAGAGAGTGATGTAACACAGCTCATTTCATGATTATGAGGGACATTCTTTTGTGTAACCCTTAAAACAATGGGGGACTTTACAAGACAAGCACCTCTTTCAGTTCCCACTTTTTTAAAGTTTAAAATTTATTGATAAAACAAAAGTCTACTACCATTTTTATTTCATTTCTCAATATATTGACATATGTGTGTTGTTAAAAATAGAAACTAATATTTGTCAGAAGAATAATAAAGTAATATTTCATAAAGAGTTTATAAGTATAATGTATAAACTATGAATTTTTATATGAACTAGTGAAAGAACAGCGAATAAAAAAAACAGAACAAAAGTTAAGCGGAAGAAAGAAGATAGTTTGTTAAAAAAAAATAGTGAAAACTTGGCACCCCATACTTGAAAGGTCATCAATGAGAATTGGTATGGGAAATGGGTTCGGAATCAAACATCAGTCTTGCTTCTCAATACTTGAGCATTTGGCAAATCACTGGTGGATGTGTTGTAGCTAAGTTGTACACGCACTGGTTGGGTGAAGCGTCAGAACCACCAAAGGCCCGGTTTTCTGAATGGCTTGAACTATTTTTTTTGTTTAATTCTCTGTGTTTTCTATGTTTTTACTTGGTTAATCTCTTGAGGTTTGTAATATTTTTTCTAGATCAGGATTTTGGTTTATTATATGTTTATGCTTTTTTTCTTTCTCTATGAGTTTTCTTTTTATTTACTTTGGGTACCATGTATTATTTACACCGCAACAGTTTAATAGATCAATGTATACGAGTAAATATATATATTTTCTTGTTTCTAAATGATGATTTAACGTTTGATTTTACAATTTCTGATTCCGAGGATAGGATATAAAAGTGCAGAGAAATGCGACAAGAATTGCTTAGATTAGGATAATAGATTGATTTGACTTATGAAATGAAATGGAACAATAGAGAGAGTTGAAAAAATCAGAAGCGTGCTTCATAAAGAGAGAGACGAGAGAACTGAAGCACATGAATTTTCCTCTTATGTAAGTGAAAAAAAAGGCCTAGTTGTTTTTTATATATATATTAGTTTCTGGTTAAAGCAAGAATCAAGGTTATGCAGTTAATCAACATTTTGACAAAGTTATTGACAAAAAAATTCACTAAGTCATCTCTCTATTTAAATATAAATAATGATAAAATCTATGTATATAATTGAATTATAAACCTATCCATTCAAATCATTTTTGTGTGTGTGTGTTTTTTTTTTGTTTGAAAGAGGTTTAACCCTAGTTCTACTAAAGGGTTTGACCATTTTTGTATGTACTCGTTTATACCTTGCACTTTTTGTGTTAAAATGACATAGAAGTTATTAAAAAGTTAGTAGAAAGTGATACATTTCGTAATTGGCACAAATATTAACAGTCAAAGATTCGAACAAATAAAAATTCGGTGAAAATATCTCAAAATAATTAGTGTCGATAATTTCTCCAATTTCCAGACTGGACCTTATTATCCAAAAATTTCCATAATGTACTTAACGACCAATCAAATAGCAAATTGACAAACAACCCAACTTCTGAATTTCAATAAACACAAGAAGAAGAAGACAAGATATATAGCGTGTGTGCAAATGAAGAAGATGTTTTGAACAGAGTAAAAAAAGAAGAGTAGAGAGAAACACCGAATAATATAAACAGAGTAGGTGAGAAAAATGAGTATAACAAAATAATATATATATTTTTTTTAATTGGAGGAGAAAAAATAAGTCTGAAACCTGACACATACCTCAATAGACCTTTCCTTCTTGAAGTAAGAAATGGAGGAAAATTGAGGAGTTGGCGTGTAAGTCAAGCAATTGTTGAATAATAATGTTTCAGACTATTCACTTTCTACAGTCTTCTTTTTTTGGAAGTGTCCCAGAATTATCTTCGTCCACAATCCACACTCACTCTTTCACACCATTTTTATATATCGAAATAAGGAATTAATTAAATCAACAAAAAAGAGGTTCGAGTACTCGTTATAACTTTAATATATTCGCCAAATTCTATGCATGGTGTCATGGGACCATTTCTTTCGACCGTATTTTTTGACAAGACCATTTTATAAACGTTGAAGAGTGAACAGTAAAAACAAAACTGTATGTTAGGATATGCTTTTTGTTTTATGGAGTTTAGGTTTTTGTGTTTTTTTATAAATAAGCTTCTGTAGAAGTTAAGTTCAATTAAAAAGAAAAATAAATAGCTTTAAAGTAATTTTGCTTGTCAACGAGGTTTGTTAGCTTTAACTAATTGAAAATAACTAATGATTATCACAAATTTCTAACTATTAAAATGACATAATGATGTAGCAGATTAATAAGTTTGCCAAAAAGGAGATTGCAGAGTATCCAACACCCACGTGCAAGGCAAATGCCCATGTCACTCTCATCATTATCGCTTTTTGTTCACTTTTTCTATTCCAATATTATATAGACAAGCGAAATAATCTAAAGTTTAGATGTGTGTTTGGTTGAATTTTGGATCCGTCGAACGATTTGAATTGTGATGTGTTCGTCAAGAACATCATATTTTGGGATTTTAGTGGACCAAAATAGAGCGATTGCGCAAGAGAGAACGAACAAATGTAAACTCTATCTTTATGTCAAGGGTCGACGATCGACCAACTACGATTTGTCATTGACTGATAGGATGTAACATCGACAGTACGTTGGTAGTATGTGCCAATAGGCACTGCATCGATCTATATACTATTGTACATTTGGCTAACGTAACGTTTGGTCTGCTTTACAAGGAGTTCCATCGCAGCTAGAAATGCATATGAACTTAAAATGATCATCCATATACTGTGATACTGATGAAAGAGATGATCCTACATTTCCAAAATGGTTGAAACTTTTTATGGGCTCATGGAACCTTATAGTATATCACAGCTCTGTGGTTCTAAAGAGCTTGTGACACGTTATTTTCTTTTTTTTTTTGGTCAAACGTAACACGTTATTTTCTATTTCCTCAAACTTGACTTTCACTATAATCTCGATGCATATCCAATTAATTTCATTAGTGAACTATATAACTCGAATGAGAAAACAGTTCACAAGATAAAGTTTGGTCGAGATCTAACCATTTACCAGATATGCATCAAGATTATAGTGAGAGTCAAATTTGACAAAGTCTGGACTTTGTCAATTGTCATGATATTGGCTGGTTGCATTGGCATGGTCATTGGAAAACAAATCGAGCCTCTTTTCTTTTAATCCGGTGTCGGGCCTCGAATTATCCGAAGTTATTAATTATTATTAAAAAAAATTATAGTTACAAAATAAGTAAACCATATATATGCTTCTATTTAGTGATTTTCTTGGGCCGACTCTTTGGAGATGTTTACCTGCGCTACACTGTAAGATATTTTTCTAAATTTTGTATATATTTTTTATATAACAAAATTATTTTTAATATATAAATGAGTATTATATTTTTTATTAGCTTAAATTATGTATTTATATTTTTTTAATTTGAATAAACATTGTATATCTTTAATTTTTTTATTTTTTAAAATTATAATTTGCTATTAAATTTGTTCAGCTAACTAATTTTATATATATATATATATAAGAATAAAGCAATATAATTTTTAGTACATTCATGCTAATGGCAAATGTAATCTATTTTCTCCAATAAATTGTCACTTGATCCTCCTTTTTAATTATATAAAGCAAAATACCATTTTAAAAAAAGATTTATTAATTAATATGATTATCTTGAATTATAAAATTTATTTATTTATGAAATATTTATTATAAACATATGTTTCTAAAACTACCAAACTATAATCAATAACATTCATATCAAAACCATTGCTACTACTTTAGATCTAAATAGAAAATTTTGTTTGAACTGTTGGAATATTTAGTTGAAGTTAAATAATTAAATTTTAGTTACTGTAAACATATTTTAACTTGGAAATTTAGCACAGAGAAATTTCATCTTCTTACAAAAATCGAGAAAACGTATTTTCCATCAAAACTAAAAAACTTAATTTTCCCATGAAACTGAGAAAGTGCATATTCCCACCAAAACCAAAAAACTCATTTTCTCGTCAAACATAAAACCTAAAATTTCATTTTCCCGCGACAACCTCTGTTTTCTCATCAAAAGCCGA